CTGGGTGCCGCCGTCGCAGCGGTGGGTGATGACTCGGCCGAGAGTGAATGTCAGATGTCGCTTTGCCGCCAGTCCCGCCAGCCAGCCAGCGAGCGCGCGTGTCGTCAATTACCTCACAGACCCGCGACTCGTCGGCGAGGGGGAGTGAGTCGCTTGGTGAAGATGCGAGGTTGAGGTTCAGGGACAGCAGCAGTCGTCGGTGTTGTGTTGGAGGAGGATTGTCCGTTGCCACTGGGCCCAGGCGCCGGCAAGAAGAGAAAGTTGGGCGTGCTTGCCTCAGCGACTCGTCGGGAATTTGAGTTGCCAAGCGCCGGGCGCCCGGGCAGACGGGGTGTTGCCGGTGAAGATTCGGGCCGGACTGGGCTTGCGAGCTTCCCAAGTCAATACGTAGAGTGCAGTGCAAACGAATAACTTGTCTTTGTTTAATTACTGTACTGTACAAGAGTTACTGTACGAGACGGTTCGTCACATCACGGCCGAGAGGCAATGGGCGGCGTCAGCCACCTCGACGCCCGGCCAAGCGCCAACTTACAGGTGCATATGCACCTGGCGTACAGCAGGATATCGGCCCTTCGGCACGTAGGCGCGCCGCGCCGCGCCGGCCTCGTTGGGCCGCTGTTTCTTTCTCCCCGGTGGACGCGCGGCCGAAATAAATTACATGCATTCTACGAAGTGATGGAAGCCTAGCCGGCGGTCAATCCTCCAGCGCGCAAAGTGCTCAACAATACACATAGTCAACTACATCCAGCGGATATGTAGAGAGAGGCGGAGCGCCTCGCGCACAGCTTGTTGCGCATTGCTTGAAGCTTGTCGTTTTGCGCAAGGGAAGAAGGGCGGGTTTCACTACCGATCGTGGGTCGAGTTTCGACAGTCGCGAGTCGAGACCGCCGACCGCATGCGGTCGTCGCCCGCGGCGGCGACGCCACGCCGTGCCCGTGCCGCTCAGCGCCGTGCCGCGGATAGGCCGGCTCGCTAGCTTTCCAATACTTTGCCCGTTGGCGCGCCCTGCGAGTTTGGCATCTCGCGGTGCCGATGCGGCGGCCTGCAACGACGACAACAATCACATGGGTGTTTGCCTCTGGCCGGGCCCAGCATAGCGTGCCAGAGGGCAGGCACTCCCCATTTATTGAACTCGCACACTGCGGGTCATGCAGCATCCCGCCTATCTTTGGGAGATTCGTAGGAAGAAGATGCGCCCTATTTCTCGACAGCGTGCCTGGCTGGTGCACGTGGCCAGCCCGGCTGCTAATGGCTCCGCGCTCGCATGTGGTGGTGCCGTGCCGCTGAGCCGCTGGGTGAGGCCATCGTCACACTCGCTCGGACAATTGTCGCCATGTCTGTGATTGAGCAGTGTGGTCATTGAAAGCTCCTTGCAAGACGCCCGCCTGCCTCGTACAATATGGTACAGATATGGTACATGTGCGTGCGCTGTGGAGAGACGCGGCCCGGAGTGCTGGCCGCTGGAGCATTCTCCGGGCACGGCGGACAAGATCCTCCAACAGTCCATCCGCCTCTCGGATATGTATTCGATTGTTGAAACACCAAAACGCCGTCCCAATGTAGCCCTTCTCGTCTCGTCTCGTCTCGTCTCGTCTTGTCTCTCCCCCTTTTGCCGGTGCCATCCATCATCACCTCTGGCCACCCTGCTGTTGCTGTTGCTGCTGCTGCTGCTGCTGCTGCTGCAGGCGAAACTTTTCATTCTCCACGTCGCGCCAGTCCGGCGGAATCGGCTCGTTGCCGCTCGTCTCCTTGACGCCGCCCGCAAACGCCGACCTGCCCGCGTACAGCTGGTAGCCCTTGCCGGGGTCGGCCCCGTCGGCGCCGCCGCCGCCCTCGATGGAGCGGTACGTGACGGGCATGTTCCCGCGGAAGCGCTTGCGCATGTCGACGAGGCCGCGCTTGCAGTCGCCGTAGCCCTTCTTGAGCTGCTGGCACTTTGTCGGGAGCGTGTCGACGAGCGGCTCGCGGAGGCAGTCGGAGGCCTTGTTGCGGTGCACCATGACGCAGTCCGACTCCTGGAGGCACTGCGCGAGGGCGTCGCCTGCAAGACGGGTTTCTTTCTGTTAGTCGCTGCTTGGCTTGCGATGGCGCAAGGAAGGGGCCGGGGGGGTTGGAGGGAGAGACGCACGCAGTTCTTGACAGGAGCTCGGCATTGTGTGGGCGGACGGGTGCGGTTGTCGTGTGCGATGGGCGATGCGAGAAGAGCGGGCGTCGTGCTTGCCGTGGCTCGAATCTGCTGCTCCTGCCGTTCGGCTTCCCGGCGGTGGTGGTGTGTTGGAGCAATTGTTGCGGTCGGCCCTTGATTGGCTGGCCGGAAGGGGATCACACAACGCCGGCCCGCCATGTTAGCGTCTACTTTCCGCCGCCAATTCCAACACCATCCGTGTAATTGAACCACGCATCAAGGCGTTTCGTGTACATGACTTTCTGCGTCTTTTTGCGTCCAGATATTGATAGAGGATGACGAGGTAAAAGCACTTCCTGTCAGCCATTGCCCCGGACCCAAGTACGCAGTCCCCAAAACCGATACCTTCCTAACAATTCACCATGCTGGTTGCCCTGTACTGCTGCGTCTAATGACGTTTCTTAGGTTGCAGCGTCGGCTGGTCTGCAATTCAATAACTGCTAGAGTCTACGTCTACAGTCTATGGTCTATCATGTCGAGTCTATCCTTGATTGATACAACGCCCATTTACCCCCCGCATGCAGCATTAAATCGCCTCTTTAGTCTAATTTGCCCTTGCTTTTGAACGCCCGCTTTCCAAAGACACATAAATATTAAATCACGAAAGAGTAAGCCCCCGTCACCAAGCATCCGAGTCCAGTCGCGATGCGTCTCCGTAGCCCGGCGTAAAGTACAGCTTGGCGCCATCTTCGTCACCTAATGCCACCAGCTATTAGCACAAATTGCATCCGATCTCGACACGACACAAGACTCACATTGGTACGGCCGTCTGTTTTGCTCACAGTACAGAAACTTGATCTGCTTCCTCTGCAAGAGCTCGAACAGACAAGGCGCCAGGCCAGCGTCCCGGAAGGGCAGGCTGACGGCCTTCTTGTGGACAATGTTCCTGCCCTGCTCCTTGAAGACGCTGCGCATGACGGGCCGCTTCAGGCTGAGCGCGTCGGAGATTTTGAGCTCGGGACATGAGAGGTTCTGCGCCAGGTCGCTCTGCAGCCGGCTCTCGTAACCCCAGGGGCAGTCCACCCAGCAGACGTCGATGAACCGGTCGTTTGGGTCACGCAGGATGAGCGTCCGCACTCCGGCGGCGTCCTCGGCGACTCGCAGCGGGGTCGGGGGCTTTATGTTTGGGCATGCCACCTGTGAGGGTCGGACCCGGGATTGCATCTGGCCTCTGATCAAGATCATGTTGTGTCGAGCTCTATAGTGAGAAATGCCGTGCTGTGTTTGTTCTTTCGTGTCGTGGGCTCGGTCTCGTTGGTGTTTGATGTCAAGTCTTTTTTATTGCCCAGCCTGTACTTTATGCTGTGTCCCCCGCGAGCGACAAATATGATCCCTTTTATATCGCGTCCTAGCGGTTTCTGCAGCACACTCGACGCGCTGCAGAAAAATTTTACGACTGTTACCTGATCCGAGCCGGAGGCAGCTGCGCTCATTACGATATAGTATCATAAGGTGGCTGCCTCTCGCCTCCAGGCCACCAACATTCTGGAACAGACTGTTTGCGACGCTGGAAAAGAAAAACTTTCGAAACAGCGGCATTTAAAGAGCCTTGCTCTGTGTTTTGGCTTTCTGAGAGCGTTTGTGAAACTGCTGGTGCTGCTGGTGCTGCTGCTGCTGCTGGCGCTTCGTACTGCCATGCATGCATCATGCACCACGTACGTGCGCCAGCCGCCGCTACCCGGGTTCGCTGCTCTTCGTGAGAATGATCTACGCATATGTAGCCCTGCAATTGGCAGAGTCCCTCTGCTCAGTGCAAGATCGATGTGCGCATGTAAGCCGAGTGCCTCCAAAACCTATCGGCCACGGACCGCGCAGACCGCTGTGATTCCGTTTGCGATGGCAGAGCCCGTTCATGTCTTACGGGTCAAGGAGACAACACGGCTGCACGGAGTCGCCGGCGCCGGTGCGGCAGCGCTGATTCCAGCGCGAAGGCGAGCTGAAGCCGTGGGTCGCCATCCGGCCTACGCAATCGATGGTCTGAGCACGTCCTGCATTCGCTTTTCTTCACCCGGGACGGCCGATCGTTCGTCGAATCCTACAGTCTCGCTTTATCGGTCTCGCAGTGATGTGGACCAGCAAGTGCGCCTTGCACATGGTCGGAGCTGGCCCAAAGGCTCGTCTTGCCGTTTCTTGCCGAAGCTCGCGTCGTCAACGATGGCGAGCCCATGCCTTTCTGTCTCTCAAGATTTTTTTGATATTCTACGCATCCCGAGGGACACTTAATAGCCGCATCAGAACATTGCTGCCTCTAGTTGCTCTTTGTACAGACACCTTGGCTTTTGCAGCGATAACGAAAGCGCGATGTGTGACTGGTACAAGACTTCACTCGCAACTCAAGTCACCGAGACTCTACAACCACGACTGACAGGTGCACCAGCTAGTTAGGTCTCGGTCGAAATCGCAAAGCGCGCCGAACAAGTTCCCGGTACGAAAATGCCGTGCATATTGAAGACGGTCCCCACTGGCTCGGACAGATGCCAATCCGCTGCTACCTACTGCTGTTTAAAGCTAGCAGCATGCAAAGGACTAGAGCCATAGGCCACGTAGCTCTTGCCTCCCAATGGGAGCAACAATCCGTTCTCTATGTTTTCATGTTCAATAATTCATGTGAGTTCGCGGAGTAGCAGTTTCAACGGAGGTGTGTTCGGGGCCCGAAGGGTGCCTCCTTGAACCGAGACGCACGAGATGGACTACGTTTGCTTTTGTGCGTGACTTGCTCGCCAACATAAACGGACGGACAGGATGTACATATTCAATAGTAATGTGGGACAGGGGTTTAGTAGGATAGGGGTAGGCTTGGCTCGCTCAGCGCTGCTATTGAAAGTGCGGGTTCGTAGCCAAAGAAGGGAAGCGCTTTCTTGCAAGAGACTTGGTCAATGTCGTACTGCTAAATAACATTGAAATCAAAACCCGTCCCCGAGTAAATGCTGCTCCGCCTTCCCCTTGTACGCGATGTCTCTCCACGTGTCCATCCCGGCTCATACTCACAGTCCCTCCAAGTCCTTCATCACGCATCCCAGCTGCCACTTGGTGCTTTCCAGTTGCTCCTCCGACTGCTCCAGCTGAGCCCCCGCCAGTTCCCTGGCCGTCTGCACGCCATCCCCCTCGGGAAGGCCCTCTATCCACTCCCGTATCAGCCCAATGTCCTCCTCTAGCCCTTCTACCTGGCCGGTGAGGTCCTTTCGTCTCCCGTCGAGATCTAAGCCCGTCGTCTCCACGCCACGGCCCAGGGGCAGCGGCGCCTTGCCGGGACAGTCTCTCTTGGCGTCGGCCTCGCACGCCTCGTACGCCCGCCGATACGTCTCGGCCCTGCGCTCCGCCTGCCGCAGTTGGATCTGCAGGCTCCGCCGGGCATCGTCGTCGGTCTCGCCGGCGTCGTTGATCTCCTGCCGGCAGCGCTTCAGGGCGCGCTCCGCGCTCAGCAGCTCCTCGCGCAGCTGCCTCAACTCCCACAGCACCATCTCCCCGGGCTTCACGCACACTCCGTCGGGGCACTCACGCTGCAGGTCCGCCTCCGCCTCACGAAACGCGCGCAGCCTGCGCTTGTGCCCGCACTCGGCGCGCCAGAGCTCCCACCGCGCGGCCCACTCCTCGTCCGGCGTCGTCGCGGCGGCGAGCCGCTCCCGCCCTCGCTGGATAAGGGGGCTGTTGCTGCCATCGTCGTCTGCGTTTTGGGTGGTGCCCTTGTCCGGGTGCAGGCGGTCTACCTTGCGCTGGGGTTCTTCGGCCGCGTCCCTGGCGTCGAGGACGGCTTGCGCGCGGGCTTGGTCGACGAGGAAGGCGTCGCCGTTGAAGTGGGCGTGCGGCCAGCCGTGCTTGATGTAGAGGGGCTTGATGATATCGGCGCTCCATTCGGGACCGGATTGCTCGCCGCCGCCGGGTAGCTCGGTGAGGCTTTCGAACCAGAGGACCATGTCGCGGAGGACGTTGGGAGCTGGGCGGCAGTCCATCTCGTCGAGCCAGCACTCATCGTCGTCGTCGTCGTCGTCGTCGTCGTCGTCGTCTTCATCGTCATCACTGTCATCGTCTTCATCATCTTGCTCATCCTCTGCCTCCTCTTCCTCTTCATCGTCATCATCCTGCCCGTCCTCCTCGTCACTGTGTATGCCGTCCTCTTCCTCATCAGTCTCGTCCGGTTCGCCCCCCGCGCTCCCTTCACTACCCACTCCGTGACCCTCCTGCTGGTCCCCCACGTCCTCATCTGCCTCACCCCCCCTTCTCATAATGCACCCCTCATACAGGTTATGGTCACCGCTCCCGCTGTTCAACTGATCGAATATGCCAATACAATGCTTTCGAGCATCGTAAATCAGCGCCGTGCGGTGGTTCCCAATATTAGACAGGGGCGTCATCCACGGCCGCATCGCATCCTCGGCCGCATCGCTGTAGAACGGGTCCCGGGCCTGCCGCAAGTCCTCCTCGTCACGAAAGTCGGCAAACTCGCCGCCCTGGAAGAAGTCGCCGCCGCCGCCGCCGTCTCCGGGCTTCACGTACGGCAGGATGCTGTACAGGTAGATGATGGAGGGGTCCAGGCCGAGGGACCGGTACAGCGGCAGCAGGTGGTCGACGTTGTGCGGGCCCTCTTGGATCAGCGAGGCGTCGAGGTAGCGCATGCGCACGAGCGTCTGGTAGACTTTGAGCATGCCGTCGGCGACCTCGTGGAGCTTGGCCTTTTGTGAGGGCGTGAGGTCCTTCATCGTGACGGCGAGCGGCCGTCTGGTGTGGAGGGAGGGCTGTGATGCTAGAGAGGGGTGGGAAAGAGACACGACGGATGGAAAGCAGGCGGAATACTTTACTTATATTCAAATTACCGTTCGGAAAGCAGGGCTGGGGTATCAGGCACCAGCCCCTCGGTCGAAGCTAGCACGCTCCTCGGGGTCCACGATGTTGGTCAAGATATGGTTCAGCATTGTCGCCAAGGGCTCGGACGTTGCCTCTTCCAGTGGCTTAGTCGCTACCAAGGGTTGAGCTACGCCGCGACGGCTCGGCCCACACGAGACTGTTTATGGACTAATAAGGGGGGCGCTCAAGCCAGGAACTCACAAGTAAATTCGAAGCGCAGGCGCCGTCTGAGATGGGGGTCGATCCGATGGTCGCGGATTAAGATGCGTGGATGCGCTGCTAGGGATCGTCGCGACCCGACTCCGCGACCTGGCATCATGGAAGAGGCCTCAACTTTGGCTTCGATCGCTGGTCCAGGCCGGGGCCAGCATAGTCAACCCGACATGGGACTTTGTGAAGCAGTAAAGCAAGCAAGGAATCAAAGCACACATCTCGGGGTTGTGGACTTGTTTGCTCGCGTTGAGGCCAGTCTACGCGGACCGCAACGCGCAACGCCATCGAGTGTCACCCTACCTCTCACGCGTCCCGTCTTGCATGATCCGGGCAACAATTGTCAGCAACGTGCATGGCGATGGAGGCCCAGGGCGCGCGGGGTCTCACGCACTCATCCAAGGAAGATGACGCCAGCCCCCGGGCTCGCCTCCGCTCGTCGCTCACCGGCCTCCCTCAAACTCCCCAGAGCCAACCTGGCCCGTAGTGCAGGACAAAACGCCTCGAGCGAACGCCTTCATCGCCTCGCGTCTCGTCTCACACTGGTGATAGCATATCGACCGTGAGGGATTCCGCCCGGGGGCATACATCCGCTGTAGACGTGAACGCGGCCACGGCGGCAAGGGATGCCCCGGATCCATGCGCGGACAGCCTGCGAGCGCTGCCGCAAGAAGCGGGCAAGAGTACGGTTCCCGCCGCGAAAAGGGGGCGGCCGTTGTCGAAACGACACGCACGACACTGACTGACATGTGCCCACAGTGCGACGGCGCGAGCCCGTGCAAACGATGTCAGGAGGCCCACGAGTGCTGCGTCTACGACTTCGGCCGGCTGCAGTCCAAGGCGGTGCTGCGCGCGCAGGTGGAAGAGCTTCAGAGGTCTAACCTGGACAGCAAGGGGCAGATCAGGGCGCTTCAGAGCACCATCCAGAGCATCGTGGGGGAAGGCGAGTCGTCGGATGCGGCTGGCAGGGAGGCCGATGACAGCCCCGGCCAACGGTCAGCATCCTCTCGTGCTGCGTCTGCTGCCGTCGCGGCCGGAGATTCTGCCCGCTCGCTGTGCTTCAAGCGGCTGCTCCCGTGGAGGCTAACCTTTGTCAGATCCGCCGACTGCAACACACCCACAAGGTCTCCAGATCCGTCCACCATCCTGTCGCTCCCACCACGGCCCCTCGACGTCTATGCGTCCCAGTCGCACATAGACGTCTGGACCCGGACGGGCTGGACCGTGGCCCACATTCGCCATCTGTTCGACGTCCTCGGCGCCTGGGACTCGCTGGCATTTTGCCTCCTCTCCAGGGATGTCTTCCTGCGCGACTACCAGACCGGGTCAGGTCGCTTCTGCTCATCCGCCCTGGTGCATGCTCTCATTGCGCTGTCTGCCCGGTTGGTCAACGGCGACAACGACAACAAGGACGTCCTCCCGTCCGGGTGGGTAGGGAGCAAGATATTCCGCGACGAGGCAGCGGCAATCCTGGACGGCACCAGCGGTCCCGGCGAGCTGCCCGACGTCCAAGCTCTCGGGATCCTCTCGCTCTACCACCTGCGCCTGGGGCAAGAGGCAGATGCCCAGAGGCTTGCCGAAGCTCTCCTCGCCGGCGTCACGGAGCTCTGCCAGCGCGGGCATTCGGGCTACAGCAACGACCAGGCCGAATACTCCAAAGCGTTGGCCACGACGTACTGCAGTGCCGTCTCGTTGGTCCGGTGCGTCGATCCACATCTCACGTCGTGGTGCCGCCTAACACAGCAGCACAGCATGCTGTCGCTGACGACAGGAAGGTTCTTCGACGACCCCGATCACCCAGTCGAGGGCAGCTCGGCGCTGCACCAGCTGTCCATCGGGGGCGAAAACGACATTCCCGCAACGTGTAAGTGTTGGCGCGGGCCCTCATCGCTTGTAACTGACCGCGCAGTCCCGAACTTGCAGTCACGCAACTCGCAGCTCATCTCGGCCAAGCTCTTCCTGCTCACCGAGTGGGTGTACAAGCTTGTCTTGTCGGCTCGAACCAGCGCATCGGGCGCCGCGGCCAATGTGGCGCCCGTGTATACCAAGTGCCTGGACTGGTACTCGGGCCTGTTTGAGCTCCTCGTCGCCGACGAGGGCAGGACGCCGTTTGCGCTCTTCATCCAGTAAGCTATCGCCGGTGCATCCATGGCGGGACATGATTCGTGGTCTGATGGCCGCTATGCGCAGCATGTACTACCACTTCTGTCTCTTGTGCGTCTTCAAGCCCTTCCTGGGCACCGCGCTCGGCTGGTCCGACTTGCAGCCCAGCAAGATATGCGCACAGGCGGCGCAGTCGGTCCTGGCGCTTGCCCAGTCGTACGACGACCTCTTCACGCTGCAGCGCGTCTCGGGCTTCGTGCCGTACTTTGTGTGCGCGTCGGGCCTGCTGGGCGTCGCCATGGACGAGAGCGGGTCGCGCATGAACTCGGTGCACCTGCGGCACGAGGACGCCGCGTCGCTGCACATCGCCGGCGTCGCCGAAGCCCGCGAGCCGGATTCCGCCATGCCGGGTGGCAGCCAGAGGCCCTTTCCGGCGTTCGTCAAGATGTCGGCGCCGCGGCACGCGCTGCTGCTGCTGGCCAAGATGAGCCTGACCCATCCGCCGGCGCGCGTTGCCCACAGGTTGCTGCAGGACGAGAAGGGCACGCCGTCAGGCCACGAGTCTTCGTCGTCGATGTGATGGCGATGCCGGGGGGACGCGAGAGTGGTGATGGTGATGGACGGCGATGGAGGTCGGGGTGAACAACAGACTTATCGAGGGAGGACGCAGTTACGATTCTACAAAGTACGTTCGTTCAGAGTGGAGAGAGTGAAGTTTGAAGTTTGGTGGAGGAGCATCTCAATTCCGTCCCTGATTTGATTGAGCAACTGGTGCAGGAGGCATTCTAGGCAGCTTCAGCATAGCTCTTTCCATGCATGGAAAAGGGGGGGGGGGTGGAACTCAAGGAGCTGCGGCTCGGTGCACGTGAATCTGTCGGGCTGCAACGGCTGCCCCAGGTCGCCGTAAGGTACCTTCCAATACAGGGGGTACTAGGTATCGTCTACAGGGGGCTCACCAGCCGTACCATGGAAGCCAGTCCAACGGCGCCCCGACCACTACGTGCACCGGCCGGGGCTGCTTTCAGCGCTTATTGGACATCAGATAGGCTGACAACCGCACTAAATTGTTTCCTCCTCAGGCACTTGCGTGGATGCCCGGACGCATCCCGTCCATCCACCAATCGAGCCCGGCGGTCTGGCATGTGACATCACCGCCCGTCGATGTCATCGCTCTTGCAGATCCGTTGCTGAACCTCGCCGTCCGCCTCCTCGGCCGTCGCCAACATCTCGTCGCCCATCACCTCTCCAATTCCTCGCCCCGGGCATGGCGTCGACGCTGTCCGTTCCCCGTCGTTACATCTGAGCGCGCGCCCCGCGACACAATGCCGGTCCCCTTTCTCGGGAGGCTGCACGCGTGCGTCGCGACCCCGCTTGCCCTGCTCCGTCCCGAGACAGCTTCGCTGACGCGGCCCGCAGCTACGAGTACCTCGCGCTCGTGGGCTCCTTTGTCCTCGTCGGCCTCGAGGCCATCATCCGTGTCCTGACGCTGGCACTGCGTGCGTGCACCCCGCCCAGCCGCACGTCCGCGACCCCGTGCTGACGCGCGCAGCTCCTTTCCTCGTCGAGCTCTTCTACCGCGCCTCGCGGCGCCTCTTCAACCGATACTCGACCCCCGAGCAGAAAAAGGCCGAGAACAGAAAGAAGTGTAGGTCCAGCCATCATCCCGTGGCAGCGGTCAGGCGCTGACACGCGCGCGCGCGCACACAGCCATATCCACCTCGATCCGTGACGCGACCGACTTTGTCGAGCTCTGCCGCATCTGGGGCTACGAGGCCGAGGAACACATCGTGCAGACCAAGGATGGCTTCCTGCTCGGCATCCACCGCCTGCAGTGGCGCAAGGGCGAGGAGGGCGCAAAGGTCAACTGCGGGCCGCGGAGCGTCAAGAAGCGCATCGCCTACCTGCACCACGGCCTGCTGATGAACTCGGAGGTCTGGGTGTGCCTGACGGACGAGCAGCGATGCCTGCCCTTTGAGCTGCTCGAGCGCGGATTCGACGTCTGGGTGCGTGCCCTGTTCTCTACTCTGCGACACGGGCTCCAGCTGACTCGTAGACGGCCTTTTAGTTTGGCAACAATCGCGGCAACAAGTACTCCAAAAAGTCGATCCACTGCAGCCCGACCTCGGTCCAGTTCTGGGACTTTTCCATGGACGAGTTCGCCTTCCACGACATCCCCGACACCATCGCCTACATCCTCGACACGACGGGTCAGGAGAGCCTGTCGTACATTGGCTTCTCGCAGGGCACGGCGCAGGCCTTTGCCACGCTGGCCATCCACCCCAAGCTCAACAACCAGGTCAATGTCTTCATCGGCCTCGCCCCTGCCATGGCGCCGGCCGGGCTCTCCAACGGCATCGTCGACTCGCTCGTCAAGGCGTCCCCGTCAGTGTTGTACCTCATGTTTGGTCGCCGCTCCATCCTCAGCTCGGCGACCATGTGGGAGACGCTCATGTACCCGCCCATCTTTAGCTGGCTCATCGACATGGGGCTAGCGTTCCTGTTCAAGTGGCGGACCGTCAATATTTCGGCCAGCCAGAAGCTGGCGGCGTACCCGCACCTGTACTCATTCACGAGCACCAAGAGCGTGGTGCACTGGTTCCAGATCATTCGCAACAAGTGTTTCCAGATGTACGACGACGACGTCCACCAGCCCATGAGCGTCACCACGTCGAGCAAGTACTCCAAGGTCGCCAAGTACCCGACGCGGAACATAAGAACGCCCGTCGTCTTGGTCTATGGCGGCAGCGACTCTCTGGTCGACATCAAGGCCATGCTGCGAGAGCTGCCGCCGCAGACGGTCGCGACGGAGATTCCCCACTACGAGCACCTCGACTTTCTGTGGGCGCGCGACGTGGACTCGCAGGTGTTCCAGCACGTCTTCGACGCCCTCGACAGCTTCACCGACGCCGAGCACACGGCCGAGGAGTACAACAGGTACTATCTGGTGCGCAGCGAGAGCCTCATCGGGTCGGGCTATTCGGGCGTGAACCACCGCGGTAGCGAGAGCGAGGCGTCGACGATTGCCGGCGACGGGCAGGCGCCTCACGAGATTCACCAGCACCTCGCAACGGAGCCCCGCCGAGGCGACGGACCGTCAATACCGGAGTCGGTGCAGAAGCCCGTCGAGGTGGACGGCGTACAGCCCCGCGACGCGGACGCGCAATCGGGGGAGAAACTCAAGGGCGTGGGCGTGCGTCGGGGAGCCGCCGCCGCCCCGCGGAATCCGGCTCTGGACAGCATCAACGAGGCCAGAGGCGTGCAAAGGGAAAGAGACGCTGTGAAGAACGGCGACGCGACGTACGCGGCGGTGGCGACTGAAGGGCCGACCGCGAAGGAGGAGACGAAGAAGCAACAATGACGATATCCTCGAGCGGCACGGATAGGAGCGCCGGGCAGAGGAGACGCATATATGCATGTACTGTACAAATTGCGCAAAGTATACTACCACATACATGAACCTTGTTTCCTCAATTGCTCCCCAAACAAATTTGGCAGCAGAGTATATGGAGTGTTTGCGGTCCACAGGCCCGGCCGGGATAAGCGAGCCGGGGGCCCGTGTCTCGGGTCGGGATACGTCAATCGCGGCGCCGCTTGTCTCGCCGGCGCCACGCGGGCCAGCGTTGCGCCGGCAGCCATCCGGAACGCAAAAAAACGGGAGCTGCCGCCACGGTGGGGGGCACAGCAGGCAGGCAACCATCAATTCACGGGCTGACGGCGTCGAGATCGAAGAGGCTGGTTTCTCGGGTGGCGCCGCTAAAAATAGGGCAAGTGAGTGCCGCGAAACTCTACCGCTAGTTAATATCATCCCCGGCCATATTACATTATATTACATTGTTAGAGAAGGGGGCGGCGCAGGGAAAGGGCGACGCGTCATGATTGGGGGAGGGGTTGTTGCTCTGCTCGTGTAAGTCGCGCCGAGTACGAGTGCATTGTGGCGTCGAGGCTGGCCTTTCAGCTCGTCTGCAGAATGACGACGACTCTGGTCCCTTTGCTCGCACCAGTCGAGGTGACAAGGTGAAGATGCGATTTGCGACGGTGAGGTGTGAGTCAGAACAGAGAAGGCAGTGTTCGGCAGCGGGTCAGATGTGAGATGTCTGATCCCACACCCGCAACTCTGTCTGTTCAGCCTCACGGCCATTGTGGGACAATGGCAGCGACCCTGTTCCTGGCACTTGCATCTTGGGATGCTGGCTGACAGGGTATAAGTTGGCTAGCAGTGTTTACGGCGATTGGGCCCCTTGCTTGCTGGGGAGTCTCCGCCGTCGTTATCTTCCACACTGTCCTGTTCTCCTGAAACGCACAGCCTTTGCGCACCGGCGCGATGGCAGGCAGCCCAGCGGTGCGCCGGTGGTAGTGGGCCGTGGGTAGAGTGAGCTTTTTGGCTTCTGGCATGTTCATGTTTTTTTGTTTCCGCATCTTTTCGTATTTCCTGCTACGTATTGCGGGTCGTCGTCCGGCAGGGATCCCGATCCGCTTTTTATTTTCGCCAGGTCTGCCCAACTCCGCCCCCGATGACGAGAGGGAGGAGCAAAGCGGGTTTGAGATCTCGTTTTGTTGTCCGCCCGAGACGCGCGGGTCGGTCGCCGATTGCGGGCTTTTCCCCCCGTCGTGTACATAATTCGTTGCTTCAGTATAAGCGCGCGACTTGTAGCGAGGCGACGTTGACGAGCAGCGCAAAGCATGGCAGACATCGCAGCGTATGAGATTGCTCTCCTGGCAAGTATCACGTTCTCGAGACTCTGGGCATGCAGCAGGGAGCTTTCGTTTTGGCGTGACAATATCTTGAACTTTTCGTATCGCGTCTCGTTCTGCGGCGGCTTCGCCTCCTCCCCGGAAGCCCGGGTGCAGGTGGGCCCCCCCGGTCCGCTCTCACCCATCTCACCCTCCCCATGTCATGCCAACCTGGAACGCAACCGCCCAACCCTTGCGGCCAGAAAAAAAAACACGGCGGGTGTTGAGCGATGCCTTGCACGTTCGTTCATACCGTGCTCGTGGTGGTGACCAGTTGGGTAGTCGCCGGGAAGAAGGTGGGTTGTGGCGTCCCCCCGGGCTCGGTCTCCGGCACGGAGCAAACACGGCGGCGCCGGGCCAGGCGCAACTCGAAACCCGATCGCGTGCTTTTTCCACGTCTACGTAAGCCCCCGAGCCCTTCGGGGATGGGACCCCCCCCCCCCATGCAATGAGTGCTGCTATTGAATGACCTGGCTGGCTACGAATCGGCGCCAGAGATGGCAGCAATGAATGTTGTGGTGCTGTCAGATCCGATCCTGTCTGATCGTTTGGCCGCCCTCCTCGTCGTCCTCCTCCTCCGACTCGCGCCCAATCCTCCCTCCAGGACTCGCCCACAATTTTCTCCATTCAATCTCCTTCTTGCTCTCACTGCTAGTGGCTTTTGACTTTTCTCTTTGTTGTTATTTTTGTTCATTGGTATTATATCTTGAATATCGTTCGTTTTTCCCCTTTTCACTCTCGTCGCGGCGTTTATCGTCAAAACCTTTGAACCCGCAACGGGGGCACATCGCACAGACAGACAGACCGGCAGACGAAAGACACTTCCCCCGAGTCGTGCCCGCGCGCATCCTTCACCATGGACGACTACCGGGGCGTCCCCGTGTCCGCCATCCCGCCCTCGGTCCTCAACGGCACCGTCCCGCCCTCGCGGTACTGCTTCGAGCACCCCGACTACGACGTGCTGTGCGACCACGTCGGCAGCTTCTACTCGTACCGCATCGACATCGCCGCCAACGCCGCCTTCCTCGGCCTCTTCGCCGCCTCGCTGCTGGGCTACGCGGCCGTCATCGTCGCCCGCCGCGGCCGCGGCCTGGCGTTCGGCCTCGCCATGATCCTCGGCCTCGTCTGCGAGGTCCTCGGCTACGCGGGGCGCGTCATGTCCTGGCGCAACCGCTGGGACGAGAACGGCTTCCTCATGCAGATTTGCTGCCTCACCATCGGGCCGGCCTTCATGGCGGCGGGCTTGTACCTGTGCCTGAGGCGCATCGTCACGGCGTTTGGGCCGGAGAACTCGCGTATCCCGCCCGAGTACTACACTCGCATTGTATGTTTCTCGCCTTTATACAAAGACGGTCCATATCTGATATCCTCCGCGCACAGTTCATCCCCTGCGACGTCGTCTCGCTCGTCCTCCAGGCCACCGGCGGCGGCATGGCCGCCGTCGCCTTCCACGGCAGCCGCTCCGCCACCACCGGCACCAACATCATGATCGCAGGCCTGAGCTTCCAGGTCTTTACGCTCCTGTGCTTCATCGCCGCGTCCGTCGACTTTGCGCTGCGCACCCACCGTCGCCAGCACCAGCACCAGCACCAGCTCGATGGCAACGCAACGCACCACGACCCGCGCCTCGTCCGCATGCGCCAGACGCTGCGCTTCCGCCTCTTCCTCGGCGCCCTCGCCCTCGCCACCTTCTGCATCCTCTGGCGCAGCGCCTTCCGCGTCGCGGAGCTGAGCGAGGGCTGGTCCGGCCCCATCATTGGCAAGCAGGGCCTCTTCATCGGCTTCGAGGGCGTCCTCATCGTCGTCGCCGTCTACGCCCTCAACATCTTCCACCCCGTGCTCTGCGCGCCCGAGCTGTTCGAGGTTGGCGGCGGGCTCAAGGGCGTGTGGGGCTTTAGGCGGAAGGGCGCCTCCAACGACGCCTCCGAAAGGGGGCACAAGGTTGAGGGCTCGGGCGAGTCGTCTGGGTAGTGGGCGGATATACCATAGAGAGAGAGAGACATGACAGTTATATACGGGGAGGTGCTTTGATACATAGACAGGCGTCACAATCACCACAATGCAATAGACCACAATTTGGAAAGAGTCTCAATTCGCAACTAACGCTCGTCGTGTGCCGTGTGCGACACGGCTTCACCAAGCTACGTCCACGGGCAAACTCGAGCCAACAGCCGTCATGGCTCGTACCGGCTCCGTCCTCTCGCGAGCAAGCTTTCATACAAGCCGCTCCTTTCCCGGATCCTCCAGATTACTCGAATGCCGTACACATCGCCCTCTATATAGGGCCAACGCAGCATCAAGGGGTATCTTGGGTTATTACGTGGTAGTGCCGCCAAAATGCAGGGCTGAAATGGAAGAGCAATGTGGCGCCCAAACGCCAAGTGGAAGATGTCTGGTCAGATACATCATCAAGCAGGACGTGGCTGGCACGCTGGCAAGGGGCGTCTAGCCGCGCTCCGGGATGAACCCGTCACCGTCGATCTGACGCTCTGCCGTCAGATGGTGACGTTGCCGAGCGGCAAGATCTTGGACTTGTCGCCCTGGAAGCGGGCCCGATACTCGACGATGCCCTGGCTGATTGTGTTGAAGTCTTTTACCTTGCGGTTCCGAAAGTCTGTCAGCAGCTCACGCAGGCCCGCTATGTACTGCTGCTTCTGCGCATCGTCAAAGTTTCCTGTGCCTCCCAGCTGGAGTAGGATCTGGTCGTCTGTGGTTGCGGCTCGTCAGACTCGACGTTGGCTCACAAGTCAGTACACCACGATGTCGGTGGTGCGTCACTCACCTGCTACCCGCATCGTCTCGAAATGCTGGAACTCGCACCTCTCGCCCCGAGGGCATGGTCTTCCAGCGAGCTGGTCAGGGCACACCTCTCTGCGCGCATCAATCTTATTGCTGTACGTTAGAGATCGGAGCCCACCGGCCACCGTCTGTCCGAACCCGGGATGGAACCGATACGAGTGGAAGTACTGCAATGGCGTTTCGTACGGTACAAAGGTCGAGCGTGCAGCGGACGGCGACGAGCTGACGGCATCGGGTTTGGCCTGATGCGACGTTAGATGTCCAGAATGTTGGTCGGCTGGAGGTGACAGTTCTACTTCTCTTGCCGCCTCGTTCGCGGTGCCGGGCTGGGCCGGCACGGCTTGTTCAACAGCCAAAGACGCGGGCGTCGCGTGCTGAATCTCCTCTGCTGAGGACACAATCGCTTGCTCCGCAGCACTGAGGCTCTGGCTGGGCGAGACTGCAGCCTGCGCCTTGGCGGCGCCAGCGTCGGGGGGCTCGTAGTCATCCGACTCATTGTCCGGGACGTCATCCGGGGATTCGCTTGCATCTGCCATGTCCACGTCGTGCTCGTCTTCTCCCATCCGAACGTCCTCTTTAGCCTCCTGCGCCGTCGCGCCCGTATCATCCCCAGATAGTTCGTCAATTCCGCTCGATTGTGCCACAGGCTGGGGCGCATCGACCGGCGCGCTGATCGCGGCTGATTGCTCGTCAATCAATGCTTGCACGTCGCTGCTGGAGACCGCAGACTCCTCGCTCATGGCACCGAACACATCTGTCTGGTTCGTGATTGCCTGCTGCGGCGACTGGACGGATCGTTTCTGAGCATCTACACGGACTGTCAGCCCGCCTGAGCTTGGATCGGCCTCCCGCAGCTCCTCTACACTCTGCTCGATGTTGACAACTGTTGAGCACCTACCGGCTAGGGGCGTGAACGTTGACGCAGACTGGTCGGGCTCCTGGTCTGATTCAGTCATAACCAAGTCCTCTTTGAGCCTCTCCTCCTCAGCCTTGCTCTCTTCAATCTCCTGCTCGATGGCGGCGATTTGCGCCTGCAACGTCTTCAACTTGAGAAGCTGCTCCCTACGGCGAGCCTCAAGAAGCGGAAGACGCTCGCTGGCCACACGAGAACGGCTACGCCGCTCAGATGCGGGCAAAGCAAACCCGGCGCCCTCAAATCGTGCAGTTCTGCCGGCAGGCATGGAAGCCGGCGACACATGCATCGCTGAGTCGCTGAGCGGAGTGCGGCTGCCGTTCGTGAGCTCGCCTCCTGTAACCGCCTCCACTGGTGTGCTCGACGACTCCACGCTGTCGCCGCGGGAGCTGCCGTTGTGTTGCGAGGCAGCGGGCGACGTGTGCCTGGAGCGCTTCGCCTTGCGCGCCTCTGCCTCTGCAATCTTGCGTTTCATGGCTTCGATTTTCTTGTTCATGCTGTCCAGATCCTCTCCACCGCTGCTGGTCCCTGAGTTCCTCGCCGGAGTCAAGGCCGATGCTGAACGACGGCTTGGAGCACCGCGGGTTGGGACGGGGAAGCCAGCCGGTTTGGTGGGGGCCGAATGCGGAGGGATGCCACTGCGCGGGACGGGTGACGCGACAATGCCAGGGGAGTCGATTTCCATCTCTGCATCGTCATTTTCGTCGTCCTCGTCGTCACTGACGTGGATCAAGAAAGGGCGCGACTCCCTATTCTGACCGAAAGGTCGATGGGACTCCTTTGCAGCCATGCGGGCCGTGCCGGGCGTCATTGAGCCAGACTGGCCAGCTTGATCCAGCAAAGCGGGAGTGGGAGTGGAGAGAAACAGCCCAGGAATCGACGACGGTGAGGGTTGGCCCGACATTTCTGCGGACTCGGGTGCTTGGGATGTGAATGATGAAGGGCCTCCGCTAATTGCTGCAGCAGCTGCGCCGTCATCCATGGTCACCTCCGTGCCTTGATGAGCGGCCGATGACACAGCTGATTCAGCCTGGTGAACGCGAGTCTGCGCCAGAGCCTCTCGCTGTTTCTTCAGCGCTTCCATCTTCTTCTGAAGCAGCTTAGACTTTTCAGACAGTTTCTTCATGGTTGCGGGTTGATTGTCCGCCAGTGGTGCAGCAGCTGACTTGGTTGACGGAGCTTTGGCCTTTGAGCCTTTCGCGGCCAGCAGTCTGGCTATCCGGTCCTTGCGTTCTTCGGACTTGTCCGTCGTTTTCGCAGCTGCTGCTGGAGCCAGTGCCATTTCTTTTCCCTTCCCACCCCCTCCACGAACAGATGCGGGCACTGGCAGGATCTGGCCGCCCGTTTTCGAATGGCTACTTGCCGCTGGGGTGGCTGGAAGCTCCAGGCCGAGGTCCTTGAAGAGGGCTTGCAATACGACGCTGTCAATGCCAGCGTCGAGGTAGTTGTGATACCGGACGTCGAGCGGCCAAAGGCGCAGGATTGCCTCTTGGGCTTGCTTCTTAATAGGCCCAAGCGCATCCGGCGCAGAAGACGCAGATGGAAAAGTGCGTGCAGGAGAGTTGCCTGGGAATGTCAGTCAGTGAACGTCGGGATGCGAGCCCGAACCGCTTACCTTGGAGTGCAGAGGAGGTTGAAGAGCTTGTGTGGTCAATTTCTCGGGGTGAAAGATGGGGAGAGTATGAGCCCGAACGTTCGCGGGCCGCGTGAATGTGGGCTTGCGGCTGATCCGTCGCTGCCGCAAGGCGCTCGCCTACGTTTGTACCACCGTACGGCCAGCTGGCAAGGGTCTCGTCATTTCCGACCTCGGGCGGTTCATACAAGTCCTCGACCTCTCCGTCACTGAGTTCGCCTTCCTCCGACCCACCATCTGCAGGGCCGCCCAGCTGTGCGGGTGCACTCGCACCTGTTGGCTCCGCATCGGCAGCTGTTCGCTGCGAGGTCGAGGGCGTGGCCGCCCAGCTGTTCTCCGTATGCTGGGCTTGCACCGGCCCGCTCGCGGCGTACCCAAGGCCCAGGCCGGGGATCGCGGTGCGGAGATAGTCGAAGGAAGACTGATTCCCATCTTCGGCGCTGTGGGCACTCGTCGACGCAGTTTGCTGGGCACGCTCAGCCAGATGCGGGTACATCTGGAGGCCAGGATAGGATCCCTGCGAATGCAAGCCCGAAGGCGCACCATATCCATGACCGTAGCTCATTGCGGCCAGACAAGACTCTGCCCAGCTGAGAGATCAAGGCCGATCCACGCCCCTGGCGGCGCGTCCAGATGGAGGAACGACGACACGGACTGTTCGACTTTGGTCGCGCCCTGTATTTTCCAATGCTCTGCGGCTATCGCAGCCTATCTGATCAACGCCTGGCGCTCGCGACAAACTCGGGGACATTACTCGGGACACTGGTGATGCGACAAATCGACGCCGGAGCCGACAGGTGGCGCTTGGACACTATCTGGGGAGACCAGATCGTGTCAGTCGCTGGTGTTCTGCGAGCCTTGCCGCTGCCGCAGGTGCCAGAGAGCGGCCGTCGTTTCGACAGATATAGAAGTGGGATGTCGTTCGTCTGCCAGACCTGACCGAAACTTGACCATCGGACAAAGTAGGGGAGGACGCCAAATTGTCGCCTGTTCAGGTTGCCATCCAATGGATTATGTACGCAGGCGCGCTAGCCCCGAACCTGCCTAGCCGGCCCTCGTCCGTTGCGCTTGGTGCAGGCGCGCGTTGAAGTCACGTGCACGCGTCTGTTTACTTGCGAGGGGTCGCTCCCCAGCAACGGCAAGGGAAGGCGCCGCCGGCAGCGACAGCGACACACCCGGCACGCGCGACTGCGACTCGTCGTGCCATCAATCCTGCACCTCTTTCCCCCGCCTCTCCTGCGTCATCGTGAACGAAGCGCTGGTGCTTCTCGTTGTTGATATTTTTCTTTCCATCACTCTCATAGCGTCGCGCACGCTTGGAGACGCTGTCACTTATAGCTCCATTGATTTGTTTACGCGCCACGCATGACGGGCTTAGCGCCGTTCACCTCTTCGAACCTCGACACGAACACTCGTCACCATTGATGAAGCCGTCGCGACATGGCTTTCAATGGTGGCTCGGCGCAGCGGCGCAATAATCCGTTCCAACGCAACTCCTCCCCCTCTCCCGGGCCCGTGCCCGTCGCCGCCGGCAGACCAAAGTCTGCCCTGTTCTCCTCACCTGTCTTGCAACCGTCAACTCCCACACCCGCCTCCGCTTCACATGCGAGATCTCAGTCCGGCAGCTCCTTTGGGCCGACCTTGGTCGCGCCCAGCAGTGGGCCGCGCCACCACCGTGCCGACTCGAAGAACGGCACCCCGACGTCCAACACTTTTGCTCCCTCTTTCATCAAGTCCGAGGACTTGAGGCGGAGTCAGGACGCCGTAAAGAGCATCGAAGGAGAAAACGATTTTTCCGGCAAACGCTATGTGTGGCTTAAGGATCCCCAAAGCGCCTTTGTCAAGGGCTGGGTGGTGGACGACCTGGGGGGGAACCGCCTACGAGTCCAGACGGACGATGGAACGGTCAGTCGCGCCATGCCCACGGTTGAGAAGCGCTAACATGGCGGCAGCAGCGCGAGGTCGATGCCGAGAGCGTCGACAAGGTCAACCCTGCCAAGTTCGACAAGGCAAACGATATGGCCGAATTGACCCATTTGAACGAGGCCTCCGTCGTCCACAACCTGCATATGAGGTACCAATCCGATCTGATATACACCTACTCTGGCCTTTTCCTCGTCACCGTCAACCCATATTGCCCGCTGCCCATCTACACCAATGAGTACATCAACATGTACCGGGGGCGGAGCCGCGAGGACACCAAGCCGCACATATACGCCATGGCCGACGAGGCATTTCGCAATCTGGTGGAGGAGGGACGGAACCAGAGCATCTTGGTCACCGGCGAGTCTGGCGCAGGAAAAACCGAGAACACGAAGAAAGTCATACAATACCTGGCCGCCGTCGCGCAATCGGATACTGCCACCAAGTCCAAGTCGCAGCACGCAAATCTCTCCCAGCAGATCCTGCGAGCCAACCCAATTCTAGAGGCATTTGGCAACGCTCAGACTGTCCGAAATAACAACTCGTCCAGATTCGGCAAGTTCATTCGCATCGAGTTCAATCGCAATGGCGCCATCACGGGAGCTTTCATCGATTGGTACCTCCTTGAGAAGTCGAGGGTGGTCCGCATCAACCCGCATGAGCGGAACTACCACGTCTTCTACCAGCTCCTCAAGGGTGCCGACTCCCGAGTCAAGAAAGAACTGCTGCTTGAAAGGCTGGATGTGGACGATTTTGCCTATACACGAAGCGGCCACGGAAGCATCGTGGGCGTCTCAGACCAGGATGAGTGGGACTCTCTCATGGAGGCCTTTAATGTCATGGGCTTTTCCGAGATGGAACAGCTCTCTATCCTCCGAACCGTTGCGGCAGTGCTCCACCTCGGAAACGTCGAGGTGGTCAAGGAGAGTCGAGCAGCTGATCAGGCCCGCCTCGCCCCGGAGTCAAAGGCACAAGTCGCCAAAGTCTGCAAGCTCCTCGGGGTCCCCCTGGAACCTTTCCTGCAGGGCCTTCTTCATCCCAAAGTAAAGGCAGGCAGAGAGTGGGTGGAGAAGGTCCAGACCCCTGAGCAGGTGCGTCTCGGTCTAGACGCCCTGTCCAAAGGCATCTACGAGCGTGGCTTTGGTGACCTTGTGACGCGTATCAACCGGCAGCTCGACCGAACCGGCATGGGCCTTGACGACTCGCACTTCATCGGCGTCCTCGACATTGCAGGTTTCGAGATTTTTGAGGAGAACAGCTTCGAGCAGCTCTGCATCAACTACACCAACGAGAAGCTGCAGCAGTTCTTCAATCACCACATGTTTGTGCTCGAGCAAGAGGAGTACGCCAGAGAGCAGATTGAGTGGCAGTTCATTGACTTTGGCCGTGACCTGCAGCCCACCATCGACCTCATTGAACTTCCAAATCCAATCGGCATCTTCTCATGCCTCGACGAAGACTGCGTCATGCCCAAGGCAACCGATAAATCCTTTACCGAGAAGCTCAACTCGCTCTGGGACAAAAAGTCATCCAAGTACCGTCCATCCCGGCTCGGACAGGGCTTCATCCTCACACACTACGCCGCAGAGGTAGAGTACTCCACGGAGAGTTGGCTGGAGAAGAACAAGGACCCGTTGAACGATAACATTACCCGGCTCCTCGCCTCTTCCACCGACAAACACATCGCCACGCTCTTTGCCGACTGTGCTGATACCGAAGAAGAGCTGGGCGGAGCCAGAAGCCGCGTGAAGAAAGGCCTCTTCCGCACGGTGGCCCAGCGACACAAGGAACAGCTTCACAACCTCATGACACAACTGCACTCTACCCACCCTCACTTTGTGCGATGCATTTTGCCTAACCACAAGAAGCGGCCGAAGCAATTTAACAACCTCCTAGTGCTCGATCAGCTCCGTTGCAACGGTGTGCTCGAGGGCATCCGCATCGCGCGGACGGGATTCCCCAACAGACTGCCCTTCGCCGAATTTCGCCAGCGATACGAGGTACTCTGCTCCAACATGCCCAAGGGCTACCTTGAGGGCCAGGCCGCTGCCTCCATCATGCTGGAGAAACTGGGCCTCGATAAGGCACTGTACCGCGTCGGCCTCACCAAGGTCTTCTTTAGGGCAGGAGTGCTCGCAGAGCTTGAGGAGCAGCGGGACGCCTTGATCACCGAAATTATGGCGCGCTTTCAGTCTGTCGCACGAGGCTTCGTTCAAAGACGAGCTGCCTACAAGAGGCTATTCCGCACCGAAGCGACGCACATAATTCAACGGAACTTCCACGTCTACCTGGATCTGGTGGAGAATCCTTGGTGGCAGCTCATTGTCAAGATGAAGCCGCTACTCGGCGCCACACGGACTGCTACAGAAGTCAAGAGGCGAGACGCGATGATCAAAGACCTGAACGACAAAATGCGGCTTGAGCTAGGCAACAGGCAGAGGCTGGAAGATGAGCGCAGAAACTGCCACGCTGAGTTGGCGCGGATCCAGCAGACCCTGGAGAGCGAACGCGCCTTGGCCCTGGACAAAGAGGAGATCTTCAAGCGACTGCAAAACCGCGAGGCTGAGCTCGAAGAGAAGCTTGCTGGCGCAATCGAGGACCAAGAGCGGCTGGAAGACCAACTTGACGATCTCATGGAGGCAAAAAATCGGGCTGAGCGGGACGTTGAAAAATTCCGCGCACAGCTCGAGCAGGCCGCAGGTCTCATCGCGAAACTCGAGGAGGAAAAGAGCCACCTTTCGGCCAAGGCCGCGGAGCTCGACAAAGCCATGGAAGAAGTCTCGCAACGACAGTCTGAGAGAAGCGAGAACGAGGCGGCGTTAGAGGATGAGATCAAGGTGCTGCAAAGCCAACTGGCTCTCAAAGACAGAAAGACGCATGATCTTGAGGCCAAGCTCTTGAAAGTCGACCAGGATCTCGAGGTCAAGCTGCATGCCACTCGCAAGGAGCTTGACTCGACCAAGCTTCGCGAGACACGGCTCTCTCAGGAGAATCGAAGTATCCAACAGCAGCTCTCTCAGCTGTCCAAGACTTCGACAGATTATGAAGACCTAGTGCGCAGCAAGGAGAGCGAGCTGGCTCTCCTTCGCAGCGACAAGAGAAAGTTCGAGGACGAACGGCGTGCGCTGAACGATCAAAAGAAGGTCCTGACGACTGAAAAGGACAGGGTCGCAAGCAAGTTCCGGGACGTCCAAGCCGAGCTCGACGCCATGAAGTCCAAGCAGACACAATTGGAACGGGAGGCTGCCGAGGCGAAGGCCCTGCTCGAAGCCCGGCTCTCAGAAGACGCGCAGGCGGATCAGAGCCGAAGTCGACTCGAAAATCAGATCCAAGCGCTCAAGGAAGAGCTTTACGACACCCAGAAGGACTTGAGCAGGGAGCGGCAATCGCGTGACGACGTGCAGCTGCTCAGTGAGCACAAGTACCAGGCCCTCAAGGAGGAGTTTGACACCCTCAACGAGTCCAAGATCATTATCGAAAAGGAGCTCTACGCGCAACAAGATACGCTGAGGCGTACCATGGAAGCGCGCACGGCAGTCGAAAAGGAGCGGGACGAGGCTCGCGACGAGATCCGCCGCCTGCGCGCGGCGAAGTCCCAGGCGGAGGAGGCGCGTCAACAGGCTGAGCTCGCCGGCGAGCGACAGGCTTCCAGGGCCGCGCGCGAACGGGAAGACAGCCTTCGCCGGGACCTCGACGCAGCTCAAGAACGCCTGCATTGGTACGAGGAGGAGTGTGGCAAACTGAATCACCAGATCGAGGACCTCAACAAGCTCATACTTTCTTCTGGAGAGTTCGGCCTCAAGAACGATCAGGCCAAGGAAAGAATGGAGCGCGAGCTCACCACCGTCAGGAGCCGGCTGGCAGCCTCCGAGAATGACAACCGTGCCCTCCTCAACAAGCTTCAACACAAGGGTCTAGAGATTGCCAGGTCTACTTCACGGGCAAACGAGGCTTCGCGAGGTCAGATTGTGTCACTGCAGCGCGAAAAGACGAGGCTGGAGGAGCAAAACGCCAAACTCAACAAGCAACTAGGCGACGCTCAGGTGGCTATCGCTTCGCTCGAAAAGAAAGCCGAGAAGCTCCAGCTCAACCTCGAGGACCTCAACCACGAGGTGGCCCGGGAAGTTCAATCCAGTAGGAATGCTGAAAAGGCCTCGTCCAATGTCACAGTCCAGCTCGCCGAGGCAAACCGGACGATTGAGTCGGAGCGCCAGCTTCGAACTCAGGCCCAAGCCACGGTGCGGACTCTCCAGGCCTCTGTCGACTCCCGGGACCAGGAGCTGGAGGACCTCCGAGGTCAGATTTTGGCCGCGTTGAAGACGGTGGATCCTGAGGTTCACATTCCGCCGCCCTCCGACGACAGCAAGCAAAAGGCATTCTTGCAAAATTTTGACCTGGTGCGGAAGGTGGAGGAGCTGCAACAAAACCTTCGCGTTCAGACGGCGGCCAGGGCGAACGCAGAGAACCAGCTCGCCGATCTGCGAGCCACTCGCTACGATACCCCTAGCCGGCCCAAGTTGGAGGAGATTAACCTTAACGAGGCTCCATTCAACGGGTCTCCGACCCAGCGGCGAACCGTCAAGATCAACAACCGTCGGCCTTCCAATACGACGACGCCGACTCGACGCCTACCGGAGGCAGAGCTTCATGAGTCTGCCAAATCTGACAAGACGGCCGACACAGTTGCGGTGAACAACCGCATGGACCTCAAGGCCGAGGTTGAAGAGCTCCAGAACCAGCTTCAACTGGCGCAGATGCAAAATCGACACCTCCAGAGTCAGCTTGATCGAAGCACGCCGGTCCCGGAGCCTGACCAGAGCCCTTCTCTTCGTCGGATGCAAAAGCTGGAGAAGGTCAACAGCCGTCTGCACGATATGCTGGACGACTCGGCCAAGAAGGTGTCCGCGCTCGAAAAGTCGATTCGAACCGGCGAGCTGTCTCTTCGAGACGTCCAGGCCCGTTCACACGAGGAAATCCTAGACGTGCTCTACAACCAGGAAGAGTCGCGCCGATCTCTCCTGCATAGCCATAAGGACGCTGTGGCAGAGTTGACGGACGTCAAGTCGCACTTTGACAAGATGCGCCACGAGCGGGCCAAGCTCGAGGTGGAGCTGCGCGACACCAAGTCTGATCTGCAGGAGATGACAGTGGCACGCGAGCAAGAGTCCCAGAGCCGAAGCCAGCTCCTGCAGGAGTACACCGACCTTCAAATCCGCCTAGACGCCGAGTCCTCCAAGCTTGCCGACGTCATGTCAGGTCTTGACATGTACAAGAGCCGAGCGGACGAGTACTTTGGCAAGCTCGAGCAGGCCGAGATTGCCGTCCTCAAGGCGAGCCGAGCGGAGCAGTTCGCCAAGTCACAGGCGAAGGAGGCCGACGACACGTACGCCGAGGTCATGGCGGAACGGCAGAAGATGGACGCCACCATCGAAGATCTTCAGCGCCAGAACCAAAGCCTCGAGGAGAGGATCGAAGACATTTCGACCGACCTCGAGTCTGTCACGCAGGCCAAGAGGAGGCTGCAGCACGAGCTGGAGGACTACCGAAATCAGCGGGCCATGGACATTGAAGACAAGGAGTCCAGCATGGAACAGACGCGCAAAAAGTACCAAGCTGAGTTTGCCACGCTTACGAAGGAGCTGGACCTCGCCCGAGAAGAGAAGTTGTACAAACAGTCCGAGATTGCCCGGCTCCGCGAGGAGCTCGACGAGCTGCGGTCCAAGTGGGACGACGAGGTGCTCAACAGCTCCACCTGGTCAAAGGAGAAGTCACGCCTGGAGGCGACGCTGGCGGATGTGGCATCCTCGCGAGACGAAGCGGTCAATGCCCACAACGACGCTCAGGGCAAGGTCGTCTCGTTGCTCTCTCAAGTGCGAGCGTTGCGGTCCTCGGTTGACGAGATCACGTCGGAACGGGACATTCTGCTCCGGGAGAAGCGAGGTGTCGAGGCCCGCCTGGAGGAGGCCAAGGCCGGTCTGGAGGAGCTGGCCAAGGGCGAGAACCCGTCGCTCCGAGACGCCGCGAGCATGGACAGGGAGGTACTTGATCTCAAGTCCAGCCTGGCCCACCAGGAGGACATTGCGGCGGCGGCGGTGGAGAAGATGCGGCGCGCCGAGTCGCTCGTGTCCGAGATCCAGAAGGACATTGCCACGGAGCGGGAGGCGAGCACGAGTCTTCAGAGGCAAAAGGTGTCACTGGAGAAGAGCCTGAACGAGGCGCAGCTCAAGCTCGTTGACCTCGAAACCAAGGGGTACTCGAGCGCCAGCCAGGACATCAAGTTCCTTCACAAGCGCATACAAGAGGCAAGTTCACCCACCCATCGCGCGAGACGCCGCGTCTAACAAGGAAGCAGCTCGAGTCGCAGCTAGAGGACCAGGAGTCGGAGCGGACAAAATCGCAACGGTCGGTCCGCAACGTGGACCGAGTGGTCAAGGATCTGCAGGGACAGGTGGAGCGCAAGGAGAAGCAGAACACGCAGCTGTCCGACGACGTGAACCGGATGCGCGACAAGGTGGACAAGCTCCTCAAGACGATTGACGAGCTGCAGGCATCCGAGTCGACGAACCAGCTGTCGGCGCGTCGCGCTGAACGCGAGCTCCGGGAGGAGAAGGAAAAAACGCTGCGGCTTGAGCGCGAGCTGGAGGGCTGGAAGGGGCTGCGGGTGGAGAAGGGGTCCGCAAGCTCGGTGGGCAGCCTCCGCAGCAGGATGGGTCCGTGGAAGGGGGGCGAAGGCGACGCGGGCTCGGCCGCGGACGTGCCGGAGAGGAAGAGCAGCCTGGGCAGGATGCCCAGCCTCACCAAGGGATTCATCTAATGTGGGAATTGCACGGTCGGTGGCGTTTGGCAAGGTAGTGCTGCGACTGAGGATTTGTATAGCAACGGTATCGGCATGGTCATTGCAGGCGGGTTGGACAGGATATTTTATGAGTTGCCCGGATTGTTATGCTTGGGCAGTGTGTCTGCTATATGGATGACTGTACATGATTATGATATGACTTGCGTTGGAGGTCAAGTACAAGTTGCGGCGGTGTTGTGTGCTTGCTACGACTTTGTGTCTGTGACTGGAGTGCTCGACATGATGCCCCAGATCAATGAACGGCCCAACCGAAAAGGCCAACCCCCTGACAGTACAATCTACTACTTACTTTGTAAGTGACGAGTTTTGTTCTCTTGAAAGACTTTGCGGATGTGCATTTCTTGTTCATTTTGCTCAAGTGACGATGAGTGTAGGGTAGTGTCGCGAAACGCAGCTCGACGCGACGCGACGAGACGCGACTAGTGTGACGAAGCACACACACAGGACGTCTGAGCCACCCGTCGTCGTCTGCGATATTCACATGGAATGAAGAGAATTATGCGATTAAAAAAAAAAAAACCAGCAGAAAACTTGCACTCTCACATGCCCAACAGCAAAGCCCGACAAAATAAAAAGGAAGCAAGTGTTACCGTATATGATCCTCACTCAGTCCAGTCCAGTGCCCATGCATGAATGAAGAACGGTGGTGGGTAAACGGATGGTGGAGACGGCCAAAAAAGAAAAAAATAGTAGGCGAAAACGGCAAAAGAAAGGGTCTGGCCGGGGATTGAACCCGGGACCTCTCGCAAGCTGTGCTTCAGGGTGGACCCTAAGCGAGAATCATACCACTAGACCACCAGACCGACCAAGCTAGGATCCGAAGATCCGAGCTTGTTCTTGTGTGATGGGACGTGATTTATTTCGTATTATACGCGGCACAGCAAACAACAAAACCACTAGGCCCCCTCAAAATCGCCCATGGGCCGGCCACCACCCACCGTCGAATGCAGCAGGAGCACATCGTGCGTCCCCTCGTTCCTGCCCCGCGAACGACTGACTGGCTAATTGCGGGGATTTCCATTGGTCGCGTGCGGATGTGGCAGAAGTTGTTAACCTCAGACGACGACATGGTCGGCTTGGTCAATTGCGCTGCGCCATACGCACTCTGGGGATTGCGCAGGCTCATTCATATCGCTGTTCAGACATTCTATTGTTACCGCACCCGGCCAAAGCTTTCGCTCACCAGAATGCACCATCCGTGAAAATGTAACATCGGTACACTGCGAGATGGCTGCGTCGCACACAGACAGCACAATCAACTCGGAGCCATGCACGATGAAAGTTTCGTTACGATGTTCATTCATTCCTCGTAATATAGTACAGTTCCTGCGCCTTCATACCCTATCCTCCGGCGGCACTTAGTTGGACGACCCGCGTCCGCCCTGGCCCACGTCGTCGCCCTGCTTCAGGCCCTGGCTCTGGCCGCCGCTGGCGTTCATGCCCGGCAGGCCGGCGCCCTGCTCCTTGAGGCCCTCGGGCATGGGCGCCGTCTTGTCTGCGCGGTCGACCTTTGTCGTCTGTGCAAGGCTTTGTGTCAGTGGCGGCTCAATTGAGGGATGTGAGAAGAGCTGCAGAGATGAGGTATTGGAGACTCACGTCGACCTTGCCGACGCCGTGGGCAATGTTGTGGCCCTCCTCCTCAAAGGGGCCGTTGTGGGCGTGCTCTCCGTCGCGAGGCATGGTGATGTCTTTTTTTGGTGGGGTGGGGGGATTGGTTTGGTGGTGCGCTAGCAACTGTGCTGCAGATTGTAGCAGGTAATTGATATAATGGTGCGAGGTATAGGTATTGAGAGTCAGACCAAAAGCGTCCAGGAACGAGACGACGAAGCAGACCTTTATATCGACCATCGGCGGCCGCACTCACCCCCGACTCGATCGGCATCAATCGATGGCCACGAAGCTTTCGGGGCAACCGACGTCATCGCAGCCGCCCGGTGACAAGCCATGGCGGGCAGAAGTGACCTCGGTGACCTCACTGTTGGAGCCGCGTGTGGGGAATGTCTCCAGCCATCGAGCCTTTTTCTCCACGCACATCTGACGGAGCAATTGCCCCGTGGACGCCGTGCTTGAGTCGGGGGACACCTTTCCTTGAGTCTTTTGACACTCGGCCGCTGTGGGGATTGGCAAAGGAGCAAAATGACGGTCACTACTAGTCCAAGGTTAGTATTGACGGTTCGTCACACGACGACGATGCTGCTGCTGCTGATGCCTTCCGCCCACCACCATGGTCTCGGGTGGTTCCGAGAACGGAGGCTAACGCCTAGAGCCCGTGATGTTAACGTCGAGGGTGCCCACCTATTGCTTCAGTCGACGAGGTATTGAAGGGGCCATGATGTAGCGGGCTCACGCGAGGCTATTCAACATATAAAAAGGACGGTTGAAATGCAGCACTTCACGGCCAGTCTCTCTCCATCTCGAGACAAATTATACGTGTGCCAGCCTCGTGGGAAGTTCGCCAATCCGCCAAAAGTATACAAGCACCCGTCAAGGCGTGGCCAAATGATGTTGGTCAAAGTAATGTAACGCCGAGGGGCCGGTAAGGCATTGTTCGTCCGAAGAGGCCTCCGTACAGTGTTACCTCGTCGACAAGTTCGCCGCATATCATGCACAATGACCCGTGACCACCGCTCCAGTTTCTACCTAGGCTGCCGCAACCAAAGCACATCCCCAACCAACAAGGCTTCCTTCGCCGCGCGCGCGCGCGTCTTCCATCTCGGCCCGCCCAGCGAACCTGCCCAAAATACCCTTTGCTTGCATCGCGTCGCGGCACGCCGCCGACGCCAAAATGCGCGCGCTCATTGAGGATTACGATGTCGCGCCGATGCCCGATGCATCGGCTCGCGGGGTCGACGTGACGGCGTCGTGGATCACGCCCAAGCATCTGAGCGCCGCGCACCGGGACGCCCTGGTGCGCGCCGTGTCCAACGTGCTGGCCACGGACGTGGCGGAATTCACGTACGCTGAGATAATCGACGGGCTGCCGACGGCTGAGTCCTTCACCGAGTTTCGGTCGTTTTATCCCGCGGAAGGCGAGCACCCCGCGTGTCACCACCATCGACTTTGCGAGGGCGCGTTGGAGGCGGCTCGCGAGGCGCGCGCAAGGTTCGACCCTCTCACGCTGCGGTTTGACCCTCAGGTAAGCGCGTCACTCAGAGAGGGGTAATCATTCTGGTCAGATCAGGTGGTAACGCAAGTCGTGGTGGTGGTGCAGGTTCTACAGGCGTTCCAGGATCAGCACGAGGGCTCGCGATCATTCTCCCTCCGGCTCGTCGAACTGGTCGCCGTGTCTCTCCATCAGATTGCCGTTCGGCTTTACGAAACCACCGAGAGTCCCCATCGCGCCGAGTACCAATCGTGGTGGGAATCGTGGAGGGAGAGGCACAAGGACGCCGTGGGCATCGGCCAGGTTTACGCCATTTCCTTCCCGCCCGTTCCGTTCTTCCACTGTAGTTACCATCGGCCCTTTGACCAATTCCCACGAGGCAAGGCCGATATCGTCGGCTACTGGGCCGAGGCGAAGATCCTAGGGGGCGTGGCTCTGTTCAACCGTGGGCCCTCGGAGCTCGAGGTATGCCTTCTCTGTGGCCATAGCGCACACTTCCCAAGCTAATCTCAGTCGACAGTGCAACGAGCTTTTGATACATGGAAACTTGAGGATGGGGCCCCATACAATCTACCCGCCCACGGCCGAACAATGGGATGCCCTCGTCGCCTTCCTGAGCTGGGATGCGACGGCAGCCCCGATGCACAACAACGACGCGCCGCCACCATGCCCTCTCCCGCTGCACGCCACGCGCGACAACCTCCCCCGCTACACGCCCTACTTTGCCATGAAGTACCAGCACATATTCCGCGACCGCTTCGCGTTCCGCCTGCCCACGCGGTACGAGCCTCCCACCGGCCGTTGCGTCCAAGGTCCGACCGACGTGAGCTATCCCGAGTGCGAGGACTGGGTTTGGATCATCCTTAGCATGGGACAGCAGGCGGGAGGAGAGGCCATCGACGAGGAAGAAATGGAGCGGAGGAAGAATGTGCTCCGCGCGTGTCAGCCGGGTAATCCGTATTCGTATGCGCCGTGGCCCGAGGAGATTCTCGAGGGTGAGGGAATGAACCGGGACGGGTCGGGGGCGGTTAATCAGAGTTATACTTGGTGAAAGCAGGCCGGATGAGATCCAAAACCATGCCGTGTCGGCTTTTTCACATGTCGGTTTGACGCCACTGGGAGAGACATGTTGATTACTGTCACAAACAATGACTAGAATTACTCGCGTGCTTTCGTCCTACATGGCCAGCTTGGTAGAAACGCCAACAGTCCGCATACATGGCCAGAATCAGCGACAAATTCCGCTCACAACCTCATGCCCCCGGAACCGTCGTGAAGTTCACATGCGGCGCCGTAGGTGCCCTGCGAAGCTCCTCGATATCCAAAGAGTACATGGGGTCCAACCGGCGGGCTTGCATCCGCCGGACGCTCGCCGGCGTAACGCTCGGCATGTCGAGCGAGCTGGCGTATCTGCCGACGCTGACAAGACCTCTCCACTTCCATTCTGCTGCAGAGATCGGGGTCGCGTGCACGGGGAAAGGGAACGCAAATCCTGCGAGCGCCAGACGTTAGAGCGGTGTTCACTCGACAAGGTGGGCTATAAAGCTTAGGGTCCATGTAGGAAAACTCACTCCGTGGGCTCGCGAAGAACTGATCGATGGTGCTGCGCCGAATCTGAAAGGCTACGTCACTTGAATTGATGAGATATGGTATGCCGGTCTACAACAGGCACAAAGTCAGAGCCGGACACGCTGCAGACGAGGGGTCTGCCAGACATTGATATCAGGGCATCTGGTGACTTACCTGCATACGGTCATCATTGTCGTCCCAAATGAACTCGAGCGATCCGCCGTATAGGGCGTTCTCCAACCACCGCCCACTCTCGAAGCCAGGCATTGTCTGCTTAGTCTCGGCATCAAGATACGATGAGTAGTCGAGGTGGGTGATTCCCTCGGGGGTGTCTGGCGACTTGCCTCTAGTGAGGTAGCACACGAAGAGGTGGGCCAGCTCGTGCAGCGTGGCACACGCAAACATGAACAGAGAGGTCCGCCAGCGCTGCAAGTATCGCTGGGCCACGGGCGCCTTTGCCTTGCTGGCCCAGACGTACGTGTCGTGGGCAACGACCATGCTGTGCACCCTCTGCGGCCGAGTCAGTGCGGTTCAGCAATTCGCAGCGGTTACCGCATTGTAATACTGATGCTTCGTCCTTACCGAAGAGTTGAAGAAGATGCCCCCCGCCGCTTTGCCTGTAAACGCATCGTAGGAGCCCTGCCACCAGTCCTGCTTCGCCGTCATGGCAAGCGCGTCCGGGGTATGGAGTTTCGTCGAGCCAATTATCACTTCGGGAAAATCCGCGCGGATGCTCTGCAGGAAATGGTTGACGTGCCAGTCCATGTGGGTGGAGTGTGAGGCACAACGCGCCGCCTTCTGCGCGGCGCTGGCGGTCGGATGGGCTCGGAACTCGTCCACGAGCCTTCCCAGAGATGCAAACGCCGCGCGACCTTGCGGTGTCTCTGCCATTTCGAGGCCTAGGCTTAGAGCGACGGCCATGGACTCGAAGTGCTCCGTGTCTGGGTGTAGAGGCTCTGCAAGGGGCGAGGCGCTGGTCTTGAGGGCCATGCGCAGGCGGTGGAGGCCGTTTGAGCTGACCTGGTAAGGGCCAGGAGGCAGAGGGAGCAGAACAGGTTGTGGAATAAGCATGATATACTACGCTAAGAGGAGTCTGAAGGAAAATATTGCAAGTGTCGCGTGTCTGATATGTCCAATGATGTAGGATCATCTCACGGCCACCACCTATATAGTCTACTTGGACTTGATGCGAGACTCCTTTGTGAACGAGCATTGTCACTTGATAACCGGCTATCTAGTAGTTGGCGAACAGGAAAGGACATTTAACTGCGACCCTTTGGATGGCATCGAGAGCCCTGTGTGTAAGATCATGACTGAGAGTACGTCGGTCGGGTTCTGGGGAGGCCAGCGCGCATCACGAAGGGATTGCCAGCGACAACATGGCAAATGCGGGTGAGTAGGCGTGTCCAAATTATCAGCGAATTTCTCATCACACACAATAACCTTAAGCGCCAAACCTTTCACGTCTGTTGTCGCTAAGTCGAGCATATCGCTCACTAGGGTGGAAGCCACGGCCGTCGGCGGCCAACAACGGTGATTCACGCCCAAGGCGGCCGATGAAACGACAGGCCGCGTCGGAGAGACGAACGACGTATGGCATCATACACTTAATGACCGGCGACTGAGGTTGGATGACACTCGGAAAACTACTGATGTAGGGTGCTTTCGCGGACCACATGCTTCGCAAGAGGTGCAACACCACCAAGGTCGCACGTACAAAACATGGGCAGTCATCCTCGATGCCCCGCACTGCTTCTTCGCTCAGGCACACGATCAACCAACATACATCTCCACGATTTTGACGCTGCAGTATTGGGAACAAAGCGCCATCTCAGGCCTGGCCTTCGCACCGCATCCATCGAGACCCCACAACCTCTATCAACGACGATGACGATGTGGGCGCGCGTCGACCTGACCGCTCCGCCTCTTCCCAATCCAGCGGCCAGCGGGCCGGACGTCACGGCATCGTGGATTTCGCCCGAGAACCTCGACGGCGACCACCTCGCAGCGCTCACACGGGCACTCTCCAACGTGCTGTCGACGGATCGTGCCGAGTATACGTACGCTCAGCTAATCGACGGTCTGCCGACCAGGGACTCGGAGCTGGAACTGCGGTCGTTCTATCCCGCCGAGGAGCAACATCCCGTCTACAAGCACGAGAAGCTATGTGACGGCGCACGGGAAACGGCACGACGTCTTCGATCACAGCTGAGTCTCTCGGACCTACGGTTTGATCCACTTGTGAGTTGCGTCGCGGCCGGCCAACACGCAATATGCCTTCCGTCTAACCCTGGTTCTCTACGCTTGTGCCATAGGCGCTACAGGGATATCAAGATGCCTCACCGCAGTCGCGCAACTTCCTTCTACGGCTCTTCGAGCTCGTGGCAATTTCCATACACCAAGTGGCAGTGCGGTCATTTGAGATGGACGAGGGGCGCCACCGCGAAGAGTACCTGCAATGGTGGGAATCCTGGCGCGAACGCCATCGGCACGCGGAAGGGATCGAACAATGGCACGCCGTTGCGTTTCCTCCCGTGCCATTCTATCACACACAGTACCAGTGCTTCGATCAGTATCCAAAAGGAAAGGCATACATGGTTGGGTACTGGGCCGAGGCCAAGATTCTCGGCGGCGTTGCTTGGTTTGACCGCGGAGCGTCAGATCTCGAGGTTCCCACCCGTCGATGTCACTGCCACGCACTTTGCCATACTAACGCAGAAATGCAGTGCAATGACATTTCTCTCCACGGAGACTTCATAGATGAGCCAAAGACACTATGCCCACTCACAGCAGCCCAGTGGGACGCCGTCGTTACCTTCCTGACAGCCGACCTGGCCACCGGGTCTCCGCCCGCCAGCCCCTTTCCGCTACACGCGACGGCCCAGAACCTCCCGCGCTACACACCATACTTTGCCGTGAAATACCAGCACATATTCCGCAACAGGTTCGACCTGAAGCTACCAGGGCGCTACGAGCGGCCGCACCCGCGGGCAGTGTCCGCGGTCGACTACCCGGAGAAGGCGGACCACGAGTGGGTGGTGGAGCATTCGCTGCACAAGACGTTTGGCCGGCCGATTGACGAGGAGGAGATGGAGCGCAGGTTGGACGTCTTGCGGAGGTGCCAGCCTGGTAACCCGTACTCGATGGCGCCTTTGCCGGAGGAGATTGCTAGGGGGGAGGGCGAGGAGGACCAAGGTTTGTAGTGGCGCGGAGCATCGTCCGGGGGACGGGGCCGGCTGGGGCATTCTGAACAGGCAAACGGACGACGAAGTCCCCTAAACAGAAAGAATAAATTGCACTACACTTTCTGAATGGCCTGTGGCCAGCTATTGAACGCCTGTAACAATAGTAGCTCGCCTACTGTATCTCGCCCTGCCCGCCTCCCCTTCCCTGCTCACTCTTCCGCACCGTCACCTTCTCCTGCGATACCTCTTCACTGCGCCTTCCATCGCTCTACACCACCAACCATCATCCCATCGAGATATCGTCCCGTCCCCTTGCGGCGTCTTTCATCTCTTCAGGGCCTAGTTCATCTCGCCATAGAGCATCAGATCAGACCAGAGATAGCGTTGATTTCATCGCCCCCTTACCGTAAGTACGTTTCCTATCCAGTCCCGGTCCCTTCATCCCCTAAATCCTCATTCGTCCGCGCTTGGCATATACCTCCTTCTCTCTCTTGTCTGCCTTTGCACGGACCTAGCTCTCGTCTCACCTCGGGCAAGAGAGATCGAAGAGCGCGTTTTATATAGAGACTGACCTGGTCGGCAAGAACCCATCAGACGAAGCGATGGCAGTCACCACTCAATCGAACGAGTGCGGCGTCAAGCCAACCACCACCACCACTAATGCCCCTGAACGAGCAGCCAAAGGAGACGAAAGCGACCAGAAGGACGAAAGTAGTCAGGCAGCATCCGAGCCAGATGAAACCGACGAGAGCGACAACTCGTCGTCGGCGGCGGTACCACCCGCCGCCGTCCAAATCAACGACACCCCCAGCGCAGTCGCCAGGGCCCTCAAGACGTACGCCCAGTCTCCCTCGGCCCGGTGCCCCCCCGCGCCCGTCATCCGGGTCGGCAGCCGCCACCTCATGGACCTCGAGCCCAAGGTCGAACAGCTCCGCGCCAGCGTCCTCAGCTCGCTCGATGCCTTTGCCAGCCGCGAGAGGAACCTGCGCAGGGCGGGCGAGCAGCTGGGGTTGGTGAAGCCGCCTCGCGGGGGAAGAGCGGGCGCTGCCGCCGCGGCGCCCAAGGGCAAGAAGCGCGCTCGCGACGACGACGACGACGACAACGACGACGACGACGATAAAGACGAGCCGCAGCAGTATCCGGCTGCGAAGAAGCGCCGCACCAACAACGGCAACGCCGTCGAGCCCCAGACCCAGCAGCAGCAGACCCTCTCCCTGCCCCTGCCCCTCCCCCTACCCCCAAACACCTTCTTCGCGCAGCGGCTCGACACGGCGCGCGCGACCATCGAGACGACGCGCCGGCTCAGGCGCCCCGACCGGGAGCAGTACTACGAGCGGTGCGGCCAGCACCTCGCGCTGGTGGAGGACCTGCTCGGTGCGGCGTGGAACAGCCTGTGCGGGAGCCTCGGCCTGGCGTGGTACACGCTGGGCCCGATCCCCGGCGACGTGGTGTGGGAGCGCAGCATCGGGGTGCTGTTCGAGGTGGTGCGGCGCGTGAAGGCGCGGGAGGAGGAGGAGGAGGAGGAGCGGGAGCAGGGGGAGAGAGAGGAGGAGCAGCAGCAGCAGCAGCAGCAATAGAGGCGCGTGGAGGTGTTGAATGGAGACGCGGGCCGTGGGTCCTGGATGGGAGGTGCGCCTATTGCGTACGTACGGGAGTTGAGGAAGGGGGGCCTATAGTCACCCGGGCCTTAGTCTTGACGATAGTTGCGGCTCAAGAACAAGAACACTCACAAGCATACATGATCATTTTCGTCACGTTCGTCATGTATGTATATATCCACTCGCAGAGCCATCTCCACAGGTATAATGGTGTCCCCCCTGACTGGGCCACCGTTCCATCAGCTACCTCCCCTCAGTCATCGCTCATCCAGCCCCTTCCACCTCACCTCTTCAGTCCAACGCGCCAGCCAGAGCCACCGCGCTAAACCGCAAGTCGCCGCCCTCCCTCTCCAGGAACTTGAGCGGGCCGAGACTCAGCCCGCGGGCGCTCAGCACGTCTTCGTCCTTGTCGAGCTCGCCCCTGCGGATGGGGCCCTTGCGGCGGCCGTCGAGCTCCCACAGCGCGCCGTCGGCGCCCTTAGCGAAGCACACGTAGTGCAGGTCCACGTCGTCGCGCGCGTCCGGGGCGGGCGTGTCGCCGGCGGATGCGGCCTCCTTGTGCGCGGCGGCGAGGGCGGGGGTGCGCTCCAGGAGGGCGGAGCGCTCGCGGGGAGGGAGCGGGATGGATTCGCGGAGGAGCTTGTCGAGGGTCGAGTCTTGCTCTGCGGCGTTTGTCAGTCGTCAGCACCGGTTTACTACCCTCTTGTGTGTCGTCCAAGGGGGAGGGGGGGTGTCTCTTCTGAAGGTCGGGGAGGAGGGGCCGGGATGGCTTACCGATGAACTCGCGCGCCGGGCCGTTGGACACGGCATGCAGCAGCCCCATCATGCCGCACGCGTTGCGTATAGTCTGCCTCCACCACACGACGGGCTCGCCCTCGCCCTTGCCCTTGTACTCGTCGGCGATGGCGTCCTCGGCCATGCGGTGGCTCTCGTACGCGGCGCTGACGGGGAAGACGAGCAGCAGCGCGAGGGCGGGCCGGGGGATAAAGGCCAGCAGGTCCGGGTCCGTCAGGGAGTAGACGTCGTGCAGGGCGAGGGCGGGGGACACGCCGAGGCGGTGCGCCAGCGACGTCATGAGCTGCGGGTTGGCCTCGAGGGGGATGAAGGCCGGGGCGCTCTGGTCCGGGTCGGGGTTGATTGTCGCTGACATGGCGGGTGGCTTCGCTGCTGTTTGTTTCTCTCTTTACTTCTCTTCCCACGAGGGAAAGGGGATGTGCGTGCTCGGGTCTTTGTTCGTTCTCTGGCAGTGGCCGGGTTGTAGGTGACGCGTGAGGTCTGCGGACTGACTGGTGTGTGGTGTTGTTGATGGATGGACGTCGGGAGCTTTGGTAAGCTGCCGAGAGCTGCTACGTAATTAAGGTATACACTACAGAGGGGTTTCGGCAGTGGCGGGGTGGGTGGGTCGCGCCTGTCACAAGCTGGAAGGCGCGCGCAATGACGTTGACTGACAGCTCGGATAGACAGCTTCACCTGACAGCTCGAACAGGCCACTTGTGTCTGAGAGTCGGGACGACGAGTTTGCTACATGAGCCCCATAAATCCCCTGTTGTCTAGGCAAAATAATACAATGTTGAAATCCTCTCCGACTCATTGTGATTGGATTATTAGTACAAGTCAATGAAAATGCCCGCGGCTTGGGAGCGAGCCACCCCCATCAAAGCGCAAAGACAAAGAAAACGCCCTCCGTTTCGGAGCAGAACACTACCACAGATGGCAAACCCCTTTTGGTATCCCGAGTCACAGACAGACTACGCCCTTCCCTCTCGCGTGTTTCCCAGCGTACATTGCTTTCCACGGCCAGCCTGCCGCGCCGTCATCCCATTCTCTCCGGGTCAAGCCCGACCGTGTGCTGTAAAAAGGCCCTGGCAGGCTCGTAGACCGTGGTAAGAAAGAGAAGCGGCCACGCAGACCAGGATCTTCTGTCGTCCCAGCGATGGCTGTAAACCCGTCGCGGTGCCGTCGGCTTAAGCCTTGCGGGGACGGCCGCGGCGTGGCTTCACCGGCTCCTCATCCTCAACCTTGGCTGCCGCCGTCTTCGACTTGCGTCTTCCCGCCGTCTTCTTGGGCGCGGCCTCGGCCTCGGACGCGGACTGAGTGCCCTCGTCCTCGGTCTCTTCCTTGACCGTAGCCTTGGACGTCCTGCGGGCCTTCTTGGCGGCCGGTTTGGTGTCGGTGGCAGCGGCAGCCTTGGTGGCCTTGGATCTGGCCTTCTTGACGGGCTTCTCTTCCTCCTCGGAAACCTCCTCCTCGTCGCTCTCGGGGGCCGCCTTCTTGCCGGCCTTGCCGCGGACCGGCTTGGTTGGGGCAGCCGCAGACTTTCCTCCCTTGGCTGTTTTGCCGGCTGCCTTGGCCGTCTTGGACTTCTTGGGAGCGGGCTCGTCCTCGTCGTCGTCGTCGTCAGCCTTCTTGCGACCACGCTTGGCCGTCTTCTTCTTGCGCGGCGCCTCCTCGTCAGAGTCACCCTGTGATACGTAAGCATGAGGGCTTTCACGTCGAATGAACACTTTGACACACCTCGGCGGCGGCAGCAGCGGCTTCCTTGTCCAGCTTCTCCCTCTGCTTGGCGGTGAGGCGAATGCCCTTTTCGCCTGGCTTGTTCTTCTCAGGGTCCTGGTGACGTTGGAGGTCAGCCAAAATGAGTACACGATGGTATTGAGCAGGGGTCCATACGCCCTTGAAGTCCTCGGGGTCAATGTGGCCCTGCTTGACGCAGCGGCGAATCTTTTCCTGGATCTCGGGATGGTCGCTGCGAGGCCCAGTTAGAGTGGATGAGGGCAAAGCAGAGGATGGATAAGGGAAGCTTACTTCAACTCATCGTAGCCGTCGATGGCGTCAAAGTCGTACGAGCCGTCGTCCTGCCTGCAGGCATCCTGGATGCTAACCAGCTGAAAGCCCGAGATGCAGCCCCTGCACGACCTGTGTCAGAACAAGACCAGAGGTGCCAGAATTTTGCGGACGGGTTTCCGTCCTCACCAGTGCTTCCACGCCCAGCTGCCGTGCTCGTCGATCTCGACCCAGCTGCCGCAGCGGATTTCTCCCTTGGTAATCTTCTCCTTGGTGGCCTTGCAGACCGAGTCCTTGCAGCCAGCCCGGTTGTTGGGCGAGATTTCTGTGCGCCTGAGGTCAGCATATCGCGAGCTGGTGTTGACGACGTGACAGCTGCAGGTGAACGCCCGAGGCAGGCAGGTAGGCAGGCAGGCAAGCCACCAGAGCAGAGATAGAGTGAAGCAGACATACCAATTCGATACGGCATGGCGACGAGGTATCAAGCAAAGAGCTGGCAGAGAGAAAACTGCAAATGTAGATGGCGTGGAGTCGAAGCTGATCCCAGCTCGTGCGCGTGGTTGTGTCGGACAGCTAGCGTCGAGCTGCAGCTTGAGCTCCAAGCTCTCCAGGCACCACGCCACAAGAGACGCGACGCTTGGTTCGATCGACCAAGTGTGTGAGCACAAGCACGCGTCCCAAACCCTCGTCGATGGCAAACCAAATGAGAGGCTCGAGTCTGCGCTGGCGTAGGTGGAGGTGAGACGAGAGGTTGAGGATGATGGGCTGGAATGAAAGTTGAGGATGGGGTGTTTGGTGGCAGAGCGCAGTCGACCGAGGACAAGACAAAGGACAGCACAGTCTGTTGGGTGCCTGAGCCCACCTGCAGGCTGCCAGTGACGGCTGAGGTGGTGGCCGTGCAATTGGGGGCGTCGCGCAGGCCCCTCCCAGCGGGCAAGTCTGGTGGGACTAGGTACCGGACTGGGGGGGACTCTGCTGACTTCAGGCGGCAAACAGGTGCGCGGCAGCGCCGCACAGCACCTCGCAGCGCTGAAGCAGCCCGTAGCACGGCGGACATGTCTGACGGGAGGCGCTGCAAGTCCGCGCAGTCCTTCCACGTTGGCCCCATCGATCGCGTCGCCAGGCGCGTCTCCCAGGTGTGGCCGGCGCGTTGCCGCTCCCAGTCCGCCAGGCAATTTGCACTGCAGGCCACTCAATCCCAACCTATGGATCCCATTATCGCGCGTTTGCCATTTCACCGCAACCAATTGATCCTTGGACATGAGTTCTCGGCTCGCTCTTCTGTGACTTGCCCGGTTACCCGCGCCATCGCGAGAGGACGCGACCATCTGCCGTCGCTGTCACACCGGTACAGGTAGTCATCGAAGTCGCCGCCTCTTCATTCATGCCAGGCATCTTTCGTCTACTTGCTACGTTACAAAAACGGGCACCACCCGAGATACATGGCCGTCAGGTTGCGCGGGTCCACCGCCTGCTTGATCAACTCGTCCACCTGTCCCTCGACGCTGAGCGGGATGCTCTCGTTGGGCAGTAGCCCTCGCACCTTTCTGCGGATGCTGTCCACCACGCTCTGTGGCTGGAGCCGCACCCCCGTGTCGCTTCGCTTCGACGCCCGCTTCTCTCGCTGCAGGTCCAGCGTGGGGTCGTAGATGAAAGCCTCGAGGATCGTCATCAGCGTCTCCTCCTGTTGCCGGAGGATGCTCAGCGTCAGTTCCGATGACTTCCTAAACGGCCCCTCGTAGCCGTAGATGCCCATCGCTGCCACCATGTTGTGCGTGAGCCTGAACGGAACCCGCTCCGGTGTCGCAAACGTTCGGCCCTTGTCGAAGAGGCAGTTGAAGTCGACGTGGAATACGCCGCCATTGCCCTCCTCCAGGTTGACGTTCTCCGTGTGTCGGTCGCCCAGCCCCAGTATCGTGCCCACCATGGACATGACGGCGCACGACCGCGTGTACTTGAGCCGCGCCGCGAACCACGCCGAGGGGTTCGGGAATTGCTGGATGAACCACGTCGGCAGCACCGGCGGGAACCGCCCGAGCACGTCGTCCGTGAAGAGCCGGATCTTGCTCTCCGAGCTCGCCGCCTCTTGCATCAGGTGCTTGACCGCGTTGTAGTCGATGTGAATCTTTTGCGCCGCGTACAGGTTCAGGAGGATGTCGCGCATCGTCTTGATGCCCGGAACCCACTCGATGATGCCGCACTCCTCGTTCAGCGGCACCACGGCGTACGTGCGAATGTACAGTTGCCGCCGGCTGGACTCGGCGTCTCGCTTCAGTGACCTATTGATGATGCCGTTGAATTCCATCAGGCGCTGGTCCGTCCGCAGGTCGTCCTTTGGCTTGAGCAAGAGCATGTAGTTCTTGCCGTCCGTGCCACGAGCCGTTATGCGCTTGGGACGCTGCATGGAGCTCAGCACCAGAACGTCGTCGAGGAAGCAGTCGATAGTCACGACGTCACGCGAGAACGCCTTGTGCTTCTTGACCTGCTCCGAGACGGCGGGGAGGGTCGCCGTGAGGCAGCTCTCGACCGGCACGACAAGGGGGCATGGAGTGCACTTGTGTTGGAACCGAAGATCGCGCGTGAGGCTCGCGTGGACGGCCTTGCTGCCTTGGAATTCGCCGATCTGGCACGTGAGGAGCAGCTGCTCTGCCAGCTTCTCCCCGGCTCTGATCAACTGCTTCAGATCGTAAGAGCCCCCTTCCACTTTTCTCGATATGGTTCGGAGCGTCTGCAGAATCTGCGCACCGCGAGCTCTCCGCTCCGACGCCTGTCGCGTTGTGATTATGCCCATCAGGCTCCAAAGTGCCTGTCGTGGGTGGGCTTCCACGACCTTGACAATGATGTGTGTGAGCCGGTCAAAGACGCTTGGGTTTGGGTGGGCAATGCGGGCCACCAGCTGCGGCAGCGCCGTGTAAAAGATGTACGCAGGCAACCGGTGGATGTACTTGTCCAGGAATGCGTGCAGAAGATTCAGCTGCTCGACGCGTCTCCTGTGCAGTTCTCGAGAGAGCGACGTCTTGCCTTCCGGTGGCTTGTCTGTTTGAGCGCCGAGATCCAGCCACAGAGTGAGGATTCTCGGCAGCGTCTGGTAGAGATATTTCGTGCCCGAGTTGAGGGACCTGAGGTAGTTCTCGATGACAAGCCTTGCTATCTCACCTGACAGATAGTTGTCGGTCTGCTCGTCGGCCTTGAGAGACTGCTCGGCCTCGAGAACCTTTTTGTAGTGGCGGCCAAGGTAGTAGTGGCCCTTCTCCCACGTGGTGTGCGTCTTCGGCGGCTGCTGGTACTTTTCTCGTAGAGCGCCGGCATACGACTGTCCAGCGGCGTCAAGCCACTTGGCGAGCAGCAGCTGAGCCCGGGCAGTCACCATCTTTTGCTGCGGAGTCAGTTTTCCTGTGCCCGCGGCGCTGACGCTTGCCGAAACACCGGTTTGCGTCATGAGCTTGTTGCGTTCGATTGCGCCCTGAAGCATCTGAATCGCTTTCCGATGGTGCTTGTCTCGCCACAACAGCTTGGCATTCTCAATGGTAGCTGCGTCGTCGCCGAGTTGTGAGGCGTGCACAACCGCGTTGAAAGATTGATGCAGCGAGTTGGTCTTCCGAGCGAGCCTGGCGCTGGCTAGCCACAAGGACGAGATGTCCATGGGGCCAAAGTTTGGACTGCCTAATCAGCCTATGTCGGCATGGGACGCAGTACCGGGAACTTACCGCGTCAGCTCCATCGCAGCTCTCCTGATACCCAGGAGGTATTGCTTGTCGCTAAAGTACGCGCCTATTACTTCGAGACGGCCATCCAAGAGACCCATCGTTTTCCGCCGCTCGGTTTCCTCGCCCGAAATGGCCCCAACGATGATCTCCAGATCAGTCAGTACGTGGCATCTTAGCAGAAGCTCGTGCGCGGCTTGCAGTGATGCCGTCGCTGATGTCGTCATTTCCAAGGCGATCTTGTCTCTCAAGCTCCGAACAGTCCTGTCAAACGACTCGCGCGTGCAATGCTTGCGCAGCGATTCAAACAGCGTCGCGATGGAGATGTTGAAGTCTTGAACAATATTGCCCTGGAATCTGCTTGTGAACTTGGCAAGACTTTCCCACCGGCCTGTCACCCATGCGGCTTCCACGGCATATGGCATGACTCTGTTGTCGCTCGAGGTGTTCATGCCCTCGACGTGGTTTAATAGTACATCTGTACCTCCTTGTTAGCATGTCATTAAATCGTAGCTCATGGCGGTACGAACCGTGTTGTCCAGCTTGCTTGAGACAGTTGAGAAGGTCTAGCTGAACGTCCACATTGTCTGGCTTCTCTGCCAATTGCATCTCGTACCACGTTTGTGCCGCGTCCCACCGGCCAGCCTTCTTGTGACTGAGAATCTGCTGATTGATGTCGAGGTCGTGAAGATGAGCCGAAATTCCTTCAAGGCCATCAGGTTCGTCAATGTTCGCGTAGATGTCCTGAAGACGATCGAGTAAGCGATTATGAGCGCCGGGCGCACCCTTCCGCTGCTCTGCATTTTGGGCGTGCTGTTCCAGATGAAACAATGCTCTGGCATATTCGTTGCAGTCTGTCGCTCTCTGGGAGATCAGCTCCGCAGGAATGCCATCCAAGATCTTCTGAACTCGGGAAACTATTTCTCGACCCGCGGAGGATAGCTTGCCAGATGACCTCTTCTCCTGGACCCATCTCATCGCGTAGTCGAGGATCCTAAAGACAGCCTATGCACTAGTTAGTCAGGCCCCGCGCAGTATGAGCTGGGCATACTTGCATGGCAAAACCGCTTTGTCTCCTCCTTCTCCATGTAGGACGCATCTTCCGCCGGTCGGTGCTCGAGAATGCCCAAGAGCTCACCAACAACTTGCTCCCTCTCCACAGGCGTGCTTTGGGTCCCAATCAACACATGCAACACCAGATAGGGAAGCAAAAATTCTGCAGTGGACAGGTCCTTGACGCGAATGACGCGGGTCAGCGGCTCGAACATAAGTTCGGCATAGCCATTCTGCCCCTTGCGTAGCAAATCCACGACAAAAGATCTGAGCCAGTTGACGTATGGCTTGCCTGCGTGAAAGATTGGGTACTCCACTGTTACCGGCGGCATGGGCGCGACCATGTAACGTGAGCTCATGAACGGCGTCAGAACCTCCCTGGTGTTCTCGGGCAGGGCCACCCATTTCCTGTAGATGCTTTCCCCATCTACTCTGCCGATGTTCTGCTGGGCAACGGAAGTCTTGACGTCACTCCGGTCCAGCAACTCTTGCATCGCGTAGGAGAGGAACCCTTGAAGTTTTGTGTCTGTGGCCGACAAAAAGGAAGGAACGAGAACCTCCTGGAGGAGAAACAAGACAAAGTCTGTCGTCTCCCCAGGGTCCTCGAAATTGTGCAAGACGACGATCGAGCGCTTCTCTCTTACGGTCTCGATCTGATTCGAGTCTAGACAGCCGATGAGACCGATCGACTCGACGCACAGTCGGGAAATGTCCACCTGGACACCGTTGTATTTGGAGACGCAGTCCAGCAGGGCCCTGAGGATGCTGGTAATTGCCTTGTCGGGCATTTGACTCACAGCAGAGGTGCAAAGGCCGCTTTGGTTGTCTCGCAGGAATGGTACCAGCTCCGTCAATGCTTGGTGTACGACGCCGGAGTTATCGTGGGCAAGCCGCTCGGTGAACACGCCCAGGGTCTGGTCCATCGCCATGACAGGCCGCAACGACATCAGTTTAGTGTCGATGCTGGCTAGCTCATCGATATGCGACAGTGAGGGCAGCTTGCAAATGTATTCCTCGACAACGCTCTGGTGTTTTTGTAGCAAGTGAGTGAGCATGTCCCGCGCAGCTTTGGCAGTTGGCTCGTCAAAGGTGGGCCAGTAGTGTTTGACGATGAAAAAGGTCGTTTCAATAAGCGCCTGGACATCTTCTTCGTCTAGGTGGGTGAGCAGCGCCACCCAGCAAGAGAAACTCGCTGCACGCAGGGCCTCCTGAGAGATGGCGGAGACGAGGCACGCGGACATCTAGAGGAACTTAGCCACATCCACTTTGGCTTTTTGTTGGCGACGTACCTGCGGCCTCGCTATCCTTGCGTAGGATTTGCAGACTTTAATCATCTCCTCCATTGTCTGAATGCAGTTTCGCTGCTCCAACATGAGAGGATGAGCGGTTACGGAGTCGTTTATAACGTCCGCTAGCCGCGCGACAAGACCTAGCATGTGGCTCTGCAGAAATCGTCCAACCGTATTGTCCTTTTTGCTCTTCGTTTCCCTGGTGTTACCGAGGATGGTAGTGGCCATGAGGTGCAAAGCTTTGTGAGCCTGTTGATCGTCAGTGTTGGTTCAGGCGCCGGGTTGCAGAACTTACCGCTTTCCGTCGCGCAAGATCTGAACAAGCTGCGGACTTTAGGAGTTCCATGGCAATCAGGACTGGCTCTGACTGGAAAAGATCTAGCAGCGTCAACGAATGGAAGTGCGGCGAGATTTCGTTGAGTCGAGACTTGGTAAACTCCTGCATGTTGTCCGGGTCGTGCACGAGTAGGAGTGCCAACGTTGCGGCGAGGTTCGTGCCGTCCAGCAGGGGTTGCCATGGTTCGTTCTCTCTCCGAGCCTCGGCAATTTTCTGGATGACGTCTTGTCGTTTGTCAAGAACCAGCCAAGGTAGGGCATGCGTCTGAATGAGCAATAGAAGCTCGTTGACCGAGATTTGAAGTAGCTCTGCGATGGCTCGGCTTCGTTGGGGTCGCTGTACCATATCTTTGGTGACCATATATGCAAGACTCTTCCAGTTTGGCTCGAACAGGCGGCGTGGTGTAGCCGCGCGGAATTCAGCAAGGCCGAGGATCTCGTTGAACGCAAAAGCCGAGACGATGATGTTGCTGCTACCCAAGTACTCCACCAGCTTGATCAAGACGAGGGTCAGCTCGTCCTCGGTGGCGGCCCTACCTAGCTGGCCCCACGCCATGACACGAGTCTCGACCATTTTGGGTTGATCGTCCTCGGACATGGTCCTGAGAGCAGCAATGGCATATACGCGGTTTCGGGTAAGTATATCCGTTTCCATTGGCTTGCATGCGGTATTCAACGTGAACATAGCCAGTGTCCTCCCGGCAGCGACTCTGAGCTCTCGTATGGAACTGTTCAGGGATTGCAGACACCACTTCCCGAGCGCCGACTGTTCGAGATCCAGGAGCTCATTGCTATGCTGTAAAAGCCGCCTCAACGAGATCATGGCGGCGACACGGGGAGCCCGAGTTTCTTGTAAACTCGGTAGCTGGATGACGCCGCTCAAGATTGTGAGAACCCGGCTTTTCCACACCTGAGCCGTCAAGCTGGCGGCACCAACGGGCTTGCGATCGTCACAGATGGAGCATGCCACGCCACCAGGTGATGTGGTTGGTTTCGGGGTTTGTATGGTACCATCCGCGATGCAGCACAATCGGGAAAGCAAGTCTAAGGCGAGGGACTGAGACTTCGGCTCGTCGCAGGTCTCAAAAGCCCGTCTGTGGTCTTGTTAGACAAGCGCGAGGGCATCGCCAGGGCAGTGGAACTCACAGAAAATGCTCTTCAAACTCGCTTCCGTCGTCCCCGATCGCAAATTCGATGCGCAGTGTCTCCCGTATGCCTTCTATGAGCAGTTGCATGGCGTCTTGGCCCATATCAGATATTTTTCTTCTCTTTGAGCCCTCTGCCGGCAGAGACGACCCTTCATGGATGAGATTCAGTCCTTGAACACATTCGCGGACTTCCTGGTTTTGGAAACATGACGGTCGTGTAGCATCATCAAGAGGATCCTCCGCGTTGGAGTAGATAGCTTGGCGGAGCAGCCTGGTGCATCTCTGCACGTTGATTAGCTAGGTTGCGGGCAGAAAGTCTAGGCTTCGCCTTACCCAAAGGTCTGTGCCTTCGCCAATCGCCGAGTGTTGGGAAGAGAGCAGCGCCAGCTCTTGAACAAGCTTGGAGGCTGCCAACCTTCCGACCGCATATATTTGTATCGCAGCCGCGGCGATGGCGATGAGTGCCTTGCAATAAATCACTCGAACTCGATCCCCCTCTGAGCCTATGCGCACCAGCTCCTCGGGCGACGAGATGAGTTCGCTGCACAAAAGCACCAATAGCGCATATGATTTGTTCTTCATGGGTGCCACAAGCTCCGTGTCGACAATCGGGCACTTTGCAACGTCCAGTGCCGTTTCGATGAGAGGGACTGGGGACTCGGGCATGCTCTCTTCCCATCTTTTCTGGACGTGGCGGAGGTCCAACCACGTGTCCATGAGCCACGGCCCATTCTGAGCAAAGGATGCGTTGAACAAAAAAGAAGACTCTTGGGACACGAATGGATATGCCAGAACTCGTGCGAGGCCTGTCGCCTGGCGGATAGCCTGCCGCGTCGAGCGGATGACGTAGGTGGTTCGATGTGCGGCATCCGGCGGTAACTTCCCGATAATCTGGTCGACGGCGAACTGCGGCGGGAGCTGGATCATAGTAGTTGTCTTCGTGCTTGGCGGATTAGTCGGTGGATCTTGAAGATGGTCAAGAAGGCCTGCCATCGGGTCAGCACGCAGCTTGGGCACAACGATGCAGAACATACCGGTTAAACACGCTCGCAAATACAGACTAAGCGGCAAAGCCAAGTCCCAGAACGAGCTTGTACAACAAACGAGGAACAAATACTGCAGGAATGCCTCAATATGCGTTTCGAGCTCCGCAAAATCGGCGTGCCCGAGGATCCGCAGGAGGCGTGGCAGGAGCCAGATCCAAAGAGGTGCGTTTCCCCTGTGAAGCAGCCCCTGACCTTCGTTGACGTACGTAAGAAGGGCCGGAGTTTCTTTGATGGTGAAGCGGAGGAACTTGAGGGCATTCAGTACCTCACCGCACACATGGGCACGGTCAATGAAGGGGTCGCCAAGTTTGATCTCTTCGAGGACCCCGCGACAGTAAATGTAGACCAGCATGTGGTTGTGGGCCATCTTTTCAGCATCGCTCCTCAGGAGGCGAGGATTGTCGATCATGCGCTGGGCGATGGCGACTAGCCCTTTGAGCTCATTGCTGTCGTCGGACCGCGACGACTTGGTGCTCGTCGAGATGTTCTCGACAAGCTGCGCGGCGAGGGTGGAGGGTGGCGGGCCCGTGACAGAGGCGGCTGCCGGGCCATCGAGGCCCGGATGAGCTGTCTTGCCATGAGAGCTCTCCGACATGGTTTGTTGGGCATGATCGGCAGGCTGGGGTCTGTCGCTACGTCTGTGGAAAAGGTTCGACTACGAGCGGGAGACGCGACGGGATGGAGGGGCAACGCGACGTCACGTGATGAGAAGCTCCTTCCATTAACCGCCATAATGGCATCAACGCCCAGCAAAGTCATTGGCAATTAAATCACACCGTCTTCAACTCCATATTTGACATGCCATCTCCCATTCTACCAGTGCCTTCTGCATGGCACTTGATCTTTATTTGAAGTCCGCTGCTGTTATTTTGCGTCGGCCGCCGTCATGGTGTACACCAATGCTCAATCTTCGTATCGCACGGTTATGGCGTCGTGCGTGACGCCTGCAGCCAGGTCAGTTACACAATCCGGCAACTGCATCGTTTTGAAATATGCTTACCTCCGAGCTTCACAGTATACGTTACCATGGCTGAGCCGTAGCTTGCCTCGATGACGCCACTGAGGCAATAGTATCGGTGCCAGCCCATTCGCGTCTTTCCAGCCGCCAACATGGTCGACTTGGGAATCTTTTCCAGATCAAGTGACAGGGTAGCGACACATCGGGTCCTCGCATTGACGTGTACAGGCGGTTCGCCCTCTTCGCCATTACTGAAGATCTCGATTTCCGTTTGCGGGAGATGACCCATTCCCACAGGGATGTCGCATTGATACTCGATGGATGACGGCTTGCCTTCTGGATAGGATTGGCCCTATCGTTCGTCAGCCTCAAGGGAACTCTCACCGCTTGCATGGTATTTGTCCCTACCTTTTTGATGAACCAGCACATTTCCGTCACCACCATCTCTTCTTCCTTGGCGGACCAGAACCTGTTGGTGTGTCAGTCCGGCCCAGGAGCGTGGACTCGTTCAACGCGACTTACGCTTCCCTTGGGTCGTGCCTCATCAAGTCGTACTTGGCGAGCAGGCAAGTGCCGTATGATCTCCGGGCAATTCGAGAAGCCACCTCCACCTCGGCCAACTTCGGCTGATTCTGGTTGAGCCCGTGGATTGCAGCTCCCTTCACCACGGCTATCCAACCATTTTCAGGCTGCAGAACCTTGATACCGGCGGGAGTCGCGTCTCGAACCTGCGACTTGAGGTGCCGGCTTTGGCCGAAGCCGCCAACGAGTACGACCGCTGCGACGTCATCTCCCGCCATGGCGATTTGCTCGCGGACGAGGCAGATGACGTCCTTCATGATTGGGTCGAATATTCGCGAAGCCATCTCCTCCTGTGGAACCGTGAAGCGGTTACGTTTCAGGCCGAGGCTCTCATCGACCCGTATGGTGAGGGGTTCACCCTTTGGCGAGAAATCCTTTTTGAACTTGTCCAATTAGTTCGCGTTGTATTTGATGGCCAACACGGCAGACGTACTGATTCAAACTCGTTCAGGGCAACCACCAGCCGCTCGTCGGTCCAATACTTGTCGCCGTGAGTTTGCTTGAGGAATCGGCGAAACCGTTTGTTGAGCATGGACGAGCCGCACTTGCCTCCGGTTCCCTCGGTCACCTCCTTGACCTCAAGTTTGTCTATCCGCGTGATCTCGTACGTGATGAGGTCTACCGTCCCTCCGCCGGCGTCGCACACTACGAATTTGCGACCACGCTGCAGAATCGAGGGGCTGAGGTACTTGATGGTGTACAGCGCAGCGGCTTCCTGGACCGTGTCAGCAGTCTTGCTGCTCTCCATAAGGACAGCGACGAACCGGCTCGGATATCAGCTGTATTCTCTGGTTGCCACAGAAGCCAGCCATTGCTGCCGCCCTCTCGGTGGCTTGCTTCGCCGCATTGGACCAGATGGCGGGGACCGTGACGACAAAGTCCATGGGTGTCGAACGCACGATGCTGGGGGACAAGCGCTTCTCCAACACACTAATGAAGTGCGTATGAAGACACGACAGATATATCCGCGTCAGCTCCTGTGGCGTCTCGCCATCCTTGTTGGCCTTTTGCGGCTCGTCTAGCTTCCTGGCATCAACTCGTCAATACGTCGGGCTCATCACTTTCACTGCTCAGGCCGACCAACAGCTTGAAGAACCGGTATCGCTTGGCAGACTCGGGGATCTGGAATCCCCACTGCCAGCCAGACGCTACCTTGCGCAGCTCCGTCGGCACCTTGAGGCTGCTCTGGAAGGAGTTGGCCGATGGCCAACTAGATATCACGTGTTGAACATCTGGCTGTGGTCTCGTCAGCAGCGGAACGGGGCAGAGTTCCTGGGGGCACAGCTCACCCGGGACGTTTCTGCCCACGCGACCCCCGAGTAGGTTGTCCCGAAGTCTATCGAGACGATGATTCGTCGGTCGCTCATGGTCACGGCAGGGGGTCTCGGAGCACGCCTGGCGCTCGAGGGCCTCGGGTCGGAGCGTTCTCGTCGATGGCCGCTGCGTTTGCTGGCTCGGTCTTGTTCTCTTGCCACGAGTGGCAAGCTTCTAGGTCTTGATCTCGTCATGGGTGTCGCGAAGCCAGCTCTGGCAGAAGCACTTTAATGTGGATCGATGGACTGTCCGCTTTCGATACCTAACAGCTGTGAGCCTGTTGTCGCCAGTCCTTATGGTGCAGGCCCCGCCGGCCAGCACACCGCAGACGTGCATCGACCTGTGATTGACCATCTGACCCTACAGACCTGTACCTTGACGAAGCGGAATTGCGAGGACCTTTTCGTCGTATCACAACCCCGGCTCGGATGCATATGCGACCCAGTGGCCCGTCCTGGGCACATGTGGCCAGTGCCCAACCTATCGCAGCTCTGTCTTCAGAGCTTCCCGGCCGCGAACAGGTCGTGCCGCAGCCAGGCAAGGCCTCTGTGCCCGAGTGCCCGAATGCACGGATGGAAAGGCGGCTGGGAGGTGACCTGAACCAAGCGGACACACGGCCACGTATCAGTGACCCGTGAGGCCGACGTACCCAAAGTTTCCATTGGCGGCTCAGCCTTCAGCTGCTTTGCAACTGCACTGCACTGATGTGACAACCCTTCGCCGCCTCCGCCCACCAGCTCTTACTGAGCGATACGCCGATTCATTCACTGGGACAAGACACAACCCTGGCCACCATGGAATCGGAGACAGCCCCAGCTCATCAGCCAAGCAAGGACGGGGGCGCCGAGTGTTCCATGGCGCAAAACGAGTCAAAAATCGAGAGAGAAACACCATCTACGCCAGCGCCGGAGGCGCAGCTGGCTGATGAGATACGACTGCGGCGGTTCACCGAGGAGGTGCTAGACACGCGGCAGGAGGAGCTGGAGCTCCAGGAAGCAGAGAATAAAAGGCTCCTGAAGAAGCTGGAGTCTCTCAAAAAGGAGCTAGCGGACACGCAAGATCAGCTCATCGAAGCTCGCAACCAGTCCAAGGCAAAGTCGAAACAGCTCCAGGATGCCAAGGATCAGATCTTCCGCCTCCAGCCGCGACGCAAAGACATTACGGAATCAGAAGCGCAAGAGGCCTACAAGAGACTGTGCAGTAATGTGCAGAGATGGGTGGAAAACCGGCTGCCCGGAACCCTCGACGACATGGAGGCCGGCCGTCTTCGAAGCCGCCCTTCGGGGGTGCACGCTGGGAGATTCGTTTCGTTGATCAGAGAGCCAGCAAAGCGATGTCTCGGCGTGCACCAGTCTGACGAGCATCATGTCATTGCGGTCATCATGTACTACCTCTGGCTGGCGCTCTTTTCCAAATCATTCTACTGCCCGCTCGATGGGTCCGACGACGACGCTACCATCATTTGGATTGACGAACTGGAAAGCACAATGTCGAAGCTACCTCGCGGTGAGCAGCAACGGATGGGTAGTCGGTTTCAACGCTAACACGGCCAGATACCGCTCACTGTCGCGAATGGCGCAGCGAGACTCTGACGGCTCTTACCATGCAGCCGCTGTTCAAGTCGCGCCGGGCGACATACATAAACCTGGTATCGGAAGACCTGGCGGCACTATTGTCCGTGGTCGTGCCCAAGGGCGCGCCTTCGGACCTCCAGAGCTCCATTCGAAGGACCATTGTCGAGCCCGCGGCCGACTTTGCGCATCAACTACACCTGGCGGCCAACATCTACTCTCTTAAATGGCCGGCACGGAACGCCAGCACGCGGCTAGAGGTGTACGAATGCATCAACTTGGCAAATGGAGGGCTTGTGCTGGACCTCAGCGGCACTGGACCCTCGTCGCCCTCGCGTCGCAAGGTCAGCTACTTGTTCGACGTGGCACCGGGACTGTTTGTCGAGAGAGTCGAGGTGGGGAAGAAGGCGCCTTTGAAAGCTATCTACAGGCCAAATGTCCTAGTGTATGCCGGCGACGGGGAGGCACCGCAAAGGCCAACCCTCATCAAGTGGCTCGCCGACAACTCGAATGGTGGAGGCGGCTCGCGCGAGCAGTTGCCGCGGACCTCGGCGCCCAGGAGTAAGACCATCTCCCACCCTGCAGTGTCCAAGCTCTGATGCCGTTCGCATAGGATCATTCGTGCAACATCCGCCGGGCAAGAGGAGGTAGCAACCCGGGTGTCTCGCGTGGACGATGCTGGTCTGGTTAGCAAGGCTCTGTGGCTCTCCGAGGACCAGGCCCCGGTCCGATTGAGCGACTTACGTTCTATCGCGCTAGAGCAATGAATATGATGAGCGACGAGTCCAAACTGCCTCGCCCGTGGGTTCTCTGAATGGTTTTCGCCTAGGTCGTCGTTCTCCACTCCCATGCGCTCACGTACTCCTCGACAGTGATGACTGGAACGTCCTGGTATCTTCGGATGGCGCGCGGGGGCAGCGGCGGCCCCTGCGCCCCCGGAGCGGCAGCAGGGCGGACACGGCTCAAGGCCCGGAGATTTGGAGCGCTGGCGTTACGCATCGTGCGTGCCAGAGCTCGAAGGGGAGTCTGTTGGTCAGGACGGGTCGGGACTTGGCCTTTCCGGGCTGGAGAACGCTCACCAGTCCGGGCAGGGCTGCTTCGCTTGATGCCACGCGCCGTCGACGTCGACTTTCCCTTGTTCTCCCCCGAGGAGGTGTCGTTGGCGGTGGTGCCGCCGTCGAGGGAGGCCGCCTCGGGTATGAAGGGACGGATGCAGTTGCGGATGTAGTCGTCGGCCATGCCGAGAGCACGGGCGTCCCTGAGGCCGAGGTTGATGCGGCTGACGTACTCTTCCTTGGGAGCGCTGTCCTGGACGTGGTTGAAGCTGATGTATACCAGCACGCCGTTTTCCCAGTGTTGGGCAGGTCCGGGAGCACGCTCAGGGGCCTTGGCCTGGCGTCGAACGGCCGCGGGGCCGCCCTTGTCGACGATCCATGAGACGGGTCGGCGGTAGAGGGCGCCGTGGGCACGGTGCAGCAGCACGGGCATGTAGCGCTTCTCGTAGGCGCTCTTGGCGACGCCCTCGTTGATATCGAGCTTGGCCTCGTCCTTTTCGTCAATCTCATAGACGAGGCCGTCGACCCAGCGGCCGTCGGCGGCAACGACGTTTGCGTAGCCGCGCTCGTTGATCTGCCATCGGTGGTTGGCCAGGCGGGCGTGGCCGATGTATCGGCTGTTGGGACAGCGCCTCTTCATCTGCTTGATGTGCAGGTTGCTGCCGTAGGCGAAGTAGTACTTGGTGGGCCGGGCAGCGGCGGCGTCGGCAGTCTTTCGGGGGGCGGATGCGGCGGCGGCCATCTGGACGATACGGGAGGCGGTGCCGTGCATTCGGCACTCGCTGGCTTTGGAGTTGGGGGGGGCTTCACAAGGTGGGTGGGGAAAGGGGGAGCGCGGATGCTGGAGGAAGCCTTTGGGCTTGTCTGGTATACGAAAGCAGAGGGGGCAGAGTCGGGGTGAATGGGGTTGGGCGAGGGCGATAGGACCAAGAGGCGTGGTCGTGGTCTGGCCGCTGCTGCCGGCGGCCCGTGTGAGCGTGAGCACAGGCAAAATGGAGCAAACGTGGGCGGGCCGTCTCTCTGGTAGCGGTTGGCGAGTGGTCTACTGGGAAGATGGGAGCCGAGGGGAGAGACGGGAGAAGTGGTTACAGTGGCAGCGGGCAAAGACTTGGAGGAAGGACGGGTCAGCAACGACAGGCAGCAACAGCGGCAGCGACAGCAGCAACAACAACAACAACAACAACAACAAAAAAAACACCGGACGAGAGGGTGTAAGTCGACGGGGCGGACGCGGTGGATCCATCATCACGGGCCAGGGCTGCTGCAGCAGCAGCCTGCATCCGTGAATCGACAGATTCATACATGACAGCAGTTGGGCAGCAAACCCGAGGAGTCACAGAGCCGGAGCAGCCGCCAATTACCGCCCACCACGTCCCAGCCGCGCGGGACCGACCTCTTCGTTCTTTGTTCACGTTGCAGTTACAGTACTGTACTGTACTGTACTGCACCTGGGGCGTTTCAGATACCCGCAGGCGTCATGTGTTGCCGCCTCGGGCGTGGTGGGCTGGCGGCCGTGTCAACCCAACCTCGCCCGCCCTGTTCCGTGTAAGTGGTTGCTTCTCTTCTCTCCATCCAGCGTCTTCTGTTTGTGTAACGACCAACGCAGCGGCTGTGTGGGGCTTTGCTGCCCTGCCCTGCCCTGCCTCTTCCCTCCCCTGTCCCGTCATGCATGGGCGGGCATCAGGCCAAGGCGGCGAAAAAAGTCTCCTGCTGCTCGCCCTGGGCTTTCGCTGTTCGTGTCGACTGGGAGCCTGGTTCGTTTCGCCTCAGCCCATACATGGCGCGTGCGGCGAGAGGCGGAGGATTCGCCCGGCCCGCTGCGCTGGGTTGGGCACACGCGCGCGCGAGGGCAACGGATGGGCGGGCCGGTGCCGCCCCATGGACAATTTTGTCGTTGTTTCGTTGTTGTTGCCTTGCGGGACTATGCTGGACGGCAGACGCTCGCCGTCGAGTCGGGACCGGATATATGGTGTGTCAGGGGGGGCGGTGACGGGGGGTCGACTGAGTTTGAAGGCGACGTCGGTGATGCTCTCTCACTTGCACTGAACAGACCAAAGCCTGGCCAGCACGTGTCTGCGACTCGACTTCCTCAACTCGCCCTCTGACGAGAATCATAAGATAGCCTCTACAGCTGCGAGTTATCGGCACACGGAGTCGAGAGAGAGAGAGAGAGACACTGAGGCAGCTCTGCAAACCACAACTCACACCTCGACATTGACGACAACTCAAGTTACTCGACTCGGAGCCACCGCCAAGGCACCTCGATAGAAACACAAGAGAGGCCTCGCACAAAAGCCGGCTCGACACCTCCGACACATCGTCACGACCCATAGAGGGAGAAACACCAAGACGGGCGGCGCACTAACCGACATCAGACAGCCACCGAAGAGCCAACCCTTCGAAGGAGAGTCGCAGAAGAAAGAAGTTTATTAAAAGCAATGGTCCGGCACTACAACTTTGGCGTCGAAATCGAGGCCATCGGCCGGCCGTACGGCGGCGGCGGCGACACCTTCTCCAACGTCGACTGGTACCGGCAGCTGGCGCAGAAGCTGCAGAACCGCGGCATCCCCGCGGCGCACGACGACTGCTCCAAGTACAGCAAGCACCCGGAGTACTACCTGTCTCTTATACACATCTAGATGTGTATAAGAGACAGGGTACCGGCAGCTGGCGCAGAAGCTGCAGAACCGCGGCATCCCCGCGGCGCACGACGACTGCTCCAAGTACAGCAAGCACCCGGAGTACTACGGCGGCAAGTGGTTCGTGACGCGCGACGGGTCGCTCAAGCGGCCGCGGCCGTACGTGTGCATGGAGGTGGTGTCGCCGCGGCTCGACACGAAGCAGGCCGTGAGCCGCACCCTGTCCGACTTCTGGGAGGCGATGCGCGTGCACTTTGTGCCGCAGCGCGACGCCTCGTGCGGCGGCCACGTGCACGTCACGCCCGTGAGCCTGCGCAACCGCTTCTCCCTGCGCTCGCTCAAGCGCGTCGCCTTCGCGGCGCTGGCCTACGAGGACTTTGTCGCCGCCGTGCTGCCCGCCGCGCGCCGCGACAACCAGTTCTGCCGCCTCAATAGCCTGAGCCCCGAGGCGGGCGTGCGGCGCCCCGGCGGCGCGCTCGCCCTCGCGGGGGGCGTCAAGAGCGTGGCCGTGCTGCGCCGCGTGGCCGACGAGATCCGCGCCCTGCCCGCCGAGGCGGACCTGTACCTCTACATGCAGGGCAACCGCTACGTGCTGTGGAACTTCCAGAACATCTTTCCCAGCCCCAAGACGGGCCGCTGCACCGGCACCGTCGAGTTTCGCGGCGGGAACCAGTTCCTCAACACGAGGGGCACGCTGGCGTGGGTGGCCTTTGTGCTGGGCTTCATCACGCTGGCGCTCAAGGAGGTACGTCCTATGCTGTCTTGCCTTGGATTTGTCTTGTCTTTTCTTGCCGTGCCTGTGCCTTGCAATGCCTTGCCTCGTGTCTTTCTAACTCATGTTCTTGACATCTCCTCTCCTGTGTCTGTCTGTCTGTTCGTCTGTCTGTCCCCATACCACCACACGTTGCTGACGTTTTGCTCGTGCCCGTTTCTCCCTCCCTGCAGGACCTCTTGGACAACTTCTCCACCTACGTCTCCCCCGCCGAGCCCAACTTCCCGCACCGCCTGGCCGAGTGGTGGGTGCGGCTCCGGCGCGCGGCCAAGAAGTCGCGCATGAGCCGCCACCTGCCCGACGACTGGACCAAGATGAAGTCGCGGTAGCTCTGGCTACTAACCTGGATACTTGTTGGTGACGTAGGTATGCACAGTACCTCCATCTAGGTAAGCCAAGCCAAGCCAAACTGAGGTTGAGGTGAGGTGAGGTAAGGTTCGAAAGCAAGGCTGGGCGCGCCGCGAGAGGTAGGCAGCGAGGAGCAAGCTACGGTCTATCTTTCTGGGTTGTGTGTTAAGCGTATAAGGGGGTTCGGTCGTTTGAGAGTTGACATGTTGCCCCGAAGGGGTCAGGCATGGGCATGGATGGGGTCCGGGGGGCGCACGGGGAGACTGGGCGTTCTTTTTACGTCTTCTTTTTTTAACCCCCTCCCGCCTCTCTTCTTTCTTCAGCCCTCTTCACCCTTCTTCATCATGCTTCGGTGTTGGGGGCAGGCCTCTGTACCGGACCGTGGTCGCGTCTGTGTGGGAAGAAGGAAATCATGGGGCTGAGGGTGAACCGAGCGTACTGTCGGGTACATACATATCTATGCAGCTACTCAAGCGAACAGGGCGCTCGTAGTGTGCTGTTCTGGATTGTTTCGCAGCCGAGGGCCGCGCTCTCTCGCTGGCATCAGTGCGAGCGGACGCACGGGCAATTCATTCTACACTATTACAGCACAAACAGCAACAGACGTGCAAAGCTGTCACGGTATTTCTGCCATTGTTACACTATGTACAGTTGCCGTCTAGCAGCCCGTGTGTCATGCCCATGCCAGACCATGCCATACCCCTAAAACGCCAAGTTCTACCTTGAGTTGCTCCCTCACTCCTGCATCTCTTTCTCGCCGTTGCCCGTCCTTCTCTATGCCGATTCCTCCTTGCCCGGCTCCTCCTCAAACAGCACGAGCACCGTGCCGGCCTTGCAAATGTCCTGCGTAACCCGTCACGTTAGCTTCGCTCTTGTCATGGTGTCAATATGAACGTACCCCTTCCTTGTGCGCCAGCTTCTTGACCACGCCGTCCTGCGGGGACCTGATGACCGTCTCCATCTTCATCGACTCGATGCTGCGTTGGCCGGTTAGTCAGTGCCACGCTGGGAGAAAAGTGAGGGACGAGGATGAGAAGAGAGGGGGGGAGGGCGATGACGAGACTTACACGACCAGGGGCGTGCCCTTCTTGACCTCTTGCCCTTCCTCCACCTCGTTCTTGAGAATCTTGCACGGCATGGGCGCGACGACGGAGGCGGTCGCCTCCTTGAGCCCCAGCGCCTTCTCATACCACCCGGGCGGCAGCAGTGCCAGGTCCGTCTTGACGCCGTGCTGGAAGATGGTCACCTTGGTGTCGTTTTCGCCCTCCTGCGGCACCACCGACGACAGGATGCGCTCGGCGGGAAAGTACGTTTGCAGCTTGAGCACGGCGCCCTCGCGGGTCGGCTCGCTGGCGACGTCGGAAAACACCTGAGGTGCGGCGTCGGAGCCCCGGCGCGACACGGTCACGTCGTAGAGGTTGTGGCCCTTTTGTGTGACGCTCGCCTCAACGACCTCGCCCTCCTTCTCGCTGTAGCCGTCGAGCACCTTGAAGGCGACCTTGCGCTGGGCCGAGGCGCTGGCGTCGCCGAAGCCGAGCGTCTGGCCGTGCGGTGCCGCGGCGCCGACCGGCTGGAGGAGCTGCAGGTTGAGGACGCCGAGGGCCGCCTGGGCAAAGACCTCGTCGTTGATGTGACGGGGCTTGAAGAGGACGTCGCGCCACTTGTCAATGAAGCCCGTCTCAACGTCGCCGGCGACAAAGGCGTCGGCCTGGCACACGCGCTTGAGGAACTCGACGTTTGTGCTGACGCCGACAATCTCAAAGGCGCGCAGGGCCGACTCGAGCTTGGCGATGGCGCGCTCACGGGTGTCGCCGCGGACGATGAGCTTGGCGATCATGCCGTCGTAGGCCTCGGAGACGACGCTGCCGGAGCCGAAGCCCCAGTCGAGGCGCACATCCTCGTCAGCCTGGACGGCGTCGGGCAGGACGGCGTGGACGAGCTTGCCCGAGTCGGGCATGAAACCCCTCTCGGGGCTCTCGGCGTAGATACGGGCCTCGATGGCGGCGCCGCGGACTGCCATCTGCTCCTCGACCTGCTCCTGGGTAAGGGGCAGGGGCTCGCCGGCGGCGACGCGGAACTGCCACTCGACGAGGTCGAGGCCGGTGACCATCTCGGTGACGGGGTGCTCGACCTGCAGGCGCGTGTTCATCTCCATGAAGTAGAAGCGGCCCGAGTCCTTGTCGAGGATGAACTCGACGGTGCCGGCGCCGACGTAGCCGACGGCGGCGGCGGCCTTGCGGGCCTTGTCCCAGAGGTCGCGGCGGGTGGCGTCGTCGAGGTCCGGGGCTGGGGACTCCTCGAGGACCTTTTGGTGGCGGCGCTGGACGCTGCAGTCGCGCTCGCCGAGGGCGACGGTGTTGCCGTGGCGGTCGGCGAAGACCTGGACCTCGACGTGGCGGGGGCGGACAATGTACTTTTCGACGAGCATGACCTCGCCGCCCTCGCCGAAGGAGGCGCGGGCCTCGGCGCGGGCGCTGCGCAGCTGGGCGGGGAACTCGTCCTCGGTCATGACGATGCGCATGCCCTTGCCGCCGCCGCCGCGGACGCTCTTGAGGAGGACGGGGAAGGAGACGTCGCGGGCGCGGCGCAGGAGGTCCTGCTCGGCCTGCTCGGGGCCGTGGTAGCCGGGGACGCAGGGGACGTTTGCGGCCGTCATGATCTCCTTGCTGCGGGCCTTGTTGCCCATGTCGGCCATGGCGGAGGCCGGGGGGCCGACGAAGACGATGCCCTCGCGCTCGCAGCGCTCGGCGAACTGGGCGTTCTCGGACAGGAAGCCGTAGCCCGGGTGCAGGGCCTGGATGCCGTGGCGCTTGGCGAGGGCGATGATCTTGTCGCCGTCGAGGTAGCCGTTGGCGGGGCCGAGGCCGAGCGACTGGAAGCCCGACGAGGCGTGCCAGGAGCCGGCGTCGACGTCGGTGTAGACGGTGGTGGCGCGGATGCCCATGCGCTCGGCGGTGCGGTTGATGCGGATGGCGATTTCGCCGCGGTTGGCGATGAGGACGGACGAGAGCTGCGCCGCTGACGTCGCCGCCGACGATGACGAGGAGGAGGAGGAAGCATTGGTGGAGGTGGACGGTGATGCTGAGGAGGAGGCGGCGGAGGAGGAGGAGGTGGTCGTGGTCGAGATGTAGCGAGGGAGGGGCCTCAGCGGGAGGCGGCTGCCCGCCCGGAGGGAACGCATGGCTGGCTGGCTGGCTGGCTGGCTGAGGGTATCTACTAACGATGAGAGAGGCAGAGGCAGACGAGCTCTCTGAGGGTCAATGGCAGCGGGTCGCAGAGAAGAGAGGGTTCCGGCGATGGGAAGAAAAGATTGTCGCGGCGGCGGCGGCCGTGGTTTGCGGGTGGTTGCTCGGTTGAAGTCGAGAGCTCCCCCAGTCTCAGCGCGCCGAACGGGTAGCAATGGCAGCCCGCCCGTGGGGAGCCGAAAGTAGCCGCCGCGACAAGCCGACGTCAGCGGGCATTGCAGCGCGCTCTCATCAGTGGAGTGGCGCCTCAGTCGGGTCCAGTGCCTGTAGTGGAAAGTCTACAGGGCTCGGCGCGGCGGGTTCAGGTGGGGGGTGCGGGTGAAGTGCGGGGGACCAGCGCTGGCGGTTTAATTGGATCGGGATTTGCCCCAGGGCCCGGCGCGCAGCCAGACAGGGCGCCTACCCCGGGCATGGAGCCGCCTGCCCGTGTCGGGCAAACCAGCTCCGCTGCAAGAGCCCTGGAGTGACGGCAAACCCTCTGAAGCTTGACACGGGGTGGTGGCGAGGCAGGTGGGTTCCTCTCTTTCTGGAATGCCCCCAACTCTCGAGGGCCTTCAAGTCGGCTCACTGCAACCTCGCTGTCATGCCCGTGCCAGGTACGCTCGTACCAAGCGGGATGGATACTCACTGCTGGCCTGAGAGCCCGAGGTGCCTGCATTTTACACTGGTTGCCTAGGCGTATTCAAATAGGCAGGTAAAATTTACGTTTATACGATATGCTGTGCCCGTATACTTTCACTTTATACCGCAAACAACCTCTGGTAGCGAATGCCTGTTAGACAAGCCAAGGTACTGACTGGCTCCCTGCGTACCTACCAGAAGCTGTCACTCACTGCCCTAGTAAAACCCGCCCCACCAGGGCCGGCCCCGTGCGGCCCCACTTACTGCCGGCGCTCGGCCGCCACATCAAATCCCATCCCATCGACCTTCGCCCTCCGGGGCCGCCGGGAGGGACCCGCGCCCGGCACCCGGCCCTCCTTCAGCAGGCGTCGCAGAATACCGCCACTCGCCTCACATCACATCATGGGACATCAAGGCATTTTTTTTTAAAAAAAAAAAAAATTAAAAAAAATTCCCGCGCCACGAGCGCCATTCTGCCCGCAGCGGTCCTGCATGTGTCCCGTGGAAGACCACGCTGAGCGAAGAGAAAAGAAGAAGAAGAGAAGAAACCCCCCCCCAATTGGGAGGACGACCGCATAGAGGCATAGCACAAGGTGACACAACTCGTCGTCGATTTTACGTACTTGAACAGCATCACCCGGAAATCCCGCAGACAAGAACAGCATGAGCAATGCGGCGGGCCCCCTTTCTGTTCCTCGTTGTCGGCGCTCTCGGCTCGTCAACGGATCACCTATAAAGAGCAGACTGGTTCCCGCTCACCTCCCGCGTCTCTTCAACAGCACATCCCACACATCAGTCCCTCAGAGCTCATTTGCATCCCACCCTGCCTCTAGCCAGCCAGCCAGCCGGTCAATTCGCCCTCCATGGCGCCCCAGGGCCCCTTTCGTGAGCTGTTCATCCCCGGAGGCCGTAACAGCACCGGAGCCCCCTCGACGAGGGAGGAAGTGGACCTGCGCCAGGCCGAATACGAAGCTATGGTGCTCGCTTTGGTGGCACGGCCCTGGGACGACAATACAATCGACGTGGCCTGGATCAACATCAACAACGAGGCGGACCGAGTGGCTACAGAAAACCGCTTGCGACAGTACTTCAAAGTCCGTGAGCTCAAAGTTTACCACCTGAAGGACACCCCGTACCGTTTTGACGTGGGGGTCTGGCAGCGAAGACAGCTCTATGACGTCCTTCCCAACGGCGCTGGCCATCGCCCCAGTGCTGCGTACCCTATTACTCACCACCTCATCTCTGTCCCGTTCGCCGAGGCGCACAAGGTACACATTCGTAACCTTTCGAGATTCGTGGATTCGGGCCTGGACAAGTACGTTCACTGGCACGTCTACGAGCATCCAGGCTTGGGTATGCAGCCCCTGCCCCATCCTACGCAAAATGCCCATCGCCGCTACATTAGTTGACCTCTACTAGCCGACGATTGCGTGTATCCCGTCTTTAATTTTAAGTCGAGGCAGGACTTTGGCTATGCGCCGTAGGGGCCACGCGAGTCGCCATTGTTCGAAGGAAGGGGGTTCCATTGGGGCGGACAGACAGAGGGGAGCGCGGGGTTCGGGGGGTTGACAACAGGAGGCCGCGACTTGACAGAAAAACACCAGGGGCAAAGGCCAGCACTGCTAGATAGACGACGAGGCACATGCACGGGGCTTCGTGCCCCTTCACGAACCAACGGTTCGTCACGCTTGCGTAGTCATAGTCGACAGTACACCTTGTTTTTGTCCCGCCTTGAGTTCGTCGCGATCGCACGGTCCTCACGCCCGGGCGTCTACGGTGACAATGCCGCCCCCCTGCTGCTCTTTTCCCCCGCCTTTCTTCAATCCAGGTAGGCATTACTCCCTCCACGTTGCGGTTCATGACATGATTTTTGTAGAAGCGCCCTCGCCAACTTCGAAACGTACGCGAATGCGCCCATTGCACCATTACATCAAAAGTTACGTACTGGAACATTGGGAAACCACAACAAGAAACAATGTGCCGCGGATCTTTCTACGGCCAGTGTTCGTGGCCTCGTAACCATAAACTAGCTATAAATTCGTCCTTCTTTCTCCCGTTTCCTTCCTCCACTCATAATCCTTTTCCCCTCCTTATCCTTCCTCAACTTTTCAGTCCGACTTGGCCAGACCCTTGTTTCCTCCCGTGCCGCGCCCCAGCAACTCGAGACACGCACCGGGCCATGGCGCCCCCACGGCCCCACGCACCGAGCGGCCTCGACGTCGTCCCGAAGCCGGCGCTGACCCGTCGAGTCGGCCCCGCGGGGGACAACCCAGTCTTGACGAGGCACGAAGCCCAGGAAATCTCCGGCTACATGAGGATGATGTTGCGGCCCGATTCGGAAAGGATGCTCGACTTTGCCTGGATCGAGATCCGGAGCGACGCGGATCGAAAGCAGGCCATCAGCGTGCTGAGCTCCCTGTTCTTTTGCCCCGGACTCACCATCGTCCCCGTGAGACTCCTCACGTATCCTGTTAGGGGTCGTCGCTGGGACTGCATCAGGTGCTCACTCGACCCGTCTCGGTGCCCGCATACCTTGGACATGATCAGCATACCTTTCGACTGGGCGTGCAAAGCTAAGGAGATTGTCACGTTTATCCAGAAGACAATGGGAAGGAGGGCCCACTACTGTGACTGGCACAGCTATTGTAGGTTGAAACCAATCCTGTGCTGTCGCGAAGTGAATCGAGAGAGGGGAAGGGACTGACTGAACTCAACAGGGGCTTCTGAATGGGAGGAATACCCCAATCATTTCTACAAAGACAAAACGAAGGCCGACCTACCTGGCTATTTTCCGAATCCGCCGTAAACTTGCACCCTCTTTGTGCCTGCCCTGCATGTGGTTTGGTACAGGTATGGAGCCGGGCCGTTGGGCAATGCCTTGAAGGTGCTGCGAGAAATGGGAGAGGGAGATAGGTATGTTTAACAAAATGGAGTCAAATACAGGCCTAAACATTCCAATGCTTATCCGTTCGGCGGCGGCCTGTCAGGTGCACAGTCTCTCCTGTGTGACGGCCTTCAAAACTCAGCACCTCACGATGTACACATTATGTGGTCCTCAATCCTTCCATTGCGCAATCAATTCATCCGTGCTTGTGCACGCAAAGTGGGTATAATGAATGGAATGTCGCCGGCACAGCCCATATGTTCCAAACCCTGCTGCTTGGGCGTGCAGCAGCCTGCGATGAGCCCTGCATTCCAAACAACTCGCAACAACAATGCCCCATCCATATAACATTTCTTCCACGCCCTCAAATCTTTCGCTCGCTCGGTCTCTCGCCAAAATGCTCCGTCTCGCCATCTTGTATCCCCCATCTCTCGACGGCGACGACATTTCTCGCCGTGTCTGCGGGACACTCACTCGGCCCATCCCAGCGTCTCCAGCGTGCCCCGGGCCTCCGACGGCGACATGCTGCTCACGCCCAGCTGGCGCACCTGCGTGCCGCGGCGCAGCCGCTGCAGCCCGACTGCCACCTTCCAGCTCTCCGTCTCGTCCAGCACAAACATGTACCGCTTGCCCTCCTGGTCGCGCACGGTGGCGCGGAGGATGTGCAGGCCCTTGGCCTTCCAGCCTCCGGTCTGGCCCGAGGGGGATTGAATGTTAGTATTCTTGAAAGTCCGCTCGCACAAGCCAAGACGACAGCAATCTTTGCAGGCACGCAGCATCTCAGTCAGGTACGCGTCGGCTTCATCGCCCGTGAGGACCTTGGCGTCCCTGTCTGCGTTGCGGCGGGCCGTGGCCAACTTGAAAAGCACGTGGGGGGGGCTCTTTGCACCGGCGGCGGGGTTCGAAGCAGACGCGGAAGCAGCAGCAGCAGCAGCAGAATTCAAGCAGTGCGGGGGGCACCATACCTCGACATGTTTGAGGGTCCACGCCTTGACGTCCCATTCGCGCTGCGGGACGCCCCGGACGTCGTCGTCGATGAAGAGACCCTCGGTGGTGACGCGCAGGATCAGCCCGTCCGTCACTGATCCCACGCCCGATACGAGCTGGCTGGCCGGCGTCTTGGCGAATTGGTTCATGAAGAGGTAGACGGCGTTGATGACGATCTTGTCCGGGTCCTTGGTGGTGTAGGGTCCGCGGAAGGACGGCGGCGGAGAGGTGCGGGCCGTGGTGTGCGACGGCGCCCACGACGACTCGGATCCGCCGACGGACGATACCGAGGGCCTCCGCCGCGACGGCTTCGGCTGGTCGTAGGGTCGGAACGAGTGAGCGTCCTCGTCGGCGCTGACGTACGTCTTGGCCGTCGGTGCCGGCGGCTTTTTGCCGGGGCTCGGTGGGTTCTTCGACGGCGAGCCGCCGCCAGCCTGCGAGGGGGCAACGTTCGGACGGCCGTTGGGCCACATGCTCGTCTTCTCGCCGACGCCAGAGTATGCGTACGAGCTGCCGCCGCGACTGGCGCCGGCGGCGGCTGCCTTTTGTTGGTCCTCTCGCGCCTTCTGCTCCTTGGCCTCCCTTTCCTTCCTCTCGTTGGCCAGCTTCTCCTCCAGGTCCTTCTTCCTCTTCTCGGCGAGGTCCTTGTCCTTCTTGTCCTGGGCTTCTTTTTCCCTTCTCTCACGGTCCTTTTCCCTTTCTTGCCGCTCCCTCGCTTCCTTGGCGCGCAGCTCGGCCAGTCTCTTGGCGGCCTCTTCGCGTCGCTTCTGCTCTGCCTCCTTTGCCTTGCGCTCCTCTTCCTTTTTCCTCGTCTCTTCGCGGGCCTTTTCCCACGATCCCTTGGGGGTCTCCGGTTTCGTCGCTCCAGGCTGCGGTGTCGACCGTTGTTGCTGCCAGGACGGCTTGGGCTTGTCTTGCTGAGGCGGAGGTGGTGCTGCGCCGCCTCCGCGGGGGGGAGGGGGAGGGCTCGATTCGCCGTGCGGCGGCGGCGGCGGGGGGCCTGCGTGTGATCCCGACGCTGAGGTGCCAAAGCCTGCTGAACCACCTCCTCCCGACGACGGGCTCGGCCTGGCCCCGGATGGGGCGTCATTCTGTGTCCGCCCGAGCGACCAGGCGCCGAAGCCCACGCCCAGGATGAGCAACGTTATGCCCATGTTGCCCAACCCCTGGAATCCTTCCCACCATACCCTGAAGGCGGGGGCCATGCTCTGGAACACGGCGACGAGGATGAGTGCCGAGGCGAAGCCGGCCGCGAAGCTGTTGACGTTGGGCTGTAATGACGGCAAGTACAGGAACCCCGAGCCAGCAGAGTGCTCTGGTATGACGAAGATGTCGTACTTGCCAGGCGGCAGGCCCGACGAGCGAGGCGCCTCGCCATGAGGTGGTGGCGGCGGCGGCGGCGCGCTCATGTCGGCCGCTCAGCACGGGCAGGCGGCGATGATGGGCGATCAGCGACGCAGCGGGTGCGATGTCGATGCAAATGGAGACGAGTGCTTGGTCTATAGGGATATCGCGAAATCCATGTGGCGAGCGGCGACGAAGAGACGACTGCGGCCGTCACGTCAGCGTGCGGCTGTCCTCGGACGGCGACAGGTCTGCAGCGTTGGAGGGCGTCGGGGAGGCTCACCGATGCAGGAAACGGACACAGGGCGCGGCAAAGGAAACAAACGCCAGGCTCCAGCAATGCAGGCGACAGACGGCTAAAGGAAAAGACTGAAAGAAGAATGCCACAATGCACAGGGACGATAAGACGTTGGTGTTCCGAGCCGTCGCAGCTGCAACTGTCGGGTTAGTATAGGGGGGAGGAGAAGGGGGGGTTAGGATATGAGCATGGGGAGAAGAGAGAAAACAGAGGCGAGGGAAATTTTGTGGTGGTTGAGACGACGAGCTTGTGACTTCAGGTTTGGCGGCGTCGCTCACAGCATGGGGGCGGTTTCGCGGTAGTGGGTGGGCACCTGAGGCAGTGGAGGTTGGGTCGGGTCGGGTGTTCCACGGCGGGCAGTCCTGGGGCTGGAGGTTGTTTATTTCCAGGCGCTGTTGCCAGCCCGCACCACTGGCAGGCGGCTGGGGCATCAACCTAAGTCGCCCACCTGAATTGCAGGCTGCCCGCGCTCCCCATCTGCTGGAGCAGCAGGGCGGGGCTTCCAGGTCCTCGTTGCGGGTGCCCACTGCAGGAAGGTAGGTACCTAGTAGGTGAGATGCAGCGGCGGCAGCGCTGGAGCGCTAGGTACTAAGGTAGGTAGGTACAGTAGCTAATAAAAACGGCGGGCCCAACCCCAACCAACCACTGGAACCAACCTGCCCGGCTGATGAGGGACCTGGGCAGGGCAATGCACTGGGCTGGAAGAGGCCGACTAGGGCCGCACCAGGTTCGACGCCCAACTCGTTACCCAGTGGAGCCCAAACCACCAAGAACAGAGCTGCGACTGTCGACGCAACGCCCGCGTCCTAGATCTTTTCCACTGACGGGAGGCGCGGGGCTCCATGGCGAGTGCGGTTCGAAGCGAGCCCCGAAGGATCGACGCGGGCGCCAACGGCCGCGACGATGAGCAAGGCATTGATTTGACTCCGTCTCTTGGCGCCGTTGGACAGGGTCAACGCGCTTTGCAAAGCTGCCCGAACGCGTCGATCCACCAACACACCACAGAGTTGCCCGTGCTTTCAACAGCGACAGCGACAGTGCGCCATCGCGCCGACCAGCAGGTTCCGTCGTTGTGGACTGTTCCCATCGCAACAACAACACTCGGTCCCCTCCCACTCTTACCTCTCCTCTGATGCGATTCGATTCGACCACGACGACGAACTCGGGCCCGGGCTCTCTCCTCCAATGGGGGCCCCGGCCGCGCCGCGCGTCGACCAAGTCCCGCGATGCGTCCATGCAGCTCGGCCACGTTGCGCTCCTCCTGCTTCTTTGTCCGCCCGCGTCGTCGTCACCCCACTTCCTCCTCCTCCTGTCGTTCTGGCGGTCAGCGACCCCGAGCTGCTGCTGCTCCCGAGGCAGGCAGGCAGGCAGGCAGGCAGGCGAGCAGTACTATCTACGAAGGCCCCCCCTCCCCCCGTCCGGCGCTCCACCCCATCACCTCCACGGCGGCGCGTCCCAGGGCCTCCGGGCGAATCCCAGGAGGCGGCCCAGGGCTGTCTGTGCCTCGCCGTGGGGCCCGGCGGCTGCACGCTGGATCCTCCCCGGGCGCCGGACCTGGCTGGACTCTCTCCTTTTCTCCTCTCTTTCTTTCTTTCTCTGCCTTGCTCTCTCAACTACTGCCCCTCTGGCCAGACGCCAGGCCCGCTGCCGTTGTTCGTGAAGTGCCTGTGCCTACCGCCGTGGACGACACAACACCAGCGATACGAGAAGCTCGCTTCTCTACCCGCGCTCAGGAGGAAGCCAGCATCCGTTGCCTCCCCCGTAAGTGACGCCCAGCTCGAGGCCTGCTGCTCAGAGCTAGAATAGAAAAACGAAGACTCTCAGCAACAAAGTCACTTGGTGAGGCGGGACCAGGGACATCGTTGTCGTGGCAACGGCACTAGCCCTGGCGCGTCCAGCTGCCGCTTGGGGCGGGAGCCCGCAGACGGGTGGAAGCGGTGACGTAGCGCCACCTGGGCGGCGCCAAGTGGGGGGAGGGGACGACATGGAACCCGAACTGGCTGCCCCGTCCGAAAGGGCCAAGGCAAAGGGTCCAGAGACTGACTCGGGCGGCGACTGGTCGCCTCCGATCCACCCCGTCTGTGCCTCGCGCCGTGATGTGATGCCTCGGCGACACAGCCCTTCTTCTACAAGTATGTGAGCGACGCGTATACTGCAGGCAACCTACCTTAATAATACGTAGCTGCTGCCTCGGGCACTACCTTAGTACCTTGAGTAACTGCCCGTGCTTTCCCAGCTCCTCGGCGCTCGCTGAAAAGGTTCGTATGTCGTCGCCGTGCGACGCATGCATCGCGCCGCAGCCGAGTCCTGCTACGTACCCGCCCGCACCTGTGCAAGGTCCCGTCGTCTCGAGCACGCACCAACTACAAGCAAACTGAGGTGTGCGATAAGGTTATCATCAGCAGGTTGTCTTTTGCTGTGTGTGTATCACCGTACGTACTTCGTATCCCTCACACAACCTCGTCCACTACTAGGTGCACGAAGCCGAGCCATGCCGCAAGGTAGCGAGGGACCGCATTATGCCATTATTATATGTGCTATAATTACCTCACGCTCGAGTAGCCTTCCTCTCTCTGTGTCTTCCAAAAGTCCACGCGCCATGCGGTGGTATATCGCCGCGCAGAAACGCAATCGCTGCCCTAGCCGAAAGGAATCCCAAGAAAGCATGACTTAGTGCCGTCTCCCACGCACGCATCGCCGTTGCCTCCTCGCCGGCCGAATGCAAACCCCCGTGCGTTTGTAGTGCGTACGTAGCGAGCCAGCACTTCCATATTACGGCGCCGCAGTCCCCAGCAGCGTCAGGAGCACCTCGCCCAGCCACGACAGCCCGCCCGCGACCCGCGCCGCCACCCAGAGGCACCACGCCACGGCCTCGAGCGCGACGAGCACGGCGCGCAGCGCCCAGCCCAGCGCCGCGGCGGCCAGTCACATCTTGCGGATGCGGTTGTTCGCCACGTCCACCTTGCCCTGCAGGCGCGTCGCGTCCTGCTCCATCCGGTCCAGCATCTCGCTCTGCGCCTCCACCTCCTCGTTGATCTGAAGGCCCATCTCGCGCTGCCGCCGGATGATGGCCGTGAGCTGCTCCAGCTGCTCGTCCTGCGCCGCCATCTCCTGCTTCTGCAGCAGGAGCACCCCCGCGTTGTCCAGCTCCCTAGTCCGTTCCGTCTCCGGCAGGGGCGCCCCGAGCACCCGCCCGCCCGCGGGCTTGCCGCCGCGCAGCAGCGTGGCCTTTTCCGACGCCGACGGCGGGCCCTGCGCGGTGCCGATGCCGATGCCGATGCCGCTGCCGCCGTGGGATGCCGACGAGGGCATGTTGTTGGAGAGCTTCTCGAGCACGTCGCGCTCCATGCGCGCCGCGGAGACGAGGTCCCGCCTCCTCCGCAGCTCCCCGTCGCCCAGTCGTGCCGACTCCTGAATCTTCCTCAGCCCGTCCGTCAGCGTCGCCGTCAGGCTGCCCGCCTTGACGAGCGCCTTCTTCGCCGCGGCGCCCGCCTCGGCCACGGCCGTGCTGTTGCTCCCCTCGGCGGCCCCGTCCCGCCGCGACAGGCACTGCCTCGCCTCGTGCAGGCAGACCTTGAGCTCCCGGTGCATGTCCAGCCACGTGCCGGGGTCGGCCGCGCCCGCCGCCGCGTTGCCCACCATGCCCGCCGCGGAGACGGCGGAGCTCGTGGTGCTGCCCACGCTGGGCAGGTTGAGGAAGGACCGCCACGCCGACGTGTCGCGCCATCGACGGTCGGGCGTCTCCGCGATGGTGCGCAGGTATTTCTCGAGGCCGAGCTGGCGCTCCCGTGCCAGCGCCGGCGACGACACGGTCGACTTGAGCCAGTGCTTGCCGGGGAGCGGGTGCGGCGGCGGGGCGCCGACGTGCTCGACGAGGGCGGCGTGGAGGCTCGCAAAGTCCGAGTAGCGCTTCTGCACGATGTAGGAGCGGAGCGGCAGGCGGAGGGTGATGTTGTAGAGCGTGTAGGGTTTGGACGAGCCCTCGTCGGAGACGCTCGTCGATGGGATGGCGATTTCGGGTGGCGGTGCCATGGCCACGCGTGCTCCTTCGTTTGTGCTCTGGCGGGAAAGGGGGCGTCTTCGTCCGTCGGTCGCCCAATGCAGAGAGGTACGGTGACGACTGAGTATGTTTGTTTGTCGGAGATCGGTTGGGCTGTACGGATATGTGTTAATCCCAGAGGTCGAGATCGGTGGCGTCGTGTGACTTGCTGCGAGGGTGCAGTGGTGAGCCGTCGAGGGGTGGATGGAGGTGATCAATGATGCAAGCCCGCCCGGCCGCAGCAGCAGTAGCGCCAGTCTGCAGTCTGCAGCGACGTTAGCGCCCGGGTCGGCGAGATGGCGGCGCTCTAGCTTTGTTGGGTGGCGGGCCGGGCACTGCAGGGCACCTGAATGGAGGTACGTACTGGACCTCAGCGAGATGAAGTGGCTCCTGGTCGCCTGCCCGCTCACCTGAGCGTGCCTGGCCGCTGTCTGGTGTTCACCCTCTCAAGCTCACCTGGCCCGTGACATGGATTAGGTTGGCTCAGTGTCCCCCGTGAGTGCTTCATCAAACCGCACAATTGCCTGCCTAGTCTACTGACCAAGCAGGGACTTTTCTAGGTAAATAACTACACTGTGCTTGTCCCCAGTAGCGCAGGCAGAAACAAATCGTCAACTCGCGTGCCAGTCGTGTGCTGCCTGGAGTCTGGCTGGTTGTCAGCCCGTTGCCGACTCACTGAGGCTGTTCACACCCGCAACCTCCTCGGCACGTCTGTTCCCGTTTTCAGCTCGGATACCTACCGATCAAACACGGGCAAGCTTGAGCCTGACTTTTTGACTGCCGTCATCATCGCGCAGCCAGGGACTTGGGCGCGAACGCTGCTTCGTCGCGATCTGCTTCGCCTACCCTGCATGATACCAACAAGTCAAAGCAAACATGACACGACCCTGGGCTCATATCCCATCACTTGTTTCAAATGATCCTTGATTCGTTGCATTGGCCCAGGAGCCTCCCAACTAATTGTCCAACATGTTCTAGACCCCTCCCGGATACGGGAGTCTCCCCGACCAAGACAACACCACGCCGTACTCACGGCTCATTAAGCGTTATACCCCAGTGGCGATGCCCGGCTTGCCAGCCACTTCCCAGCCAGACCCTTTTTCATGTGCTCTAAACGCCCAGCGACACCAGCTCTGCTTCGTCGCACAGACTATGCTGCCGCCTAAAAGGTCTCCTGGTCGTCGAGCGCCGCCTCCTCCTCGGGAATCTCGAAGCCCTCCTCGGTTGAGTACAGGATGGCCTGGATTTGCTTGATGAGGCCGTCCTCCTGCTTCTCCAGTTCTGGGTCCTCCTCGACGGCCTGCTGGATCAGCAGCTCAATATCGCGCAGCTTGCTAAAGTAGAAGTCGCGCTCCCTCTCGAGCCCAGAGACCGTCTCCTTGAGGGTCGCATTCTCCTGCTGCAGGGCGGCGGTGCCGGGGCCGGCGGCCTTGGCGAGGCGGGGAGCGCCCGTCGAAGGCGTGGTGCCTCCTCTCCGCGCGCCACCAGTCGCGATAGGGGCCTTTGCGGAGCTGGGCAAGGCGCCACCCTTTCGGCGGGCGACGGCGTCGTAGTCGTGGTCGGGGAAGTTGAGGTCCCAGAATTTCTTGGTCCACTGGAGGAATTCGAGGTTGTCCTGCATCTTGCACTTGATGAGGGCTTCGACGGGGATGGGCTTGTCGATCTGTTTCTTCGCGAAGATGTCTTGGACCGTCAGTCGCGAGAGCGAGGCGGCGGTGGAGCCGGTCACTGCTTACTCTGGAGCACCTTGAAGTTTTGGATGTATGCCCACTCGCCGTTGGCGTTGAACTTGACCTTGGACATGGGGACATCCATGTAGATGCTGTCAAACACCTGGCACAGAGCGGCTCTGCGAGATCAACCGTGATTAGTCGACGTGTCGTGCGCGCCGGCACAGCACCGCTTGCGGGCGAAGCGCCATCGGAGAAGAAGCGGGGGAGGGGCAGGTCAGGGTCAACTCACCCAGTACCACACTGCTCAACCTTGGTGATGTTGAGCTGGAGGAGGCTGTTGAGCCATTGCACAAGCTCCTGCCTGTTCTCGTGTCAGAGCGGACCGCCTCATGGGCTCGCGGCTCGCGGCGGGCACCAACCTGGACTCGCCCATCTTGTTTGTTTGTGTCGGCTCGGTCGCGGTGCGGCGGTGGCAGAGACTCGCGACGACTCGCGGTGAGAGCGGCGAGTGGGTGAAATGAAGCTGCTCGGTGGAGATGTAACGCTCGAGACGATGCCGCAGACGAAAAGGAAAGACTAAAAAGCACCGGGTATCGAGAAACGGGGATGAAGAATGGCGAGGCAGTGATGGAAAAGGGTGCCTGGAGAAATTAACCCACCAGGCCGGCCAGGTGGTGGATGGACGGTTCCAGATGACGGTCGGGCAAAGCAATGGCGCTGGTCGTCCAATCAACGGCCGAGGTGGGGCGCCGCGCAGGCGACGAGCGAGGTGGGCTTGGTGGGCGACCGGGAAAACAACGGGCACTCCCGGGGCGGCGCTGTGGTGCCCGTGACTGGCCTGAGCAAATACGGGGTGCCCGGTGCCTGGAACTGGAGGGTGCCCCATCCCACCGCTGATGAGCGCGCCACGGGACGCTGGCAGCGGGGTTGCTCAGCACACATTCGTACCTTGTGGGTGTCCATGGTGCCAGTGAGGGTCGGGTGCTTCTACGTCGCCAACATGCGAATGGCATGTTTCCCCCCAAAAAATGCCAACCTCAGCTATAGCGTATCATGACGGCTCAGTCTGGCGGCTGATATAATGTGCTTCAACTCTGCTTCGTCGTTAAGAAATGGCGTTCATCCTTCGCCCACTGACGGCCCAGACCTGGTGGAGGTGGGCGGGCTGTTCCAGGCACGGCCCAATCAGGCAAGTTCTCCTCACCGCCAAAATTTTGAAGCGGCAGAAAATCAGCGGACCCCGGTCTCAGCGCTTTCTGCAGACCAATTTTTGCATCCTGAAGGCTTGCCATTGCTCGTAACGACCGGGTCACCCCCCAATTGCCACATCGTAATGGCGCCGCAAAAACGGAAACCCGAGGACGACTTCATCTACACTCTCTCCGACAACGAGGACGGCCCCGCGGTCCCGGAGGAAGAGCTGCAGGCCGCAGAACCCCCGAAGAAGAAGGCAAAAACAAGTAAAAAGGCCAAGCCGACCAAAAAGGACAAGAAGAATGCGAAGCAGGTAGACGAGGATGAGGACGAGGAGGGCGAAGCCCCGGAGGGTGTTTGGGGGCGCAACGACGAAGACGACGGCGCCATGGACTCGGACTTTGAATTTGTCGCGGAGGACGCCGGCCTCGGCGAGGACGAGGAGTTCGAGGGCTGGGGCTTCGAGGGTGCCAGGAAGGGCATCTCGTCGATCCGGAAAGGCGTCGATATTGACGACATCATTCGGCGCAGAAGAGAGAAGAAGAACGGCAAGGGCACCGGGCAAGACGCCGAGGAAGTGGCCGGTGATGCCGACCCCAGCGATGCCGAGGACTCCGAGGTCGAGAACGATATGGAAGTCGACCTAGACGACGATGCCGACGAAGTTCTCGCCGACGACGCCTTTGGCATGAATGCCGCTTCCGAGGACGAGGCATCGGAGAACGAAGGGTCAGATGACGAGGACAAGGACGTCGGTGATGAAGACGACGAGCCCGCCTCAGACAACGACTCTGTTGCCACACCCGTCGCCCACCCCGAAGACGATGGGTCTGACGCCAGCGACCAGGAAGATCCCGAGGAGCAAGCCAAGCGGGACGCCTTCTTTGCGCCCGAGGACAAGCAAAAGCCAGACAAGACCGATGTATCCTCCTTCATGGCACTGTCCTTATCCCGGCCCATCCTGAAGGGTCTTTCGGCTGTCGGCTTCTCCAAGCCCACGCCCATTCAGTCCAAGACGATACCGATCGCGCTGCTGGGCAAGGACCTCGTCGGTGGCGCCGTGACGGGTTCCGGCAAGACTGGCGCTTTCATGATCCCCATCCTGGAGCGCCTTCTCTACCGCCCCAACAAGGTCGCGACGACTCGCGTCGTGGTCCTCACGCCTACTCGTGAATTGGCTATGCAGTGCCATGCCGTGGCTACGAAGCTGGCGTCTCACACCGACATCAAGTTCACCCTGGCCGTTGGTGGTCTCAGCCTCAAGGTTCAGGAGGCGGAGCTCCGGCGCCGACCCGACGTGGTCATTGCCACCCCGGGTCGCTTCATCGATCACATGCGCAACTCGGCCAGCTTCAGCGTCGACACGGTCGAGATTTTGGTGCTCGACGAGGCCGATCGCATGCTCGAGGACGGGTTTGCGGACGAGCTGAACGAGATCCTCACGACCCTGCCCAAGTCTCGACAGACCATGCTCTTCTCCGCCACCATGACGTCGACTGTCGACCGCCTCATTCGACTAGGCATGAATAAGCCCGTGAGACTGATGGTGGACGCGCAGAAGAAGACAGTGGGCACGTTGGTGCAGGAGTTTGTGCGCCTGCGTCCCGGTCGCGAGGAGAAGCGCATGGGCTACCTCGTGCATATCTGCAAGACGCTGTATACGGAGCGAGTCATCATCTTCTTCCGGCAAAAGAAGGAGGCGCACAGGGCGCGCATCATCTTTGGACTCTTGGACCTCTCCTGCGCCGAGTTGCACGGAAGCATGAACCAGACACAGGTTAGTACGCGCCCGCCCGTTGACGCGGAGAGCAACATGCTAACTTGCACAGCGAATCGAAAGCGTCGAGTCGTTCCGTGACGGCAAGGTGTCGTATCTGCTGGCCACGGACCTGGCCTCACGTGGTCTCGACATCAAGGGCGTCGACACAGTCATCAACTACGAGGCGCCGCAATCCCTGGAAATCTACGTGCATCGCGTCGGCCGCACGGCCCGCGCGGGGCGCAAGGGTGTGGCGGTTACGCTCACGGCCGAGGCGGACCGCAAGGTGGTCAAGTCGGCAGTCAAGGCGGGCAAGGCGCAGGGCGCCAAGATTGCGAGCCGCGTGATCTCGCCAGGCGACGCAGACAAGTGGCAAGGTCAGATTGACGAGATGGACGAGGAAATCGAAGCCGTCATGCAGGAGGAGAAGGAGGAGAAGCAGTTTGCTCAGGCGGAGATGCAGGTGAAGAAGGGCGAGAACATGATTGAGCACGAGGCCGAGATCAAGGGACGGCCCAAGCGCACGTGGTTCGAGACGCAGCACGACAAGAAGAAGGCCAAGGAGGCGGGGCGGGACGAGCTCAACGGCATGCGCGAGACGATGAAGAAGAAGGGCAGCGGGCGGCTGAGCAACAAGGACAGGAAGCGACTGGACGCAAAGGCGGACCGTACCGAGGAAAAGCTGTGGAAGAAGGGCAAGAACGCGGCGGCGGCGGCGGCGGCCGGGCCCAAGGGTAAAGGCGGCGGCAAGAAGGCGGGCAAGGCGGGCAAGCCGAAGGGCAAGGCGCGGCGGTGATGGTCGTCTGGTGAGGTGGGGAGTGATGCATGATGATGGACGGGCGGCATTGCGCGTGTAAATGAGTGTGAAGAAATTATTGTACCGCCAAAGCAGTCAGTCCTGGTGCTACCGAGGAGGTCCTTGTGCCGGGTCCTTTGCGTCAGGACGCTCGAGCCGTGTCGCGAAACCCGGAGCGTGACGATGCTCGTGGCATCAGAACGTCGTGTAATTCGCACGTCCCCTGCTGAGGTAGGTTGGGTGGTTGGCGGCGCCCCGCCGTCGCCGTCGCCGCCGCCGCCGCCGCCGCCATGTGATGACATAAGGCGGCGGCCTGGAGCCCATCACGAGCTCGCTTTGCTTTGCATCTGCATTCACGTCGCCTCCCAGATCCGAGTCACGGCATTGGACGTCCGGTCAGGTGCCTGCATCAGCGAACCGCCCCGTACAGGCACTGTACCTACCTCGGAAGCGAGCCAGCCTACGTCGTACAGCACCGCGTCCGCCGACCGCACCGGACGAGCGAGCCTGTCTCCTGTAGCTGGCAGTAACCAGCAACCCTGCTGGGGCAGGACTGGCTGCGGGTGGCGGGCTGACCTCCAGCGCCTCCGAGGGACGGACATTCACCTCGGCTATAAAAGCAAGCGAACGCTGACGACAATTGTGTGCCCCGCGACTGTCCACGATCGACAAGCTGGCGCCGCTGAGCCGACTGTTTGGCCTCCTCCGCCCGCCCCCGCATCCGCATCGCACCAGGCCGGGCATCATACGATACTTCCTCCCTCGTCTCCACGATCGCTACCGCGAACGCCTTCTCGACTTCCACCTCGAAACTCTCCCCTCGCTCAAGCACCGCCTCCAGTCGCGCGTCCACCGGTACATCCTCGGCCGCCAGCGCAGGCGCGCCGACGGCTCTCGCGTCGTCGACCTCGTCGCGAGGCACGGCCGGCGCCTACTGAACCCCCCGAGACCGCCCAAGGATGCGAGCGGCCTCCCTACTAGGCGACCTACCAAGAGGCCCAGCCCGGTGACCATGGCGGGCGTGACGGAGCCCGGCGATGCGTCGGCGCAGGACCTCGGCGAGCGCGGCGAGAGGGGGTACAGGCGCCGCAAGCTCGCCGCAATGGCCGGCAACATATACCGCAGCGGGCAGGCCGCCGTCAGCGAGATACGTGAGTCGTACGTGCAGGCGAGAGCAAGAGGCATGGACGACCCCGGCCAGGAGAGCACGCATATTCCGGGCGCCTTCCCCGACGTGGCTATAACGTCGCACGGCGACGAGCAGATGGTGCTGTTTCCGTCGTACGGGAAGCACCATGTCAAGCGGGACTGGAGCAGGATGCAGCAGACAAACGTCGAGGCGGCGCCCCAGCCTGGCAATAGGGAAGACGAATGGTGGCGACAAGATTGGGAGAGGAGCGAGGACGAAAAGGCCGTCGTCGACGTCGACGTCCGGGGATGGATCTACAACCCTCACACCGGGCCCATGACCAGGAGGAACCGCATCTTGATCGGTCTCGCGCGCCAGTTGAGTGGCATATCGGCACCCAAGGCGGACCAAAACTCCACTCCAGCTACTGGCACGGGGCTGCAGCAGCAGCAGCAACAGCAACAGCAACAACAGCAGCCATCACCGCTACTTAGCCATCACCAGATGCACGAGCAGCAGCGCGAGCAGGAGCGTATCGCACAGGAAGCCGCCGCCATCGAGCGCAAGGGCCAGGAAGAGAAGCGCGTCGCCTACGCGGGCGGCTATAGCGAGGCACCGCAAGGGACCTCGGCTCAGCCTGGCGCCGACACCTTGCGTCCCTACCGGCCTCGCCGTCGCGGCAGCCAGACTCCCGAGTCGGCGCCGGGGAGCCCCAACCTCGGGCCGCGCCAGGCGTCGTCGAGCGTCTACGAGATGAGCGAGGCGGAGCTGGTCCTCGCGAATGCCAACCTCATGGCCCGCGTCGCCCCCTTCATGACCAACCCTCTCGTTGCGCAGCCCATCACCATTTTCTTCTACAACGAAACCCAGTCCCAGTCGCGAACGGTCCTTACGAATGACGCCGGCCACTTCATGGTTCGCGCCCCCCTCGACTTTGTCCCCACCGAGGTGCGCGTGCTTGCCAACGAGCGGCTCTCGGCGACGCAGGAAATCAAAATCATCGAGCCCCGGGGCGTGAGCCTCATCAGTGACGTCGACGACACCATCAAGCACTCCAACATCTCGGCTGGCGCGCGCGAGATCTTCCGTAACACATTTGTGCGCGACCTCAACGACCTCACCGTCGACGGCGTTAAGGAATGGTATACGCGAATGCACGACCTCGGCGTCAGCATCCACTACTGCTCCAACAGTCCCTGGCAGCTGTTTCCCGTACTGGCGAGCTTCTTCAAGCTCGGTGGGCTACCCCCGGGATCGCTGCACCTGAAGCAGTACTCGGGCATGCTGCAGGGCATTTTCGAACCCGTCGCAGAACGCAAGAAGTCGACATTGACCCGACTCATGCGTGACTTTCCGCGCCGCAAGTTTCTACTCGTCGGCGACAGCGGCGAGGCGGACCTGGAGGTGTACACTGACCTAGCAATGGCAAACCCGGGTCGCATCCTAGCCGTCTTCATCAGGGATGTGACTACGCCAGAGCGGACGGGATACTTTGACTCGACGTTCGAGACGGCACGCCGCAAGACATCGAGCATGACGCTAGACGACGGCAGGCCATCGTCAAACGGGAGTACGGTTCGGCAGAACTCGGCTCCCGTGACTCCCATCGAGGGTGGTGGTAAGACATCCACGGGGCCTATGATGGGCACCTTGATCGACTTCTCCGACGAGCCAGAGCAGGCCAAGCTGGATGAGGCGGCAGCCCTCGCGCAGGTGAAGAAGGCCAACGCCGTGAAAGCTCTCAGTGCCACAGACCTGCTCTCGGGCAAGAAGGCTGCGCCGCCGCCGCCCGCGAAACCGGCCGCGCTGCGTGCGCGGCGATCAAACGCAGACATGCGCGAGGGTCCAGGGCTGGGCTTGATAGACAAACCGCCTCCGCCACCGCCTCGGAAGGCAGGGGCAGGGGTTCATCCGCTCTCGCAGATGCAAAAGTCATCCCAACAGTCGGTCAGCAGCCGGAGCAGCACCCCGAGAGCACGACCACTGCCGTCCCAGAAAGACCAGGCAGCCGAACCCCCTCCACCGCCTCTGCCGCGTCGCCGTGGGCCCCCCTCGCTCAAGAGCATGAGCCCGCGACTCTTTGGTCACGCGCGGTCCAACTCGGACGTGGACTTTGACCCCCTGCCGCCGTCATCGGCGGCGCCTTACGCCATGTCGTCGTCATCATCTTCGCTGGGTCCCGGCGCCTACGGCCGCTCCGGGGCGCGCTCGGGCGGGACAAACACCCCCGCGGGAGGCGGCTCGCCGACCCTGGGCCCCGTCAACAAGAAGCTGGAGCTGTGGCGCCGGCGGCTGGCCAGGGCGCACGAGGTGCTGGACGCGCAGGGCGTGAGGCTGTATACCTGGCGAAGGGGCCAGGACGTGGAGGCCGAGGCGGTGGGCATCGTGAGGCAGGCGCTTGAGGAGATGGCTCGCGAGGAGCGCCGGCGGCGGGGGAGGTGAGCCGTGCAAATGTAGGTCTGGGATGAAGGAATGTGGTGGGCGTACAAAAGGAGTGATTTGGGCGTCGGGGAGCTATGTATATACAAGCATAGACTGGGAGAGGGCTGTAAGAACAGTGAAAGGGGGCATAGCGGGAGGCATAGCGTCGAACAACAACACATGGCAGATTATGAATAGCGGCCAAACGAATATAACAGGCAATGATCTAAGAGTGATGGGCTTGATTTGGGCCGTGTATATCGTAAGCGTCGAAGGCTTGAACAACTATCGCCCAGGTCTGGCCGGCCAGAGCTCGTCGACTAGGTATCCGGTAGGTCCTCCGACCTCTGCACGAACGCCTGGGTGACGGAACTCGGATGCTTCTACCGGCACGACGGCTCTGCGGCCACAAATTGACCATGACTTTATCATGCTCTATGATCCCGTTGATGGGCATTCGTCCTCCCCTTGCTTTGGACACACGAGTTTACCTACCGTAGTCTGATGGTGGTGTCCACCGACAGTTGACGGGGGACTGGAGCGGCCGGCACCGCTAGACGGCGCATTTAGCACGCGGACATGCTAATTGATGGCAAGAAAGTGGGAGGTGACGCTGTGAGAAGAAAGTGTTCCTTGGGCACAGGTAGTGTTCGCTGCTTTTTCACTGCTTGAAGCAGTCGGACAGAGGCGACGCAAAATGCCCAACCCGCGGGCGCTGTCTGTCTAATGCATCTAGGTAGTTTGACGATGAGTCGGCGTGAGACTCTCATAAGTTAGGCACCGGTCTTGCAGCCGGTCCGTCGCAGCACCACCTCTGCTGCACCACAAGAGGGCCAGAAGGCTGTTGCCGCTGCCGAAACCAAACCGGGCCATACGTAACGTCATGTCCAGATAGACTGCTGAGTAACCCGGACGGGCAAACTCAATGCGTCCGACGAGCGCGCGGGCGCAAAGTGCACGCACCCTTCTTCAGCTCGGCCGGCCCCCTTCTTCTTCTTCTTCGCCTGAGGTGGGCGCGCGGGCGGGTGTTCTTACCCAAGACCCGCCGCGTCGGGAGCAACTGCCGAGGGAGCCGTCGATCCCCATGGCTCGGTTTCGGGGCGCATCTTGTTGTGCTACTACGGACGTACGCGGCCGGCCACCCCTACATGGTCGACTCCTCCTACACAGCCCCCCCGGAGCCGTCTCTGGGACCAAGTGGGTGTGGTATGGGAAACACGGCACTGGAAGAGCTGCACTGCCCATTGGATGCTCGCAACGACGGGATTACGCGGACGAGGTGGGCGGGCATGCATGTTCACACTTCTTCGGACGCATTGCCGTGGTGGTTGCCGCTTCGGCAGCACAGCTGGTTTGGTGTAAGTCGAGTTGGCAGACCCATGTGAGGCATAGCATGATGCAGGATAGAGCGCACGGGGGGACACCGGAACAGGCCCCATCTCGTCATTACGTTCATCACTGCGCTGCATCATTACCCAGGTAGCCAGCGCAGCGGGCAAACCGGCACACTAACTTAGCAAGCTGAGCCTGGGACGACGGGGGCGGCGGTGGGCGCGTCAGGATGGGGCCACCGCCGCGGCTGGGACGCCTTGGCGATGGCGGTGGCCCCGGCGCGGTTTGACGAGACGGACGGGTCATGATGACTATTTCTACTAGGTTGTCTCTTGGGGTTTCCGTCCCTCTGCTTCCGCAGTTCTCTCGTGGCACGAGCCGGCATACATCATCGGGCCTGCTTGCTCGACTCGTCCTGGGACGTCAGTTGCCGTCGACGATGCGATGGGTGGTGATTCCACCAGCACCACCAAAAGACTGGAAAAGCCAGCAGCATCGTCATCGCCGTCGTCACGGGATCCAAGCCCCGATGGGTAGTTACAAAAGAGGCCAGAGGCAGAGGGAGAAACATGAAAGAAGGCCAAAAAAGCAGGAATAAGCCGCCGGGCCCAAAAACTCTATCGCAAGCCGTCTCCGCGGTGCTAGGCCAGCTCCGTCGAATGACATCACACCACTGTGACCTTGGGGTGTTCCCTGCAGGTGCAGCGGCAGCGGCAGCGCACTAACTAGGCAGCGCATCACAGCACAGCAGGGGTGCCCGAGGGGCCACTTCCATGCGCCTTCAGCGACGATGGGCCGCCGCCGCCTCCACTGTCGATTTTTCATGTAGGTACCTAGCAGCAGCGGACATGCGGTCGGTGGGGCCACCGCCGTGGTTAGATCCCCCCCAAAGCCTCCTAAAGACCACCCCGGCGGGCGTAGGTTTCCCGCTAGTGGGGAACTGGAGCTTCCGTCCCAGCTGTAGGTGTGCGCCCGGGCTCCTGGAGAACTCCAGCTGGCACTAACCTACGGCGCAGTCGCAGTGGACGACACCGCCTGACCTCATCTAGGTACCTACAGATTGAGCCCAGCCCAGGTCCCCGCCAGTCGGGGCAAGTGCAATCATTGCGCCAAGGGAAAGGTCAGGTAGTGCCTTCCTCTACTTCAAGTCAGGCAAGGTGAGGACGGTACTTGGTGAAATGTACATACGTGCCCCATCCACAAAGTACTCCGTAGCGGGCGCAGGTGCAGCCATAACACCGACGGCGGCGGCGGCCTGCGGTGGGCTGATGCCGCGGTACCCACGAGGTTACTTGGGCTCTTGGAAAGCGAATTGGGCGGGCGGCCCAACCCACATGTCGTCATCGTGCGAGAGAGTTCCAGGAGCTCCAACAGAGAGACGTAATCCAATGCTAACCCGGGCGCGCAACACCACTCGACACACGCACACAGACACACACACTCACACACTGACTGGCTGGCAGGCCCTCTCTCTGGCTCTGCTCTGCTCTGCTCTGCTCTGCCGGCTGCCCGGGCCCCCGGCCGTGGACAAATAATAAAGCACTTGCCGTATCCTCCTCCTCCTCCTCCTCCTGCTCCTCCTGGCCCTCCTCCTCCCTCCGCCCCCGGCTGCTGTCCCACATCCTGTTTTGTTGCACATCGTCAGCTTTACACCCACCTAATCACTACTGTGCGAGGCGTGTGTGTCTCCCTGTTTTTGCACCCCCCTCGCCGCCGCCGCCGCGTAGCAGCAGCAGCGCGAGCGACACGTCCTTGCCATTCAATCAAATACAAAAACCGACCCCGGCTTTTCCTTCGCTCGTCGGATCGCGCGCCGCAATTTCACTACCACGGACTACCGCTACCGCTAGCAAGCAAGGGGAGAGAGAGCTCCAGACAGCCGGCTCCACATCACTGCCGCTGCCGCTCGCCCCCAACTGAGACATCCTCCCAGGTGTGTAGCTCGTCGCGCGACCTTGTTCCCGTCGTCTCCTCCCCAGCTCCTCCTCCGTCGCGCCATCCCCATTGTCCGCGACGTGGGCGAGAGAGAAAAACACAGAGGAGAAAGACACGACTAACCCCGTGCGTGTGCGGCCTTTTAGTCAGGGAAACTCGTCGGCGAGCGACGTATTTAATAATACCTGCGACGCGAAGCAGCCCTACCACCACCTCTCGCCGTCTGTCGCGCGCCCCGAGCGTCGTGATCCCCTCAACCTCACACCACCTCACTCATCCTTGAGCTGTCGCCACTCGTCGTCTGGCCGCCACCATGTTCAAGAGTGAGAGCGCAGCCTGCGGCCTTCTCAATGGGAAGCAGACAAGGCTAACTGAAGCAACAGACGCGCCCCTCGGCCTCGCGGCCCTCATCCTTCTCGCGGCCTCCCTCCTGTTCCTGTGGTTCGTCATCCTCGCCGGCGTCAGCGACGTCACGCCCCTCAAGCACACGTACTTCCTGCAGGCCGACACGGATGGCATCACCGGCGCCCGCCCCGTCTCCCGCTGGACCTACTTTTACGTCTGCGGCACTCCGGACAATGCCGACTGCGGCTCCGCCCATCCCGCGCCGCCCTTTGGCAAGTTCGTCTGGGACAGCAACCCGCAGAATGCGCCCGCTGCTCTGGTCGGCTCCCACGGCTCCGGCACCACCAGCTACAAGTACTACTACATGTGGCGCTTCGGCTGGGTCTTCCTGCTCCTGACCCTCTTCTTCGAGACCCTCGCCTTCTTCACCGGCTTCCTCGCCTGCTGCGGCCGCCTCGGCGCCGCCATTTCGTTCCTGCTCGGCGGCTTCGCTCTCTTCCTCTACTCGATTGCCGCCGCCCTGACCACGTATGTTTTACTCTGCAGATGTCCTCCTCTTGTCTCTCCCGCCGCGTAACAAGCTGAGCTGAACTCAACTGACACTCGTATAACCAGCGCCACCTTCGTCATGGCCCGCAACCAGTTCCACAACGACGGCCGCGACGCCAGCATCGGCAGCTATGCCTTCGGCTTCCTCTGGGGCTCCTACGCCGGCCTGCTCATCGCCGTTGTGCTCTTCGCCCTTGGCATGCGCAAGGACCGAGCGGCCGGCGCCGCCACGGCCTCGGGCGGTGCAGGCACCGGTCGCCGGCGCTTCTGGGGACGACGCAGCCGCAGCACCCGCAGTCGCTCCTACGATGGCCGCCGCGTCAAGGACGACTACTCGTAAATGCACAAAGCGGGACATTGACCCGGCACGTCGCTGCTACGCGCACCAACGATTTCCGTTGTCTGCGCGGCGGATTCGTCGCGTAGCGCTCTGTGCTCGACCGACTGGCTGTTCTCCCGCCTGCACACACAGCTAACACACAAACACGCAACTGTTTTTGGACCGGCACGGGGGCCGACAATTCACAAGCGCGCGTCTCCTAATTAATGTAATCGGTAATCCACACGCGCCATGAGGCCGTCCTTGTTGAACGCGCGCGAACGCCCCCGTCGCCGGCTTTTTGCACCGCAACTTTGATTATTTTTATATTTTCCCATCACGAAGATCAACGACTTGTCCTCCTCGTGTGTACATAATCTGGGGGGAAGGGGGCCGTGTCCTCCTTGATGGGATGAGACGAGGGATGGAGACAGGGGATAGGGAAGGAAAAGGACGGACGATGATGGATGATGATGGGATGTTCGTAGTAGGGCGGATTCGTCACTCGTTTAGACGGCTAGGATACCACATGGGATGAATGAATAGGATGGATGGGATGAATGAACTGTGAACTTGGTTTTTGGAATGTATGGCCCGGACGAAATGACTTGTCCGTGTTTTCTCGTCTACCTGGTCGTGTCTCTGTCATGTCCTGCCCGTGTTTGTATTGATGACCCTGTGACGTGGGTTTGGGAGTGGGTTCCATGGCGGCGACCAGCGGGCAAGAGGATGAATGCGATGCCGTGTCTGTGCCTATCTGCACGGGTACCTGGGTGCGTGTACTGCCATCGAAGTCTTGCTCCCCCCCATTGTCGTGCCTGGGCATCAATCACTTCACTTCACGTCACTTCACGTCGCTTTTACTTCCGTCTCAACCAAGCCTCAGCATGGCGTCGCGACAACAGACAAGAGCAGCAACAGCAACAAGAGCAACAAGCCAAGTCAAGTCAAGTCAGGTCAAGCAGCCAAGTCAAAGGGGCATTCCTCGTCACCCGGTTTGTTCTTGTGTTTATTCGCACACCGTCGCGCTCACATGCCCTGCCTGCCCGACTACCTACTTGGCTACCTGTCGTGCCGTGCCGGACCGCGAACCACCCAACCACCTCTCCCTCTCCGTCCCCATCACCATCCCATCTATGCGGGTATACATTCGTGTATCAAAGGAAAACGAGACATCCATCCATCCATCCATCCATCCAGTCCCCTCCAGTGTAGTCCGTTGCACAATCCCCTTCACGGTCCCCTATGCACCCATTCATCCGCCCGTGACCGTTCTCCGCCCCAGCCATCTCGCCCATCTAGCTCGCAGAGCTCTGCTGCCGAGCATAAACAGCCATCGAAACATGAGACGCCTCCATGCATTGTAGATGTAAGAAAAGTGTTCCGATAAGAAGTAATCATTCGACCACCCTCAACCGTGACGCCGGCCATCAAACACCCTGTTGCTACAACATCGCGCCGAACACGATGCCAGCTCCGTCGGCCGATGGTGCGGGAGGGCGACGATCGCCCACGGGCAACGCCGAGCCACGAGACTACGCTCGCGAGGCGGGCCTCAAAACTCTCCGACAGACTTCTGCAGCAGTGGACTCCCGAGGGGGCTCACCGAGTCGAGCGGCGCCGCGTGCAGCGCCGGTCGAGAGGGTCCGCCGGTGCCCGAGCGCTCCTGCTTCCGCTTGAGCACGCCCTTGACCCAGTCGGCCACCTCGTCGTCCTCGGTCCCGCCGCCCAGCTGGATCTTGCCGACCGCCTCGGCCACCTTTTCGGCCTCCTCGCCCTCCTCGGCCTCCTCGGTGATGGTCTGCGGCTTCGAAAACGGCTTGAGCCATGGGTGCTGCAGCAGCATGGCGTACGTCGGCCGCTTCTTGGGGATCTTGTGCAGGCAGCTGCGCACAAAGTCGCGGGCCGCGTCCGAGAAGCCCTCGGACGGCAGATCCGGCGGGTCGCCTTCGACAATGGCCTATCGCAAATTAGTAACTATTCATTCCTGTCGGGCGAGAGAGAGAAAGATTGCACTCACGTTGAGTTGGCTGAAAATGGTTGACGACACCTCGGGCGGGTAGGGGTAGCGGCCCATGGCGCACTCGATGATGGTCAGGCCTAGGCTCCACACGTCGCTCTGCACGCTGTAGGTGCCGTCCGCGTTGCCCGACTGCGCCATGCCGCCGCCCGATATCCTCTCGGGTGCCATGTAGCTCTGGCAGCCAATGTTGGTCTTGGCTATGCTGGCGACGAGGTTGCCGCTGACGCCAAAGTCGCATATCTTGATCTGGCCCCTGGTGTTGACGAGCACGTTTGTCGGCTTGACGTCGCGGTGGATGATGTTGTGGTCGTCCTTGAGCGTCTTGAGGCCCATGACCGTCGAGTATGTAATCTTGCGCAGGATGCTCTCGGGAATGCCGCCGTCGTACAGCTTGTCGATGGAGCCGCCGTCCATGTACTCGATGCAAATGTACACGGCGCCCTCCTGGAAGAAGGCTCCGTAGAAGTCGATGATGTATGGCGACACGCACTCGTGCAGGATGACGAGCTCCTTGAGAATGGTCGTGAACTTGGCGTCGTCCAGCTCGAGCCGAATCTCCTTCATGGCCATGACCTTGCCTGTGGTGCCGTCGGCGCCGCTGGCGTCGTCTGCCGTGCTCCCCTGTGAAGCATCCGACGGCCTATGCTGCAGGCGAGCACCCGACAGACCCTGGCCGAACCGTGGGACGGCGGGCTTGGCATGCCTGACCTTGTAGACCGTACCGTAGTTGCCCTTGCCCAGCTCGTCGAGCTTTTCCACTTCGTCGAGAGAGATGCTAAAGGTCTGGCCGTTGGCAAAGTTGACGCCTGTCCTCGTGATTGTGGCAGCGCCGTCAAAGGTTATCCAACCCTTCTCGGCGTCAATGTACTGCTTGTAGTCGTCGAGCTTGGAACCCTGGCCGGAGCCGTTAGCCTTTGGCTCGCCGGGTTTACTCCCGGTGATGTCCGAGAGCTTGAACCCGCCGGGGGATGGCGAGGCGCCGCCCATGTCGGAGAGCTTCATGCCCATGCCCAGCTTGTTGGCTCGTCGCTGGCTGAGGGACTGCCCCGTGGTCGACGGTGCCGAGTTGGCGTGCGGCACCGGGCCGGGCCGTTGCAGGTTCGGGGGCATGCGGAGGGTGCCCGGGAAGCCGTTGTGGCCGGCCATGGGGCCGCCGGGCGCGGGGGACGTGGGGGAGCTGGAGTTGGGCGTCATGCCCTTTTGCATGCGGTGCTGGTGCAGGGCGCGGGCCCTGGCCATGACGCTGTTGTCCATGCCAGCGGCGGCACCGGCACCGGCACCGGCGGCGAAGGGCGACCCCATGGGGACGGGATTCCTGGCCATGCCGAGGACGCCGCGGGGCGTCGAGTTGGGGTTCATGTTATGATGGGGTTCGGAGACGGAGCGCAGGGACGGCATGCGTTTGGGCTTGTCTAGCGAGGGTTCGGAGGAGGGGTCGGAGGCCTCGTCGAGGGGCGTGCTGGCTTCGGAGGACTCGTAGCCGGGGGAGACGGGCCCGTCGAGGTCGCTGTCGGAGCGCACCTCGTCCGGCGTGACCGGGATCGAGCCGGAACCGCTCATGGCTTGGGAGTTGCGGCGCGGAGACGGAGGAGACGGGAGGAGAGGAGGGGAGAGGACGGAGGCTGGGTCGGGGCCTGAAGTCCGAACCAGGAATGAGGTCGGACGGCCTCAGGGAGTGGCAAGACCCTAGACCATGCGACGTGAACAGCCTCGCTGGTGAAAGCTTGTGGCTCGTATGGTGCCGGAGGGGCCGTGTACGATGACAGCAGATGGTCGGAGTCGCCGGCCAAAAGTCGAGCGGGCGGAGTGTCTGGGCGCTGGCTGTCAGGCTCGTCGGGGCGCGTGCGGCGCGGAGCGAAGCGGTGCGGTTCGCGGCAAGTCTCTCGTGCCTACTGCGGAGCCGGATCGAAGACGAATGCGCAATGGGGGGCACGAAGGAGTCGCCCGTTGGGAGTCGTGCCTGCAATGGGAGGGGGGTTTGGTGGTTGGCGGTTTGGCTCAGGGCCGTCGAGGTTGGTGCTCGTGCAGTACAGCGAGCAATTGCCGTGGTGTTTGGGGGAGAAAAGCGACGCGAGCAGGCCGTGCAAAGCACGAGACGTCAGCGGGACGACGGCGAGCCTTGTCGGTAGTGTGCTTTGTGCTGGTGGTGGTGGTGGCAGTGACGGTGGCAGTGGTGGTGGTGGAGGGCTGGTGGTTGTACGAATAGTGGTGGCGATGTCGAGTTGGGGATTGCGGGACAAAATTCCAGGTTGGCTGTGGTGGCCGGGGCGGGCGAGGCCAGCAGCAGCGGGCAACGGCAGCAGGCCAGGCCGGGCCACGCGGTCCCGTCGTCGAGGGGCGGCGCGCGGGCGGCCGATGGGCGAACCGCTGGGGAGCGGGCGGGCGGGGGTCCGCAGTAGGTTCCAGGTTGGAGCTGCCCAGCCTAGCCCAGAGTGTAGCAGCCTCCACTGGGAGCAGTGCAGCTGTCTCTTATACACATCTAGATGTGTATAAGAGACAGGCCCAGCCTAGCCCAGAGTGTAGCAGCCTCCACTGGGAGCCTGTCTCTTATACACATCTAGATGTGTATAAGAAGTAGGTTCCAGGTTGGAGCTGCCCAGCCTAGCCCAGAGTGTAGCAGCCTCCACTGGGAGCAGTGCAGTGGGCGAGCAGAGAGCACCTCGGCGGCCAGGCAAGCCAACGAGCAGGCGAGCCAGCAAGCAGTATCCCCCCAAGCGCAACGCAAGCGACGGACGGGGGGCCGTATAGTTGCGATTTGATGGGACGGGACGGTGCACCCGCAGTTGGAGGCAGGTTGGGCTGCGGGTGCCGACCAGGGAGCGCTGCCGGGCCTGGGCCAGCCTTGGGAGGGCTTGGGCCTGGACCCGAACCTGGAAAGCAGCCGGCTTGGAGCTGGAGCTGGAGCGGGCGGGCGCCAGGCGGAACGGACGGGGGGTAGCTGGTTTCTGGAAGTCTGGGCTGGCGATGACTCGGGGGGCTCGTGGAGACGAGACGACGGGTCTGTGTTTTCCTTGCTCGATAGCGGAGCAGGCGGGCACCCACCGAGGAAAGTGGCAGATGGAAGCGTGCCGTTGCGGATGGAAGAAGAGGGTGAGGATGAGATGATGTCTGGTGTGTGACTTGTTGAAGAAAGAATCTGCAGTCCACTGCTCAGAGCACGGACACGAGAGGTACAGAAACGCCTATTATCTGCTGCCTCGTAGCAGATGGCACAGCTGTGGTCATGTTGACGACGATGTCTCCAACTGCTGTCGACTGAGAGGTGATGCCGGGATGCCGGTGCTGCCCGTGGCCGCTGGTGCCCACGGTCCACAGGCTGTCCACTGGGTCGCCGCGCTGCTGTCCAACCTTCCATTCCATCCTCCAGCAGGAACCTGTAAACCCACAGCGGCCAGCGCCATAGCGGTCGACGGCGCAGCGCGGGGCGCCTGCACCGTGACGGAGGTGCCTGACGAGCTGCATGGAGTCCCGTTCCTTTCCTTGCCTACGGGTAGGTGCCCGCTGCACCAGCCACCTTCAAAGGTGGTACGCAGCATCAAATTACAACCCGCTTCCCACGACTCGTACATNCCACCGGAGCACATGCGCCGGACGCCACAGCGTGGATGCCGCACCATTGGCCGAGTGATGTCAGTTGTCGCGTATCGAAATCGCCCGCCCGACAGGGGTGGTGGCCAAGAACCCACTGGCCAGTCCTTGTTTCGGCCTCTCTCGTTTCTCCTCTGCGTACTTTGACTTGACTGCCCTGCTTGCTTGCTTGCTATTTTGGCATTTGCTACATACCTAGGTAAGGTAACAGGTACTAGGTAGGCAGCTTGTCGTGCCCCTGATATCATCATATCACCGCTGAGCGCAGGCGTCTCCGCCCGCGGATGCCACGTTTGGACTCGCTGGGGAAGCGGGACAGAACTAGGTGGAAACGAAAATCCATCACATCACTGTGCATCCGCGCGCGCGGCGGGTGCGTCCTCGTTGGCGTCCTCCACTTGTCGCGTGGCGTGGCGTAAGACAGGCCGTGGTGGCGTGGGCCTGGGCGTGGCGACGACGGGAGGTGCTTGCTTGGTGCTGGACGCTTGTTGTTCGTTGGACAGACGGGCGGTCAGGGCTGTGACGACGCGGGAGGGGGGCATGGATGGGGGGCCATGATGATGTTTTTGTCTGGCGTCGATGATGACGATGAGGGGAAATGAAATGATGTCGATGAGGGGTGGCAAGGGTGGGCATCGACACGCTGCGTCTTTAGCTGGATCGACGCTATTGCTGCCCTCGCCATGTGCCCGCTCCTGATTCCGAGTTGACTGCCCGTCCATCCGCCCCATCATATCCCATCATTCACTTGTAATATGCCAAGAACCTGTGACCTCTTGGGTCTCCTCCAACCATCCGTGCCATTCACGTACATACATACAATGATACCCCGTACGTATTAACTTATGGAGTACCTGTAGCTTAAGCACATGGGCAAGGCCACTTCGACAACGGCCACGGCAAACAGACCTCGCAGTGCCACCCGCCATCGTCTGCACCGCGTCTCGCCACGGGCCGCGCACCGACGCGAGCTCTCCTCTCCGCTGTTCACTCCCCATCATTATCGTCAGCGAGGGCACGCTCCGTGCATGGGCATCCCCCCCCAATTGCGCGGTCACGATAATACTCTATAGTCGCATCCGACATGTGAGCGCGCGGGGCATTGGGGGCGCGGGGACTACGTATGGGGGGTCACCGCTGGCGTTGCTGCCCGCCGTGACATGGCAGACGGACGAGCCGCCGTGCCATTCTTTCTCCACACATGCCGCCGTTGTGCCCGTGTTTCGTTGCACGGGCGTGCCTAAATTCTCGTAGATCTGAGGTTAAACAGGCCTACATACGTACTGCCTGCGTCGGTATCCATTCTGCGACTCGTGCACGTGAAGACGCAGAGAAGCGCCTCTGACGAATGCTGTGCCTTGGATAATGTCATGTTTGAAGCACAAGGCACGCGGGATTGCATGATCTCTGTGCTCATCCGAGTTGCACGGGTCGGCCGTAAGGGGCGTCGGCCACGGCCCCCGAACGAACGCCGTCCGCACGGCGAGGGCATTGGAGCATTGGGAGTTGGGATGTCGGGACGTCGTCTGCTTCAGGCGCGTGGCATCCCTGCCTCTCATCCCCCCCTCCCGCCGCCGCCCACCCGCCACAGTCGCCCTCGCCTCACCACGGCTCCCGTTCTGGGACGGACGCGCCACAGTCCTCCTTTCGACAGACTCCCGTCCGGCGCTCCCCGCAAAGCGCCCGCAGGTCCTGAACCGGTGCGGTTCAGCCCTTCGACAAGGCGACCGGCAGGGCCGATCAGTACTTGAACCTGACGCAGCATGTTTCGCGTCGTCCCGCTGGGGAGGCAGGCCGCTGCAACAGCCTCAGACAGCTCCCGTTGCACGTCGTCCGCTTGCAAGGAGGCACGCCTGACGTCGGTGCAGGGCATCCACAGGAGAGTGTACAGAGACGACATCATCGCATCGCTCTCGTACGCGCATCGCGTCATGACGGGGGGCCCTTGCGCTACCTCTACGTCTGCGAGGACGTTTCCCCAATATGGCACCTCTACTTCGTCGTGGCCTCGTGGACGCCCGTCCCGCCCGCCAAGTGGCCGGCAGCGAGTCTCTCTCTCCTGCGGGAGTGTTTCACTGGGGCAGCCGTGGCGTCTTGGGCTCGGAGAATAGTCCATCGGAGGAGGGGGGAACGAGCATTCGCTATCTGGGGGATCCTCAGCGTCCGTCATTGGACTGATTGATAACGTCGGGGACGTGCGCCAGGCGGCGGCGGCGACGACGAGGGACGAGGGGGCGGACTGGGCTGCCAATGGCTCGCTCGACTGCCGACGCCTGTGCTGCGTGTCGTCGACGCCCGCCAAGAACCGGTGTTTGGACGGATGGCGTGGACCTTTGGGACGTCGATGCTGGCAGAGCGCGGTGGCTGTTGGTGTGGTCTGGGGCCTTGCCCTGGGGCGTGGCGGGCTGCCTCTCACATCCATGAAAGTTTCGCATTTCTGCTGCAAGCCGGCCGTTGCGTGGTGGCGTGCGCCTGCTGGAGGTGCAGAGCCAAAAGGTCGAATCGAGACGACCCCATGGGCCGATCCACGCTGATGATTGGTCCGGCAGACGTTGGAAGCTTCAGCGCCAGTGTGATGGAGGCGCCAGCATCCATGATCTATGAGGTGGACAGGTGGGCCAGGGACCCGCTGCAGGCTGCTGAGGCTTCCGCTGAGCGCGACCAGCCTTGGGCTGCCCAGGTGTTTTCCAGGCGTCTCGGCCGCGCTGCCGGCGTGCGGCGTGCGTGGTGGCCCTGATTGTCGCCCGGAGAGGCGCTCCCGCCTGCATGGGGGCTGGGCGCTTGGTCGCTCCAGGTCCACCTCACCTCGCTGTACCAGCTGTCCGGGCAGCGCTTGTTGGCTCCACGCCGCAGGGCAGAGGGCAGAACAGCCCGGGCAGGCAATTGCAGCAGGCCCTTGCGTGCTCCGCCTCACCTGAGATTCTGCTTTTCGCCTCCCTCCCTGGCTCGACTGACGCAACACGGCCCCGGCTCTGCCGCGTTCCCCCCGACACCTCTCCCCTGCGCCGGCTTCCTGTTGTCTCTTCAGCCAAGAGCGAACGAAAAGAAGCAATCTGCTTCGCACCTACCTCGCCTTCCCTCGCCTCACACCGCCATGCCACCTCCGCGTCCAAGCCGTGTCTCGACGTCGTGACGACGCTGCCAGCAGCCCATCGCCAACCACCATCGCATCGCCTGATCCCGCCCGGGCCAGATCCGTCCTCTCCTGTTGCCTGCCTCCACTGCGGGCCGCCGCTCTGATAACGAACGACCCTGTTGTCCATTCACGCCCCGTTGTTCGCGACACCGGGCCGCCGTGTAACCACAAAACACCTCCTTCCCCCGTCTCGGCGTCCGCCTCGCTCTCGGTCGACTCGATAATTTCCTCGTTGCTCCGGTCGCACAAGGTCGCATCTCGCGCTGCCCGCCCCCCACGCCGCTCTCGCGAAAACGGCCGTCTCTTGGCGCTGCGCCGGCTGCCGCGCCTGCAACCCCAGAGTTCCACTCGAGCTGCGACTGACTGCGACCGACGACGCACTGAGCCTGTCCGTTCGCACGTCGTACCGCCTTTCACCTCGCGCTGTTGGCCGCCACTGCTCGACTTACTTTTTAAGGTTATTCGAGCCTTCGCCCTCGTCTGCGCTTGCGCGTTCGTCCGACCCGACCGGGCATAAAGGAGCGGTTCGCCCTGCTCTCGCAAGCACCGCTTCGGCAGCGGCTTCGACCTCGTCCCGCGCCTGCAGCCTGACCCGTCGTTCAGCGTCTATCCTCTCCGCGACTCGACCAGCGACGACATAGGGGCTCTGTTTGATGGCTTCTGCGGGATACTTCCCGGGCCCGACGTCGTTTCGCCTGGCGAAGCTCGCCCAAGATGCCTATGACTATCCCATGAGGGTCTTCCAGGCCGCGCCGCCGGAGACCCATCCTTCCCTGCCGCACCTCACCCTCCTCGTCTTCGAGGCTGTCCTAGAGGTTGTGTGCGTCAGTTTGCCGGGCTACATCATTGCCCGGCTCGGCCACTTTGATGCCGACAAGCAAAAGTTTCTGGCCAATCTCAATGTGATGCTGTTCACGCCATGCCTGAGTAGGTTGTCTTCTCGGTTGCGTCCCGGACCATGCTAACGTGTCGCAGTCTTCACCAAGTTGGCTTCGCAGCTCAACGCTGAAAAGCTGTCAGAGCTTGCCATTATCCCTGCCATTTTTGTTGTGCAGACGCTGGTGTCGTGGCTCGTGTCCTTTGTCGTCGCCAAGGTTTTTAGGTTCAACAAACGCGCGGCCAATTTCGTCACCGCCATGGGCGTCTTTGGAAACTCCAATTCGTTGCCGATTTCACTCGTTCTGTCGCTGTCGCAGACCATCAAGGGCCTGCACTGGGACCGGATCCCTGGCGACAACGACGACGAGGTTGCCGCGCGTGGCATCCTCTATCTCCTCATTTTCCAGCAGCTTGGCCAGCTCGTCCGCTGGAGTTGGGGCTACCACGTGCTGCTCGCCTCCAAGGACAAGTACCCGGAGTACCAGCAGCACGTCGCCGAGGAGGGCCAGTACCGCTATGAGGACCACGAGGAGCAGGAGGCCGAGCGCCTCATTGCCGGCCTGGACGGAGACACCGAGGATGACGAGGACGAGGGCAGCGTCGACTCGCACACGTATGTGCCGGCCGGCCGGACTCCCGTAGTCGGCACGTCCACGGCTTCCGTGGCCGATTCAAGCGACGACGAGTTTTCTCCCAAGAAGTCGCCTTCGAAAGTCGGCTCGACACCCGTCAATGGCAATCATCTGTCGCTCAATGGAAACGAGCCCCATTACATGGCCTTTCCTCGTGTCGGCAGCAGCAGCAGCATCACCCAGTTTGATTCCAACGGCGACGGCATCTTCGCCCGGGCAAAGGCATCCGTGGCGAGGGGGGTTCGCTCCGTTGGTGCTGGGATTGCCGGTTTTTTCTCGCGGCTCTACCAGAGCCTGCCTCGACCCGTTCAAGTGACACTGTCGTTCATCGCCACGGCGATTCGGAAAACGTGCAACTTCGTTTGGGAGTTCATGAACCCCCCGCTGTGGGCGATGCTGATGGCCGTTTTGGTGGCGTCGATCCCCAAGCTGCAAGAGCTTTTCTTCGAAGAGGGCTCCTTCATCAACAACAGCGTGACCAACGCGGTCAAGTCGAGTGGTGGCGTCGCGGTGCCCCTGATTCTGGTGGTGCTCGGAGCCAACCTGGCACGGAACACGATGGCGCACGACGACGCGCACGACCCGGAGGAGGATCAGATCGGCACCAAGCTGCTCATCGCGTCGCTGCTGAGCCGCATGGTGCTGCCGACTGTGATAATGGCCCCGATCCTTGCCGTAACGGCAAAATACCTTCCGATCAGCATCCTCGACGACCCCATCTTCATCGTCGTCTGCTTCCTGCTGACGGGCGCCCCGAGCGCGCTGCAGCTGGCCCAGATCTGCCAGATCAACAACGTGTATGAGAAGACGATGGGCCGGCTGCTATTCCAGAGCTACGTCATCTGGTAAGTCCATCTGTAGACGGTCGACTTGGAATGTGAGCTGACGTACCTAGGATTCTGCCCTCGACGCTGGTCCTCGTCATGATGGCCCTCGAAGTGGTCGCGTGGGCCACTTGAGCTGTCTTACAGCAACATGTCGCCTTCGCTAGTCAGCCAAGTGCTGGGATATGGGTGTAGCACATGCTTGGCGTTTGTGCACGGGATCGCGCTGCGCCCTTGCTTGGACAACGGTTCGTTATCTGGGTTGCAAAAAGTCCTGGGACTCTGGGGCAGAGGCTGCCTCTCCATACCTAGGTTGGGGCGGAGGAAACGGGAAAACACGGCATACTGAAGCGGGCGTTGACGGATCTCATATTGTTTTGGCCACGGAAGGCCTAGTCTGTTTGCATACGGTAGCAGCTTTTCGGCGCAGAATCGAGGCACGTCTTGAGACGGGAATCAAGAACAGCTCAGAGGCAGTGATGGATGGATGGAGCGTCCAAGTGTGAATTAATTGCTCAAGTGCCTGGCGGGGTTGGGGATACTTGTACAAAGTACAGTACATTGTCCCAGGTGCGAATAAGCTGGCGGTGTCGGATCATCCCATGCCCTGCATTTGCATCACGAGGCCAGATGGGCTGCGTTGCCAGTGGACGGGCGGGTTGCGCGTGGGGCCCGTCCGTCCATCCAATGCCGCCGGATATAGAGGCCTGGGGGGGAACCTTTGTCACCCAAACACCCACTGCAATTGGCCCCCCAAGCCACCGGACAGCGCTGGAGGTGGAGGTTTCGTCCCGTCAAGCCCGCCGTGGCAGCCTGTCATCTTGTCACCTCACTGGGCACTGAAGTCAGTGCCTGCGGGGTACGTACCAACTTACTACCGCGGACGCTGCCCCTCTCCAGATGCCCCTCCGCCCCTCCATTGCCGACGACGACAAACCAAGCAGTGAGCGGCGGCCGGCCAGCCAGCTCACCCGTGACATCAACCTCGCTCAGCTTAGACTTCGTTCCTGCTGCTGCAGCGCTGCCAGATTCGTCCGAAGCTCGAGCACCCACGTTCCCCCATTGTCGAGCTGTGCTGTTCTACACGACGTCACTGTTCACGGTCAATTGGATTTGAAGCTCGTTGTCGCATCCTCCCTCCAGAGCAGCGCCCGCTGCGCCGTTGCCTCAGCTCGGCGTCAAACCTACCCGCACTTCCCGCGGTCGGCGCAAGAACAACCACCTCGGACAACAAACAGCACTATCACCGCCCGAATCCTCCCTTCCGCCACCAACCAGCCAGCCAGCCGCCATGGACAAGATACCGCTCAACTACGAGGCGTCCGAGGGCGACACCCACAAGCAGCTGACGAGCGAGCTGCCCGTGGACGTGGTCCAGTGCCTCGAGAATGCCCGATTCGTGCGTCGTCGAAACCCCCCGCCCCGAGCCGTTGCCGCAGCCATCCCGAGGCGTGAGACGGGGCATTTTATATGTGAAGCTATCGCCGTGCTGACTGACTGACTGCCTTCTTGTCTGTAGCTTCACCTCGCGACCGCTACCGACAACGTCCCCCACGTTTCCCTCATGAACTACACCTACCTCCCCACGTCGCCCTACTCGTCCCGCCCCGTCATTGTCATGACGACGAACCCCGCCTCGCGCAAGACGACCAACATTGTCGCCAACCCGAACGTCTCGCTCCTCGTCCACGACTGTGCGTTGCTTGCCTCCCCTCCCCTTACCCGATCTGATCCTCTCTGATCCGATGGGCGCGGCGAGAGGTAACAATCATTCCACTTACCGAGAAACTGACGAAAACAACAGGGGTCTCGCACCGCCCGCCCACGCACGGCCGTCGCCCGTCCGGCGGCTCCCCCGGGCCGGAGCACCGCTCCAGCCTCGCATCGCTGCTTCTCAACCTCAACACGTCGGCCATGTCGAGCATCAGCGCCACGATAGGCGGCGCCGCGCGGCTGGCGCCCACGGGCTCCGAGGAGGAAAAGTACTTCACCGAGCAGCACCTCGAGAACAACACGTTTGAGGAGGGCGCGGGGGAGGCGCTGTTCCGGCAGCAGAGCGGCGGAGGGGCCGCCGAGGGGAGTCACTTTGTCGCCGGGGAGGAGGTGCGCGTCATCATCGTGGACATCAAGGACGTGAGGGTGAGTGACTGGAAGGGCACGGTGAGGGACTGGGCGTTTGTGTCGGAGGAGGGGCTGGTCAACGGGGCGTAGGGTGGCATGCATGCACGGCGTGATATAGGTCGGATTACTCATGGGTACACATTTCGGACTGCTCGTGAAAAGGATGTCTCGAGTTGGAGATGCAATCACATTGCAAAGCTAATGGCCGCCTTTGCGTTTCACTTAATTGATGAGCACTGGAGGGCTTGTTGCCTCAGCGTCTATCTAGGCCCAAATTCCGTGGCGGATTAACCTCATGATCCGCCTCCATAAAGCACTATCCACGTCTAACGACAGGGCAATGTCCGCTGCAGGGGCCCATCCACCTCCGTCGTTCAGCTGAGAGGATGGACACTCGAAGTTTCAGACACCGCCCGGTCACCACCCAGGATCTGTGACAGCATATCCGATGGAGCGGATGGTAAACACTGGATAATAAAAGATGGTGACTGATGCCGCCGCAATCGAGGAGGTTCTGCCTTGCGATCGGGCTCGACGCCAAACAAGAGAGACAGGCCCGTATCATCCTCCTGACTTGGCGTGGCTCTGTCTCGCGCACCCGATCCTGCCAAGCTCCAGGCTGGGGACGAGGGCCTTGGTCCGAATGATACACACCCTGGACTGGGCAGTGGCTCAGGAAGTGCATTTGGGAAGACGGGCTCGGGGAGGCAAGAGTACTCGATTGGCTTTCGCGGCACGGCGTTCGGCATGGGAGGAGAGGGAGTTGTTGGGAGCGATGGCGGTGGGCTGGATGTGACTTCTCTGGTATTAGTTCGCTGCTGCTTGCTGCTGGGCGAGATCGAGGGCGCTGAGTATACCTGCGAAGCCATCGCCAATAATGTCCCCGAGGAGTGCCAAGTTGTCAAACACCTCTTTTTCTGTAGGACCAGCGATATGTCTGGTTGCCTCTATATGTTTGCGACTTTCACTAGGCAAAGGCCGCGAAGCCACGGCCCTTAGTGAGTCCAGCTCTGCCAGGACCTCCGCATGGTGTTGCCGGATCACAGGCTCCAACTTGTGAAACTCGGATGAGTTGCTTGTCAGCCACTCTATCCGCATATGAAGCGGTGTTCTGGTGCTATTGCCATGTTGCACGCCAGGCCGAAACCTTTCGACAATTCGGCAGGCATCGGTCACGCTGCGGCGCGCTCTAGCAATGGCCTCATCTACGCGGCGCAGAAGGCCGACATCGTGGCTCTCTAGAAGGCGCAGGTGCTCGTTACGTAGCGCTATGAGGCGCTGGAGGTCTCGATAGCAGGTGTTGGCGAGGTCGACGCTCCGTTGGATCTCGTGCAGGACGAGGTTACCGTCGACGGCGATGTTGAAAAGGCGGAGGCTCGAGCGTACACCTGAGAGGCGCTTCATACTCGGAGGTGGGCATGACCCGAGGTAGAACCCTGGAGAGGAACTGCAGACGGCTGGGCGAGGGGGGGCACGCGACTAGGTACTACTTCATTCGTATTTTTGGCCGGCTTCATGCGGAAGCAACATGGTAATCTGCCGATTGACAAATTACTATTACATATGTACAGTACAGTACCCTGCTGCACAACATAGCACGACATGCCCGGGGAGAGGGGTAGAAGTGTCCCTGGCCGAGACAGTATGGGGTCACGCGGAGCGGCGAGTGCGGCAAGGCAAGTAGCGTCGGGTAATACGTACGAAGGTAGTTCGTGCCTTGCAGGAAGCCTCATTTCGCGACCGGCGTGTGTAACAACCCTTTTGCAGCCACCATCAGGCAGCCAGTCTGCATGTGGCCGTGTGGGTTGACCGGTGTGGTCCCGTCGCTCGACCGGCCCATGAGGCTCTGCTTCCACCGCCGGGTGCGGACGTGGTCTCTCTGCTCGTGCTTAATACTGTGCCGACAGTGGGTAGGGATGAGTGATGTCCATGTTGGTTGCTGCTCGTACACATGCATACAGAGACGGGGGTGCTGGGCCGCTGTTGCACTTGCGTACATGGGTATCGGACGAGCATGAGCCAACGCCCGACGACATGCATGTGTTTGGGGTTCTGGCCTTCCATGTTGTTCCTGACGATCGGCGAGAGAGATCAATATGTCCGGCCCGAGCCGCGTTGCTCCTTCGTGGGTTCGACCAGTTCGTACACATTGCTGTTTTCTTGGGCGAATGAAGTGTCGAGACACCAAGTGCCGATGTCGCTGTTTTCTCCGCGCCTCTACCTATGATACTAGATGCAGTGCTCAATACATAGCACCCGGTAACGGAATGGACCAGAACACTACCCGACTGCAATCTGTTACGTTATGGAGAGGATAATTGAACGCGATGCCACATCCGGATGGATGGCTGCATTGATGTAACTGCTAACAGCAGAAACTGGCCAGCGGACATTGTAGTATCCAGGCTACAACACCAGAGACGGGAGCTTCGGGGGAGCACTGTGCTAACTCTCGCCTTCAGCAAGTCACTCGGACCCCACCTGAGCCCCAGCAGCATCCCATTTAATTCCCACGGGCTCGTGGTTGCCAGAGAACCTTTGCCCGTCGAACCACAACTCAAATCTGAGGTCGGCTGGTGCCACGATCACGCGGATGTCGAACGCGCAGATGTAGAACTTGGAACCCTTTCTGAAAAAGGCACCCTTCTTCCGTTTGAGGATGAGTTGGTGTTGCTGGACGCCGTTGAGGTTGCTTCTCACATGGCAGAGCTTCGTGACGCCGGCTACGATGACTTCACTGTTAGTTGACATGACATGCCTCAAGTTGAGTGTAGCTGATAGAGGCTATGGCGGATGGAATTTGCGCACCTTGCTTCAGGCTGCTGGGCAGGGCCGATGCCTCGTTAAGGGAGATGACGATTTCTGCGTCCCAGCACCTCGTAGTATCCTTTTCTGAAAGGTGGAACTCGAAAGATTTGAAGAGTGGCCGGTTTGGGTCAATGTGATCACCCTGCCTACAGTCAGCGCTCCAGGTACGTGTTCGTGTTTCCAGGCAGGTCCATGTCTGCCTTCGCTCTGCTAAGTACCTTTCGTATGAGCCACTGAATCTGGTTGATTGCCCATGGCTTCTTGGAGTCGAAAGGATCTCCAATGACATCCTCGTTGAAGTGCTGCGCCGGCGAGTAGGCCTCCTTGACCACGACTCCGTAGCTCGCTCGAGCGACGCGTGTTGCGAGAACCGACAGATTGCCCGTCTCCATTCTTTGCTGGTGGTCGAGGAGAAGACCCCTGACAACGACCAGCTGGGGGTCCTGGCAGGGCACCACTGCCGCGTGTGTCGCGTTCGGATGTGGAACGGCCATGAGCTGTCTCTGCATCCTCTCGCGGATGTATGCCGAGCTTCCCAGACCACCGGACAGGATGATGAAGTTCTGCTGTAGTTTAGGCGTTTTGAGCTCTGCGAAGGGGCGCATTCTGATCTCAACGTACAACTTGCTCGGATGAGCCGTTCTCTAACAGCCAGTCCAGCTGCTCCGTGACCCTCTTCATAACGCCTTCGAACTGGGCGTCAAAAAGGCATTGTATCTCTTTCCTGGGACATTGAGCTGCATTTCAGGTGCAAATCAAGATTGAAAAACGTACATTGTGAATACCATCCGCCCATTCTCGATGCCGATGCCCGGGTGACTGAAGTCGTGCGAGACGCCCTCCACCTGTATTTTGAACTTGGGCTGCATATATACCTTTTCGCCAAACTTGTGCTTGACGATGCGAAAGTGATGGCTTTGTGCCATGCGAGTGGCAAGATTGGTAGGAAGCTGGCTTTGCACGTCGGGCCACGCTGCGAGCCTCTGAGAGACGAGGCGGATAAACGCCCGGTCGATGAGGGTTGAGCCGATGCCGACGCCCTTGACGGCCGACACCTGCGACATTCGTGGACACGCCATGTCTGTTGACGTGACGCGCATCAAGGAAAGGTCCGTGGTGCCGCCCCCGGCGTCAACCGTCAGGAACAAGCTGCCAGCGTTGAACTGGATGGCGCTCGTCTTCAATGTGGCAACCGCAGCGGCTTCGGCCTCCGTCAGGTCAACCTGTGCCGTGTGCTTCGGGCCTTCGATCCCAAAGCCGGCGTCCCGTATGATGGCCTTGAAAATGTTGATGATTTCCATGCGCGTCCACGTTGTGGGCACGCTGAACAGAAACGAGACGGCCATGTTTGCCCAACCACCACCAAAGTGCCGTCGGCCAATCTGCATCTCGATCGTCTCCTTGATGTGGCTGTACACTTCTCGCAGGTAGTCAGTCGCATACCTCTGGGCATCTGCCGTGCTCTTTGGGGCATTGAGCAGGCCCTGCCGCTGGGCAGCGGCGATGGTGGCGCCGTCAATGAAGATCTTGAAGAACTCGCGGCGCGTTTTGCCAGGCAAGGTCTCATTGTCGTCGGTGCACATGAAGCCCCATGATGAGAGCGTGTCGTCGGCATTGTATACCAGCGTCGTTGGGACCTTGCGCTCGCCTCGATCACCGCTGCCGGGCCAGTCGTTGATAACCTGGATTTGTGTCCGAGGCGTCCTCCACGCCACGCCTTACCAGCCGGTTAGGAACTACATCATTGAGCCTGGAGAGGAAAGGGTGACCACCTGTGAAGGTTGTGCCCAGATCTATAGAGACGACGACATCTGGTTTCTCGGCCATCGTCGAATTCTGCGGCTTCATTACGTGTAGACCGGAGTTTCATGACCCTTTGACGACGGCATGGCACGGCTTGGCCTGTGGGTGGCGGGATTCCGACCTCGGGCTGAATTGAGGCTCAAAGACGGGATGCGCGCACGGTTGTCTATTTCCGTCGGCATGACCGAGCCTCAGGCTTCCCATCCAAGAGAGGCACTCTGCAGTTGTATGTGACACGATGACTGAGCCAGTGTAACACACCCAATGGCACTAATGCACGGATAACCAACCGTGGCAGGTCAACGGGGGTGTTGCCGTGTTTGTGGTACCCAAGCTACTGGCAGCGAGAATTTGCCCCGGAACATGGAAACAAATGGGCGTAAAGTCAGTTATCCCGCCGACCAACACATCAAAAGGTGGAACTCGGTTGGGAATCCCGGGATGGGAAGCGGATCGAGCGACGCTCTGCGGTAAGCAGACGATGTCGGTCACACAGCACGGGAGAAGAAGAGCTGAGACCTAAAACCTGCTCTCCGTCTCTGCTATTCACAGATTTTAGCGAGGCCGCCTCTTCATGAAGACACTCTTGGTGGCAGCCTTTTCTGGAGCACCGACACTTCGCTTACTCCAAGATGGCTGCCGCACAACCACCTTCATTCACACCGAGGCTGTTCTCGAACAATTTCACAGTGAGCACTGCGATACCTCCGACAACTGGCCTGGTGAGCTTCACGTTGCCATACAGCACCTTGGTCACACAACCTTTGAGTACCATCATCACCGCGGCACTCACTGCTTGGCCTCCGCAAGGCTCAAGTATTGTGTTCGCGCAGCCCGTCACTATCAATGTAGGCTACCCGACTACTTCAATACCTGACAACACACCGATATGGGGAGCCTCAACCGGCGCCGTCGCCAGTTCTAGCACCTATGTGCCCTCGACTCCAAGCGCCGTTCAATCCCAACCTGGAGTCATACTGAGCAGCACGACTTCGGCTGCCATCCCCACAAGAGTACACACATCGACCTCGAGCTCGGCAGCAACTTCAGTGCCCGCGAGTGCGGGCGTTGGACATGGTTCGGCATCGCCATCAACACTCTCGGCGGGCGCGGTTGCAGGAATCGCCATTGGCTGCATACTTGCTGGCTTGGCCATTGGCCTGCTCGCTGCATGCTTGCTGTTGAAGCGCAAATACAGACGACGGGCGGCGGTTGATGGTGCGGTGCCTCATGCCGAGTCGAAGCCCTACGCGGACAGCGGCGGCACGAGCGACATCCAGCTCGGCCAGTTTCTTCTCGACGCGACGTCCGACAAGGACATTGCGCGCGAAGTACAATCACTCGGGGGCCTCATCCGCCAGCATGTCGAGAACAACTACCACACGGACCCTGTCACCGTCGACATGGGTACACTGGAGCAGTCTCTTGTGCAACTCGGGTTCACTGGCGACAATGAACCGCCAAGGGGTCTTATCATGGCCTTGTGCATCGACCCAAAGACACGCTACGCCGGACTTCAGCATGTCATCCTCCGCGTCATCTTCGCCTGCATCAACGTCGACCCGCGTGGCCCGTGCTCGCTGCTCCCTCCACCAGCCGCTGCATTCCTTCAGTCGATCCCCACAATCGAGGCGCAACAGCAGAGTGGCCTCTCGGGCAAGTGGTCACTTATAGGCTCCAGAGCTAGTAACGCGGACCAAGAGACGGAAGCTCTCCTCCTAGCTGTTTCGAAGTGGCGCGTTCTCTCTGCGTTCTTGTTGCATCCCAACCGCGGTATGCGTACCGCGCTACCGGCCGATCGCGGGACGGCATTGTCGCAAGCTCGCGCCCTCGCGATCTACCTCGATAGCTTCTTGAACAACTTTGTCAGCTCAGACTCGGGAGTCTGGCAGGCGCAGGAGAGCCACCTCGAGGCGGTGATTATGGAGTGCACAAAGTTGGGGTATGTGCTGTTCTCTCACCCAAGTGAGTGGAGGGTGGTCACGGAGGAAGCCCCATCAAAGAACAAGAGAGGGCCGACCGTGGTTGTTGAGGCTGGGTTGGAAAAGCTCAGCGATCGCTTTGGGGTGCTGTATTCTTCACCGAAACGAGTAGTGGATCCTGTTGTCGTCTCGTGTTAACCCGAGAACGCTGAGCAGCAGCTGGCGGCAACTTGATCTGTTTGGTTCATGTTCGGGAAGGGGTTGACACGTGAGTATTGTCGTCAAAGGCCAAGATCCGTTTCAAATCAGCAAGCCCGTCGGTTTAAAACAACCTGTCGGCCCAATGCTGTTTTTGAGAGTTGTCTGAGCTATTGGTCTTGCTCCTGGTCACATGTAGCGAGTTCCGGGCGAGGCATAATGCTCTGAATGGAGGCAATCCAGTCGTATGGCTGCGCTTTGGTAGACGTCTTCAATGTTAGTTTTCCAACCATCCTGTCCAATATGTGCGTCAATGTCAGGGTGGTTCGTTGTGTCGTATTGTGTCTTGTAGATAAGACTGCGCGCAAAAGCGAGAAAGAAGACTCGTATATGTCTAGCCTAGCTGGACCTCTACTGTGCCGAGCCCCCGCCAACGTCAATACCAGCAAACCATGGGTCGGACAAAAGTTCTGCAGGGGAGGGTCTGTTCGATGGATCGTACTGCAGAATTCGCCGAATGAGCTTTTTGACAACGTTGGCCTCTTCCTCGTCAAGCTCTGGGGCCGCCCGGTCGAAGACCTCCTCCATTGACGGCTGCTCTAGCATCAGTGGCTCTTCGCCCTCTGCAACCCCACCCAGTTCGCAGTTAAACAGCTTTCTCTCGGGCGTGAAATACAGCGATGACGTCTTCCAGTGCTTGTATAGCTCGTCAGGAAGGGCGCCGAGCCGAGAGTTGAGTGACAGCAGATGGTCATCATCTTCGGACTCGGACCACGGAACACAAAAGAGGGGCTCGCCTGTAATGAGCTCAAAGACAAGACAGCCAAAACTCCAGATATCCAGTGTTTGGTTGACGGTGCCGCTGAGAATCAGCTCGGGAGCCCGGAGACCCATTGGGGTCACGGGCTTTGTCGGCGGGTCTGTAAAGAAATACGCTGTCGAGGTGCATGCATGTCAGTCGCCACACTCTCTTATAGCAGATAAGCAGATCCAGAGGGACTAACCACCACCCATGTCGGACAACTTGATCTTGAACCCTTCGCTGTACCGCGTAAAGGCCACCAACGGTTGCGCAACGCTGAGATACCTGGGCGCCCATTTATCTTGCTTGCCATCGAGCCGCTGTACAGGCGGGGAAATCGATCCACTGTCCACATCTTCCTGCTGTCGAAGCACCTCTTCCGGTTTCGAGTCAATATCGTCAAGCGTGAAGAGCATGTTTCCCGGCTGGAAGTCCCCATGGGCGACGCCATTCTCATGAAGAAATGCGAGGGCTTGCAACGACTGCTTGAGAATACTCTTGGCCATCTGAGGTGGATACCGGACCTTCATTTCCCAACGGCGAGGGTTGAACTGGGGCAGCTCCTCAACCATCGAGTTGACACTCGGGCCCATAGGTTCGAATACGAGACACTTGTGGGTGCCGTTGGGGCCTTGAAGCTCGAAAGTACTCAGGAGCTGCGTCACATACTGTGAGCTCTCCGTCGGCGATGCGGCATCAAGATGTTCCAGTATTTGCAGCTCTCTTGCCGGTCCTGAGAGCTCTGACACCAGAATCTTTAGAGCAACATATCTGTTGTTTCTGAGGCAAATGAGCGTCCACAATGGATGGCCTTTCCGTCCAGCGATGGGAGAGGGACATACCGTGTGTCGCGGGCAAGCCATACCGTTGAGTAGGCACCGTCGCCAAGTTTGCGGATTATCTTATACTGGCCATGGTGGAAATCGTCGCCCAGGTGAACGGGGTGATATCCTCCTGGACGGTAGTCCTCTATCCACTCGCAAGGTGAGGTGATAGACTCAAATCGCCACTCGTCATCCGTTGGGGCCCTGGATGGCGGGGTCGGAGGAGGTGAAGTTCCCATTGCTGCACAGCGAGTGCGGACACGAACACTCGTGGTGGATGATGATGTGAGGGATAAACACAGGGTTGATGGAAGAGTGTGAAGTGCCGATAGAAGCTGGCTAGAATGCCTCATGGGCCGAGAAATTGCACGATAACAGAGCATTAACTGCCCCGCGATGTTCGCGGCAAACGCTGGTTGTTGAATGGTGAAGAAGCAAGTCAAGGAGTGGCAGGCATATGCTGCCAATTATAGAACCGCCCTCATGACTAAGACAGTGGCCCTTTCTCATTGGGCCGGAAGCGGCGCCCTAGCCGCCGCGGCCGCGGTTGGCGGGCCGCTGCCGAGCGCCTCCAGTCGCTGTCGAAACAGCAGCCGCGACATCGCAGACCTCCGGCGTCTACGCGGCGTCCTGAAACTCGGACGGGTTCAACCTGCAGCTAACATGCGTTGGCTATTCAGCTTCACCAAGCGGCTGGTGACCTCGGATTCGGTCAATATCACTCTCTCCTACTAGTCACCTGCTGACGGAAATAGCCCGCGTCGCAATGAATGGTGACACACGGACGTGGCTGGCGGAATTCCCAGCAGACAGGCAAGAATCCCAGCGCTTATTGTGCACCACAACGGGGAACCAGAGTCCTGGAGTAGATTCGGAACAGGGATAATGGTCTGCCAGGGCGAAACTTAAAATCTTCAGCAGGATTTGTATAAGTAAAAGGTGAGGACGCTCTCCCTTAACACGTAAAACGTCAAGTCCACTGTCTACTCTTTCAAGCGCCTCTTGTCACGCCTGCCACACCCTTCGCAGCGCAAGTATCATCTACTACACATCAAAATCCTTGTTTTAGTTGCCCCGTGGTCAGCCATGGATGCCAGCAATGTTACTTTTGACCCGTCCAACATGTACTCGAGCAGCTCCACGAAGAAAACCAGGATCATAAACTTGGTCATTAGCAAAGCACCTGCCACGTCAGCGACGGCTCGAGTGGTGTGAGTCCATCAAGTCTGTCACCTGAAGACGCCAGCTGGCGCGCTAACAGAAGCAACCAGGAATGGTTGGCACACTAGCCGAAGTGACAGGCGAAATCACTGCACCGTCGACTACTACAATGCTGCTGGTAGCAGGATCAGTCGTCAGCATCTTGTTTGATCTGTCGGGTAGGAGGAAATCTCACGATGTTTCTTGTCCCGGGAGAGTCAATGAAATCTTGTTGAAGACATGTCAATGTGTTGTGAGTGTAGTATGGCAGACTGTGATCGATCATCTGTTCTTCATATCGGCCATGCAGGGAGGAAGGGGCCACAAATGTCAAATCTGGGCCGACGCTGGCGCTGTTCGTCTATGAAAGCCCTTACATCCTAATGGGGTTGCTCTCAAGTCTTGTATAGGACGCGGTCCTATGTCTAGAATTCTCGACAATTATGCCAATGTATGTGGTCATTACAGGGCGGTCGCGTGCTTCCGATTGAATCGACACTGGATCTACTACGATCCATGTGCACCACGTGATGCTTCTCATCCCGCAGACAGACCTGGTGTGACTCAGACTTTGGAGCGCTGCTTTGACAGTGTGCAAAGGACCGCATACCGCAACTTCCAGTCTTCTAGTTATCTGTCTGCTGCACCGAGTTTCGTGTTGGGCTCTACTAAGTTCGAGACTGTGCGAGAGCCTAGAAAAAGGCAAGCCATGCGCCAGGTTATCCCGGCTATTGTCGAACAGCCGGTACATGGCGAGGTGTCAGAAGGCCTCAAAGCTGCCTGGAAATCAAAGCCGTAGCGTGTGCGTCAGGTCAACAAGCAAGGTTAGGCTGACCTGGTGCTTCTAGAGTATGCCGGTTGAGCCTGATGGCGCGCGAGATACATCAAATATAGCACGCTTATCCTCATCAGCGCCACCCCTCTACCTAGTCGGAGGTGAGTTGACAGGTTCGAATCTCTACACGCCATCCATTGAGGTTTGGGTGTTGGGCGTAGAGGAGGCGAATCGCTCGTTGTTTTCAACGGGATGTGTCTTCTGAGCTGGCCGTGGGCGGCGAACTGCGAGGTAAGCATGGGAATCGCCGACCGCGGTTCGATGACATGAATGTGTCGCGGTACGACAAGGGTACAACAACTTGCGGCCAACGACGATTTTAAATCCTCTGTACAGGCCACCGGAGGCAGACCCGGTGTCGCCTCACAAGAACGAAGCGATTTCAGGTCTAAGGTGGTTCTTCGAGAGCGACTAGATGCTACGCCCGGGCGCATGCGGCGTATCACGTCTTTCAGGAGACTACATGAATGATGTCGCTGCTGGCTTCCCTCTGTGTTGAGAGCTGATGTCTATCTTGCCGATCAATTCACCACGATGTAAGGGTCCCCTGGACCCCAATACTTTGTTTCATGCAAACTTGCGCCTGTCCGATTCCAAAGCGCGTTCGGGCTATTTATCACGCGCCATTTATGCGCCTTTCTATGCTCAAAGTCTGTCGTTGCTTACACCGCTCAAAGTTAGAAATGAAGTAGTATCATAGATGGCCTGATTATGCGTCTTGCGCGTCCATTGATGCGACTCTAGCTAATTTCTTGATGCATGTGGTGTCTGCATACTTTCAGCAATATATAGACAGCTTACTCGTTGTACCGCCAGTTTACGAAGAAAAGTTTCTTATACTTGCGATAGATTTCATGTGGGGCCATGAGATGAGAGGGTTAAGCTGCTGTTTCCTTGGCGTAGAGCACCGTCCGGTGCTGGATTGTGCATTTCGACTCTATGAATTAGACTTCAGGCATAAGTCTTGGTGATGCACGCCAAGAAGCAGCGACACTAGGTCTACAATGCGCTCATCCTCATGTGTCTGTTCCGACGGCTTGACAAAGGGGTATAAAAAACCGTCGCGTCTACCGCGATGACATTGTTGCTGCGCTTCTGACAACGAGCTGAAACAATCACCCACCTGATATCACCTTGACGACGCCTGCCTCAACATGACGAATCTCATTCTCATACTCGCTGCATTCTTGAGTTGCTTGGCAACTTCCTTCGGGTCTCCCGCACCAGCCACGCAATTGCTAGGAGGCGACAGGGTATATGCACCTACTTCGATATCCGTAAAAAGTCTTTCTAACATGCAATCCAATCGCAGACCCAGGCAGATACGCAGAAATGGTTGGACGGTCTCAACAAGCAAATCTACTGTGGCTTCCACGTCCGTCATCCCTTGGACCTGTGACCTTCGTGGCTGGTTCGGTTGGTCAACGAAACTCGTCGTGTCAAATGCTAACACTTCACTCGAGAGAAACAGAAAGCCGATGGAATTGTCCGTCGCCTCAAACCTGCTTTAAATTCTGCAGTTCTTCGCTTTCAGTCGGCTAATTGAAACTGGTCAAAAATCGTAGGACACCGAAAAGTTCGTGTGCGCCTTTGAAAAAAAGGGGGTCAGTGTTGTCTTTCTGTCTCCTGTTCCCTGAGTCAGTCCCCTCGTCACGTACCTGGATCTGACATGCCAACTTAGAAACTTGTGTGTACACCCCCAACTTGTTATTTCCACTCACAGGTGTTGGATACGTGGTACTGTATTGTTCCCGAATTAATCACGGCGAATGTAGGAACGCACGACACTCAAAGACATGTGCAATAACGAGGATGATGGTGTAGGCTTCCATTTTAACATAAAACAGGTTCGTATGATGAGATAATGAACTGACTTGTCGACTAGTGCGGACGATGCTCAGCGAGAAAGTATCCGGACACCGAGAAAGTTGTAGCCCCAGAGCCCATTCGCAGGTATCGTCATGCTAAGACAAGTCATACATCTAGGAACACTTCACTTGCGAGTTGGCACCGTATAAAGCTCCACCTCGCCCGGTTGTCAGCGCCACCGCTCTGGTGCGTGACGAGCATGTAGGGAACGCCTTTTTTATCTCTTTCTTGGACGTACTTACCCGTACTGACGTTGGCCACGTAAGGGCTACCTCAAGTACGCCGACATTGCAAAGACGATCACACATGAAGCAAACGTCACTTGTGTTGCGAAGACGCAGGTGTGTGCCTGGAGCTGCTCCCCACGATCATTATTACCTTGATATCCTAGAAGTCATAGGCTGACTATCGGGTCAGAGAATGGAAGGGTACGATGACATCGTACCCGTGGCGGTATGCAAGACGGAGAAGCCACGCGGTGGCTGGGCCGTAAGTGTGGTTCTGGAGAAATTGCTTCTACGTTCGAAACATAGGGGTCATACGCTGACGGCTCGATTAAAGTACAGCCTAGGGACGGTATGTCGACTAACGCCGCCAAAGGACAGCGTAACCCGTCTTACATAGAGTCGGACCCACTGACGTAGTTCACAAATTTCACATAGCCGACTTCCAATATGGCCACTATCTGCCAGGAAAAGGTATGAAGCTCTTGGGGTTACTAGACAGCGAGGCTTACAAGTGGGACATCAGTGCACCAAGTGCAAGGACACGGGTCCCGAAACCGTGTTCCGAGATGGAGGCAAGTGGGCACCGTGGTGGTATATTGACGAGGTAAGGAAATCATCATTGCTCAGGTGCAATGTAGTTCTAATACTAATGCGATTGCACGCAGGGAGAATGGACATGCATAATGGAGCCTTAGTGTTGCCTGCCCTTACCGTGCGGCAGCGGCAATATTCTTGCGTCACCACGAGCTCGCCCTCGATGAGGTCGCTGAAGTCCATTCCGTGCCGTGGCACGGCCAATCTAGATGCAGTATAACACGAATGCCACGGACTGGGGCTCAGGCCCTGGCCATCATTTTTCGGTGACTCTGTTCGTGTTGTATGCCGTGTCGCGTTCGTAGATCATTCAATGTTGTGGTGGTGCATCGATGCGGATAGGTCGTGTTCAGATTAAGCAACAAAGTACGTATCCCCGCCCTCGAATTTACGACCTTCGTCACTGGTAGACAACGCGTTTGCCCTTGAGATCTTGTGTAGGAGGGGTTTTGAGCCGGGTTAGGAAAAGCTGCGTGCTGTCGAGTACTGAACGAGGCACGCCTCGCAGGATGGAGGAACTTTGTTTCCTTCAGGCTGGCTGGTTGGGACAGGATTCGGCACGGAAGACAGAAGCAAGAAATACATCTTTTGGCCGCACTTGTCAAATGCTGTGTTCGTGCTGTCATCAATAGCCTCCTCAGCATTGACATAGTACTATGCGATAGACTGCACGATCTGCTTCCATGCATGCCGGACCACTGGTAACATCGGGCGGTTCTGTGAAGCACGGCTTTGAGCCGCAGGTCTATTGAGACAGCGTGGCAAGGCAACGTACGAAATACGGGCAGAATCTGGACCTGACCCTGCAATGCCATGGGCACAGACAGAGTTCCTCAAAATTGGCAACCATGTGACGGTGCGTAACGCATGCCACGTGGCTGTGACCTGAAAATATGAACCACGGTTTATCACCAAGACGATAAAGTCAGTTTGAATGAGAACATGGCCACGCGCCCTTCGGCCCATGGTTCTTTGGCTTGCACTCCTCAGAGCTAAGCAGACCCAAGGTCTCATTCGCCACTTGAAGTATAACACCGTGCTACGGGAATCAGTTTATGAGCAAGACTGGACCGTCAGGACTGGGGTTTCGGTTTGACTTTTCCCTCCCATGAGCTAAGTAAGTACGCGCGCGGAGAGTGTCTGCCGCTGGGTTTTGAGAGGAACTGTATTCCCCAACAGCTTACCAGAGGAAGCTAAAAAGACCAACGCATTTGCCACCTTCACAGGTGTTGACCTGGGTTAGCGCAAACAAGCATCCCTACGCCTACTGCACCAATTTCGGCTCGATTCAGAATGAGGGTTTACGTTGTTGCCTTCGCTCTGTTAGGATGCCTGGCGACATCAGTTGCTCACCCGGCCCCAACTTCGCTGGGCACCGGTGCGATGGTTTGTGCCCCGTAACCACGTGCGGTACTGGCATCGTCTAATAGACCCTTCGAACCTAGAGCCAGGCAAGCATGCACAAGTATCTGGATAACTTGGGAGAGAAGTTCATCTGCCGCGATGTACGCCTTGTCGCCTAATTCTTCGGCTGTCGCGTTCTGCTATCGATCACTACCATTGATGCTAACAAACGCATCCGCGAGAAATAGCCCGACTACGGCAGCACGTTATGCTTCCTCTTTGATGGCAAGAAGGCCAGTTCGCCTTAGGTCTCTCCGTTACGGAAGACTTCTCCGTTCCGATGATATGCTCGAGGCCTTGCTGACAACTTGTCAAGAGACCCGATCTAGTGCGTCAAACCATTATCCTTGCCGATAATGCGCCATTGAAGGCCGCTATGGATAGGTCGATATGCTTCTTGCTCGCTGATTGCTGTTGTAGCTGAAAAGCGCCCTGACCCTCAAGGAATCGTGCGAAGACAGGGATGACGGAGTAAGCGACTTTATGGACGCCGGATGAGTGTTTTGGCACCCAGAGCTGATTCGTTTCTGTCTAACAGTGCGTCAATTGCCGCTTGGGGAGCCACGGGGTTCGTAGCTCCATGGCGCTTGACAAAGGATCGTTTTGCTCACCGGATACGATGATACAGACCTTCAGTTGTGACTTGGTGTCATGGCGAGCCGTACAGGCCAAACCAGCGGCAGCGTTGCCTGTGCTGGTTCGCCCCAAGTTGGACAAGGATGTAAGCCGCCCAAGATTATCTTCTACAGAGGCTAGATGTTGACCAGTTGCCAACTTCCAGGGCTACATGACTTACGATGACTATTTGTCCCGCATGGAGAGACTGCAGACGGAAATTACGTGCAATATCGCGAGACAGGTGTGTAAATTTGCTCAGACAATTGACTGCTTTAGTTTGACTGACCGTATTGGGGAACTGAGGAGGCCGCGGATGTCATCGACGTGGTGCGTTGTAAAGGCACGAAGCCAAACGACTTGGTGAGCCAGACCATACCAGGAGCCTCCCATCTGCCGAGGAATGCACCATCCGTTACTGACCGATTTAATATAGAGACATGTTCCTAGCTGGAAGGTATGGCAACTCTCCAACCAACTAGGCGGAAAGATGCTAGTCAACCTCGCGAAGGGCCGATATGCTGACGTGCTTGTGTAATTTAATGTAGCCGACCCGAAACGACCTCCTCGCGATTTGCGACAACAAGGTACGCGGTTCATTATGTCTACGAGAATAACTACTGATCGTAGTTTTAGTGTACGGGGTGCAAGTCTGAGCTTGCATACCGCAAGACCAAAGTGAGGGAAGTGAATGGCACCCGGGTTCTGTTCTACGAGGTTGGTACCAGCCCCTGGCGCGATGCGATACTGGCTCAATTGGAATCAGTACCCATTCCACTGCAAACTGTAGGCAAAGAGAGTTTCCTTCTTCAGGCCTTGAAGAGATCGCACCGGACAACTGGCCATAGTTGGCAACATCCCTGTTAATCTGTGACGCTGCTGCGTTAGACTGGACGTGTCTTCCAGGATGGACATAGAATGGGCCTCTCGACGCTGCAGGGCCGTGAAGATGGCGCAAGATGAAACACAAAGCAGTGCTCCCGGCCCCAGCCACGGTTTCCTCAGATGCCCTGCCCGTGTTGATTGGTATCCCTTTTTTTTTACTGTGGTTTCCTTGTTAAAACGTATGCCGACTCAGCATCAATCGAGGTCTTTTGGCATGTTTTAAACGTGAGCAGTCATTTTGTTTGTGACGAGCACTCGTGCCGAAAAAATGCCGGAAGAGACGCTCCGGAAACAGCCCAGCCTGTAACGAACCTGGTGGATTCACTGCTGCGTATCGGCCATCGATTCATGGTAGCGCGATCGGCTTCACACGGAGGGGCGCAGCCTCAAAGTCCCTGGCATCATTGCGGCGCCCAGGTCTCGTCCCCACAGGCCGGCCCAGACTGCACGCATGTCGCCCCCCTCGCCGGCCATGGATCCGGTTGACTAGCGGCTAATAGTCGCCTGCTCGCCAAAGAACTTGGTTTCTCGGCTCGTCAGTCCATCAATGCCAGCACAGCAAAACCTCACCACTGCACGTGTACGTAGCTTCATGCGGAGGATACCAGACAGGATCTCGCTTGGGGTCCTCCCCGCTCGACCACATGCCGGTGCCCATGGCCACGACCTCCGGTAAGGGACAGCGGACGCCGTTCTTCCCAAAGGCAGACGCAGCCATCCTGTCGGCGAGGCACGGCCCGCTGCCAACCTACCCCAAGGCCGTCGCGCCAGTCTACGATCCCAACAACTTCAGCAAGCCGATCGGACCATGGCCTGCAAACGCAGAGGAGGATTTCTATCCTCCGGCCAAGGAGGAGTTTGCGCCGGCGTCGGTTCCCGAGAAGCCCGCGGCGTGTCTCTCAGATCGGTATCTGCGCGCCTTCCTGGCTGAGAATGAGCGTCTCCGCTGTTGCATGCTCTGGTATTATACGCGCGACTTGCTCGACGAGACCGAGTTCCTGTCTGGGCTTCGGGAGAAGACGTCGTTGGCTCAGGAGTCGACGGGCTGGGAGTTTGTGGTCATCGGCATCCTCGACGTCAACTTTTACATTCGCCTAGCCTCGATAGGCCTCCCTCTGGCCATCCTTCCGCGCGGAGAGACGATATGTGCGCATACTGTCACTCAGCCGCCCGGTGTATGTATCAACCCAACCAGTGTGAGATGTTCCTCCGACTAATTCGCCGCAGAGTGTGTTTCTGCTGCCAAACATGATGGAAGACTGGCGGTTTAGAGAGTCACCATACGTCGAGTCCGGTGGGCTCAAGGCGTATGCCGGGGCGCCGCTTCGCCTGCAAAACGAGTCGGGCGAGTGCGTCGCCCTTGGGTCGCTCTGCGTCGCGTCGAGGACGAGCCAAGAGCCGTTGACCCGATTGCAGCAACAGACGCTCGCCCGCCTGGCCGACTGGGTCGTGTCCGACATTGTGCAATGCGCGAGGGCAAGACGACAGCGCGACCGGCGCCGAATGGCGGAACTTGTCTCTACAGCGCAAGTGGAGTCTGACAGAACAGTCTCCGAAGAGCCGGTCCTTCGAGCGCTGAGAACAATGTATCCAGATGCGACGGTCAGCGTGCAACCGTCCAAGGGCGACCATGTCGACATTGACAGCCACGGCCCGATACCCGTGGAAGACCTGGAAGACGGGCTGTGGGAAGACACCTGCTACCTCGACGACTTCATCGCCAAATCGAACAACCAGGAACTGCCGTCGACGAGGGCGGTGCGTGCCATTACCGCCCCATGCGAGAGCGTTTCGGGTGCCTCTTTTGTCGTCGTTGCGTCCAGGGACTTTCGGCTGGTGTTTGACGATGTCGATTCCTGGTTTGTGCAGACGTGCGCAAATATGGTCTCCCAAATATGGCATAAGCGCCTCCTCGGCGAAGCCATGAAGGCGAAAGAGAAGTTCCTGCGGGGATTTTCCCACCAGCTGCGAACCCCGATACACGGCATCCTCGGCTCGGTGGAACTGTTAGCTGAGGAGCTCATGTCCCGAGCATTACCGGACTTGAGCTCTTCGACCAAGTCGGGCGAATCCACCATCTATCTCGACTCCATCAGGTCCTCCGGGCGGGATCTCATGTCCATCGTCAACAACATGATTACCCTGAACAGGTGGGCCGACATTGCCATGACGAATCGACACTATGCGCAGCACACGACATCAGCTCTCGAGGCGGAGCTGGAAGGCGGAATACTGAAGGCGATTTCGGGTGATACACGCTCTGGGGTGTCGCTATTCTTTTGCCGCGACATGCCCCGGGATTATGACAGCTTCCGGATCGACCTCGACCTACTTCGCGACAGTTTGCTCCCACTCATCATAAACGCCATGCAGCACACTTCAGAAGGCGTGGTCGCGGTAACAGTGTCGCTTCGGCCGGATTCTAAGGAGCTCATCGTCGACGTCGAAGACACTGGCTGTGGCATTGAGGCTGCCGACCAACAGCGCATATTTGAGCCTTACGAAAAGGTTCAAATGCATTCGGCAGGCGCTGGCTTGGGCCTGACTCTGGCGTCAAAATTCGCCGCTCTGCTCCACGGATCTGTCGCGCTGGTATCGTCCCAAGTTGGTCGCGGCTCGCATTTCAGAGCGACCTTTCGAGATGTCGAGTGCACCCCCTCGACTTTGCCATCGCCCCTCCTTTCCGAGAAACTAAAGAGCTTGCCGCCCAAGTTCTACTGCAGGGCGTCCAGCTCGGACGGCGTTTCATTGTGCGACTGCTTTGCACGATTCTTGATCAGCCAAGGCTTCACTCGGTCGGACAGTATCGACGACGAGCACTTTGTTGTTCTTGATCTTGAAGGCGATGAAGAAGGGCAACGCTCTCAATTGTCACGGATTCCAGAGGACCGAATCGCCATCTGTCTGGTCCCGTTCTCGGAACGAGGGGAGCGCTCGGAACAGACACGCGATAACATACTTTACGTTGATGGGCCTTTTCTAACGTCGAGGATGGTCTCGACGCTGGAAGAAGCGGATAAGCGCCAGTCATCAGTGAGGGCACAGCATGCACAGCGGCTGAGCCCCGATGAACCCGCAGCGACGACTCCTCCCAGTGGAGGCACAGGCCTGAGCACAAACGGAGAGACCAAGACCTTGGTACTCCTGCAGAATCCAGTGCCTCAATTTCCCGCGGAAGTCGCTCCTGGTCTCGAATCCATGGTGCCGGCAAAGAAGGTCGGAGATGCAGAAACTACTGGAGAATTGCCGTCAGTTGCTCCGACTCTGCTCCCTCTCACAGTCTCAAAACCGGCAGCGCTGCTTGTTGATGACAATGTCGTCAATCTGCGCATCATGCAGATGTACTGCAAGAAGAGGGGACTTCCGTACTTCTGCGCCGCGGACGGTAGGCAAGCCGTGGAGATGTTCAGTAAGCAGCAGTCGCTGGCGGCCTCCGGCGAGGGCCCAGGGATACAGCTGATCCTCATGGACCTGCAAATGCCGGTCTGCGACGGCTTCGAAGCGACGCGGCAAATAAGAGAACTGGAGAGGCAGAACAAGTGGACGACGTCGGTCCTGTTCATCGTTACCGGCCAAGACAGCCCGAGCGACAGAAAGGCTGCGGACGAAGTCGGCGCCGACGATTACTATGTCAAGCCAGTGGGTATCAAGTTACTGGATCGGGGCGTGAAGCAATACTTTCCAGCGTTCGAGGTTTAGAGAGTATATGATGCGAGGTTATGAGCATGAAATATACGATATGGGCATATGCGCTGGTCAAGGGTTCCATAGCGACGAGGCGTTGGATGTTTCGGGTATAAGATTCGGTAGCGAAGTTGCCATAGGCTCTAATGCATGTTCTTTTCTCACAGCAGGTATTGGGGTACCGGACGTTGCTCAACGCTCAAGTAGCAATTGCGTTTCATGTGCTGTCGTTTCAACGATCATGTTGGCTTCATGTTCGCGAGGTGAACTTGCGTCAACCTTGGAGCTGCCACGGCCATGAAGATCAGAAACCGCGGGATCACAGTCCCTGATACCCTGCGTCGATGTAAACAACCAAGACCGACCCTTGATGAGTGCACGAGACGATCCCGTATCAAATGGAGCCCCGCGCTGAAACCCCCACCTTCATGCCCGTCAGCTCCGACTTGCCCGGATCTGCGGGGAATCTGCCCTCGACAGACGAATAATTGGGAGAACTGATGATTCGGTGGGGGGCAGGCTGTGGGGGGGCCGAAGCTTTGCACATCAACTCTCCTGGACCCTGGCATCGCCTTCTGGCAACATACGTTAACGTTCCATCGCAATATGGGGAGAACCGCTGCCCCGCGCGGCGTCTTGACGCATTGCCGGCGACTTGGACATACATAATAGCGCTGCTCGCCTCTCGCAGTCGAAAGACGGTACGCCAGACACACTGGTTTACAAGACCCCTTTTCTGGCATGGCGTTCATTCCGCAACCGTCATCAGTGGCCCTCGGGGACGGGCACGTTGAGCTGGCGAGCCTTCAAGACGTCGCGGAAGAGGTCGACACCTCTCTGCCGTCTGAGGGCTACACGATTGAAGTCTCGGCGGCGTCAGGCGTGAGCGTCAAGGGTGGTTCGGCCGCCGGCCTTTTCTACGGGCGCCAGACCCTCCGTCAGCTGCTGCCGCCTGCCGCGCTCCGGAAAGCGGGCGCTGGCTCACAGGGACCATGGCGCCTCCGCGAGCAGAAAATCTCGGATGCCCCGTCGTCGGGCCTCCGCTGGCGCGGCTGCATGCTGGACGTCGCGCGCCACTACATGCCCGTATCCGACGTGCTGCGGTTCATCGACCTCATCGCCTTCCACAAGCTCAACGTCCTGCACCTGCACCTGACCGATGACCAGGGCTGGAGGATAGACGTGCCGAGCTGGCCTCGCCTCGCCTCGGTCGGCGGATGGCGGGAGCGGTCCATGATGGGGTCGAGGATTCACAAGCTCTACGACTCGAGGCCGCACGGCGGCGTCTACTCGGCCGACGACCTGCGCGAGGTGGTCGCGTACGCAGCGGAGCGGCACGTCACCGTCGTCCCCGAGGTGAACATGCCGGGCCACATGCAAGCCGCCGTCGCGGCGTACCCGGAGCTGGGCAACACCGACGTCGAGGGCCGGCAGCGCGAGGGCTCCGTGCGCGACGCATGGGGCGTCTCGACGCGGGTGCTCAACGTGTCGGACGCGACGCTCGACTTCTGCCGCCAGGTGCTCGACTTCGTCTGCGACGTGTTCCCCTCCAAGACGATTGGCATCGGCGGCGACGAGTGCCCGTACGAGGAGTGGCGGAGCAGCGCCGCGGCGCAGACGCGCATGCGCGAGCTCGGCCTCACGAGCGAGCGCGAGCTGCACGGATGGCTCATGGGCCAGATGGCCGCGCACCTGGCGAGCCGCGGCCGGCGCGCCTACGGCTGGGACGAGATCATGGCGGGCTACACGGGGCCGCCGGAAGCCGTCCAGGTCGCCGCGTGGAGAGGCCCCTGGCCGACCACCGTGGCCGCGCGCCGGGGCTTCGACGTCGTGTCCTGCCCCGACCTGAGCGCCTACCTCGACTACCGGCAGTCAGACGACGAGGCGGAGCCGACCCCCGTGGGAACCCGCCTGACGCTCGAGGACGTATACGCCTTCGAGCCGGTCCCGGCCGGGCTGACGGCCGAGGAGGCGGCGCACGTCGTCGGCGCGCAGGTCAACGTGTGGACGGAGCACATGGAGAGCGCGCGCCGCGTCGACTACATGGTGTTTCCGCGGCTCTGCGCCTTTGCCGAGGTCGCCTGGGGGAAGCCCCCGGGCAAGGGGTTCGAGGACTTTCGCCGGCGCCTCGAGGAGGGGCATCTGGCGAGGCTCGCGGCGTTGGGGGTGAACTACCGGCCGCAGACGGGGCCGCGGCCGTGGGATGCCCGCCCGGATGCTCCCGGCAGGCCGCTCCCACGTGCGGTCCGGGAGGCGGAGCTTGATGAGTTGACGGCTGAGCTCAAGGAGCTGGCAAAGTAGCGACCGTAGGCAGAGATTTTGAGCAGGCCATAAGAGCTACCAATTTCCCAAGCGCATTTCAGAAGATGATTGAGTATAATGAGACGGAAGCAATGAATTATGCCAGCCTCTCTTAGCTCTCTATCCCTCTTCAGATGGCTAGGCATGAAGTATTGTTGGCCTCGTGGGCCACTCAACATGCCAAGGCGTTGCAAGGCATATTGTGACTGACTTCAACATTAAACTCCGATACAACTGAGGTATGAGGTGATAAGGTGCAGGTATTACGTACAGGAAGGCGCGAGAAGGCGTAACCGTGACCTTCAGCCTGCTGTGGGCGCATCTGGTGGCTCTTGTTGTGCCTGCGCCAAGAGTGGAATCCACTGTGGATTCATGTTGCTGCAAAACGACCGCCATAATCGGCTTCCTGCGACGGACCTGGCCGATCCAGTCCCCATGGCATTTGTTTAAAGGCCGAGGTCCCGCGCCGATTGAGCACATCAATCACCCACGACGACGCTGTAACACTGTGACATTGACTTGAACTTGATCCTCCTCAGACTTGTACAGAGTACAGAGTACCAAAGCAATTGACTCACATAAACTGCCGGCTGTTGATGATCGGAAAAGCGTCCAAACTACATACCTAAAAGCTGAAGCTCCGCGAGCAACACTGAACACCATGCCGTCTACAGTGGACAAGACTTCCTACCCGCTCGACAACGTCGACGCCACGGCATTAAGCGGCCGCGAAATCGACGAGACGTTTCGCTCAAGCTGCATCGGTGAGTTTCGTTCTAACCCTTTGCCGCATGCTCAACAACCCCCCTTCCCCTCCCCTGCCAGACCGTCCTCAACGTTTGCTGACCAGGGACATGATGGATCGCAGACCTCGTTTCGTCCGCGCTCGGCGGTAAGGTCCTCGCCCGCTCCGACGAGTGGTTTGCTGACGCGACCAACCTGCTCCTGCCCCACGCGCCCGTCTCCAAGCCCGGCAAGATGGTCTTCTCGGGCCAGTGGATGGACGGCTGGGAGACGCGCCGGCATAACCGCCGGCCCTTCGACTGGGTCGTGATCCGGCTCGGCGTGGCGTCCGGCACGGTCACCGGCGTGGAGGCCGATACGGCGTTCTTCACGGGCAACTACGGCCCGGCGGTGTCGGTGGAGGGGTGCTTCAGCTCGAGCGATGAGGAGGTCGTGTCGTGGAAGGGCGAGAGGGGCAGGTGGGAGACGATCCTCGGCGTGCAGCACTGCGGCCCGTCGCGGCGCTTCGGCTGGAAGATCGCCGCGCCCTCGAGCAAGGCGTACACGCACGTGAGGCTCAACATGTATCCCGACGGGGGCATCGCGCGCTTCCGCCTCTGGGGCCACGCTGTGCCCGTCTTCCCCGACGATAAAGCCGCCATCTTCGACCTCGCCGCTGCGCAGAACGGTGGCATCGCCGTCTCCTGCAGCGACGAGCACTACACCTCCCCGAGCGACCTGCTCCTGCCCGGCCGCGGCTCCGATATGAGCGAGGGGTGGCACACGGAGCGGTCGCGCGAGGTGGGCCACTCCGACTGGGCCATCATCAGGCTCGGCGCGCCGGGCTACATCCGCAACTTCGTCGCCGACACGGCGCATTATAGGGGCAACTTTCCGCAGCAGGTGGCCATTGAGGCGCTGGCGTGGACGGGCGGCAGCGGTGGGGAGCCTGATGCGAATGATTCGGCGTGGCGGGTGGTTGTGGCTCCGACTGATATGGGGCCGGATCAGGAGCATGACTTGCCCTGCGCGGAAGGAGAGAGTGTTTTCACGCACGTCAAGCTGATCATCATCCCAGACGGGGGTCTGAAGAGGCTGAGGGTGTTTGGGCGCAGGAGCAGTTAGATATACTTCAATAGAGTCAAGCATAGTTCGACGTCACACAACAGTGTCCAGTCTTTGTAACTCGCACAACGCGCGTGCGCAAGGAGCAACGGTCCCGCGTTGGCGACACCGGGGGCTTACGTCTGCATATACATACTCGGTACGTTCATGATCCATGAGCCACGATCCGTGTCTGTGCGAGCCTGCACCTTGTGTACCGCCGCGCACGTGGGTTGGCGCATCGACCGTCCCGCCACGCCAGGGACCAGGGCCGGAGGAGACTCGGAGCCAGCCCAGACGCACGCGATGCGCATGCGGTGCGACGTTGTGGCACACGTGGTAACAGGTCGTTGAACCCGGGACCCCCGTGCGATGTCGCCGACTGTCGCATCATAAGAGACAAAGGACGACGAAGTGCACTCCTTCTGAATTCCGCGCAGTGATGGAGCCCGGACGGGCATATCCCGCGTAATTTCCTCGAGTTCTCCCACCGATGCATGTCTTCCTCGCCATCGAGACCTCACGCACGATCCAATTGGCCAGACATGCTCGTCTCAAGAGGAACAGGCCCCCCAGCGTGCAGCTGGGGATAAACATATATTACAACTCTCGTGGCTCCGTCATCAGTCATGAGCCCTCATGCAACGCCATCCAAGCCACCATCATCATGGCCGTGGCGAACGCCCGCCGGTCTATATGCCGCGCAATGCACCGATACACCAGTCATGACCCGGTATTACAACATGAACACTTCGCAGGATTTCTTTTGCCTCCGTCGTTGGCAGTGGCATGCTCAGACCTCCTCCGTGCCAACCGCCTCGTATCCCCCTCTTGTCCGCATGCCGGTGAGCCGCATGAGCGTCGGGCTCTCGTACATGACTGTGTAATCCACCTTGGCACCCCCGAGCACGGCGGTGCCGTTCTCGCGCTGCCCAAAGATGGGTGCCGGATCGCACCAGAAATCCTTGCAGTTGGACAGACAGCCCCGGCTGTACGGGTTCTTCTTCTTGCGCTTGTTCTTGCCGGCCGCCGCCCCGCGTCCGGTGATGGTCTCGATGAACGGGTCGACGCCGAGGAGCCGGCTCCACTGCTTCAGCATGCCACCGCGATGCTTGTTGGCGGCACTGGGCGTGTCACCCGGCGCTGCGAGCGACGCCAGGTTGGGGTCGAGCGGCGTGCCGGTGGACGTGAGTGCCGTTACGGCAGGGCTAATGTGGATGCCCGTCATGTTTTCGTACGTCGTCATGGCGCGCGACACCTGGAAGAACTGGGTGAAGACGAGCATGGTGACCCAGATGAGCTGCAGCGAGATCCACACGGCCAGGATGAGCGTGTACGCGTCCGAATTGAGCATCTTGCATAGACCGGCCCCGAAGAGGGTGCATTGGTCTGACGCGTCTGCCGAGATGTTGCCAAAATCTGCCCCAGTTAGTGCATGCATGAGACAACGGTCACGGGCACGGTTCTTACAGTAGTAGAGCAACCAGTCGTAGGCGAAGATGCCAAAGGTCAAGCAGACAAGGTACAGGAAGAAGTGCCTGTGGTTGTTGACGCCGACGCAGTTGTACACCCACGGGCAGTGGCTGGGCTGTTGTCAGTACGCGCATCCACGCATCTACATCGGAACCGGCCAACTCACTGGTCATGCTTGGCTACGCAACGCTGGCACCTCCTGCAGTGTTTGCTCCGAAGCGGTGTTCTTATCATGCACGTAACACAAAAGTTGGCCTCGTCATACTTCCACTCCTTGAGCAAGTCGTCAATGACGGCTCGCTGCTCGGCAATGCCATTTAGCTTGGGCACGAAGCCGGGATCATATCGCATGCTCGCGATATAGAAGAAGGTGGTGAGGCAGTACAGGACGGCGAACACCAGGTTGAGTATGTAGTGCGGGGACGCCCCCGAAGTCCCGGTGCGCGTCGTGCCGGGCAGTACGACAAAGAGCCAGTCCAGGCCGACGAAGAACAGGGAGCCGGCGAAAATGCCGGCCATCCAGGGCTGTTTCGATCAGCCAAGAGCTCGGCATGTGGGGGTGCGAGGCGACTTACCGTCTTGTGAAAGTGGCGCATATCGGACGGGGCGTATTCGAGCACTTGCTTGGCGCTGGCGAGACTGGCATAGATTGTGAGCAGGGCCAGCGGGATGCCCAGTATGACGGGGAAGCGCGAGAGCACGAAGAGGACGCCCCAGGTGAGGAGGAAGGGCCAGAGGAAGAGGAAGCGGGTGGCGAAGGCGCGCTTGTCCTTGAGGAAGTAGCTGGAGCCGGGCCAGGGCGGCGTCGCGACGTGACCGTCCTCATCGTAGCCGCACTCGCGCAGGGCGCGATGCCAGGCGCCCTGGGTGTTGAGCTCGGTGGCAGTGACGGCGGGCGTCTTGCCCGACTCGGTCTTGGCGAAGCGGTCGGCCCCATACTCGATGATCTTGAGGATGCAGCCCGGGTTGCCCTTGACAAGCGCCCAGTGCAGCGCGGTGAAGCCCTGCTCGTCGGCGGCGTGGACGCTGGCGCCCCAGCGGAGGAAGACGTCGACGCACTGGGGGAAGCCCTTGTAGGCGGCCCACATGAGCGAGGTGTGGCCGAAGCTGTCGAGGACGTCGACGGGGATACCCTGGTGGAGGAGCAGGGTGATGAGCAGGACGTTGCCGTTGAAGGTGGAGATGTGCAGTGTGTTGTAGCCCTGGGCGTCGGTGATGAGGGGGTCGGCGCCGTGCTGGAGCAGCAGGTTGACCGTGTAGTAGTGGCAGCGCTGGGCCGCCCACTGCAGGGGCGTCGCGATGGACTCGCCGCCCTTTTTGTTGATCTCGGCGCCGTGCTCGATGAGGAACTTGCACATGGCATACTGGTTGTTAATGGATGCCCACTGGGGGACTGTCAGCCGGGTTCCTTGTATCTAACACCTTGTCAGGCTGCCGGGGAGGGTGGTGCGCACGTGTAGCGGCGTGATGCCCTCCTCGTCGGCATACGTCGCGTCGAACTCGCCCGACTCGAAGAGCTTCTCCATGGCGGCAATGTCGCCGACGCGGGCGACCTGCATGATGTCGCTGTCGGGCGCCGCCGGCGGGTTCGCCGCGTCGGCGGGCAGGCTGCCCATCTCCATCTCGCTGTTGAGCTTCGGGGCGGCGGCCGAGGCCTTGGAGGAGAGGTGGATGGGGGCGGTGGTGGTCGAGGAGGAGGCAGCCGAGGCGCTGCTGGGACGGGTCGGGCTGCCCATGTACGTGCCCGCGCTGCGCAGCGGCGGATGCGAGACGAAGACGACGGCGGTTGGTCTGGTTGCGGGAGCTGGGGCGCTCAGCGGGAGGGGGAACCGGCGGGAGGGGGAACCGGCGGGAGGTTGAGGACGGTCGGGAGTCGCGAGCCGGCCGTTGGCGTTGGCGTCGGCGTTGACGCTGACGTTGACGTTGAGCGGTAGCGTCGGTTGCGCCTGCCGGCAGACAGAGCTTGGGTCGGGTCGTGTCTGTCGCGCCTGCCGTTCCAGCTAGGGAAGCGTCGTCACCGCTAAAAGCGCCAAAGGTACGGAGTACAGAGCGCTACCCCGACGTCGCCAGATGCAGCCTGTGAACGCAGCAACAGGCTCAGCGGCAGGAGAGGGATAACAAAAAAACGGTACGGCACAGAAAAGATCAAAATGGCCCAAAATCGAATGTCCAAGGGAAGGAGGGATAGCCGGGCTTGATGGAATCGTTTCCCCGTTCAATTTCCAATCCAGCCCGAGGAGGACCCCCGTCCAGTCCCCTGCCCTGCCCCGGCGGCCCTCTCCACTGCCCTGGGCGTCCGCTGAGGCTGAGTCGCCAAGTGCTTGCGCCCTCCATGCCCGAAGCGGTCTAGGGCCTGGGAGCTGAGGTGAGGTGACTTGGGTGAGTGCGCGCTGACGGCTCCGGCTCGTGCGGCAAAGCGCGAGAGTGCGAATGAGTGGGCGCCTGTGAGAGCCTGTGAGAGCCCTGCGAGCCCTGGGAGACGGGGCGCAAGGACCCGCCCTGGTGCCCGCAAGGTCCCCTGTGGCTGGTGCTGCCGAGCCCGCCCCGCCAGGCTGTGGCGCGCGCCAAAACACCAAATGCCACTCTCCGCAGGGCGGTCTCTTCTCCTATTTCCTCCGCTGAATGCTAGGTAAGTTGCCGCTATTAAGATAGAGAGTGATGAATAAGTGATTTCGTTCATAACCAATCGAGGATATGGGTAAGCTATAGCTTATACCAAATCCAACACATTAAAACACCTACTCAATACGGGCTATGATCTCCACCATCAAACAGCTCCGGAACGGGGACGCGCAAATGCGTTTCTTGGCCAATCTCCGTGATCTTGGAACGATCCTCATCACTCAGCTTGAACTCCAGAGCCGCAAAATACTCTTTCATCCGCTCGACCTTCTTCGTGGTATTCAGGACAATGATCTGCTGGTCAAGCTGCCAGCGGATCAAGATGGTGCTCTTGCTGACGCCATACTTGGCAGAGAGCTCCTCCAAGGTGTCCTCAAGGTGCCTCTGTCGCAGCCACGTGATGGGCGCGAGGCCCATCCAGCTCTGTACGGCAATGCCCTGAGACTGCAGCCATTTGGCGTACTCGGGCGCGCCCTTGATGTAGGGGTGGAACTGGATTTGGTTGACGACAGGCTTGATCTCGGCCGTCTTCAGCAAGTTTTCGACGTGCACCCGCCGGAAATTGGAGACGCCAATGGCACGGGCTTTGCCAGAGCGGTGGATGGCCTCAATGAGCCTCCACGCCTCGGCGACAGCGGCTTTGTCGTACGTGCTGTCCTTGTTGGCGTATGGGGTATGGAGCAAAAGCCTGGAAAGTCGTCAGCTATGCGTCGCGTGTCTGCGACCTGTTGACGCCGGAAAAGCCTACAAGTCGACATATTCTAGCTGAAGGCGTTCCAAGCACTTTTCGAAGCCAACAGTTACGTCCTTAACGCTGCCCTCGCTGATGGTTTGAGCCAGCTTCGTGGTGACGAAAAGCTCGTTCCGGGGCACACCGCTTTCCTTGATGGCCCGCCCGAGCTCGTTCTCGGTGCCGTAGCCCTCGGCCGTGTCAAGATGGCGATAGCCGGCCGCGATGGCGTCCTTGAGCATCTTGACCATGTCCGGGTTGAAGTCAGAGAAGCGGTCGGGCTTGTACCACGCCGTGCCGGTGCCGAAGCCGAGCTATCTCATCGCATTAACGTCACGGGCAGCGAGGTGATGCGAGCAGAGATGGGGGTCCTACCACGGGGATCTTGGTGCCATCCTGCAGTGTTACCGAAGGAATGCGCGTGGGGGAAGACATGGCGTGACGAAAACCGATTGCTGGACTCGATTGATCTGGCGTACTGCGGATTCCGTGAGGTAATTCTGAGGTTGGCCAGACTAAAACAGAGGGGAACGACCGCGTTTTCGCTGCATTATGAACATCTCAGAACCCCGCACGCTATAACGGCAAAGGTCATCACCCTAATAAGCAATATCGGTATCATGATGTAAGCGGGCCGGTGATGGCGGGAGGCATAAACTCTCACTGATAGTCCGGGCGGAGGTGGCCCGGCCAGGCTAATAAGCATATCCCGTTTAGGTAGTCGCCGTCTCTTCCATCTGCCCTCCAAGTCTGGCGGCATTTTCCTGAGCTGGAATTCGACCTCGCGGGTTTCTACACGCTGGCGGCATATCATGACCTAATTTTCCTTCTTTGCTTGTCATATTGCTGTCCTCGCTTTTCTACCTGGCCGGTTGCGCAGGTCACCACTTGGGACCTACCGGCCCTGCGTCGACCTGGCTCGGCGCTCCATGAAAACACCTGTGGTCCACAACGGATTACTGATACACCCATCGCTCACGACGGGTCGCTTGCAAGCAGTTCGCTTATCGTTGTAATGGATACCTAGCTCTTGTGACTGTTGTTACTTAACGGCCAGGTCTGGGCACTCAACCTATTCCTGATCATATTGAGTCATTGACCCGATGCAAGACCTCCGGGTCCATTATCCTTGCCGCATACATTAGCTCGGCTATAAGACAATGCAGACATCAGAACTGCCCGGGCAGGACCGGCCTCTATCGGCCAATGGACCGGCTGAGAGCACAATACTAACATAGTTCCTGTAAGGCGACGGTAGGATCCAGATCCAGCGGCATGGATGGTAGTAATGGATCCATGGTATCGTCGCGTTGCCCCCACACATCCATCTGTGGAGCCCAAGGCGGGAAGGCAGATGCCGACCGATCTGGTGGTCCTAGCGGCCGACGTTCTATTGTAGCTGCAGCATCTTACTTGAGAGGTCGCGCTGGGCCTGCCGTCCCTCGGCGGTTGTCGAAAGCGTCCAGTAATCTCTGACAGAGGCACGAGTCTACTTGGGCTTGTAAAGGCAGATGGCCGTTGCCGTTACATGGGGGAATTAGATGCACCGGGCCTGGGGCTCCGGGCCTTGGCGAAAGTACCAGCGGTGTAAGGCTACGGCATGCGGCTCAGTGGCGAGGCGCGCCATGGACGCCAAGTATGCAAACAGCGGACATTCAATAGTCCTATACGGAGCGTCGGAGATACCTGCTTGACAATGACTATACTGGCTCGGCAATTACTATGTTCGATCGGGGGCAGCCAGCGTAACATGGAACCGCATGCCTGGCCGGAGCTAGTGACCCTGCTGGACGTCATGAATGGCATTAGTCTAGTTGAAGTCGCTAGAAGAGGAAACACCCGACTTGGAAGGGGCAAAAGGGTTTAAGTCGACTCTGTGATTCTGCCTAGACGTGGAGGAGTTGGCAAGAGAAACCTGGGATGGGAGGCAGATATAAACTGCCGTGAAAACCTCCCAGGAGAGGTACCATTCTGCTTGTCACTATCTCATAATAACCCAACTCAACCACCCCCCAAGCGCCGCCTTCCATACCAGAAGCACAAGTCAATACTGTCCCGCGAAATGCTCTTCAACTCTTTTGTCAATCTTGCTCTCGCGACTATGGCCACCGCTGCCGCCATCGCTGACCCAGCCCCTCAAGCTGTCAATGAGACAGAGCCCGACCTGGGCTCTGCCGACTCAACTCTCGAGAAGCGCAGATGCGGTGGTTTCTGGAACACCTGCAACACTGGCGGATCGGGCATCCGCTACTTGGGCAACGGCGACGTCAACTTCTTCACCACCCGGTGCGGCGACGGCCACGGAGGGTACAAGGGCTCCGGCATTGACCTGGGCCGTTGCCTGCAGAACAGGGGCGGTAATCTGGCCCCGGGCAGCCAGTAAGTCAAGCATCAATCATGACAAAATAACAAATCGCCAAAAAGTAGAACCATTAACCGCTTGGGCAGCTGCTAACGAGATGTTTACTAGGTACTTCAAGACTTGTCATGACATTGACATCCAGGGATACACTACGCTTGTTGCTACCTGCGGAGACGGCAAGAAAGACCATCGCACTTCTATCGATCTCAGTGTGTACCACAAGAGGATTGCGTTTAGGGAGTGGTTTTACTGACATTGAGAATAGACACTGTCATCTGCAACCAAGGCGGGAACCTTGCCTGTTAGAGGGCGACGGTGCAAACAAGAGTATTAGCGATTCTCTCCCGGCACTACAGCGCCGCACGTGTGTATTCATCCATGATACAGAGAAATACAGTGTCCATTTACTCATGCAGCATGTACCATTGATCGGTAGGCTGGTGGACTCGTGCGATGCCTGGCACGCGGGCGCATTTCCCAGCGACTCTCCAGCTTATCGCGATGAGTAAAAAACAATTAAAATAAACATCCAAGCAATATAATCATCGCCTTAGATCTTGGACTCTAGCTACTAACTTATTGAGAATCTGAGATACTTGAAAAGTTAAAATGCTCCGAATGGGGCAGTGGGATTGGCGTCTGGTTTGCCCGAGACCACTAAATACGGACGTGTCCAGCGTGGCCTGATATGTGGGCCGCAATACCTCCGGCTCTGGCCCCGAGCTGCCAGATCCGTCAGACCCAGACTGGACCTGAATTGCGGCGCTCCGCCACAAACGCCGACGTGCACAAACCACCACGTCTGGCCTCCCCCGTGTGCGACACCTGCCGACGTCGACTGCCCTCCGCCGACCTGAGCCGCCCCGTCGAGGTTCCGTCTCCCGCGCGAGCACTCGAGCTCCTCGATCCTTCGGCCTTCTCTCCCCCCTCGACCTTTCAAACACGAAGCGCACGACCTCAAAGGCTCGTCGACACATCCTCGCGCGCCACCCACCATGGCCACCTTCACCTCGGTCGTCGAGACCATCATGACGCCCTCCCTGCCCGTCATCCTCCTCGGCATCCTCATCATCCTCGGCGCCCCGATCCTGCTGCACATCGTGCTCGCCTCGTCCGCCACGTACACGACCCCGCCCGTCGTCGTGCTGCTCGGCCCCTCGCACGCCGGCAAGACGGCCCTCACGACACTGCTCGAGCGCGGCGGCCCCGCGCCCACGCCCACGCACACCTCGCAGACGGCCCAGTCCGTCGAGCTCAACGCCTCCACCGACTCCGCCTCGAGGAAGTCGTTCCGCAACCACGACGACGCCACCGGCACGCACACCAAGTTCCTGCTCGTCGACACGCCCGGGCACGGCAAGCTGCGCAACGTCGCGAGCGGGAAGCTTGCCCGCGCGGAGAAGCTCAAGGCCGTGGTCTTCATGGTGGACGCTGCGGCGATTGGCGAGCATGATGTCCTCGCGCCGACGGCTGCGTACCTCTACGACGTGCTGCTGCATTTGCAGCGGAAGGCATCCTCCAAGGGCAAGGACAAGGCCTCTGTGCCGGTCCTCGTCGCGGCCAACAAGATGGACCTCTTCACCGCGCTGCCGGCTACCATGGTCAAGTCGCAGCTCGAGGCGGAGCTGACGCGCATCCGCGCCACGCGCAGCAAGGGCCTGCTCGACTCGGGCGTTGGCATCGACGACGTGGGCTCCGAGGAGCAGGACGGCTGGCTGGGCGAATACGGCTCGGAAAAGTTTTCGTTTCAGCAGATGCGCGAGTTTGACATTGACGTCGATGTCATTGGCGGGAGCGTCACGGCCGAGGCCGACGTGGACAAGTGGTGGTGGTGGATGGCGCAGAGGGTGTGAGTCGGCCAGGTCGCGCCGTGTACGATAGGAATAGCGCGGGCCATTCGCGGCAATGGCCGGCGTAATGTCACAACATAGAAGATATCACTCAGACCATTGCGACTGGGCAGGTCTCCAGGCGACAAGAAATAAAGATTTTGTCATTGCCGTCTATCTGCATGAATCCGGTAGATGTTGAGTCTACTGCCACCCAAATGTCCAAGTTGAAAACGCCAGGCCAGTGATAAATCAAACTCCAAAATGCGTCATTTCATCTGCCTCGTGCGCCTCCTGCCTCCAGCCAACCGTCCAAGCCCAATCTACTGCTTCCTGTTGACCATCCAGGTGAGCAGGTCGACCTTGGTCACGACGGCAATGGGCTTGGACAGCGACTTGGCGTCGCCGCTCTTCTCCGTCACCACAGCGGCGCTGTTCCACTCGAAAAAGTTGCTCAGCGCCGACAGCGGCGTGTCGACGGTGATCTCGACAAACTTCCTCTTGGCAGCCCCCGCGGGAGCCTGGCCGGTGGCGCTCTTGCGCGGGTCCGTGACGATCTCGTCGAGGCGGCTAAAGTTGAACATGACGTCCTTGACGGGGCTCTGGCCGGTGGCGCGGCCGCGCGAGATGTAGCTCAGCAGGTTGCCGAGGGTGACGAGGCCGACGAGGCGCGACGACGACGACAGCACGGGCAGCTGGTCGAAGCCCTTGTCGCGCATCGTCTCGATGGCCTCGGAGCAGCTGGCGGTGGCGGCGACCGAGGTAACGGGCTTGAGGCGCAGGGAGCCGACGGTGGCGCCGTCGTAGGGGTCGCTGGAGCCGGCGGGGGCGTCGCTGTGGGCGGCCTCGACGCCGTTGACGGGCAGCAGGCCGTTGGCGGCGAGCCAGTCGTCGTCGGCAAACTTGGAAAGGTAGCTGCGGATGCTGTCGGGCAGGACGACGACGACGACGTCGCCCTTCTTGAAGCCGTAGTCCTTGACGGCGCGCAGCATGGCGGCCATGGCGGAGCCGGAGCTGCCGCCGACGAGGAGGCCCTCCTCGGAGATTAGGCGCCTAGCGAGGTAGAAGGACTCCTGGTCGTCCGTCTTGTACCACTTGTCGACGAGCTCGCGGTCGAGGACGTCGGGGATGAAATCGTAGCCGATGCCCTCGACCTTGTAGCCCTCGTTGAGGTGCTCCTGGTTGAGCGACTCGGGCAGGGCGAGGATGCTGCCGTGGGGGTCGGCGGCGATGACCTTGACGTCCTTGCTGTGCTTGCGGAGGCCCTTGGCGAGGCCGGTGATGGTGCCGCCGGTGCCGGCGCCGGCGACGACGGCGTCGACGCGGCCGCCCGTCTGCTCCCAGATCTCCTCGGCGGTGCCGAGCTCGTGGGCGCGGGGGTTGTCGACGTTGCTGTACTGGTCGAGGATGTGGGCGTTGGGCATCTCCTTCTCGAGGCGGCGGGCGACGCCAATGTGCGACTCGGGGGCGTCCCAGGCGGCCTGGGTGGGCGTGCGGATGATGGTGGCGCCGAGGGCGCGCAGGACCGAGACCTTTTCGGCCGACATCTTCTCGGGCATGGTGATGATGGTCTTGTAGCCCTTGATGGCGCCGACGAGGGCGAGGCCGATGCCGCTGCAAAGCAACACTTAGCACGCGAGGACAGGCATATAACGGGGGAGGAGAATCAGCAAAGGGAGGCGTACGTGTTGCCGCTGGTGGGCTCGATGAGGGTGTCGCCGGGCTTTATCCTGCCGCTGCGCTCGGCCTCCTCAATCATGCGCAGGGCGATGCGGTCCTTCACGCTGCCGCCGGCATTGAAGAGCTCCGTCTTGGCGTAGACGTCGCACTCGATGCCCAGCGACTGCGGCACCTTGTTGAGGCGCACGAGGGGCGTGTTGCCGATGAGCTCGGTGGCGGAAAGGACGGTGGCGGGCTTGCGCCCGACGTGGGGGAGAGTCGGCGACGCCATGATGGCGGGGGAGAGGGAGTTCGTGTCTTGTTGTTGGGTGGTTGTCGTGTGCGATCGTCAAGTCGGCCAGCCGTCGCGTCTTGTGGTGCGTAAGTCTGTGGTTGCGAGAGAGGGAGAGGTGAAAGAGAAGGAGAGAAGGGAGACGATGGCTGCAGATGTGAGGTGGTGGTGGTGGTGGACGGCGCAGAGAGAATCGGAAACGGAAGCGGGACCGAAACCTGACAGGAAGGTGGCGTGTCCGGCAGAAACTTTTGCGTGCCCCGCGCCCGCCGTCGCCGCCGCGCGACGCCGAGAGTATCCGCCAAACAAGGGACGGGCGGGCGGCTGGAGCGAGCCCCTCTCGGCTGTCGCAGTCGGAAGTGCAGGGGTGTCTTGGGGGCACCAGCTGCCGCTCGGAGACCCCCGAATCCCGAGCTGACCCGCCATCATTCCCGCTGTAGGAACAGCTGGAGGTCCAAGCACGGGCGGTCAGTCAGCGGGTGGAGCCCCCGTAAGGCGCCCTGACGCGGCCACTCAGGCGCCCCGACCGATTTTTAGGTACGTACGTCCACGCCGTAGCGCTCGCGCCAGAAGGGTTCTCCAAGGGTTCTCAAGCAGCCCTAATAACGCCGGACGAAGATCCTTGTGGGGGCACCATCGTCTTCTTGATCAGCCGCCATAAAATTTGCCGTGAGCTCGGTAGCGAGCCGCGGGCTCTGCCTGGATGCCCGGCCAAAGCGGGAACGCCCATCAACTACAGACGAAGAGTGCCGCGCAACCGCTATTGAACATCCCCGGCGAGCCAAATGAATCTAGGTTTTATATCGTATAAATACATTTCTGCGAATAGTGCTACTTTTTGCTATGCTATACTCACTCCCTTCCTGTCTGCCGTTGCTGCCATGGGAGCACACACCGCTAAGCTGCAGGGGCCGCTCTTTTCTCGCATGCTCCTCGTCGTCCTTTCGTAAACTTGTACAATAATTAGGCCCTGAGCTTCTAAGAGTCGTCCCTCCTCTAAGCGCGATGATGGCCTTGTTCCCTCGGGGTACTTAGAACCTCCCTTTTCAGTGCCTTCAACCCCCTCCTCTCACCCCTGCTTTTCTTCCTCTTCTTCCTCCTCGTCCTCCTCGTCCTCGTCCTCCTCCTGGGGCTCTTCAGCAGGCTTTATATCCTCCAACTTATTAGGGTGTTCATCCGGCTCCACGTCCCCATCCGCCCAAGGGTCGTCAGGGTCTGAAACCTGCGTCTTCTCGGAATCTCTCATGATCTCCTCAAAATCAAAATCCCACCATTGGTACTTGACTGGAGGCTTATCCGGAAATAGTAGATCGTCCTCCTCAGAGGGTTCCTCGCTCTCCTCTCCTTCCTCTTCTCCCTCCTCGCGTTTCTCGTGCGCGGCGTTAGATCCGCGGACATTACTCTCAATACTTCCCGGTGGCTTCTCGAGACCGTGGCAAAGACCAAAGGCCGCATTGCAGCCTGCGCCGCAGTGTACTCGCGATGAACCGCTGTCATGGGGTTAGCACTGTACTGCAGGATGGGACAGAATAATAATGAAACAGGAGGGCCCATACCAATGTCCAAACGACGAGCAGCACCCACCGAACGATGAGCCTGCACAGGTGTAATTGAACATAAGGTCCATGCTGCGGCCGCAGAGCCCATCCTTTGAGACTATAACAGCAACACGCTCGTCGAATGGACGGAACTCTACCGGCATCGTGGCTCCCGATTCTGGGCCGGGGCTCGACGCCGAGTCCGGCAGAGACGATCCAGGCTCTTGGACACCACCGGCCTGGTTCGCGGCCTTGGGGGCCGGGCGGTACCAGTTCTCCTTTGGATCTCCGAGGCACTCCCCTACCGTGACAAACTTGTATCCGCGCGTCTTGGCAGTCAGAAGCATGTGGGAAGCCAGCTGGAGAGCATGGGCTTGCGGGTCGTGGGCCAGCACAATGTAGCCGTTGTCTGCGGCCTTCTCCGATAGGCCCTTGTTAAAGAGCATTTTCGAATTCTCAAGGACGTTGCGATCCTGAGTCATCCAGTCGTTGGTGTCGAGGGAGACTCCGATAATGTGATAGCCGCGCTCCCCGAGGTAGGCTTGGCAGTCGCCGCCGCACGCGAGGTACGGAGCGCGCATGTAAGTCGGGATCCATCCAAAGATGTTTCGAAACGCCATCTCGCTGTACATCATTTGGATTTCTGGCCTGCCGGGTACGAGGTGCCTGTCGAGGTTGACATGAGTCCAGGTGTGGCTCGCGATATGGTGGCCGTCCCTGTCCATGCGCACGAGGAGACTTCTCCACGGCTCGTCTTGGATGTTGCGGCGGTCCTGAAGCCCGACGACGAAGAACGTGGCCTTTGCGTTGAATGTGTCGAGGAGATTCAAGAGCGCTTCCGTGTACATGGCGGGCCCGTCGTCGAATGTGAGGGCGACGACGCCGGGCTTAACGCACTTGTCAATTATTGTCCCTTACGTGTCACAATGTTAGATACGTGTTCTGCGATGCCATTTTGTTTTCAAAAATTGAACATACCGTATGGCACATTTCCGAGGTGAGGTCGTGGAATGATGTCTGTTTGTGGCCCCTCGGGGCGATACTCGTGAGCGAATGTAGTGCCGCCATGGAGGACTCCTTGGAGCCCCAGAAGCAGCGCGGCTTGTGTCAGGTGCCCAATACTTCTTGGCGCCATCGTTGTGTGTGCGCTGAGCAGCTGCTGTCGGTAATGTGGTGGCCACGAGTAGACAGAGACGGAATCGAGCGAGGACGAGATGAATAGCAGGAACAAGTCGAGAGGACGACAACTCGCAACCAATTTATCGAGAGAACGGGGGTTTAGAGTTCGGCAATCCAAGATTCACAGGGGAGCCCCGAAATATATAATTCACGAGAGAGGTTCACAGGTAATGTATCGTCTTGTCATCATTCTGCAGCGCACAACTCCGTCCGGGAGGCTTATCTGTATGGGGAATCATGGCTGCAGATGTCCCATGCACAAGATGCCTCATTGCCATGCTAGAATTCAGCATTCAGATCATGAGATGGCCGCAGAACGCGGGGTCGGTGGCTGAAGCTTGATCCGCTCTCCGTCCCGACGGGGCGCGTTCCCGCCAACCCGCGCGCGATGCTTCGTAGCTGCGTGGTTGTCTGGTCATCTCTGGTGGAGTTGCAGCAGCGTGGCATGTTCTTGAACTCGGGGACACACGGGCACTGAACCTGCAGCCAATTAAGCGTACGGTACGGGATCCCCAGATCCAGCATGATGGGTCGGGCCTGCGGCTCGTGGCGAGGTGGCATCGAAATGGGTGAATGCAGGTTCGAATCTTAAAAGGGCGGCTGCCTCCCTGTGGCTCAGACAGCGAATGTCTGCGAACCACAAATTTCCCACAAATAACTTGTGACATAACGGCAAAAATCTCGGTGTGAGTAAAAGATGAGCCGCGGAGCAGAGATGATGGGGCAGAAGATATGGCCGAGAGTCGCCCTAGAAACGGGGCCCGTGTCGGCGATATGGGAGTTCAAGAATGGCCAAATATGTATGGACCTGCACCCGACGTCGTGCAAAGTTCGCTTGAGTCCATGTCTATGCTCAGCGGGCCGTCGAATTCGAATGGAAGACACCAGATACGACGCCCTCAAGTGAGCCCTACGGCTTTTCAGAGGCAGTGCCCGGTTTGCAAAGCCCAATGTTGCACGGTAGCCTGGCGCAAGAGTCACCTGGGAGGGCCTTTATGCACCGGCACAGCACGTCGGGATCCGCATCTGTACATAAGCTGCAGCACGCTGCATGTCTTGGGCACGCACGCAAACATCACGTTTTTAGCCTATGCGACCGTGCAGCAGGCCATCTGTACCTATGGCGTCGTGCCATGCACGAACGTAGGCATCAACACGTCGTGAAAACAAGTCTGCTCCAAGCGCCTTCCCGACCGAGTAGACAGAGGCAAATATATGCATGCCAAATGCACGTCTTGTAAGATTTTCGATGACATTGTCTGCAGGGAGTTACCTGCGGCGACTGCAGCACGGCTGGGCTGCCGACTATCAGACCAGACAAAAACCGGATCGAATGTGCATGGCATCCTTGACGTCTTGCCACTCTATTGAGGTGGATAGCCGAAGCCGCCATCGCTGGGCCCCAGGAATCAGGCTCACATTCTGTGGCCAGTCTGAGGAACACAGCGCAACACCTCTGTGGTGCTCGTCGGCCCGTCCAGGCGGCAGAGGACAGCCAAAAAGGGTAACCACTCGGCCCCACCTCCTCCGTACTCTCGGCCCGTGTGGGGCCGTCTTCGATTCACCCCTCCGTCGTGTCTGGATTGCCACAAGGGCCGCCGTCGACATGGTTACCCAGCATCCTTGTTGTCCCTGTCGTCTCGCCCAGGGTGCGCTGCCTTGTTCTCGTCTTCAACAGAGAAACTTCCCCAGCGGCGGGACCTAACGCACGCATCCGTCATCCCCGCGCCCACCCACCCTCACGACACCAACCCGCATCACGACCTCGTCCGCGATTGGGCCGCGCCCACGCCAGGTGATGCACCGCTTCTCGTCGTGTGTGTGTGCCTCCGCCCACAAGCACACCACCGGCGCGAGCTCCGGCGGGCGGGGCTCCCCCATCCTCACATGGCCAACGGGATAAATGAGCGCGTCCTGCAGCTGCAGCTGCTTCTTGTGAGTCTTCTGCCTGGCCCACGGCGGTGCCTCCGACCCCTGTCCATCCAGGTGCGCGCCGCGACGCGCAACGGCGGCGCTGGTCCAAGGTGCGAGCAGCACGGCGCGAGAGGGTGGGCCGGCCCAACCGCATGCTCCCGTCATATGACTGGATGTCTTGAAAATTGGATGCATGCCCGTTTATCGCGACGGGAGGCACGCAGGCTTGCGGCAGGACGAGCTGTGCCTTGTGCTCTGCTGCCTTTGGGGGCGGCGGCGCGCTCTGGTCTGCTGGCGCGATGGGTGCGATGGTATTGAAAAGGGACGGCTGCTCAGCCGCCGCGTGCGTTTTCGTCGACGAGTGGCTTTTCGGGAGGCATCATCATGTTTGATAGAGTTTGCTCTGACATAGTTTGAAACATGATCTTGTCACCGCCCGGCGCGGGCAGCCTCGTCACGCAGGTGGCTCGCCAGGAACCACGCATCTTCACACAGACCCTCACCCGGCCAGCCACCACGCTCGTCACGCTTATTACGCTTGGCTCCACGCCGTCTACCTCGTCCTCCTCCTCGTCATCATCGCCGAGCCCGACCGCGTCCCTCGTCGTCCCAGCCAACAGCGGCGGCAAGCACGGCCTTTCCAGCGTGCAGCTGGGCGCCATACTGGGCTCCATCGCGGCGGTCGTCGTCCTCGTCATCGTCGCCGGCATCTGCCTCGCAAACAAGACCCCGCCTCGGAAGCGGCACACCTACGTGTATCAGGACTGGAGCACCAGCAGCAGCGGTGGCAGTCACGGCTCGTCGTCGACATCTAGCAGCTCGACGGCCAAGTCGAAGAAGAAGCCGCCGCCCAAGGGCCCGAAGGGGCCGTCGCGGCCACCGCAACTGATTCCCGGAGGCGCGCCGTATCCGACATACAAGGCGGTGCCGATACCCAATCCGAGGAAGCCGCCCAGTGTGAAGCGCGTGTTTGTGTAGTGTCGTAGGGAGGATTTGCGTTGAGAGATGGAGAGGGGATCGTGGAGTCCAAGGTTCGGGTTAACCTGGGGACGAGGCGGCGTCAGTGACAGTAGCCGGAAATGGGGCATAGCGGGCGTGCTGACTTGAATCTTACCGTCACGGCACCACATTACTGGTGCTAAAGTTTGCCTTTGCATCGCTTGACCGCCACCAGACATTACTTTCGGCGACCATATGGTGTTGACCATGTCTTCCGCTCCATAAAGCCATCTCTGCAGAAATACGCTTCCCTGTGAGCCACAATGTGCCAGTGCTGCAAATGCTGACGCCTTGGGGGAGGTTAATGATACCTTGGAGTCGTGCGATGTATGCCGTTTGCAACATGGCCAGGGCGGGTGCGGAAACACGGCACGGTCCGATTCGATACATGCGAAGCAGGCAAGGTATGCCTTTGGCTCCATGGGTTCCGGCTCGGCAACGGCGTCGAGTGGCGTTGCATCTGCGGTCAATCCACATTTCAAGGATTTTGACGCAAGCTGCCGTCGTCGTGTGACGGCGACTTCGATGCGCCGAGAACCTAATGTCATTGCGCAGATAGATGACCTTCGGCATGTTACACGATTTCTAGACGCTTTGAGAGGAGGAAGCAGCGGTGTTACTGTTACCCGATCTCGATGGCCAGTCTCGCTCTCTGATAGGTACCTACTCGGGCACCAGACATCTAGCCGACTCGTCAGGGTCGTCGTCCTGGGGCATCGCCAAGGTCGTACAGCAGTCTCCAGTCTCCCCGACGTTACAGCGGCTCAGCTTCTAGCAATCAGCGAACCATCGGCCGCAGCTGGATATCGTCAGCGTCGTCGGATGGTACAGCTATTTGGGACTTCAGGTTGTTGGATAGGTAGACGGCCAAGGGAACATGGATCCGAATGTCGCCCTTATGGCACCCATACTACCTGTCAGTCACGCCGGGATCAAATAATTGACAAATTTACTTTCTTTTACAGTCTTTAGTGTCTACTCTGCGAAATGCAGCCTCACGTTGACGCCGTCGCCGGGACAGTTGGTCAGCGTCAGGCCGTGCTTGACGGGCCCGATGTTGGAGCCGTCGATGGTGTCGATGCGCTGGATCAGACGGATCACGACGTAGGCGATCTCCGTCAGCGCAAACTGCTGGCCGATGCAGATGCGCGGGCCGCCGTTGAACGGCAGGTAGTCCCAGCCCGGCCGGCGATGCTCCCACCGCTCCGGCTTGAAGGTCTCGGCGTCGGGGCCCCAGAGGTCCTTGCGGCGCTGCATGATGTGTACCTACGCGAGACGGTGTCAGCACCTTGTTCTCTCTGTTCCCCTAATTTCTATCCGTATATCCATCTGATGCGTTGTAGGAAAGCAAGAAAAGACTTACCGAGTATGCCACATCCTGCCCCTTGCGGACGTACACGGGAGACCGCCCGTCGGCGCCACCGCCCACGGGCAGCGTCGTGTCGACCTGCGCGGTGCGCACGTTCATCGTGACGATGGGGTAGAGCCGCAGGATTTCGTTGATGCACCACTGCAGGTACTGGCAGCTCTTCATGCGCTCAAACGTAATGTCGCGGGGCTTGTCGTACGTGCCAAACTCCTCGAGGATGACGGTGCGCAGCTTCGTGTAGTAGTGGTTGTACTGGGGGTCCGCCAACGTGTAGAAGAACCAGCCCAGCGTCGAGGCCGTCGTGTCGCGCCCCGCGAGCAGGATGTTGAGCAGCTGCGAGCGCAGCTCGGCCGGGTCCTGCGTGTCCTGGGCCAGCGCGTGCAGGAAGACGTACTTTTCCTTCTCGCCGCCGCCGGCCTTCTCGTCGCGCGTCTGCTTCATCGCGACGCCGACAAAGTAGTCGACGAACTCGTGGACCTTCTTCACCATGCGGTGGAACTCGGGCGTGTGCACCATCCAGTAGCTGTTGCCCATGCGCGCGCCAAGGGAGAGCGTGTACTGCGAGCGGTCAAAGGCCTGGGCGAAGTCGTCGCCCCGCTTGTTCCCCTTGCCGGCGCCGCTGTCCTCACCGAGCTGGCTGTTGACGCTCTCGCCGAAGAGGAACTCGGTGGCCGAGTCGAGCGTCAGGCGGAAGAAGAGCTTGGACAGGTCCACCGTGTCGGTCCAGCCGTCCTTGCCGAGGTGGCGGTCCAGCACCGTCATCATGGCCTTGACGTGGTCCTCCTCGAGGTCGAGGTCGCTGACCTGGCTGCGGACGAACTGCGGCCGGAGAAGGGCGCGCGAGTGCTCCCACTGCTTGCCGTTGGCAGCGAACTAGACAGCGAATTCGTCAGCCTTGATACTCACCGACGGACTGCCCTGCAGTCAATCATTGAAGGGAGACGGGGGGCACATACGATGCCGTTGCCCAGCAGCGGCTTAAAGTTCTCCGTGCGGTTCGGGCCCAGGCCAAAGTCCTTGAACTTGAGCGCCAGGACGGTCTGGATGTTCTGCGGGTCGAGGGTGAAGAGGGTGTCGCGGAAGAAGGGCGTCCTGAGGATGACGGTCCCGACGTAGCGGCCGTGCTTCTCGGCCACGGCGTCGAGCTGCTCCTGGACCCAGACGGGGAGGCGCTTCTGGCGCGAGGCGTTTGCGCCGCGCATCATGGAGACGATGCCGCTGGGCTCCGGGCCCGTCGTCTTGAGGGGCGGCTCGCAGCCGAGCTCCTTGGCCTTTTTCGCATGCCGGATGTGCTCGTTGATGCTGTTGATGATGTACCCGAGGACGAGCGCCGCCGCGGCGATGACGGCGAGGGCCGCGATTTGCATCTTGGCTGCGTCTTTTGTCTCTTTGCGGCTTTTGCTCTCTCTTTGCGACTCAGAAGCGTCCAGTCACTCCCAACTATGTCGTTAAAATAAAACGAGCTGTTGAATCACCAACACGCGACGTCACATGCAGCCGCAGAGTCGACAATACGTACGCCGGGGGTTGTTAACGAATGACAGGCAGCTTGTTTCTTCTTAAGGGCGACATGGCGTCGAATTGCACATGCGTCAATTCGATACGGGTCCCCGGGAGCGGTGGGCTTGGCGCGCACCGGCGGGCGGCCAGGAACGGAGCATCGGGCTAACGTTGTGACTCTTATCGAGTTTCGTCGCCAGCCAAAGCGGGCCTCGGCTGCTGTTCAGCTCCCGCGACGGCGCTGCGCTACGCGGCCGTCCCCGGATTTGCGCACCGGCTGACTAGTTCCTGATGCCAAACGTGCGTGGTGGCATTGCATTCGATGGGTTTTTGGGTTTGCGGAGTGCAGAGGAGTTTCAGGGGTCATTGTTGCTTCCGCGTCTCCGGCCTGGTCGTTCAGGGGGGCGGCCGGAGAGGAGAGTTGTTGCTGCACTGCGCCCAAGCACTCCGGGGTCAAGACAACACGAACCCCGTGAGTCTTATTTTGGTGGATGGTCCGGCAATCGGTCGGATACTTGCGGCCCATGCCGCCTGGCGCGTCGAGGGGCCGGGTTGGTGGTGCTCGATGCATCTCGGTCGACGTCGACAGGTCGCGTTCAAGTGATGCCTGGCAGCCACCACAACGGCGCTGGACACCAACTTTCAGAAACAACAACCTGGCCTCCGAACAATCCATGGGAACCCACAAGAGGGTCCGAATCCCGAACGTGGGAGCGGTACAATTATGGCCCCGTCCAGTCCACTTCCGGTCGCTCCGACTTACCCTAGAGCTAGTGATGAGAATTTGTGTCGACGACAGGCTTTGTTATTTCCGCTTGGCACCATTGATGATTATGTCCAAAATTGGCCTACCAATGGCAAATCGCCGTCAAGGGCAGCGCTGTGTCTGTAGAAGGGGAGATGGTGCGATCCGTCTGTGCACTGTAGGATACATCATGCCAGTTTCCCTCGTCGGTCTAATTCTGTCACGAGCGACTCGCTCACTCACCACGGCGAAAACCCAGGCCTGTGGTTGAAGCTGAACGTTTGTAAAAATGAGTGCTCTCTTGTCACAGCCGGCAGTCCAGTCTTGTCATATTTGCATGTAGTCACCTGATATGACGGAAGGCTATGGCTAGGTGTCGGCTTGACGAGCGAAGACTCGGGAGATCAATCCCACGACCGCAATGTGCCACGATAGATGGCAGTACCTGGGCTATTGCGTCTGGCTCCAACGAGCTGATTGCGGGTCGCAGTGAGAAGTAGTTGCCAGAAGGATGAAGATGGCTTGACAGACGTCAGTTAATGACAGTTGCCATGCGCTAGGAGTCTCCTCAACTCTGCAGGCTCACGGTGAGTTTCTTGCCTATGCGCCAATGCCAGCTGCGATATTGGTGTCGACGCGCCTGCAGCAGGCGCGGAAGGCCGTGAAATTGGCCCTGCCGTCGTCGCCAAAGCCTCTTGCCTGCTGGTCGCCACACCACGTCCCAAAGATTCGGCAGCTGCCGGTTGGCGTCGCATCGCCGATCGGCGAATGTCTGTCTCACCTTTTTTGTGAAGCACCAACCACGCGGCACATATTACACTCGCAGCGTAGCCTTGCATCAGAGAAAGAGACCAACCACGCGCTCCGTTAAAGTGTGCGTGTCACCGCAGCGATGCGTAATAGAACGGCGGCAAGAGGCCCGGCGGGCGGGGGTGGGGCACACCGATCGATCCGGAGCCGAGGCCGGAGGTCAGCTCCGGCCGCCATTACATCAACCATCGGTCACGCAGCACGCATCGAACACACAAGCTGCGGTCAAGAACACGCTACCCGGAACTGGAGTTGTAAAGGCACGCATTCAACCGGCAAACGTCCGGTAGTTGGTAGCTCACCGTGCCGTGGCCGCCTGGTCGTCTATATCATTGACGTCAGCGTGATGAGCCGCCGGTTCACGGCGGGGAGATATATAAGATGCTGCGCGGTGTGGGCGAATACCCAGAATAGGGCATCTTTCTGCTGGTAATCATTCCTCAATGGCCCAGTACGTCAAATCTGCAGTCATGGGTTCCAAGGACGCCAAGGCCGAAAATCTGGCGCACGTCACCGTCGAGCCGACCAAGGACATGCGCATCACGTCCGACTTTGGCACGAAGCAGACCAACACGGATGACTGGCTCAAGATCAACAGCAAGGACAAGACGGGGCCGATGCTTCTGGAGGATAATTTTGGCCGAGAAAAGGTCAGTCCTGAATACTTCCGGATCACCAACCCGGGGGCGCTGGCGAGCAGAACACAGCCAGCTTCTTCAACAAGATACTGACTATTTCTAGATTCATCGTTTCGACCATGAGCGTATCCCAGAGCGAGTCGTTCACGCACGTGGCGCTGGCGCCTTTGGCACGTTCCGCCTCCACGAGTCGGCCGCCGACGTGACGAGCGCAGGCATCCTCACCGACACGTCTCGCTCGACGCCGCTCTTCGTGCGCTTCTCAACAGTTCTGGGGAGCCGCGGTTCGGCCGACACGGTGCGTGATGTACGCGGCTTCGCAGTCAAGATGTACACGGAAGAGGGCAACTGGGACATTGTCGGCAACAACATCCCCGTCTTCTTCATCCAGGACGCCATCAAGTTCCCCGACCTGATCCACGCCGGCAAGCCCGAGCCGCACAACGAGGTACCGCAGGCGCAGTCGGCGCACAATAACTTCTGGGACTTTATGTACGGGCACTCGGAGGCGACGCACATGTACATGTGGACCATGTCGGACCGCGCCATCCCACGATCGTACCGCATGATGCAGGGCTTCGGCGTCAACACCTATACGCTCATCAACGACAAGGGCGAGCGGCACTTTGTCAAGTTCCACTTCACACCCGAGCTCGGCGTCCACTCGCTCGTCTGGGACGAAGCCCTCAAGATCGCGGGCCAAGATCCCGACTTCCACCGCAAGGACCTCATGGAGGCCATCGACAATGGCGTGTTCCCCAAGTGGAAGTTTGGCATCCAGACGATCCCCGAGGCAAAGGAGCACGACTTCGACTTTGACATCCTCGACGCCACCAAGGTCTGGCCCGAGGATCTCGTCCCCGTGCGCTACATCGGCGAGCTGGAGCTCAACCGCAACGTCGACGAGTACTTTACGCAGACGGAGCAAATCGCCTTCTGCACCAGCCACGTCGTGCCGGGCATTGGCTTCTCCGACGACCCGCTGCTGCAGGGCCGCAACTTTTCCTACTTTGACACGCAGCTCAGCCGCCTCGGCATCAACTGGCAGGAGCTGCCCATCAACAAGCCCGTCTGCCCGGTCATGAACTTCAACCGCGACGGCGCCATGCGCCACACCATCTCCAAGGGCAAGGTCAACTACTGGCCGAACCGGTTCGAGGCCCAGCCGCCGGCCACCGAGACCGAGGGCGGCTACGTCGACTACCCGCAAAAGGTGGCAGGCATTAAGGAGCGGGCGAGGAGTGCCAAGTTCAAGGACCACATTTCGCAGGCGCAGCTCTTCTTCAACTCGCTGAATGAGGTTGAGAAGAGCCATCTCATGGCGGCTTTGTCGTTTGAGCTTGACCACTGCGACGAGGCGATTGTGTATGAGCGGCTGACGGAGCGACTCGCCGACATTGACCTTGGCCTGGCACAGTCGGTGGCTGAGATGGTTGGCGGTAAGAAGCCTGAGAAGGCCGGCAAGCAGAATCACGGACGCAAGGCAAAGGGGCTCAGCCAAGCCGATTTCTTGCCTGAGAAGCCTACAATCGCGTCGCGACGGATTGCGATTATTATCGCGGACGGCTACGACAGCATTGCATTCAAGGCCATGCTGGGCGCCCTGGAGGCTGCCAAGGCGACGCCCATCATCATCGGCAACCGGCGGTCGCCCATCTTCGCGGCCGGCGAGGACTCGTCCTCCAGCAAGGGCGTGACACCCGACCACCACCTCGAAGGACAGCGCAGCACCATGTTCGACGCCCTGTTCATTCCCGGCGGAAGCAAGTCCACAGAGACGCTACTCAAGAGCGGCCGCGCCATTCACTGGGTGCGCGAGGCGTTTGGGCACCTCAAGACCGTGGCCGCAACGGGCGAGGCCGTGGCCCTGCTCGACAAGGCATTCCAGCTGCCCGGCGTGGCCATCTCATCCGGCGGCGAAGCCGTCGAGAGCTACGGCGTCGTGACGCTCAAGGACGCGAAGCCCGAGGGCCTGGGCGAGGTGGTTGGCGCAGCAAAGAATGCAAAGGGGTTCCTGGACAAGTTTGCTACGTCGGTCGGACAGCATCGGTGCTGGCAGCGGGAGTTGGACGGGCTGAGCGCACAGGTGGCGTACTGAAGGATAATTCTTGTTCGATGACGGCAGTTGGCGGGAAGGGGGCCTAGCAATACAACGCGTGCCTGCGACCCGTTCATACGTGTGATGTTGCTCGTTTGTAGATCGGCTGATGAAGACTATATGCTCTGGCCAGCAGCACAGTCAGCCTATAGCTGGATGCGGGCGATTGGTGGCTTGCAGATGCCGTGAGCTGCAGCAACTGCCGTCAACCGCCCAGCAGCCGCCTTTGTTTCCTTGCGTCGAGTTAACGCGCCAACATACCACCTCGTCGACTGCCAACATGCTTTCGTCGCATTGCAGAGATGATTTTTGGGACATCCGGCAGATTTTAAAGGGAGTGACAGCTTGTACGCCAAGTCTGCATGGAATGCAGAAAGGTTGCACTCCGTCAAGCCGACCAGATCGTCGGAGAAGGCAAGCATGGGTTCACGGTTCGTAGAGTTTGGGAATGGTGTCATGTTGCCGCCCTCCGTGTTCCCGAGCGCTCAATGACAAGGTGCTTTCACGCACGGACACTTTCTCCCCGCATTCAGCCGCCATCTGCAGGTCAGCAACACGGGTTTATGGGATCATGGCCCTTGGATGGGGTGGAGATGAAGATTGCAGGAGTCAGGACCCCGCGTCTCTAGCAAGAGGCCCGAGCCCCAACAGCTGACGATAGTAGTGCGTACTACTCAGGACCAGTTCGGCCCGAACCGTAACACACAAACAGGCGTTTCATGACTGGAGGGGTGCTCGTGCTTCAACGGTCGGCGACGCTGCGTGTGAGACATTGTTGGCCCCTAAAACATCCATGCGCGAATCGCGATGCCCGAGGCGGTGATCCGGCTCCTACCAGACTTCCATCCACGAGCGTCCATGGGCAGTGTGACTGTGATAACAGCGTTGAGCAGACGATGCGCGCTCGTTCAGTTCTCAGTTGGCTCGGTTCTGGAACCAACGAGGAGTCCGAGCTATGCGATTCATGTTGACGGCAGATCGATTGCCTCCATGTCGACACGCAGGGCACATACCGGCGAAGAACAGCACTGGCAATGCCGACGTCTTTACGTACAAGTGCAGACCCCCTGCCAAAGGCGCCCCAGGCCTCCCGCTGATGCCCTTCCCACGGGCCGCCGGATCGCGCCAGAGGAGGCAACACCCCTAGTTTAGCATGGCTTAGCCACCCGGGGTCCGGGGTTGGGGCTGCCGCCATCCGCTGATCCGTCGACGCCACTTCGCAACCTCGTCTCAAAGTAGCAAGCACACTCAACGAACGTCTTGTCCCCACAGGGCTCGCTCAACATGTCAGCCCGCTGTTGCTGCTGCTGTAGAGCAGATGCTTTCCTGGTTCCGCGGCGGCCTGTGCGAGGGGGGCGGGTCAAACCGCGTGAGGGCATGTCGAGCGAGCGGCATTTGCAACCATGTTCCCTGGCGGCGGCGGCCTAGTCGACAGATCTCTCACAGGCTGATGAGCCCAGGGTTGAGCGACCCCGGCCGGCAGACGCGTCCAAGCCGTCGGGCAGACACATAACAGTGAGCGGCTGCGCCCTGCCTCGGCTGCGAGAGTCCGACGGGCAAGGGATGCGGAAGATTCTGCTTTGCATCCCAGTCGATATACACTCTTGCGTCGCCCCTCGCTCTCCTGTCAGTGTCGCTGGTTTCGACATTTTCGTGTCCGAATACACCAAGAATGCATCGTGCCCGGTGATGCCGTTGTGATGCTGACCTCGGCGCTCGTTTTTGTGGCGGCGCCGGTGCTGTGCGTTGCCGGCAGCAGTTCCTCGACAGAATCGTCACACGTGGCGGCACGCGACTCGGCGGCGACGAACATTACTAGAGATGTTCCAGCGTGCTCGGTAGGATGTCCTGGCACGACGACGCTTCGAAGAGACGTACTGATGTTGCCCAGCTTGACTGCCTCTCCGCGGCGTGTGGTCTCGCCGATGAAGCCTGCGTATGCGATAGGATCTCGAGCAAGAAGGTCATGGACTGTTCCATGGCCGCTTGTACCTTTGCCGAAGCTATATGTACGTGACTCTGAACACTCCTGAATCATCGCAATATCTTGCTGAAGCAGCGCCAGCGGCCCGGAGACTGATCGAAGTCGCCTGTGGCGCGTCGACAACCCGCACCCGCGTCGGCACGTTCAACTACATCAACACCGGCCTCGGCATATTCACCGGCATCATAGCCGTCGCGCGGCTTATCTTCAAGCGATTCATCAGCTCCGCCCGCAAATTTACCCCCGACGACTGGGTCATTCTCGCGACGCTCGCCCTCGGTCTGGCCAGCGTGCTGCTCCTCTCACTAGGGCTGACGGCCAACGGCCTGGGGAGAGACATCTGGACCCTCGCCCCGGAAGGCATGGTGACCTTTGGGTTCTACTTTTACCTCTGCGAGATTGTTTACATTGCTCTCATGGCCATGGTGAAGCTAGCGCTGTCTCTCTTTTACTTGGCCATTTTCCCGGGTGCCGGTGTGCGCCGGATACTATGGGCGACGGCCGTGTTCCAGGTCGTCTTTGGGCTGGCGTTTGTAATCAAAGACGCGGTCCAGTGCATCCAGCCCGACTTCTACTGGAAGAGGTTCAGCCTCGATGCTGATCCGCGGGGGCACTGCATCAACGTGCATGCCTCGGGCTGGGTCAATGCCGTGCTGGGCGTCGCCATTGACGTCTGGCTGCTGGCGATTCCTCTCTTTCAGTTGCGCAAATTGCAACTGGAGTGGAAGAAGAAGGCCGTGGCGGGAGTCATGTTTCTCACCGGCGCGCTGTAAGTCATTGACACCAGTCCATCTAACAAACCCCTCTTGCGAATGACTAGCAGTACGGATCCATAGACTAACGAGTCTATAGGGTGACGCTCATCTCGATTCTTCGACTCAAGTCCCTCAATACATTTGCTAACACGACAAACCCGACCTGGGACCAGTGGGCGCTGGTGCTCTGGTCCACGATCGAGATCAACACGGGCATCATCTGCACCAGCCTTCCCGCCGTGCGCCTCATGCTGCTTCGCCTGTTCCCGCGGATGCTCGGGACTGTCGCCTCGACGACATCACGGACACGAACGCGCGCAGAGTCGGCGTATGGCGAGGGGGCGAGCAGTAGCCACGAAATGAAGCCTCCGGGCTCGTCTGCGGGAGGCAGCGACCACACCTCGACGTTGACGCTGCTGCCACCAGCGACAAGGGTTGAATCTCGCAGTCCTTTATTTGAAGATGTCAAGTCGGCTGAGACGGACTCAAGACGAACATAGCAGCACGTGTAGCAACACGTTCGGCAGCATCGGGCGCCATAAACACCAAAAGGAGGATGGTGTGATCCACAAAGGGATGCATAGGGACTTGGAAAGAAACCGGCGAACATACGGCAGGTCCAGGAGAAGGTTACGCAATGGCATGGCCTGTTAGAGGTACGGGCTTGAAGCTGGGAAAACTCTTCAATGAGGTCTTCAGACGGCATCCGTGCTTTTGATCAACGTGATGGAACGACCAGGCCCGCTACCACTTGAACGCCCGGCCACACAGCGCGTTTCAGGCGACACTATTTATACCCATTTCTTAAAGTGATAGCATAATACAGTATAACAAAAATGATGCAAAAGGGCGTTGGCGCCGAAACTTGCTTTCTTTGCCGGCGCTTGATCCAATTTTACCGCACCAAGCAGCGTCTTACATGGCTCGACCACAATCTCCGTGTCTTCATTGCTGCTCGACATGGAAGAACTCGCAGCAGGATCGGCACTCGTCTGGAGCGCGCATGTTCATCAGGGGCCTCATTCCTTATTGCCACTCACACGCAACGACTTCTGACCCGTTTCATCCCTGTCTTGACATGTAAGTCCAGTAGGGGGCGCAACGAAACTTCCAAAGACCAGTCCAGTCGTGCTTCGTCATCGTCGGATCTAGCAGGCAAACAACAAATGGTGCCACTGGTTAACGGGAGCATCGTCCGCTATCACTGACCCGACGTCTCTTTCGTGGCATGTCGCGACTCCCGTTGAGGTGAGGCATCTCGGCGCCGAGAGATCCATCATCTGGGGTGGATCTGACCGCCGTGCGGGCGTTGGCCACGCGACGTGCGAAGCGCCGACGGCACGGACGTCCTCATGTAGCCTACACGCTGTGGCAATGTTACTTGAAGTCAAGTCACTTATGCGCCTTCGCCGCTTCGACTGGTCCTAGTACTTGTGGTGTCCGTTATATGTTTTCGTGTTCCCATTGGTGCACAATCTGCCAAAATGTTCCGTCGATGTGATCGTGTTCGTGTCCGGATGTTACAGGACATGAAGAGTGAGTTAAGGGGGCCAGTCAACCACACCAAGGCCCAAAGGCGCGCGTACTCACAGATCAAGGAGGGTACAAAGTAAAAGTGTCGCTTCCCGCGACGCGCTTGCTCTTGGCCTGTGCGCGTTTGCTACCCGTACAGTAGCATCGCGCGATTGCCGCTGGTGTTTGGTACGACGTCACGGCGTGATCCACCACAGACTGGCTCGTGTGTGCCTTGGACGTTGTGGTACTCAGCGTATCCAGACCGTTCAAAGGACAGAGGGGAGAACTGCCGGCGGCACGCGACTTGATGCATGCGCGTCCCACGTGAGCGACTCCGACTGCCTGAGACCGCTGAGACCGTGAGTAGCGCCTCCATGGAGCCATGAAGGCGCCGCCGCTGGAGTCGCACAAGAACGGCCGCGGGGCTCCATCCTCGATCTCACCGCCAACTAACCCGGATATCCGCCGTGCTGGGTGTTACCTGTTTTATTAAGCGTCGGCCGAACGCGGTCGGGTAAGGGCAGAAACCGGGCAAAACAAAGGATTGTCCTCCGTAGTATTGTGGCGCAACTTTGCTGTCCATCTGCCGTTACGACGAGGCGGTCGCATGAACCGTCAATATGCCACGTACTCGTACCACATGCCACGATGACACTACCCACGCACAATCTATGGAGCCATGTAGTGCTAAGAAGGAGCAAACACATCGGCCGCCCCGTGCGGCGAATCCAGCGCGGCCTCGTCGAAGCGGTTCTCCACGCCAACGTCGCCTCGAGCGCGACTGGGCGTTTACTTAGCGTTTAGTGGCTTGCCCTTGGTGGCCCCAATTCCCCAGAATCAGATCTCGCGGCTGGCTTGTCATCCTGCACGGCCCCTGAAGCTAATCTCCCCCGCGCGGTCGCGCGCCGAGCCCGAGTGGACTCGAAGCATGTGGCTGTCCACAATGAACGGGAGCGCATCGAGGAGATCTGATCCGGTCTCCAGAAAAATCGTGTGCGACGGGCATGCCAGTGCCCACGAAGTACGGACGGACAATGAGGCAGCTCGGGATGTTCCGTCGCGGACGGCGGTGAACAAGGAAAGGAAACAGGGCAGCGGACCGCCCGGGGCGATGCAACGCGGATTTCACGCCGCTCACAAACCGAATGAGATGGTCCCGTCGCAGAGGCGGATCGTTGGCCGACTGGCCCGCCCTACCAAGTCCCCTCATCCGCATCGACATCTTGCTCCCTCCCTCGCAGACAAGATGGACCCCTGGGCCGGACAGCCCAGCTTTTCCGCCTGGCCCCTGCGTGCCAAAGCGAGCCAACACGCGCACCAGGCCAACCCTCCGACTTGCGCCTGCGCCAGATCCCTCTGGCCACTGAGCAGGCGGCAAGGACGCTCGCGCGCATGCGGCCCGCCCGTTTCACTTTCCCTTATGGGCGGTACGGCCGAACCAGACCCTTGATGCGTGGCCTTGCTGCAGACACGACATGTCACTGGCAACATGGCAGGCCCGCCCCCCTTTGTCATAATTCCCGTCGGCTGGCTCGGAGCCGCCTAGAATCCAGATTATTTTGTAATACAGGGCTGCCGAGGATGACTGTTACCTTAAGAAGGAGGACGAGGGCCACGAGTAGGAGCCGTCTGTGCTCATTACGTCGCACCGGTCCCCCCGTGAATCATTGACTCTTTTCCTACAAAAGTAGCCAGAGTCATCCAACCTCCGCCCTGGTCGGCGTGTCCCCCTTTTACACGCCGTTGCGCCGCCGCCGAAACCTTCAAAGACACGCGCGCGCGCGCCCCTGGAACGCAACCGACGGACACTACAAGCACCGGCGCGTCACCGTCTTGGACCCCTTCTCCCCTCCTCTCCCTTTCCGCGACCGACGACTCCGTCCCATCGAAAATGGGCAACGGGCAGAGCACTCCCCTGCAGCAGTGCCTCAACACGGTCTGCAATGGCCGGCTCGGCTGCGTCGCTTTCCCCTCGGACGCGCTGTACCAGGCCGCCTGGGTCAAGCCGTACAACCTCGACGTGCCGGTGACGCCCATTGCCGTCTTCAAGCCTAGCTCGACGGAGGACGTGGCTGGCGCGATCAAGTGCGCCGTGGCGAGCAATGTTCATGTGCAGGCCAAGTCGGGAGGGCACTCTTATGCGTGAGTTCCTTGGGCGCGGTTCTTACATGGTGGCGCGCGGCTTACACGGCATAGAAACTTTGGCCTCGGCGGACAGGACGGCGAGCTCATGATTGACCTGGCGAACCTCCAGGACTTTCACATGGACAAGACGTCGTGGCAGGCGACGTTTGGCGCGGGCTACCGCCTCGGCGATCTCGACAAGAAGCTACAAGCGAATGGTAACCGGGCCATTGCGCACGGCACCTGTCCCGGGGTGGGCATCGGCGGCCACGCCACGATTGTAAGCCAGCTGTGTCCACGCCGCACACCCGCAACGCCTCCCGCGCAACGATATGAACTAGTATATACTGACGACTTCTTCTTCCCAGGGCGGTCTCGGTCCCATGTCGCGCATGTGGGGCAGCGCGCTCGACCACGTCCTCTCGGTGCAGGTCGTGACGGCCGACGGATCGATCAAGAACGCGAGCGAGAGCGAAAACTCGGACCTCTTCTGGGCGCTGCGAGGCGCGGGCGCGTCGTTTGGCGTCATCACCAAGTTCACGGTCAAGACGCACCCGGCGCCGGGCTCGGTGGTGCAATACACGTACAAGATCTCTCTCGGGTCGCAGGCGCAGATGGCGCCCGTGTACGCGGCGTGGCAGGCGCTGGCAGGCGACCCGAAGCTGGACCGGCGGTTCTCGACGCTCTTCATCGCGGAGCCGCTCGGGGCGCTCATCACGGGCACCTTTTACGGGACCAAGGCCGAGTACGAGGCGACGGGCATCGCGGCGCGGCTGCCGTCGGGCGGCACGCTGGACCTCAAGCTGCTGGACTGGCTGGGCAGCCTGGCGCACATCGCCGAGGTGGTCGGGCTGACGCTGGGGGACATACCGACGTCCTTTTACGGCAAGTCGCTGGCGCTGCGCGAGGAGGATATGCTGGACCGGACGAGCATCGACGGGCTGTTCCGGTACATGGGCGACGCGGACGCGGGCACGCTGCTGTGGTTCGTCATCTTCAACTCGGAGGGCGGCGCCATGGCCGACACGCCCGCGGGCGCCACGGCGTACCCGCACCGCGACAAGCTCATCATGTACCAGTCGTATGTCATCGGGATACCGACGCTGACCAAGGCGACGCGCGACTTTGCCGACGGCGTGCACGACCGCGTGCGCATGGGCGCGCCGGCCGCCAACTCGACGTACGCGGGGTACATTGACAGGACGCTGTCGCGCGAGGCGGCGCAGGAGTTTTACTGGGGCGCTCAGCTGCCGCGGCTGCGCGAGGTGAAGAAGGCGTGGGATCCGAAGGACGTGTTTCACAACCCGCAGAGCGTGGACCCGGCCGAGTAGAGGCGTGGAAGGGTGAGTAATGGCACTGAAAGAGGGCTTGATGTCTCATGCGTCAAAGAGGTGCCGGCTTGATGTCTTTTGCGTGGAGAGGTGCCGGGAGCTGATGCGGGTAATGGACGGAGGAATGTCCGAGTTGTTCAAGCTGATGGGCAGGGGGGAAGTCGATGGAGTGTGCTGGATTGGAGACGAAGCTGTACATGAGAGTTGGGTGGTAGGTAGACACGTACATTTAATATCTCTTTGATACGCGTCGTGTCTCGATGAGACATCTCGTCTGCCGTTGGCTTGTGAGGAGTCGACAACCACGGCAATCTTCAGGAGATGCAGGAGTGGAGATTTCCAGCCGGTGTTCAAGGCTGAGGCTCATGTTGCGAGCTGTGAGAGTCGACGCTTGAGCTGTGTGGTATTGTCAGGTGATGCGTGTCTCATCCACCGTGGATGGATGGGGTTGACGCCAGGCGGACGTCCTTGAGCATGGCACTCGGTATACTTGCCAGGTTGGGACTCCACTGGTAGAACCAACGCACTCAGAAAAGAGGACGGTTAAACCCGTCTGGGGATGTGTCAAAGTGCAAAATGACCAACAGGCCTGAGCGCAGATTTCTACTCTCGACTCATGAAGGGGCCAGGGAGTCTTGCGCAACGCAGCGTGGATTTGCTTGTAATCATTGATCAATGATATGCGCAGCGCGCCTGCTTTTGTACCGATTGGGGTAATCCGACGAGAGCTCCCGGCGCGGATGGTTGCTCGGTGGGGTGGGTTCCGGCGTCGGAGCGGCGGGGCGGGAGGCGGGGCGGGCGTTCGGTTGGCACTGGACTGGAGCAGCTGTGCGGTGCGGTACAGCAGGGGGCCGGTCGCCGGGGGGCAATGGCGCGGGAGGGGCTATTGTGGCCGGTACTGGGCGCGGGACGGACGCTGTTGCATAAGATTTTGGGAGCCGTGTGAGGGGTTGATGTTTGCGAATGTTATTTTGTTTCTTGTGAATAGCCAGTGCGTCGCAATGACGGCTGTCTTTTGTACCGAAGCGCATCCCAAGGCAGGTGAGCTGCAGGCTGAGTGCCAGTGGTGGGGCCCCGGGCGTTGAAGCGTTCGGCTCGACGGCCTGCGCCCCGCCAGCGGCAACCCACGGCCCAAACAGCGGGCAGCCCCTCGCTGTAAGTACCAGACCTCCTCTAGCACACCTCACGGTGGGCGCTGCAGCGTGCGGCCCAGCTGCCGAGGGTACCTACAGCTCTCCCCGCGACGCCTCAATCAGGCATGGCCACAGCGCCCGTCACGAGACCTGCGCTCCCCCAATGGCCCGATCCGGCAGCTAAACGGAGAAGCACCGCAAAGCATCGTCTCCATGGGCAGGAACGACCACGCGATATCTACATATTCCATATCATCCATTCGTCGCCCGCCTCTGTCGTCTTTATAGTTGCATCTCCTCCATTGCGCGATACCATTCATCAACCACCACCTCGACTTGCACGCCGCTGGTCCTTCTCTTCTTTACCCCCATCACACATCCCGCGCGCAGCTGAACTTTCTCACACACTTCCCTTCAGCCAATCACGGCACCGCAATTCTCCCCAGACTGCCGGATTCGATCGCCAACCTCGACCACAGGCGCTGTTGGCTCAACCCATCCCAGCAGCTCGCTCACTGTGCAGCTAGCAGCTCTCCTCTCCGGCTCGTCGGATCCTCGTACCCTGCTGTGCAACAGAGCAGCTGGTCGGTATGTCTAGCCCAGTGCAAGTCTTGTCTCAGCGCCACCACGACACCAGATCTCATACCAGATGGCATTCACCCATGCACGCCTGCGCCCAACGTCTTGTCATGTCATGTCACGGCTGCCCTCCCTGCTCTTTGATTCCCCCAACTTTACGTACTACTGCCACGGGCCCCACCACCGGCGCCCTCCTCCCCCTCCGTCTCCACCACTGCCGGTTCTCCAACGCCTCCGCACCGGACGGCACCACCACTTACACCTTAAACTCTTACACCATCCGCCCCCTCGCACCACACTCCACCCGAGCACTCCCCTCTCACTTCATACCCATTCATTTCTCGCTGTCAACGGCGCCGCCTCACGCGTTCCGCCTGCTAATATAATCTGCAAACAGCACACCTCCTCACAGCCTCACACATGGCGCCGCTCCAGCGCTCGGCATTGGCCCCCTCCGCCCTCTGGAGGTGCCGTCCTACAAGACCATCAAGGCCATCCGGCCTCGGCCTCGGCTCCGTGTCCGCAGCCCTCATCAGCAGCCGTTCCTCCAGCTCAACACCGAGCATATCATCCTCACGCCGCACGGTTCCTGCCTCAGCCTCGGCGCCTCTCACGCCACAGACCACCAGCCGGAGAACTCCCTCGGCAATCTTGCCGAGCAGAAACGCCTCCACGTCGTCCGCCATGGCCGCGGACCCCAACAACATGTACACGGCTTCTTTCGCCTTCTTCGAGGCTATCTGGGAGGCCGGCATCACCCACTGCTTCGTCAACCTCGGCTCCGACCACCCCAGCATCATCGAGGCCATGGTCAAGGGCCAGCGAGAGGCCAAGGGCAAGTTTCCGCGCATTATCACCTGTCCCAACGAGGTACTACTTCCCTTTCCGCACTGTCACACCACGAAGAGAACGCTGACTTGGCTAGATGGTGGCCATGTCCATGGCCGACGGCTATGCGAGATTGACGGGTAAGCCTCAATGTGTCATCGTCCACGTCGACGTCGGCACCCAGGGCCTAGGCGCCGCCGTTCACAACTCCTCTACCGGCCGTGCCCCCGTCCTCGTCTTTGCTGGCCTCTCTCCCTTCACCCTGGATGGCGAGCTCCGTGGCAGCCGCACCGAGTATATCCACTGGATTCAGGACGTTCCCGACCAGAAGCAGATTGTGTCGCAGTACTGCCGCTACTCCGGCGAGATCAAGACGGGGACCAACGTCAAGCAAATGGTCAACCGCGCTCTGCAATTCGCCAAGTCGGACCCCCAGGGCCCCGTCTACCTCTGCGGAGCGCGCGAGGTCATGGAGGCCGACATCGAGCCCTACTCTCTCAAGCAGGAGGACTGGGACCCCGTCCAGCTCGGCGGCCTTCCCCAGCCTGCAGTCAATAAGATTGCCGACGCCCTGGCCGGCGCCAAGCGCCCGCTCCTCGTGACCGCATACGGTGGCCGAAACCACAAGTTCCCCGGCGCCGTCGTCGACCTCGCCAACCTGGTCCCCGGACTCCAGGTCGTCGACTGCGGCGGCAGCGACATGTGCTTCCCCGCCGACCACCCCGGCTGGCGCGGCCTCCGCTTCGGCGTCGACGAGACTATCGAGAAGGCCGACGTCATCGTCGTCGTCGACTGCGACGTGCCCTGGATCCCCACGCGTTGCAAGCCCAACGAGGACGCCAAGATCTTCCACATCGACATCGATCCCCTCAAGCAGCAGATGCCCCTCTTCTACATCGAGGCTGGCGCTAGGTATCGCGCTGATGCCCTGCTCTCCCTCGAGCAGATCAAGTCGGCTCTCCAGACCGGCGACGCGGCCACCAAGCTCAAGGCGAACGAGGCGGCTGCTGAGGGCGCCGCCCGGAGAGAAAAGGAGTACAAGGCGCAACTGGCCGACATTGCGGAGCGGGCCAAGCCGCTCGAGGACGGATCCTTTGGCACCGGCTACCTGTCGCGGAAGCTCAAGGACCTGTGCCCGGATGACACGCTCTGGGCCATAGAGGCCGTGACCAACACGGTGTTTGCGCACGACAACCTTCAGCCCACCAAGCCCGGCTCGTGGATCAACTGCGGCGGCGGCGGCCTTGGCTGGTCCGGCGGCGGTGCCCTGGGCATCAAGCTGGCGACGGACATGGAGAACCAAGGCAAGGGCAAGTTTGTGGTGCAAATCGTCGGCGATGGCACGTACTTGTTCACCGTGCCCGGCAGCGTCTATTGGATTTCGAAACGCTACAACATCCCTGTCCTGACCATTGTCCTCAACAACAAGGGTAAGTCTCTGAACCTCTTCACCAGCCGACTTGTAATGCTGACAATTCCAGGCTGGCACGCTCCCCGTCGTTCCCTGCTGCTCGTCCACCCCGACGGACTCGGCTCCAAGGCCACCAACGAGGAGGCCAACATCTCTTTCGACCCTACCCCCGACTACTCGGGTATCGCCAAGGCCGCCGCCGACGGTGACATCTTCGCCGCCCGGGTCGGCCATGTGTCGGAGCTCGATGGTGTGCTCAAGGAGGCGATCGCCAAGGTGCAAGCCGGGCAGACGGCGGTGGTAGACTGCAAGGTGGTTCCTGGGTGCTAGGTGGGGTCTTAGATGAGGCCGGCTAGAGTCGATGTGACCATGCCCACGCGCAACGCGCTTCATAGAACATAATGCCATTACCGTCCATGCGCGCCTCATAGCAAGTTCTCCGACGGGTTTGTGAGCGGCCGAACGGAGTCAACGTGGCCATGTCCACCGGCTGCGGGCATATAGATATCGGCTTATCAGCCATGCCACCTGGCAACGAATACTCTGGCAGTGTTCGGTTCCTGAGGTGTTGTTACAGAGTTACGTCAAGCACCTGCCAATGCAGATGTGACATCAGCAACAGCGATTTCAAGTGGACTGGATGCTGTCGTTGTTGGCCTTGGCTTTGGCCTTGGCGCCCTTCTCGCGGGGCGGCAGGCCGGCCGCCTTCCTCGCCTTCTGGCGGTCGTTGTACACGTCCCTCTGCCTGAAGAAGGAAGGGCCGCCGGCGGCCTTGACGATGTCGGCGGCGTCCCTGGCCTTGATGGTGCCGTACGAGGCGAGCTTGGCCATGAGCTCCCTCTGCGCGGGGGTCCTCTTCCTGTGGGCGGCATGGGCCTCAGGTCCGCTGCTGGGGCCGTGGTTGTGGTTTGGCTCGACGACGCGGTAGCTCCAGCGAAAGTCGCTCGCCTTTGTGGCGGCGGCAACGATGCGGAACGGGCAGTCGAGCTTGAGGGTGGAAGCGCGGCGAAGGCCCTTACTAGAGGAGGCGCGGCGGGGGCCGCGGTCACAGTTGACCGAGTAGTAGGTGGGCATGCGGACGCCGTTGACGATGCGGTAGTTGGAGGCCGACTTCTTGACGACGGCGGCGCCGCGCGTCACGTAGAAGGCGTTGAGGGCGGCCATGAGGGCGTTGATGGTGGGGTACTCGCCCGACTCGGGGGGCAGGGGGATCTGCTGCTGGGAGGAGACGGCCGAGGCTGCGAGACCCTGCTGCTGCTGCTGCTGCTGCTGAAGCTGGGCGGCATCTTGAGACGCTGGGTTGGAGGAGGAAGGGTCCTGCTCGCCCGGAGCGTCTTCTTGGCCGGGCGCGGAGGCCTGCGTCTGCAGCGCCTGAAGATGGCCTTCTGGTTGCGGCTGCTGCGTCTGCTGGAGGAGGAGCTGGACCGAAGACTGGAGCTGCTGCTGCGACTCGGGGGAGGCGGCGGCGGCGGTGAGAGCCTCCTGGTGCTGCTGGACGATCTGGAGGAGGGGCGTGGCGAGCTCCGGGTTGCTCGCGAGATGGAGGAGGAGGGCGTCCATGGCCGGCGTGCGATGGCCGGGCTGGCTGGCCGGGGCGTGTAAGTGGTGCCGGGGCCGGTGTGTGTGTGTGTGTGGTGGTGATGAGCTCCGCGGTTGTCGGGGTGCTGAGGCGCCGGTGGTGGAGGTGTTGAGGGCAGGTGAGGATAGAAAAACCAAGGACGGGAGAGCGGGTCAGGGGGAGACGCAACGGCGGGCGGGGAGTGGCTGCATGGGGATGGGGCGCGCCGCCGGGGCGGATGTTCGACAGTCCCGAATAGAACACGGCCACACCTTGTGAGACCACGAAGGTACGTACCTCCGTCCTTCACTGTGGGGTCCCTCGCTCACGCTCACTTCACACGCACGCTGAGGGGCGGGCTTATTGGTCTTGCACTCTCTCACACACCTGGCTACACTTCACATGGCCGATTGCCAAAGATTCAATAGTGAGCCCGCTGCTGTTGTCACTGCACGATGCAATTGATGAGATGCTGTGCCGTTCCAATAGGCACGGTAAAACACTGACTCGGCTGGTGCAATGTAGGCTGAGCGAGCGCTCACCGAAATCTCATCGGTGAGACACCGCTTCCACGAGATCATGCTTGGCCATCAATGGAGCCCCTCGAAGCTGAGCCCAGCTCTTACCGTGGGCCAGAGGACGAGTATAACGATAGCTGCGGCCCGTCGGTGAGACGAACGAAAACCTGTTCGTACTGACGGGTATATGAAAGAGGGCGATGACAAGGAACAGCTCGATGCGAGGATAAAGATAAAATAAACCAAAAATGCAGTTTGAGGCCAGCGAAACTACATCTACTCAGAGCCACGGCAGGGCCCGCTACTGTGGACTGAACGGGCACTCGGATCCAATCTGTAGCGATGGGACTAAGAGGTGGTGGGGAGGGGCGGAGTGACATAACGAGGCGCTCGTAATGGCCGATGTATCATGCGATGAGGCGCCTCTGTGAAGTGACACAGGAGAAGTAGTTGCCTCCGTGTAGCTGACAGCGGCTCAGCTGAAAGTGGGCCATTGAGTCGAACCTGCTTAAAAGATGCTTCATCAGTTTGCCAGCAGACCCTGCTCTAACCGGAGCCAGTCAACCATCGCCGGTTCGTAATGCTTCATCGACCGGTACTCCTCCTAGGAAATTGGCTCTCGTCTCACTGGCCCCAGCGCGAGCAGCCGCGCACTACCTACCTACCGGAAGTCTCATCATCTCTGACGTTGAATGGCCACCTTCCATGCATTCGGCCGGCTCCCGTTTGAGCTACGCACTCGAATCTGGGAGGAGGCAGTCACGCCGCGTTTCGTTCAAGTCGGATACTTGAGAGGCACAGGGAAGAATGGTCGTTCCGGCGTGATACTGCACGTGCTCTCGCCGACGCCGGCGCCTGCCGTGCTGCACGCCTGCCACGAGGCGCGCAACCTGGGGCTCTATGAGCGGGCGTTTGTCGATGGAGAGGATCCGCGATATGTCTGGGTTAATTTCGACGTCGACATTGTTTCAATCGGCCATGGCGACTTTCACGGTTTCGAGCCTTGACAGGTTCTCATTCACCGGTTGGAATCTTTGGGATGAGAGAGACGAGGTGTAATTTTGTCTGTTGCAATTTTGGGGCGGGGGACTTGTGGTGGCAGGTTCAATCACGCAGAGGAGACGTGCGATCCGTTTGGGAAGATGGTATGCACGTGCCTGAGCTTGCAGGGAGCGTGAGAATCGACAGACTAGCCAGGTTCGGGGGGGGGGCAATGCTACGGCCATCGACAAGGAGATGGGCCAGGAAGTGGATGGCTGCAAGTCGGCCAGGGGACAGGCAATGGCACTGGCATAAGACCAGCGAGGCAAGAGCGAAAGGCTGCGAGGATAGGATGGTCCGGTTTTTCGCCGGCCAGTTCTTCTTATTGCCATGCGCTTCGCATGCCCGCAGCTAGTGATATCTTGTCGCAGATCGAAGGCTGTGGGACCCAGCATCGTTCAATTGATTCCTCCAGACATTTATTTACCTTTCGACCGGTTGGGGGACGTAGGGAGCCCTCTGCTCCATCATTCAAGGAAACTTTAGCAGCGCGATGCCAGTTGAGTCGTGGAGATCTGCCGGCTTGATGAATCGATCGCTGGTCACTGTAACGCCATATGGCAATGCCGCCGGCGCGATGCCGAGCGCCGCGGTGTCGAACCACCAAGCGCTCCCCTGCCAGGAGCCTCCAGGCGAGGTCCCTGCCCAGTCATTACCTGCTGGGTAAGGTGCCCGAAATAAGCTCGCTTCGCCCAAACCCATTCCCCCAGGCACAAGGAAGAGCTATTAGCACAGTCCGACGCCGAAGAGGGCCCGAGCCGGAGATGAGGGCAGGATCAGGGCCGTTTACGGAAGGCGGGCAGCCGTGTCTGCAATGGTTCGCGAAGCACATCAGTGGTCTGGTGTGTCGACTCTGGAATCCAGACCCAATGACTCTGGCTCTCGGCAATGTGGGGGATATACGAGAAGGCAGTGTCGTTGGGCCACTCGTGGGAGTATACGAACTACTACGAAGCATGTATCGGTCCGCATATCCGTGGACCGTCACCACCAAGGCCGAGACGCGCGGCGCGGGTCCTGGACTGCTGTCCGGCAGCTCCACAGCGCGCATGCGAGCCTCGATGGTCAGCGGAGTGGTGGAGTGGTGGTGGCCGGGCTGGAAGGGCCGTCTTCGCCGCCAGTGACCTGGGGATCCGCAGTCTCGATCGGTCGTTGCAGCACTGGACCGGCTGGGAGGGCAAGGTAAGAAAGATATCTTGGCTTGGGGTATCTACGTATCTCGATGCCGTGCATGGCGGCAGCACTGACATGATAACCACCTTGGCCCGGCCGGCATATAACGCCATCGCCGCGGCATGGCCGGGCTCAACTCTGCGCTCCCCATTGGGCGGACGAGATGCGTCGAGCACCGATTCGTGCCGCATTATCTTGCGGACAGCGGAGGGACGGGAGAGATGCATCAATCAATTGATGTGCATCGTCGGGGCCTGGGCGAGCCGCTACTAGTCTGCGCATAGCCGCGTGGTTCCAATGTCGCCACCTTGGGGGGGCCGTCACATGGGCATCTGTTTTGAGGGGTCCGTACCTGCGTGCAGGCGGTCTCGATCGCGCCAGCGCCTATTGTCTCTAGCACTTGCCCTGCGCTGTTGCAGCTCCGGCCCCGGTAGGCAGGGAGCCCCGCGAAGAAACGCGCCTGGTGGCCCGGCTAGCCTGGGTCCACGGGTGCTATTATTGCAGGTACTGCAGGTGCTGCAGGTGCCGCCCGGGGGGGTCACGAAACGCCGCGGGCGGCTGCGGGCAGTGCACAAGGCCACTACCTACTGTCGTGGCATCTGAAGGTACAAATACCGTTACCTCACCGTTTTCTACAACAACACAAGTACGTGGCCGTCTGACGGCGACCTCGCATCGCCCAGTCATCCTCTACCGTGGCCATTATCCGTCCACATCCCCCTCGACGGCGGCAACAACAGCATTAGCAGCAACAACAAACAGGCTATCGTCGCATCGAACCACCTCGCTGCATTCCTCCGCCGGCCCTGCTGCGTCCCGCCCGCCCGCCGGCAGCGCGAAACCCAATCCGGCGCCGCATCGTGGAGACGCCCTGCCCGCCGTCGAGTCGAGCCGCGTCGAGTCAGTGTCTCGGCAATTATTTTTTTTCCCTCTCTCCCCTCGGCCCTGTGGTGCTGGCTTCCCTGCCTGCCCTTCGCCGCCTGAACCCTCGAAAAAAAAAAAGGCAGGCACACCAACTTAAATAACAGGGTCCCCTCGGACGATCCCACTTTGAGGCGTGTGCGCACGACAGACCGAGAGCGAGAGACCGAGCGACACGAAGACCGGCTCGCGGCTTTCTTCCGAAAATTCTCCCCTCGGCCCCGCGACGCCTTGCCGACACCTCGCCGCCTCTTGTGACGAGCCTCAGTGTCACGACACGACCCCGTACGCAGCACGCGATCCTCCTCGGCAGGGAGACGCACCGGACAGCCGCGAGCAAACCCGCGATATCATGAATGGGCGCGAATCGGGCCATCCACTGCGTCTTGTCGTCCTGAAAGCACCCAGGCGCATCGACGAGAGCATATCCTGACCCGCCTGCCCACCCGGCCGCCATGGCTAGCCCGCCGCACGAGCCCGAGCCGGCCCAACGGCCTTCCGAGCAGCAACACCAACAACAGTCGCAGCAATCAGCACCATCGTCATCAGCACCATCGTCAGCCGAGCGAACTCCCCCGCCGCCGCCCGTCCCCTCGTCGGACCCGCGCGTCTTCGACGATGCCGACCCCTCCACGCCCGACGAGCACGACCTCTTCAAGCTATCCGCCCTTGATGCCCTCAAGCTGCTGAGCACTAGCGTCGAGCTGCTTGTCCGCATGACGGGCGACATCCCGCCGACGCCGCCCCCCAAGACGCCCACGAACCCCCAGATGAGCGACATGCAGGCGGAAAAGGACAAGATTGTGCGCTCCCACTCGGAGAAGAACCTCGCGCGTCTGCGTGAGCAGCACCAGCAGCAGGCCGCTGCCGCCGCCAGAGATGCCGTCGCCAAAGGCGTGGCCTGCGGAGACGCGCCGGAGAAGAATGCTGAAGGTCAAGGCCACGGGCTGAACAAGCTTCAGGCGTACAGCGCCAGCATGTCTGCCCAGCTCCGCGTCCAGGCGCAGCACCAGACGCCGACGACGCCCTCGGGGTCCTCGCAGGAGATTGACGGCGTGCACCTCCGCCAGCGTTCGACTTCGCCCTCGTCCTCGTCGCCGCAGCCGTACATCATCGTCGGCGCCGACTCGCAGCCCCTCAACCTGCAGCACGGCGCCATAACACGCAAGTTCTACAGCAAAAAGGAGCCTCCCATCACCATCAACCAGTACCTGATGCGGCTCCACCAGTTCTGCCCCATGAGCACCGCCGTCTACCTGGCCACGTCGCTCTACATCCACCGCCTGGCCGTCGAGGAGCGCGCCATCCCGGTTACGCGCCGCAACGCCCACCGTCTGGTCCTCGCCGGCCTGCGCGTCGCCATGAAAGCCCTCGAGGACATGTCGTACCCCCACAACAAGATGGCCAAGGTCGGCGGCGTCAGCGAGGCGGAGCTAGCGCGGCTGGAGATTTCGTTTTGCTTCCTCGCCGGCTTCGAGCTCGTCGTCGGGGAGCGGCCCCTGCGGCAGCACTGGGAGGCCCTGCGGGACGGGCGCGCGCAACAGATGCTCCGCGGGACCGACGTGCCGACGTTGCGGCTCGGCAGGCGCCCGCGCGAGATAACGCCCGCGGGGGGTTGATCGGTCCATGTTATGGTGAACGGCCATTACACGAGGTTATGCTTTTTATTATGCCGACAAGGGGAGCCACGTTGGCTCGCCGATCATTACTCTTCTTGCATTTATATACTTATATAGGATAGAGCGTAGGACAGTACATTCACACAGGCATGGAGGTGCAGGCATGGCATGGCATGGCATTGCGTGGGAAACGGACAGTTTGCATAAGGGCCGCCTGGACGCGACGGACGAAGAGACGGGCACACGGATTTTTCGATACCCCCGGTTGGAGCAGCGTATGGAGTAGCAGCGGTTTTGCCAACACGTTTAAGTGAGTTGTTTTACTGAGCTTTATGTGTGTCTCTGTGTGTGTGACTATGTGATGCTGCTTGATGGGGGAGATGACTACATGAGGGATGCACTACAGTCGCAAATGTTGTTGGGTAGTGCATCCTCTATGGTTAGGGCTCGTCACGTATAGGTGTATGCCTCGGCCTGCGATGGTAGTACATGGATATCGTCATGGACACGCCCGTCACCACGCTCGAGCACGACATCGCGTTGCCGTTGGCATTGGCGTTGGCGCTACCGCTGCGTGTACGATGTACGTAGAACGTAGAACGCGCTCCCGCGGGGCAGATGCATGACCCCTCTCTCGTGCGACCCCCCTTTTTCTTCATCCCCTTCCTCATCCTCGGCATCATCGTCAGCGTTGTCATGTCATCACCATCGACGTTGTCATTGTAGCACTGCTTGGGCGCAGTCCTCCTCCCACCCACCTGGCCGTCACGTACCCCTATGCCTGTCTCTTATACACATCTAGATGTGTATAAGAGACAGCCCCTATGCCGTGCACCCCAACCCCCCCCCCTTTTTTTTTTCGTGCCCGCGCACCCCTCCCACTTTGCACTTCGTAGACATAAATAGGCTGGAGGCGGATGGGGAGGGGGAGGGGAACGGACGCGGGACGGAGGGGGGGAGGGAAGATGTTGGGCGCCTACCAGAGCCAGTGGCTTCACCGAAAAATACACACACCACTTGCGTAGGTGCGTGCTTGGTATACGAAGGGGAAGCTTGGTGAACTGTACTTATCCTACGTGTGCGTGGACGCGGGTGCGGTCTGGCATGGAAGGCTTATCGCCACGGTGGCGGCGGCGGCGGCGGCGGCGGCGGCGGCGACGATAGCGGTGAGCTCGTCGCGGCTTGTGGCATGTCGTGAGGAAACAACAGGGCACGAGGGAGGAGGGAAAGGGCGCGCGTGAGAGACTGAGAGTGAGGATGAGAGGGCGAAGGGGAGGGTGGAAAAGGGCCCCCAAATGAAGCAGCAACAGCAGCAGCAGCAACGGCCAGCCACCAACAACACATACACTCTGCAAAAGGTCGGAGTTACGTGATGATGGTGATGGCGATGCCCTCCGTTGGTTGCCCCGTCACAGTCCGCCCATCAGTCCGCCCGTCGCGCATCCCATGGCTCCGAAGACCAGACCGTGTCACGCACAGGCACACCTAACGCGCTCGACGGGATACGAAGCGGCGTGGGAGGAAGAGCTGCTGCGTGTGACTGCGGGTGCCACATCCTCACGACAAGTTAGCTCACGGTGGTCAAGTCCCTATGTCTCTTTACTGTTCCCAGTGCGCATGTATTTTGTATACACTTGTCTGCTAAGCTTGAATCTGTCCATCTACGGCCGCGATACGGGAAGCTTGCAGATTTTGCAGTGCTTGAACGACACCACCATCACCAGACCAGCAGGAGAACAGCCTGGTCACAGATAGGCACAAGCAAATTTCGCCCACAAACTGGCGTCGTGGAGGAACTAAGCTGGTGTTGCTGCTGGTGCTGCTCCCGCTTCACCTGCAAGTGGACGAGCGAGACGGCGGCGGGAGCATCCGAAACACATCCAATGGCGTGGCACACGGCGCGCAGACACCGGGCAGGGGGGTAGGGCTCTGCATCGGACGACGCGCTGCGGGTGCGTCACCGGACCCCCCACTCCCCTCCCGGACATGCTTGTCGGGGCTGCAATGGTGAGCCTGGTGACTCTTGCGAAGATGTGGTTCCGGGCATCGCATCGGCAATGGGTGTCGGTGTGAGTGTGTGTGTGTGTGTGTGTATGTGCGCGTGTGCAGGGTAGCTGGCTAGGTCTCGGCGGAAAACCAGCAGACGGAAATGATTCTCTCTCCTCCATGCCAAAGAACAGGACAGGCGGGCTGACAGACAAGCGGGCGAGCAGACAGATGGGCAAGAACAGTGGCTACAGAGTTGAAGAGCAAAGCAGGGTTACATGTAGCATCTGCATGGAGGTGGTCACAGGAGACGAGATGGGCCGCGTGCTGTTGCTGCCACAGCTGCGGGCTGCTGCTTGCTTCGACGCTGTTGCTTCATCCGGCTGCCTCGTTTCAGGTTGTTCCGGCCATTGGAGACGCCCTGCCAGCCATCCGGCCACCCAAGTCAGCCATCCGCTTCCATGGCAAGCCCGACGCCGCAGCCGTGTGTGCGTGTGTGTGTGTCACACATCCCAAACGTCGCCGACGACGACGACGATTTGCTGCCCGCGGACCAAACGCGAGCCTGAAGCCAACGAACGAACGAGCGGGCAGGCGGGAAAACACCCACCAGCGCCATCGCACGCACGTATCTGTCATCTCTGACGGGCCGTGGCCGCGCGGGCGGAGGGGAGGGGGGCAAACCCAAACTTGCACGCACGGCGTGTGGAATCGCCTTTCGCAGCGCAGGGCGACGGACCCTGTCGCGCTGAAAGAGAGCAGGCTCACTCATGCATGAACGAATGGAAGTCACCGATGGTGGGTGCCGCCAGGCGTTTGTTCCTCAACACCAGGCATCGATCGCGAGAACGGAGGTGAGAAGATGCGAAGAATGCGCGAAAACGGCCGTCCCGCTTCGTTCCGAGCTGATCTTACTTGGGTGCCTGCCTGACTGACTTACAGCAGAACGGGGGGAAAGAGAGAGAGTGTGGGCAATGACGTGCAACCGGGCATGACGGGGGGCGGGTCAGGTTCGAGCCCTGTTGAAGACATAACTAGCAAAACACCCCTCGGTCCAGTAACAGCGGCCCGTACTCGCAGTCCGTTCCGAATCAGGCAAAAGCGGACCCAAACCAGACCGAAAAAGAAAAGCTGCCACTTTTTCCACTTTGTGTTTCTGCGCGAACCGGTTCGTGTCGGCGGCCTTGCTAGGCCAAGGCAGCAACTGAGAGAGCCTGCATCGAGTGGACAGCCGCCAGGCCAGGACAGCTGGATTCGCCGCGAGCACCCCCGCCGCCCGCCTTCCAGGCAGTGATGTTTGGCTGGGATGGGCCGGGGGGTGTGTTATCGATAAGCCGCGGGGTCGTCGAGGACCATGCAGGCACTTGCAAAGTCCTGGATCCTGAGGATGGGAGCGGGCAGTCTGCCCCTCCATGCCCCTCCTCTTTCTCTCGGTGCACAACTGGCGGGGCCTTTGTGCGCTCGTGTCACCTATGTCGGCGTCCATGCCAGCGAACAAAGTGCTTTCCTTGTTGCGCAGAAATATCTACACACCAGGAGAAGAGGCAAGCTGTGCTCACCACTGCCCACCCCATCAAAACCCCGGACCGGTACAAAGTAGCATGGAACTTGCAGTACCGTATAAATGTGATCACGCGTTGCAGTGAAGTCGCCAGGGGGGGTGCAGACTCGCAGAACTCGCAGCCAAGCCTGGCCAAGCCAGGCCAAGCCAGCCCACTCCTCCTCCAACTCCCAGTCCCAGTCCCACTTCCACCTCAACGCACACTCCCGCTGTCTCACCCTCGCTCGCTCACTCACCCAACATGCGCCGCACACCCGCATCCCGATGCCGCAGTGACTCAACGGCGCGGGACTTGTCACTCGCGCACTCACCCAGTCCGGATTCTGTGTCCGTGCTGTTGCTCGCTGCTGCTGCTCCCCACCCGTTTCACCCCGTGTTGACGTGGAACGAAGTACACAAGGACAAGAAGGAGATCCAACAGCACCCCACTGTGTTCTCTCCCAAGAGTCAAGACTATTGAAAGCGGGCATTGTCTGGTAGTTCGTCCGAGGACCTCATGTTTCATGTTGCAAGCGTTTACAAGGCGTACAATGCCACAAACAAAGCCTTTCAAATCACCACCCAGACCACCGCACAAAGCCTCCTTTAACCACAAGAGCCTCTGAAAGAGAGAAGAAGAAGAGGAAGACACAATGCCTGCCCGGACCGCCTGGTGTACGCCATCGCTTCTCCACGTCGAGCTCCAGTCCCCAGGCGCCCACCTTGGTCATCCCTGTCCGTGGGTGCAGCATGTAAGTACGTACTCGAGGAGTCCACCACCATGAGGGAGGGTGTCCGTCCAAAGACTCCCGACACCATGTCAAAGTCGACACAATGGCATGGCGAACACCTTGCTGAAGACATGGGCGTGAACGTAGCATTGCGAAATCATCCGATGCTGCTGCTCTTCTGCCCACTGCAAACGACCTGGCGCTCGGTGGCGGATGCTGCCTGGCAAGGAAAAAGTCATGGTGTTCATGGCAGCGATCTGGTCACTCTACAGATTTCGTGCTGGGATGCTGAACTGTTGTATCCGAGTCGGTGACCCGGTTGTCTGTTTGTCTATCCTGAGTCCTGATCGAGCCCGTTGCCCGTTGCCCTTGCCCGTGGTATCAAAACGCCAAATCATCGCTCGCCTGCCGTCCCAGCTGGGGTTCCGTGTTTCCCCCTAAAATACAGTAGAAATCAACGCTGAGCTGAGATTTACTCCCATCGGTAGATGCCGTCGTCGTAGAGGACCCTGTGACGCCTACTTCCCGGCCCAACCGTGGCCCGCCGCCGCGGCACCATCCTCTCGCGCAGCCGGGCACGCTGCTCCTCGTCTTCCTCCCTCTCGACCCGCTTCGCCCGCCTCTTCTCTTCCAGGTCCAGCCGCCGCACCGCGTCAATCAAGTCTGCCTCTCGCTCCTGCGCCTCTCTCGCGGCCTTGGCCGCCACAAAAGTCGACGCTCGCTTCGGAGCCGGCGGCATTGGCACCGCGGGCCTGTTGGCAATCTCCGCGTTGGCGTCGGCGATCCGCTGCCTCATGCGCAGGTCGCGGATCGTCTTCTCGCGCGCCTCCCGCTCCTTCTGCTCCTTCTCCTGAGCCTCGCGCAACCGCCGCTCCTGCCGAATCGCCTCACGCTCACGCCGCCGCTGGCGAAGCTCCTCCTCTTCTGCGCTTGGGTATGTGGGTCGTCCGCTCTCGCGCGAGCTCGTCGAGGAGTGGCGCATGTGGGTGTTCGAGCGACGAGGGGGCCGCGGCTCGACCACCTCGATCTGGACCGATGGGCGCTCTACGCGCGGGCGCTCATCGACGATGACCGGGCGGCGCGTGTACGAGTCGCGCGGTGAGGCGTCGACAATGTGAGGGGAGAAGGCGTTGACGTTGGGGGATGAGGGAGCTGTGTTGGGAAAGTTGAACGCCTGGGGCGGTGTCCGAGGGGTGGGTGGGTTGTCCACCAGAACAATGCGCTCCCGGCGTAGGTGACGGTCCCGATCACGGCGGTTGAGATCGAGCACGCGCTGGCCGTTGATGTAGACACCAGATCGTCGCCTGTTGCTCGACGAGCTGTGGTATGATCGGTCCGACTCGTCGCCAGAGCGGTAGCTGGGCGTACCGGACCGAGGGGTAAAGGCCGGTGGCGTGGGTGGGAAGTAGCTGGTGTACGACGGCAGTGATGACGAGGGAACGTATTGGGTCGGGTGCTGGAGGACGACGTTGTCGACGCAGGGCTGGCCGTGGCGGGCCACCGGGCAGAGCGCGGGGCGGCGGACCTGCTCCCTACGCCCGTCCGGGTGGACGTAGGTGTAGATGTACGTGGTGCACATTGTGACGGTGTTGGAGAAAACGTATGAGTGTTGGGACCGAGACGATGTGCCTCAGCGAAGAAGCAGCTCGCGGTGGTCGACGCCGGTGACTTGGGCGACTTGTTCCCGCGAAGCTGTTGGAGTCACGTAGCCTCAGTAGGCAGGCTGTGTTGGTAACGGCGTAGATATCCTGCGGCGCGCAGGACAGTGTTGTTTGGAGTTGAAGGTTGGTTGTTGTTGCGAGGGAAGAGTGGTCGACCGAAAAGTTGGGACGAGGGCTGTTTTTGTACGCGACCCTGGCAGCAGCTGAGGTGCAGCAAGGTGGGCCGAGGGCAGTATATAAGCGGTGTTCGCGTGGGCTGCTCTCGATCCGAATTGTAGCCGGCTTCGTTCTTGTTCCCGAGGTATCGACTGGGCCGACTGTGTCCCTCGAGGTTGTCTTGTTTCGAAAAGTGGAAAAATATGGAGTGGTGTTTGTAGCTGCCTGGAAAACGAGTCGGCGTGAGGGCATGTTATAAAGGAGTGTGTGTGTGTGCGTGTGTAAGTGGCAGTGGGACGAAGTGGTGGTGCTCCCTCCCGTCCTGCAGAGCCCACGGCGCAGACACTCCCCCACCCTCTCCGACCCCTGCTCGTCCTGGCCCTCCCGGTTCTGCCTGCCAGGGCTGCCTCGCTGCTCCACGGACCCGTCCGCCGATGACTCCCTGGTCGTGTGGAGCCTGGCTTGACTGGGGCAGTCCAATGGCACTGCGGCTGAGCGACGAACGGCGACAGACGGGGGAGGGCCACACGGCCGTCGACGAGGAACTGCTGGGTGCTGCGCAGCGGCTCGAGCATCGTGGGCAGTGGGCAAGGGATCGTGTCCCGTCCAGTGTCGCCGGGGGCATCGCAACGCTTCGAAACAAGCGCGACGCTCCTGGGCCTGGGGTTTGGCGGCCAAGAAACCGGGACGGACGTACGAAGTAATACGCTGGGATGAAAATAGCCCGTTCCCGCGAATAGAACGGACGGCGTCAGGAGCCCGAGGGGAGGGTACGGCAGCTGAGTGGGAAGATGGTGTTGGCCAATTTCCCAGCCTGCGCACTCCGTCCCCGTGGCACATTGTCGAATGGACGCGACGCCGCCCACCCGCCAGTGTCGACGGCGAAGGTCCCCGGCGGCTGTTCAAACAGCGCCGTCGTCGAATGCGACCGGCAGGTCACAGTTCGCGCCGCAAGCTGGCAGTTCCGGTTCCTGCTCGCCGCGAGCAATCATGCGGTCCGCCGTTCAGCGCCCACTGACTCACAGCGAACGTCCTTTGTCCTCATCGACAAACCAGAGCGACAGGTTTCGACGGGGCCTGCAGCCGTGCAGCAGAGCATCCCCACCTGCACCTGCGAGGCCGTCAGTCGCCGCAGCCAGATGCGCCATTGGCTCCTTGGGGTGGTCCCGTGCCGATGTTTCGTCCAGCATGACGACGGACTGCAAGGGCCACTTCTGCCGGACCAGTCTGTCGTTCTTCAGCCGTTGGGGGCTGTGCTGCCTGGAGAGGGACAAGCCACCGCCGCAGACGATGGGAACAAAGGGATTGCGCCACAGGACCGGGGTCGATGGTGAGATTATCGCGTCCTGGGCTCTTAGCCACACGTCGCATTGGCTTTGACGTTTCACTGCCTCCTCTCCACCGGTTCCCCAGACGCGACGCACGTCACTGATGCGAACCAGCCTGCCCGCGAGACACAAGCGGCAATTGACGAGGCTGCCGCTCTTGCGCGCTTGACAAGCGCGTCGGGTTGTGGAGTAATCGGAACGGGAGACGATCGTGATGCATTGGTGGAGACGGAGAGCGTCTCCTGTCCGTCAGATGCTGCATGCCGCAACGGGACTCTGGGAGCTCGATGACAGGCAACGCAATTGCCAGCATGGACGTGTCCCATTGGCTCGTGGCCACCGCTTCAGCAATTGCTGAATGAGAACCGGCTCGCGGGACTTCGCCGTTGTTTGGGGTCCCGACATCCTAGACTGAGGATGCGAAGCCTGGGCTTGCGTTGAGGGTCGAGACGACCGACGACGCGACGACGAACACGGAACCCCTTTCGGCCGTCGGTTGCCTCTTGGCGATCGAGCCTCAGGACCTGCGCGGTTCCAGGACGACACCGCCAGCGAGAGCGTAAGCCAGGGGTCGCTCGCACAAGCCCGAAGGAGCGGCCCCCAAACTCGCCGCGAAGGGACAGCCAGGGCACGGGGCCAAAAACGGGAGCCGCTTGTCAGACGGCGGCCTCTGGATTGCGCAAGCAGATGCTGGACAGGGCATTCGGCATCGATTGATTTCCAATTCGTGAGAGGTTTCGATGGTGCGTATTGGACTGTATTGGGGGCCGTTTGACGAAGTAGGACTGAAGCAATCACCAGGACAAGCCACCGCTGGCTGTGGCGTCTGTCGTCCCTCGTTCCTGCCTCCCGTGGTGTACCGTGTGGGTTGCCGTTCCTGCCGTGCGGGACGGTGAGGCTGTGCGCGGAAGGTGCACCAGGCCAGGTTGATCGGTGGCTCCGAGGGATTCGAGGAAGGAAGGGGCGCCACAGGGCAGACTGCGCCTTTGCGCCCACTATCAGCCTGCCCTAGTGAGGTCAGTGGCCATCCTCAGTGGGAGTTGGCTCCCTCAGTGGGTTCCCTCAGTGGGTTCCCTCCCGTCCAGCGGGCGCCGTCAGCGCCATCATTCCTTGGACTCTGTGGGCCCAGCCTTGTGGCTCCCTCCCGTCCCGTCTCGTTGGCCCTCCGTCGATTGGAGGCCCCCTCTCCGGGCGGGTTAACGCGACCCCCCCTCAACAATCAACACCACTTGAGCCTCCTCGGACCCTGACAGCTTGCATCACGGCGTGCATCGTCCACTCACCTCAACATCGCTTCTCACCTCGGTAGCCGTGCGACTGCAGCCTTTCCATGGAAGCAGCAGTCCGCCAGCCTTTTACCGCTCGTGAAACCCCTCTTCATGGGCCGCTTTCTCGCACCACCATCAGCTATTCGTGAGGCATGGCCGCCTATGTGGCCTGTCGAGACGCGCGCGCTTGCCAGACACTACAGTTTCACATTCGCTCTCCGTGCGACATTGTGTTAGCCGCGTTGAAACACTCTGGCCATGCGATCCTCTGCAGAATCTAAGCGACTGCTACTGTAGTGTCTGTTGGGTCTCTCGAATCTGCTGGTCGCTTCTCCTTTCAGAGGTTACAGTCCACAATCGAATTGGCAGTTCCAAACTCTAGTGCATGCGGATTGCATTCTGTTGAGTGCCAAAGGACTCCTTCTGGTTGCCACACGCGCCTGGGGGGATGCAAACAGTTCTGCTGCCTGTTTCAAACACAGCACGGACAAGGAAGCGTCCTCGTCATCCTCCCTGGCTCAACCATGGTCGCCTGGATGTCAGCCATCCCGAAGTCACGCGTCCCACGCACACTGAATGCCATTGGTGCCTCTTGTAAGTCCAGACACGAGTGGAAACGTTGCCACTCAGCACGAAGTGGATTGTCGGTCAGCAAGTGCATTGCCAATACATGATCCACTCTCAGGCTGCCCAGCGGGCGGTCCTAGATACCGGTGGCATGATCGCAGCGACATTTTCCGAATCGTCGCCGCTCAGTGGCAAGCAGAAGCCCACCTCGGTATGACAGAGATGCTGTCGAGGCCCGGAAGAATTGCAAAGCGTCCCGGCTCCTGCTCTACCAAGCCTGTCCTCATGACAGGCCTCGTACGGCCCAAGGCGGGCATCTCGGATACACGTTACTTTCTGCCTGTGTCCACGTGTCAGTCGTCGTCACACAAACACAATCGCCAGGCATATCTGTATCTGGGCGGACTGACCCTGTGCCGTCGACAGGCCGCTATCTCTTACATGGTCGCGAACAGCACACGGACGACAAGCTGCCCACCCAAGTCTCCGCAGTCGGTAGCCTCTTACGCTACGTATTGGGCATCAGGATCTTGCGAAAAGTGCAGAAAGCTCTCGTGACATTCGTATGCATCTGAAATGCAACTTCTTGCTACATGTACAGCAACCGTGGGCTTCTACCCGCCTCTCGGAGCGCCGTAGGTAAAGACCGATGTGCCGCCTCTATAAAACCCATCTAGAGTCTATGCCCGCGTCCACACAAAATGTTAAAATTACAATGAAACAAGATCCAAAGAAAAGAGCAAAAGAAAACGCTCATTCCCATCGCTAAAGTACACTCGAAAGCCCCCGTTGTCCAATCTCAATGAAGGTGCTCAAAGCCATTGGAGAACTTGGTGCCCGGAGCAAGCTTGAAGGCCGCACACTTGACCTTGTGTCCGGCTGCATCCCTCCAGCCGCCGTAATCGACGCCTTGCTTGGCAATTGAGTTGCCGATCCAGTGGACGTTGATGTTCCACGCTTGCAAGCAGAAGTACATGACGAGCGCTCCGATGCCAACGGCAGCCTGGAACGAGCCTGACATGACGTACGCGTATCGCCCCCACCAGCCCTGGGCGCGCCTCTTGATGAAGAAGTTGAAGACGACGCCCAGGATGAAGGATCCGTGGATGTAGGTCCAGTTATACGGCGCCCAACCCAGCGCACCACCAAAGAAGACGGGCGCGTTAAAGTAGCGCCAGAAGGACATGGGCCACCGCTTCGCGAAGTAAAAAGTGATGATGGGAAGGGCGACTCCAATGGGGATGAAGTAGGTGATGGGCCTGTAATGTCCCTCGGGGCCGAAGAGGCGTCGAGGGCCGACAACACCCCACAGCACTGTGGTGAGGAAGTATGAGTGGGTAGAGGGGCAAGAGAAGCGATCCTTTTGATCGTCACGGCAGACGCCGTCGATGTTGCGCATCTGCCAGTGGTTCACTCCAAGCGCGACAAACGAGGCCAATATGGTTGCGTACATCTGCCCGACAAAAGCCCAACGTGGCGGGATTTTGGCATAGTGCGCCAGCTTCAGGTCGCCGAGGAAGTGCAGCGACTGAGATGTAGACATGTAGCTATACATCTTGAAGATCATGTTGGGGATGGTTCGACCCTCGAGGACGTATCCGCCGACGACCATGGCCAGGATGGACGTCGACACCTCCTTGTTTGTGATGGCGAGGAGCATGCCAAGGGGAATCTGGAGAACCAGGGTGAAGGCGATGGCGAGAACAATGCCCCACACGGGCATGTCAGTCGGCCACAAGAGGGCGGACAGAACGGCAAAGGTAAAGGAGACAGCCAGCGTCGCGAGATACCACCACTGCGGGCATTCCTTGTAAGCCGACATAAGGCGGTTGTGGACGTCGTCGTACTGCTGCTGTCGGTCCTTCTTGCGCGTGAAGAAGCCCTTGAACCCCTTGGCGATGTCCTTGCGGAACCAAAGCGCGAGGTGTACTGGCAAGGAGGCATAGAGGCAAAAGTACACGGCCAGGTAGATGACCTTGGTCGCTGATAGCCACGGCACGCTATACTGATAGTACTCCCCTTCGTTGATGGTGAGATCCGTGTCAATGATGCGGCTGATGTTGTACCGGCCGCCGGTGTTGTCGAAAGGCTTGTTGCTATTGATGGGGAGATAACCTGTATTCCAGAAGTTCTTGAAGTAAATGAGAGGGGTGACAAGGAACCCAAAGATGGCCATGCCAGTCGCATAGTTCGAGAGCGCAAAGAACGGCGTCACGATGGGGTCGGCGTGATGCGTGGCCACGTTCCAGTCCAGCGAAGAGAGCGGGTTGATGCCGAGCCCGCAGGTGCTGCCCATGATAAGGGCGAGCGTGACACTGCCGGGCGAAATCCATGTCGGCCAGTTGAAGAGCGAAATGCCCTGGAACAGGTAGTTGGGCATCCAGAACCACAGAAACATGCCGCAGAAGCAGATGATGAAGAAGCGGTACCGGGTCATGGTCCAGCCGTTGACAGCCGGCAGCGACTTGACGCCTCTGTCTGAGTGGAGGGCCTTGGCCAACGCAATGTTTGACAGCGCTCTGGGCCAGATCATGGCCGGTGGATAGACGAGGAAGCGGCGGGCCACGCCAGCGCAGCCATAGCCGAGAAGTTGCGTGGCAAGCACGGTCATGGTCTGCCAGGGGATGCTGTTGGCGAGGATCTTTTCGCTGTAGAACATCGGCAACTTCAGGACCTGGACAATGGAGATGACATAGGCACCGTTGTGATGGCCGGCAAAGGCGACATTGGCCATCATTGCGATGAGAAGATGCTCCTTTTGGTTGAATGGTCCGGGGTTGAGGCTGAAGCTGCACGAGTTGGCCGTGCCGGGAAGACGGAGCGTCCATACTCGCTTGGGGAGGAAACGTGCGAGGAAGAGGCCCATGGGCAGGGTGAGGAGCTGCACGACATACGTGCTGATATGAATGGCAGGCAGGCGCAGTGAAAAGAATTGATGCAGTGACGTGCCAAAGACGGAAAAGAAAGTACCAAGGATGAAGACGCGGAACGTCCCCACAGGCAGCGTCGGGTCGTCGGTCGGGTCGACAACGGCGCGGACCTCTGGGTATGCAGAGTTGTTGCGGGCGAGCTCCTCCTGGACCTTGAAGTCGTCGAGGATGGACTGCCCGGATTCGACGTCCTTGCCTCCAGACGAGGCTTCATCCGGTGGGGGGCTGGCAAGGTAAACCCTGGCGCGGTTAAGGGTGTCGTGACAGAAGTTCTGATCTAGCTCATGCTCCGCGATGAGAGCACGGAGGGCGGCGCGAAGCTCTTCCTCAGAGAGGGGCGAGACGGTGGTGATGCTGTCGGACCCAGACTTTTCGCCTTCATCACAGTCCTTGGTTTTGCCGAGGGAGTCGGTCACTGATGAGTTGATCGTGTTGTACGTCTTGACGGGGGCGAGGGTGCTCTCGGAACCAGCAGTCCCGGAGCGTCTAAAGACGCCTTGGGCTTTGGAAGCGCCCATGGCTCGAGTCGCCCGACCCTACAACAGAGGCGGTTGTGTTCGGATAGGATAGAAAGGTAGGATCACGCTTGTCAATCGAGCCGCAGGGATTGATGTAAAGGCAGCGCGAGTAAATACGCGACGCGATTTACGGAGGCATTTTTCAATGAGTGCATCGTGTTGTTGTAGACGCCTGGGACGCGACGATCTTATACACGAGTAGCAAATGGGCAAGTTGTGAGCTTTGACCAAGCACTGAGTTGGATCTCTGCGACATGGACACACTCGGTCGAACACTGTGGCCTAGGCGGCGTGAAACCTTTGCGACCCCTTGATTGCGTTTGGCTCTAAATCGGGATATCTAAGACTCATTCAGAAGCTTGAGTGACTGGTCTGCAAAGTCAACCAAGTCTTAATTTACCACTACAATATTTGGTAGGCCGTCTGATCCGAAGTTATTGTCATATCTTTATCGGAGTTTAGAGGCGCCCTCTCGCCGGGTGGTGCAGACTCCAGAGTTCACCACCGCAGTCACCGCTGCACGCCTCAAAAGGAAGGTCCTTGGGGCCGGCGACGCCGCAGCCCCCCTGCCTTAGACTGGCAACATGAAGTGTAGCTTTAACCCATAGGTATGTATGAGGCGCATAGTCCAGCGTAGCGCTATAGTCGATGCGCAGACGATTTGTCCTTGCTGCGGAACCTTCGACTGGACCTGGCGCAACACCATCTCGAGGCGTCGTGTTCGAGGCCCTCCATCGTTGCCGTTTCGGCGCCGGCAAGGTCGGCACTTCGCTGCTTTTCGCCGAGACATGCAAGACGGCAGCAAAGTACCGGCATAGTGTGCATTATTAATGCGAGGATGCAAGGTTGCCAGTGCTGTAGCTGCGAGAGGCTGGGGGCAGCACGTGCGCTGCCTGGCGCGGTCGTCGAGGCCAGCCTCATGCCTTTGTACCTGCATCCGCGGCCGTGGATTACGACATCGTTGCATATTCCATGCAGCTAGCCGGCAATAGCCGGGAGCTGGCCCATGTGCCGTCTGGTATGTCCTGACGGACGGGACGGCATGTTCAAGAGTCGCGTCGTCGCAGCAGTCTGGCGCGTGACCGTCGAAAGTCCATGACGAACTCGACACAAGCCCACGCGCCAAAGGCTAATCGCAATATCCTAAACCGCGATCAGCTCCAGTTCCGCTCTGTCCGATCAGTTTCAGGCGAGAAAGAGGCATACACGACGACCGTCAACAGCCACATGGAAGCACGGAGCATGCGGTGCTGCGTGAATCGCTGATCAGCCACACCGCTGCCAGTGGAAGACGCCCCTTGTAGCGTATCGTCGTTGTCGGGCACGTTGACACTTGCAAGCATCACCATGACCACACCACCGAGCGAAACGCCGAGCGAGAACATGTCGTGCACCATGCACCGCGCAGGCGACATCGAGGGAAAGCCGAGCTGCGGTTCGGCAAGGGCGACTGCCTGCCAACTGTCACTAAGGAGAGCTATTGCGGACTAATTACAAGGCATTAGCACGCAAATCCTCATTGAGGGTCATATCCCTGTGGTGTCTCGCTGGCATTGGCACTCGCGATCGTCAAACACCAACGGGGCGCGCATGGGGGGCGAATCCATCAACTCACACCTAGGAGTCCTGGTGCCACAGCCCCAACCAGATTTGGCCAGCGCTGCGCGACAAAGGCGAGCACGACAATAGTCATCAGCGAAAAAAGCCAGCCAATGGCTCTCGCTGCAGACTCTGCCATGGCCGCCCAGCCGGGGAAGCGCCACGGAGCCATTGTGCCGGGTCGGACATATGACGATGCCAGGAAGGCGTGATAGTGTGTCGGACCCAAATTCGAGACGCAGCGAAGCCGGGGCCTCCCATCGATCAGGCCCGGCGTCTACTGATGAAACTGCAAGGCCACGCAGTAACTGCCGGGGCGCACCTCAGGGACGGAGCCGGGCTGCGGGGCTGGGGGTTTGTGAACTTGATTGCATCAGCTCGGTCACCCGTGCACGCGGAGGAGCTGCAGAAAGCCACGGGCGTGTGCCAGCCGGGCGCGTCGAAAGCCAACAGCACAGCAATGTCGTACCTTCATATAGTTCAGGGTCAGACGCACGCTACGGCTCGCGTCCCGTACCCGTCCCGCTGGCACTATACGCAAATAGGAACGTGGAGGCTTCCGGGGGCTGTGTCGAGCTGCGCGCCTCGCAGTGGCAGGTTGCTGCAGAGATGCGGTGCGGTGGAGCTCGGTGAGGCCATGAGGGGTTCAACGAATGTGGCATAGCAGGACTTGGCGACGTTTAAGCGAAGACTTGTGCGGCCGACAAGCGTGATATCGAACCACGGGCGAAGAAAGCCGTTGAAAAGGCTCCTGGAATTTTGAAACCGGGCTGTGCCCTGTGCGGAGGATTTCCGGGCCTGCCTCAGCACCCGGGTGATGGACAACCGTATTGTCTCAGAGCAAAGACAAGAGGAGAGCACACGGGCAGTTGAAGAAAGCTACCCAATTGTGGTGGATACGAGAATAGTGCGACGTAGTCAGGGCCAAACGCCTCCCACCCGTCTTGGCCGCCAAGAGTGCGCCCGCCTGGTCCAGGGTCCAGCAGATCAATGTTTCACCGTGCCGGCGAGCCGGACGTCAAAGTATTACCCAAGTCTGGGGTTTGATCTGCCCCACGCGAATCGAGAACTGCCTTCGTCGCGGGCAGTGCGCAAGCTTCCCGAAGGCGTGGGGGCTGAACAAATGGGTCGATCGGTGCCGTCGCGGCAACTTTCCTGTCGACGCGGCGTTGACATGTAACAGCCCACTTTCCAGGCGATCCTCTCGATCTGTTGAATGCCGTAGGAAGTGCTCGACGTGTGAGAGCGGGCAAAAGAAGGATGGCGAATTCCGGATCGCTTCGCCGATAAGCGAAACAATGATTTTCGGCAGCGAGATCGTAACTAGCAGGGTCAGGTCAGTTCGCAATACACAACGACAGTTATCTGCATTATCCGCTATAACTACACTCAGAATCGTTGCTGCATTGATTTGTATACTGCGGAATTGGCGCACAGGTCCTCCGCTTCACTTCTTTCTAAAAGCACCAGGCCAGACATCGGTACGTTTAGTATGCGAGAATGACCAACTCCACACACTACCACGATGGTGCGGGCGAGTTAATATGTCATTGTTCTATATTAAGCGGGCCGTATCCGGTTGTATCAGCTTAAGCTCAAACGAGAGACGTCACCCCATATCCTAGGGGGCCGGTGATCGGTGCGCGCCAGCTTGCCTTCACAGTTGTCCGGGCCGTGCGAGCTGTTTAAGTCGTTTGCACTTACACAAAGGAGTTCCAACAAGATTGGAATCTCATAATGAAGTCTAATGCACTCAAATTGAAATCGGCTAAGCATATGATAAGCATCAAGAAGTGCGTACAGATACATCCAACACTCAAATGTTAGATCAAGTTTCAAGGTAAGTAATGACGTAACATGAGGCATATTGTTATGGCTCATCCAATGATAGCTGGGGAGCAGTCCGGCAGCTGCTGTTCACTTCTATATTTCTTTATTAGATGAGCAGCCGCAATCATTTTTCGAGTGCGTTAATAACCCGAACAGGGAAGCTAGCACAAGAGTATCCAGAATGTAAATTGGAGGCTCGGAACGGTGGTATACAACTGGCACGACATAACCCATTTCGCGAGCACATCTCTGTCAAGAGGTATAGCTTTTGCCCTGAAGATCCCACATGCACGTAGGTTCAAACCTCGGTACATGCATGTGGCTATGGGCTGCATAGCACACACACCGCTGCCGCCGCACCCACGCGTTCTCCCAACTCTTGATCCCAGCCTAGGTGGGTCCCGAACGGGTTGGGCCAACATGGAGGTTCGAACAGAACATCTATACGTTAGTTAAAAGACGCCCCTTGCTTACAGTTTGCCGTGTGAGTCATCGTCATCTCACGTGGTTTTCGAGAGTGTTCGAATGAACAGGGCGATTTAGAGTCGATGTTGAACCCAATGTTATGTGGTGATTCGGTCTGGCATCTACATGTACCTTGGATAACTACCTCAGAGCAGTTGATCCATGCTTCTTGTCTCCTGAGCGACTTCGCGCGACAGGTCAGCCATTTCTGCGCAGCCTCGCGACGGCAGCCTCTTTCCCCCAGTTTCTCCAGCTTCCTCCAGAAATACGGATCCAGATTTGGGAGTTATGCTTACCGCGCCGGGTCTTGGACATTGATTTACCCGACGTGTACGCAACTGATCCTGCGCACTTTTCGAACGAATATGACTACGACATATTCCAACTGATGTGCCAGTTCCGGCACTGCCATGTCAAGCGAAATGTCGAACCGCCAATACTTCTCAGGGTGTGCCAGGAGCCGCGACATTGTGCTTCGAAACGGACATTATATTGATAGCCCGTCGTATGATCGTTACATCCCGCGTCTTTGGGCTCAGCCAAAGCGAGATGTGCTGAATCTTAACTGGGATAGGAGATACGATATGGATGGCCAAGACTCCCCAATCTGGAATGGCACATATAAACATTCGCCGGTGCCCGTCACCTTCGCATGCGCCGATGCTTTGGGAGTACCGTCAATCGTCTCGCATCTCCTAGTCGGGGATTTCAGCTGGCCACATCCAGACGTTAACGTTTACCCTAGTGAATGGCAGGCTCCGGCTGATATGCAGCTGCTGGCCAGCCGGAGTTCACCAATGCTGATCAGTGTCTCGACCATCGTGCTCCACATGAACAAGAAAAGCGCTACAGCCAGCGGCCTTTTCGGTCTGCTTGGTGATGAAACAGTGCAAAGTGTGGATTTCTATGATAGCGGCAGACTCCGCGCTTATTATCGTTCATGGGCCGACAATTGTACCAAGACAGACGCCTGGGCGAAAAACCTTTTCAAGGTCTTATTGTGCGACAGCCTCAAACACTACTTTCTAGAGGAATGGCTTCAAAATCTGGACTTCATCTTTATCGGTACGCTTTGGGTCGAGGCGCGACGTCAGGGATTCGATACCATGGAAAATCCGCATTCTGTCTGGGTGCCGCCTGTTTCGGAGAACAAATGTCCCCACCGACAGTTTAACAGCATATGCGCTGAACACCCTTGGGTGCAAATCACACGGGCAAGCTTTCCCACCATAGATCCACTGGTAATGTTTCGCTGGTGCGACGATAGGCGATGCTGGGACGAAGAGATATACTCCGAGTGGGACAAGCGATATCGGCGCGGCGAGTTCTATGACCCTACCACGGATATCTGGAACGACGATGACTTCAGAGAGAACATAGCAAGGATGAGATAGATGGAAACTTGAAGTATCGATCGGAGACAACATTGGGTTCCAGAAAAACGTGTGTTTCAATTACATTGCCTGGAGTCTGGTTGGAAGATGTCAGCACGGATGGATCTGTGAGACAAGCCAGCTGGCCATTGCCGTCGGGCCCGAGGCGAACAGGAGAGAGCGATGACGTTTTCAACGTCCAATATAACATTTATGCCCGCTAAAATGCATACTCTTCTACATGCAGGTATATTCCCTGCGCCCCGGTGCCCTTGTGCACCGCCCGCTCGTCACTTAATCGACTGACGCAGTTCCTTGTCCGCGCGACCAGCTCCTTGCCACCGCAAACGACCACCGCCGTCTCGCCCCAGGCACGCTCGACGGGCTCACGTATCAGCGCCTCGATATCGGGCCGTGAGCTGTACTCGCGCACGTACTCGATGCTGGCATCCGAGGCCAGGCTGCCGGCCGTCGCGGACGAGTTGCTGCGCCGACAGCAGCAGCCCGAAGATGTGCCTGGTTGATCTACTGCCGTGCTCCGGTCTCGCAGTTCGATGTCTGTGGTCTTTTCGTCGTAGCTGGAGAGCTGCATGTGCCCCTTTCGGCTGCTGTCGTCGCGTCGCAGCCGAACAAGGGGAACGCCTGATTCGCCCTCCGAGTACGCGCCCGTTATGGCAACGTGTAGCCTCACCTCTATGCCCTTCTCTCGAGCATCTTTGCCGGCTTCCTTGGCCCGCTGGATATAATATGACAGCTCCTCCGCCGTGCGGGCCGTCAGGATGACTTCCATCTTCTTCACGCATGTCCTGTGGCTCGCCGCCGCGACGTACTCGAGGATCGGAATCGTGAAGCTCGCGCCAGTCGACGCTCCAATGAGCACAATCGTCTCGTAGACGTCCCACTGTGGCGGCGCGCCATACGGCCCTGACAAGAAGCCCGTGAGTACCCGCTCGGGGTGTCGGGTTGCGTAGTTGTGAAGGCGCTTTGAGAAACCGCCATGGGCGCGCACGATAAGCTGAATACTGCCGCAGCAGCACGTGCCCTTGATTTGGTGGGCGTTGGCAATGGTGTACGGATGCGCCTCGACAGGTCCCAGGCGCGGGATCCAGAGGTACACGTGCTGTCCCGCATGCCACTGGAAGTGGACGTCCTTGATGGTCACGGCCGTGACGCTGTCGCCCATCGCCCGCAGCGACACGCCATGGCCGATGCGCTTCATGCCCTGACAAGAAGACGTGCTGAGGCGGCCCCATCGCGTGTTCTGCCAGAACAGAAGAAGCCATCGCGCCGCACGATCAAAGACGAGGAACGAGATGGACATCCACAAGAGGTATTGCGCGGTGGCGGGAATGTGCTTGTACAGCAGCCATAGCATCACGACGGACGAGACAATGTGCTGCAGCAGCCAGACCTCGTACGCGAGCCTCCGTATCGGCAGGAAGCCGACGACAACGGACCACAGCAGGACGCCCCAGGCGCCGAGGCCGTACCTAACGAGCGGCATGATGGACAGCTCGTACTCGACAAAGTCGGCAAGCACCCACTCGGTCCAGAAGTGGAAGCCGTGGACGGTGGCGGTAACGAACATGGTGCGCGCGATCCACCGGTGCAGCCAGTTGATGCGCTCGTGGCTGGAGCCGACGAGCCAGGCAATGGGGTTGAGCTTCATGGAGAGCAGGTACAGCATGGGCAGCTGCATGATGGTGACCCAGGCGTTGCGGTACCCGATGCGCTCCCAGAAGTAGACGTCCTTGATGACAGCGTGCCAGGACATGAAGGCCACGATGACGGCCCAGTAGCAGAGGAGGAAGAGCACGCGGCCGAGCGGCGGGGGGGTCGCCCAGCGCAGGCCCCGCGTCGGGATGTAGAGCTGCGGGAGGGAGAGCTCGCGGATGATGGCGGTGGTGGTGGCCCAGGCCTGGGAGAGGGCGCCGTCGGGTCGCGTGGGTTGCTTGACGGTCGGGTCGTGGCATGCTTTTAATCTGTAGCGAGTAAGTCTATGTGCAGGCGGGCAGATTAGACGATGCATGTGGTGATGATGCTGCGCTTACCTCTGGCGGGCGCCGATGTGGTTGACGCCGCGGACGGCGACGAGCAGTCCGACGACGCCAGCAGCAATGTACCAGTAGTCGCGGGCAAAGGCATAGTTGATGTCGGAGCCGATGCCCATGTCGTGCATGTGGTCCATGTCCATGGTGTCTGCCGATGGCGAGGCTCTCCGCCGGCTGGAGCCAGCAGAGAGACGGGACCGGGAGGTGCTTCGTTTGTCTTGCTTGTCGTCAAATTACCACCTGAAGGGCATTTCGCGACTCGTGAGTTTATTAGGTGCGCCGTCTGGTGTCATCAAACGCGGCTTGTCTAGACGGCGACCATGTCGGGAAAAGCAAGCACCGGCGGCCGCCAAGTTTTGAAGACTGACAAAGGCAAACCACAGCGCGCTTGCTGGCTCACTGGCTCGGATCGGTCGGCGTGTCGTGAGGAGCGTTGAGCACGTTGCAGGATCCGGAGACGGGACGGATCATGACAGGAACCTGCGGCGCGTGGGGCTGAGGGACCCGGGCTTTCAACAAAGCGGCGAACTCGGTTCCGTCTGGCAAGGGCTGCTACCTTGGGTATGCATGACATACAATTCGCACGTAGAGAGGCATGTCCACCAAGCAAATACCCGTCCACCAGTTGCTAGTGTGCGCAGGATATGCTTCCAAGCACAGTTCTGCGCACCCCAAACCCGCCAGCGTGTTTAAGACTTACAAGGGCGGCGCCTGTTGCAACAAACTTGCTCAAATAGACTCACCTGCGTCCATTTCATGCCCCTTGATTGGGTCCACGGGCGCCGGGCCCGTTAGCCCCCCCACCGTCGAGGGGCGGGAATCCCCTCACGGACCGCCGCCTCCTGTCTTTGGCCGCACAACCGCACCATGGGCGGGCTGCTGCGCTGGTCCAGCTTTGTGGACTGCCTGAGCGGGCGTTTCTTTGCCTCGAAATAGCCCTGTTCTCGGATATCCGGTGCCGCTGAGGCCCTGGCTATGACGACGGAAGGGGTCCTTGTCCGCCCAGGTTGGGGGGCGGTGGGACAGGGGAGCTGGAGTCCTCGGATTCCGCACGTTGGGCGCGCCACCAGCCCCTCCGTCCGGGTTTCTGAGTGCGATTTTGATGCTGGGTGGATTCGGTGAATGGCCTTTGGTCTCGTCGCGTGTATCATTAATAGCCGGCCTCGGCCCTGGCCTTGCGCTCGCACTTACACACACTCGCGTCCAGCTTTTTTCCCTTCCTCTTCGCGACATCCCATTCCGCACCTTCCCTCTCGCCGCAGTAGATCCCTCGACTTGCCCTGCCCTTCACACACGAGCACCGAAAACCCTCCCCTCAACGCGACAATGAAGGTCCTCTCCCTGCTCGCCCTCGGCGGGCTCGCCGCCGCGCACTTCGAGCTCAAGTACCCCAAGTCCATCGGCTTCTCGGACGACCAGGAGGACCAAGCGCCGTGCGGCGGCTTCACGCCCGACTTCTCCAAGACCCTCGTCGACTTCCACGTCGGCGGCGAGGCGCTCGCCATGCGCCTCACCCACCAGCAGAGCAATTGGCTGTTCCGCGCCACCACCGACGAAAAGGCCCAGTCCGGCTGGCAGCAGCTCTTCCCCATCGTCATGCAGAGCGGCCTCGGCGACTTTTGCGAGCCGAGCGTCAAGGCGCCCGAGAGCTGGGTGGGCAAGAAGGGCGTCGTCAGCGTCGTCTCTTCGGCCGTCGACGGCCTGCTGTACCAGGTAAGGCTACACTAAGCGTGGCACGAAGCTCACCCAAGTCTCGACAACATCTGGGCAATACGGGATGCGGGCCGGCCTATTATCTGTGCGCGACACAATACTAACGGTTTCATGTTCAGTGCGTCGCCGTCAACTTTGTCAAGGGATCGGCCGAGGCCCCCTCCCAGTGCACCAACTCGACCATCAAGGTCAACTTCGTCGACGATTCGAAGCTGTCGGCTCTCGTGGGCGACGCTGCCAACACCACCTCTGGCGGATCCAGCGCGACCCCAACCAAGTCCAGCGCCGCGGCGACGTCCACGGGCGCAGCGGCGACGGTGCAGATGCGGGCCGGCGGGAGCTTTGGCTGGGCCGGCGCAGTGACGGTGCTGGCAATGGCAGCGCTTGGCGGAGCATTCATCGCATGAGCGGCTCGGTACATAGTGTAGCATTGCTGGGACACAATGGGCGTCGATACCACATGACAGTAATACCAAAGCGTTGTTTTACGATGCCTGTGCTCCCTGTTGTCAAGGGTGCACGGTAGATCGCCACCGGCATTTGGTCGCAACACGGAGCTTCGGGTTTCGCGTTTCGGCGGGCCCATGAACTGGTGAAACGTGCGTCCCTGCGGTAGACCGATGATCGGTATACCCGTATCTAAGTTTCGTCAGTGGACTGAGACTTCGATCCATCGTCACCAGTGGTGACTATAGGGTAGTTTGATTGGGAACGCGTATGTTTACATCGTGGCCCTGGAAAGGAATACGACGGATATGCATCACTGGGATGAAGAGGCTCTTGCGATATCGGGATGCCATTGACATCCCCTCTTGGCTTCATGCTTTCCGACTTACTGTACCAATTGGTACCGAGAGAAGCTTATTCGCATCTAGCTCCTCGTCACGAATAGATGCAACCTTGCCATTGTCACTCCTGCAGGAACCAACGGGACAGCAACAGAGGTGAGACACCGACGAACTCCACATATTGATTCCAGATGGTCACTCTGGTTCGCGCGCATCGAGAAACCTGCCCCGCATTCTCCAACCCCCGCGATTCTCAATCTTTTCCCCTCACCGATCCGGCGCCGCACCGGCCAAGGCGGCTTTCCCGCGTCGGGACCCTGAATGGACCGCATTTTGACTTTGACCTACAACAGCCGGGTCCGTCCCTCAGCCATCTACGTCCCTTAAACGCACCTCGTCGATGAACTTCCTTTGCGTAGCTTTATTGTAAGCTTTGCGGACGACCTGCCGTGACGGGCATTAAACGCCAATTGTGTTTGTACGACCATCCCTTGGAGCCCCGGACGCCTGCCGTATCATCAACATCACTCGGCCTGAGGATATTTTTAAGGTGAAGCACCGACACCGTTGACCGCCACCGGCCATGGAGCAAACTTTGACGACATAGAGTGAGACATGATCAGTGCGACCTGCTCAACCACCGCGTCACTTCACTGCGATCTGAGCGTCCTGGAACCGCCGCCCGACGCCTTTAAACCAGCCGTGGGCTGGAACCAGCGAAACGCTGGAGATTTAGTACGCGGTCCAACCAGGGTATACTTTGGCCCTCGACACACTCAGATGGCCGGCCTCCAGACGATAAACATCTCTTCTGTTTATTGCGCCCGAGGGGTGTAAGATCGCCATCCCTATAAATATCTGTTGCTGGAGACTGGCCTGGAAAGGCATCCAAGCGTCACCATCGGGTCCCCGTGCCGAATCGCTTCCCTTTTGGATGCTCCAGAAACCACCAAGACCACCCAAGCTCACTCCAAAACACCCTCCATCATGTCTGTCTTCGACTCACTCAGACGCGGCATGGCCTACATTGGCACCTCGCTCGCCGTGCCGGACCAAGTATCGTGGCTCAACAACGTGCAGGTTGTCCCTGCCGCAACCCTCTCCAACACGGACAAGCAAGTTCTCTACGCCCTCACCGCACTCTCAATCGTCACATTCACCCTCTATGTCTTTCGAAACAAGATCCTCTCGCTCTTACCGCGATGGCTCCAGCCGTTCGCACAAGAAATCGGTCCGGGGCCTGCCAAGCGCAAGTCCTGGACGCACTGGACCCTGATCCTTGGTCTCTTGGCCCTTGCGGGACTCGCCTTGTCCATCGTCCCCGCGTGCCTGAATCCTAAACAACTCATCGCCATACTCGAGGTCGTTCCGTGGCTCGGAGCGACTCTATTGACGGCTTTTGATCGTCCTACTCACACTCCGCGCATCCTCCTCCTGCACTACACGTTCATTGTCGCCGCCGGCCTCGCCACCTATGCCGTCCAGTTCCTCGACCATGCAGTGGAGGCCCTTGACACCTACCGCGTGGCGCGGATCGCCATCGCCATCGCCGCCGTCCTTTCCATCGTCAACATGCCCATCCGTAACCCGGCATGGGAAAATGAGGACATTGGCAACCCCAACCTCCCTCCGTCCCACGACGTCCGCAGTCCGGAGGACAACCTAACACTCTTCCGCTTCTGGGCCATGACCTGGGTCTTCCCCCTCGCTCGCATCTGCCGCCACAAGGAGATTACCGAGGAGCAGGTGTGGCAGCTGCCGTTCGAGTTCCAGCACACGCGCTTATACATGGCGTTCCGTGAACTCAAGGGCAATCTGATCCCCTGCCTGATCGAAGCCAACGGCCTGGATCTCTCCATCGCCACTCTTCTGGCGATTGTGGAAAAGGTGGCGGAAGTCTCTAACATCCGACTGACAAGCAAACTCTATGCTTCTTTGGACAGACAGAGGCCGGATGAGGCGTATTTTTGGTGTCTTGTCATGCTGTCTCTCGACTTTGGGCGGCAGCTGTGCAAGACCACTTCGTCGTGGTACTCGCGCAAAGCGTATGAGCGATCGCGAGGAGAGACCTTCATCGGATTGTTCCGAAAGCTCCTGACCCGGGCTGTCCCTGGCTCCGACGTCACAGAGAAGGGCCCAGCGGAAGACAACGTCCTCGCTACCGGGGCCTCGCAACCCGCGAACAAGTTCCAGCGAATTTTTAGCAAGAGTGCCGGCGGGAAGAAGCAGGCCAAGCCACCAAAGGACGCGCCCAGCCAGCCAGCATCCAACGCCAAGGTCGTCAACCTCGTCCGCGGCGATACCTACGAAATCTCGCAGCGCTTCTGGGATTTGCCGAAGCTCGTCTCGCAGCCCATCAAAGTCGGGGTTACCATTTATTTCCTTGTCGACATCATGGGCTGGCCATCGACCCTCGGCTTCGGACTCATGGCCCTCGTCCTGACGGTCAACTCTTTGCTTGTTCGCGAGCTTGTCAAGATGGAGCGTCAGAGGACCGCCCATTCCGACAAGCGCGCACAGGCAGTCGCCCACTTTGTCGAGGCCAGCCGCCCGCTCAAGCTCAATGGTTGGACCGCCTCGTGGAGCGATAGAATCTTCCGGTTCCGTCTTCGCGAGATGCTCAAGCGGCTGCAGATGGCACGCGTCACGGCTCTCATCTCGACAATCAACGTTGCTGGCGGCACGTCGTATCCCCTGGCGAGTATTTGTCTCTATACGGTGGTCCTTCGGCAGAGCCTCCCGAACGGTGTCATCTGGCCGGCACTGCAACTATTCAGCCAACTCGAGAGCAGCGTCAAGGAGGCGTTTGATCTTATTGCTGCCTACTGGAAGGCAATCATCCCCGTCGAGCGTGTCAACAAGTATCTGGACGAGCCCGACCGTGACGACACCGGCATGAAATCCTCATTTACGATGGATATCAAGTTTCAGGACGCATCCTTTTCGTGGCCCTCGACGCAGCACACCGTACTGCATAAATTGAACCTGAGGTTCTCCGAAGGCTTGACCATCATTCGGGGCAAGGTCGGCTCTGGCAAGTCCAGTTTGCTACTAGCCACACTGAATGAGATGGAACTGCACGAAGGTGACATGCTGCGCCCGGACGAACCCATAGGGTACGCCCAGCAGCTGCCCTGGCTGCAGAACAAGACGATCCGCGAAAACATCCTGTTCCATCAGAAGTTCGACCCCGTGCGATATCGACAGGTTATCAACGCATGCGCACTGGCTCCCGACCTGCAGGTGTTTACCGACGGCGACCAGACGAAACTCGAGGAGGGCGGCGTGGGGCTTTCCGGCGGCCAAAAGGCTCGCGTTGCCCTTGCGCGGGCAGTGTACAGCCCGAGTCGCATTCTTCTTCTCGATGATCCCCTGGCGCCGCTTGACCACGATACCGCTAGCAACATCGTCCGACGCTTTCTCCAAGGGCCGCTTGCCGAGGGGCGCATCATCGTCATGGTTACTCATCGGGACGATTTGGTCCTTCGCATCGCCGACAAGGTCATAGATATGGACGACGGCCGCGCAAAGGTGTTGTCGAACGAAGAAATCAGGCTGGAGCTCGAGCATCCGATCCACACCCCAGACAGTCATAGCGCGCACGAGGATTCCGAGCATGAGCATGACGAAGCTGACGACGCAGTGTCGGGTCTGAAAGACGCGCCGGAGGAGCCCGCAGAGACGGGAAGCGTGCCCCTTTCCGTATACCTCGGCTATATGAAAGCCGGCGGATGGAATATGTGGGTGCTGCTGGCAGTCTTCTACGGCCTGTCTCGCACTTCCGACATTGGGCGCGCCCGTCTGCTCGAAGCCTGGGGCAACGCGACGGCGTCCCAGGCAGCAGGCTCGCTCGAAGGGCCCTGGGGCCTGCCCAACCCAGCGATCCGTCCAGACATCTGGATCTACATCCTTGCCGGCTTGTCCGCCGCGCAGACTACCACGTACGCCGTGGCCCAGCTGCTGCTCGCAAAGATCAGCATCGATGCGGCGCAAAACCTGTTTAGGGTTGCCATTGAGAGAATCAGCAAGGCCACATTCCGGTACCATGACGTGACGCCGACGGGCCAGCTCAAGAATCGCCTGATTGCGGACATGGGAATGGTAGACGGTGGGATCCTCGCGCCGCTGGAGGCGTTCGTGTTCAACCTGATTGCTCTTGTGCTCAGCATGATCGCCATCATGTTGCAGCAGCCGATCTTGCTCGCTATCCTCGCCGCTGTGGCTATCCTGTTCGTCTACTTTTTCCGGTACTACGTGCCCGTGTCGCGCTGCCTGCGGCGCATGGAGATGCGCTACCTGACGCCCATCATCGCCAACATCGGCGTCATGCAGGACGGGCTCGTCACCATCCGCGCTCTCAGGGCGGAGGAGCACTTTCAGGACCGCCACTTGGACGCCGTGGACGATTTCCAGACGCAGGATCACTTCTTCTGGAGCATGGCGTTTTGGCTCGACTTCCGCCTCAGCATGTCGTCGGCGTCCACGCGGGCCGTGCTCGTCGCCTTCATGGTGTGGCGCGGCACGCCGGCGAGCGCTGTTGGTTTCGTCCTGACGCAGTCCTCCATTGCCATGGCAGCGGTGCAGCAGCTCTGCGAGAAGTTCGCGCAGCTTCAGCTCGACGCGGTCTCGCTCGAGCGCGTCAATATGCTCAACAGGATCCCCGAGGAGCCAAGCGGCGACGACACCCCGCCGGACGACTGGCCGCGCCCCTGCGATGCCGTGAGATTCGAGGACGTGTCGTTTAGATATGCCGACGGGCTGCCAGACGTGCTATACAAGGTCGCGTTTGAGATTCCCGGTGGATCAACATGCGCCGTCCTGGGCCGGACGGGGTCAGGCAAGTCGACAATCGCAAACGCGCTGCTCGCCACCGAGACGGCCAGCAACGGCGCGATAAAAATTGGCAGCATCGACCTCGCCAAGGTGAACCGCACCGAGCTGCGCAAGCGCGTCACCTTTGTGCAGCAGGACCCGACGCTCTTCCCCGGCACGCTGCACGACAACCTCGACCCTGAAGGCAAGTTCAGCGACGAGGCGTGCCTGAACGCCATCCACCGCGTGCTAGGTCCGGATTGGGGCCTCGATTCGACCATAGATGCAGGTGGCAAGAACCTGAGTCAAGGCCAGCGGCAGCTCGTCAGCATTGGGCGCGCGGTGCTGCGGCGCAGCGGGCTCGTCATCTTGGACGAGGCAACGGCGTCGATCGACAGGGCCACTGCTGCGCTGGTGCAGAGGATATTGAGGGATGAGCTGGCGGATAGCACGGTTATAACGATTGCACACCGATTAGAAGCAGTCGAGGACGCGGACTGGTGTCTCCGGCTAGACAAGGGGCAGGTTGTAGAATGTGGGCCAGCTAAAGGTTTGAGAGGGAGCGACGATGAGGATGAGCAATGACGTGATGCTTATGAGATTGGATAGACAAGACATCAGTATTATATGTGTCAATCAAATTGGATAGAAAATGGCACAGCAAGGAGCAATATGTCATCAAGGTCATGTGTCCAGGTGACCATCGTATTTATGTTCTAGCGTCAACGGCGGAGGAGTTGGGATATTCTCATCAGCGACAACGACGGTCCTTTTTCGCGATGCGCGTGCCCAGCCTATGCCGAAGCCGCAGGCCACACGCTGTGCCACTTGCAGAACACGTTCTCCGGGTCATACTTTTTCTTCAGCTCCTGCAGCCTCGACAAGTTGTGGCCAAATGCTCGCTCCGGTCCCAGGAATTCGCCTGGAAAAATGTCTGTCAGCAAGGAGACACGAGTAATGCAAGAAGACGAGCCATACCATCGTAGTTGTTGTACTGGCCACCCATACCCTGGAATCCCTTCTCGCGGAACAGCCCGATGATCTTGCGGTTGTGATCTCGCACCTCCTTGTCCATGGCCGCCTCGTCCCACGAAAACATGCTCGCCGCGTGGTAAAAGTTGCCTCTTGAGGGGAACGCCGTCGCGTTGCCTTCAACCTCGCGGATCTTCTCGTGGGGGAACACCTCGAAGATGATGCCGGAACCTTCGCCAATGTTGCGCTCTTGCACAAAGGGCACGAACTCGCTGACTATCCTGTTTACAAACTCCTCCTGCAGCGGCATCACAAAATTGGCGCCGCCCTGCAGACGCCGCTTCTCCTCGTCGCGGTTGGGGATTTGGTTGTTGGCCTCCGAGTAGGGCATCACGCGGGCCATGTTGGCGACAGGGCCGATGTCGAGCAGGTCCTTGAAGAAGGCTTCCGCTTCGGCCTGCGAGGCTGTGTTCTTGAACGCCATGCAGAAAAGCACCGGGGCGGGGACGCCGGGAGCCGCGCCCAGCACGCCAAACCAAAAGGACTCGTCGCCCGTATTGTTCTCATGGAACCAGTTGGCGAAGGCGACGACCTGCGGAATCTTGTCGAGCGTGTAGACGATGGGTCCCATCCACACGTCGCCTTGCGGGTAGACCTTGCTCGTGAAGCTGGTGACGGCCTGGGGCGAGATGTTAGTCTGTGTTCACTTACACGGGGGGCGCAGTTGGGAATGGGAACTTGCGCCAAAGTTTTGGCCGGCTCCGCGCACAGCCCAGAAGAGGTCTGCGTTCTCCTTCTCCGACGCCGTGACAATCTTTCCATCAGCAAGAACGATTTCTACGCTCAAGAGGTTGTCGATGGTCAGCCCATACCGGCTGGACAGCCACCCGTAACCGCCGCCCAATGTCAGCCCGCCAACGCCGGTGTGATTGACGGTGCCGCCGACCGTCGCGAGACCCTGCGCGCCGCACGTCTCATCCACCTCCTTCCACTTGCACCCGCCGCCAAAGGTGACTGTCTGGGCGGCTGCATCAACGCGCACCGAGTTAAGGCGCCGCAGGTCTACGACCATGCCGCCGTCGGACGAGGACGCGCCGCTGGTGGAGTGTCCGCCGCCCATGACGACGAGGGGTATCTTGTTGGCGGTCGCGTAGCGCACGGCGATGGATACCTCTTGCGGGGATGCCGGCTGGACGACCAGGGATGCGGGCTTGATGGCGGCGTAGCTCCAGCGGATGAGCGCCTGCTGGAAGCCATCGTCTCCCGGGGTGAGCACCGCGCCGGCGGTGATTTGCTGACGGAGAGCGTCGTGACGGTCTGCCATGGTGGGTGAGTGTTGCTGTAACCTGTTGTTCGACGCTCGAAAGGACGGTCCGTCAAACGGCGTGCGGAGAGCCGTGGTCTTATACCCACCGCACGCACGGGGTTTGCGTGGTCAAGGGGGCCGCCGTCAGCGCTGATCGCATGGTGATGCCCCATCGAGCCTGGTGTAGCTGACGCTGCGGGGACCTCGGGACGTTTCAGTCTTACAGACGGAGTCTCGTCCACAGCCACGTTTGCTGTGTCGCGTGGGAGCGTCCAATCGTCAGCTTACGCGCACTGCTGAAGCCACGAGCTGAGCGATTGGGAGTCGTGGCCAAGCCATGGCCAAGCGAAGCTGCATGCGCAATGAGCCATTGGCACACATGTTTGCGCATCGCAGTGTGACTGCGCGCAGTGCAGCTGTGTGCGATGAAGATCTCGGATCGGACCGGCTGCATGTCGCACAGCAACTGCCGCATAACCAGGATCCTACTATTTGACTCATCAGAAGCGCAGTCTCGTGACGGGATTGTCGGACGAACCCGATTTACGAGAAGTCACGTTGGGCGATTGCGGGTTCTTGGATCTTTCCGCGACTCCGGCACGTTAGGCCAGGTACGCCTGCACGCGTGCCACAGGCGCGATGCATCGCGTTCCCGGGGAAGAGCTGTCTGGACATCGGCCATTCGTTTCTGGCCAACACGGGAAAGGGCATCTTCAAGCGACAGCGGCAGGAACGAGAGCAACGAGAGCAACGAGAGGAGCAACGAGAGCAACGAGAGGAACGGCAGCAAGGATAGAAACGGCAGGAACGGGAGCAACGAAAGCAACAATGGCAACGATGGCAACGGGGCAAGTGCATCCAACTTGCAACCGTCACCGTTCGGTGCCACTGCGGTCTAAGCAGAGAGCAGCTTCCCCCGTAGCCTACCAGCGAGGGGTACGACCATTCCATTTTGCATCTCAACTGGGCAGACATTATCCGCATTCACCAAAGGACTCCATCCATGGATATCGACGAATACATATTGCCAGGCCCCCGGGGGGCCCTCGATAACCACATCTTCGATGCCGGTGCACCTGGCAGCTTGGCGGCGCTGCAGCAGGCCAGGGACAAATGCAGGCATCGGCGTGCACGACCAAGCCCCCCTTTAAAGCCCTTGAATTCCATTCTCAAACGCCCAAGACCGTGGACATTCTCTTCAGACGACCCCCGAGCCTGGGTAGGGCGTGCCACGCCCCTCGAACCCTCTACCCTCAAGGAGGAATTTCACTACTTCGTACTTGACACAGTCAACGGTCAAAACCCCTTGCGCTGGCCAATTCAGCGATGCCCAGCTTCACAGCCCCTGGCTTTCAAGTGAAACAGTGGAAAAGGACCCAACGAACTGTGCCTTGTTCGAGTCGTACCTCGTCAAGGTGGATATTGGAGCAAACGTAAACGACTTCATTATTTTCCAGGTCAGTCAAACATTTCACAGCACAGTAATATTTCTGACAATATTTCTTTGTCAGATCATCCGCGTCAGGGCGGGTATCGGGTACGCGAGCGTTATGCGGCGCGGTCGTGTAAGAGGAATATATGGCTTTAGGACAGTGACCTATTCCTCCGAGGCACTGAGCGACGTGGGGACCTATTGCAAGAACAAGTTTTGCGAGCTCACTGGAATGAAATGGGACGATTGGAGATGGTCTATTTCGACCGGAACGTACAACTACGTCGATCTCGACTATTACCGTCCCAACATGAAGGCTTTGCCAGAACTCTCGAGCCTACCCGACCATACCAAAGTGGAACAGGGCTGTGATGGAAATGCCCGCGAGGTCATAGAACTTGCCCTCTATGGAGGGCCAGTTTCCAAGTCCTCACCTACGAACAATGGGACGGCTATACCTTATAGCCATATGAGTTCGTGGAGCATCTTTCTGGCGTACAACTCTCTTCTCCATATCGCCGACGCCCTCAAAGATGGCGATGGCGGAATTAAAGGGCCATCGATTTTGGATGCCTCGAATCTGTACCGGCGCCAGATTCCTCTTGCGGTAGGCGACGAGCGTCCACCTGCGCTGACGACTATGGGGGCTGTTCGCCTGGAACTTGAGTTCCTATATAGCCTTTTCCAGTCCCCAATACTACGAACAGCGCCATGGTCCCTCCTTAGCCTGAGAATCATGGACAGCATGGAACACCTACCACTATACCAAGCATTCCGCAGCATACACTACGACTTTTCTCCCTTATCAGACCCATCGACCGCTGAGTCTCAAGACTTGTACTAGTACTTGAGACAGAGCGCAGCGGTGTTTTCTGGTCTCGATATCGCAATCGAGCGAATTTACGGCGTCATATTGAGACCTTCTGTGGCGAGCAAGTACAATGACTGGATCCTTGGCGCAATTGAAAGTTGAAGACGGGCATCGCATTTCAGCAGAATCGACAGCTTCTGTGGCATGGCGTCACACCCAAGGAGCTTCTGGAGTCCTTAGCACTGCAGACGACAATAATGAACGGGAAGTGGGATGCTTCCAAAGCACTCTATCTTCGCGATGCGGCTGGTGCCGCAGTGTTGAGTACTGCAAGTCGGCCACCTAACGGTCAAAGTTCCGCAAATGGCCAGGACAGAATATTGCTTCTTTACGAGGCCGATGTAGGCAGGGCGAGACCCCATTGCGACACGAGCCTCGAACAGGCGAAAAGGGACTACAAAAATTCCCCCTACACATGCGTGGAGTCAGTAGGCCGCGTCGCGCCGCTGGGCTGGAAGTCAGTCAAGTGGCAAATGGCCGATGTTCCATGCCAGTGCGGGAGCTGGGTAATGATGGTGCCTTGCGCCCCCATATTTTGTAACCGTTCGCGCCGTGGCAGATCCGCGTTGGAACCGCAGTTGCTAACATGAAATGTTGAGTGCACAGCCGGACCCGAATCAACAATACACCTTGGACGAAAACCGGTATGGACTCAGGCCCGTGGATAATTTCACCACGTACATCATGCTTCGCTCGAGTCACTTTACCCTCCGATACGTTTTGCATGTCAAGTGTCGTGGGGTGGTGTCGCCGGCACAGGAGCAGCGACGGCTGACCGCTGGGCGCGGACGGACGCGGGCATGTGCCCTTCTGGTTCAGCCAAGGCCTTGCAGGGTCTAGGTCTAGGGTGACAGGCGAAATGGCGGCTTCTCAGCGGCCATCATGGTACACTCAATGCTAACATGGCAGGACAGTACTTGCAGTCTCTAGGCATGGAAGCCTAGATGGTTGGGGACGAGGATTGCCTCGACTGTCGTTATTCTATGGTCATACGGGTATCTATCATTAAGCGTCGTACGGGCCCTCCCCCCTCGTGATGTAAATCTGGCCCACGAGAACCACGCATCCAACAATCATGGCAATGGTGATGATTGGAAGGTTGACGCGCGCAAAGTCGAGACTGCGCACACGGATGTGCTTGCGAGCGAGGATATCCCGCCAGAGCAAGCCCGCGAGCGAAGCACTGAAGGCGGTGCTGAAAGCACCGTAGTTGACGCCGATGGCCATGCTGTAGACAGTAGCCCAGAAGGTGCGGTCCGATATGGGCTCGCCCGTGGCCTTGTGGATGGCCTGCCAGGATTGAATGACCCGGGACAGCAGGATGGTGGTGCCAATGTTTGTTCCAGCGAACTAGCTCCCGTTAGTGATACGTACAGGACGTAATAAAGTAGACGGCGATGGATAGAATGGTGCCATACATTACACAGGACAACTGAAAGGAAGCCCATTCCGGCGATGCTGCCGACGGTGCCCGTCTTGTTGACCCAGTGGTCCCATCCGTGCGCGAAGACCGGGACCCAGCCCTTGGTGACGAGACCTTGGACGAGGACGAACATGCAAAAGGCAAACGGCACGAGCGCGAAAGGGAGATGGAGAGCGACTGCTGCGGCCGTGGGGAAGGTCTCCTGGGACCAACGCAGGGCGTCTTCGCCCAGAGAGACCAATGTGGTCGGGCCGCGATGCGGAGGCGGCAAGGCGACGTCGGGGATGTGCCGGTCGGGGATCTGGTCGGTCCCATCGCTGGGCGAAGACGGGAGGAATACGCCCTGAGCGACCGGCTTGATATCTTGGCGGTTCTTTTCTTCGAACGAACTCAGGTCGCTGGTCAGGGCGGGGTCTTGCTTGGCCATGTCAGAGGTCGACGTGACTTGTGAGCACGCCAGCGTATCTGTCTGACTGGGCATGAGGTCCTTTTCGTCGCCCGTGCCCTCGGACACAAGAATTGCAGGTGTAGGTGGGTGTGGCAGAACCCCCTCGGGTGCGTCCTGTCCAGACCCTTTGCGGGTTTGGGCATTGCTCGTCCTTGAGGACATCTCGAAAGCCTGTCCGCCAGAGGCTGTGGACATGCGGCGCTCGTGTTGCAGCCGGATCGCGCGCTCTGCTCTCGCGGTCTCGACATCCTGCCTGCCCTTGCGCGCGATCTCACGAGTCTCGGCGCGGTGGTACCATCCGAAGCCCAAGTCCCAGCAGAACATGACGAAGGCTGCCGGAAGCGTGACCCAGAAGACAGGATGCGGACCGTCCTTGGTGCTGGCGGCGTTGAGGGCCAGCACGGTGATGAGCGTCGCGGCCATGATGACGGCGCCAAACGCGGCACCGCCCTTGTCGAGGAAGGGGTTCATGATTTCTTCCAAAGAAAGCAGCTTGCCCTGTTCGTTGTTGGCAAGGTCCGACTCGTCCTCCTCGACGTGGCCGCGCGCATGTGGAATGTTCGGGTTGACGGGTTTCTTGTCCTTGACTTCGTCGGGTAGCTCGTGCATGTTAATGGAGTACGGGATGAGGGATTCGTCGGCGAAGACGATGTACAGCAAGAACGGGAAGAGGATGACGGCCGTTGCCACGACGGGCACGATCATGTTGGCGGTGTAATTGATGAACTTGATGTTGAAGGCACCGGCGAGGACCAGGTTCGTCGGGTTGGAAGACACGAGGATGGCCGAGGCGATGTTCGCAATGGCAAACTGCGTGTGGATCCAGGCGCGCGGATGCACGATATTGCTGGACACGCGCGTCATGTAGGCGAGGAAAGCAGTGCCGGATAGGATGATGGGGTCGTTGCCTATGAAGCTGCCGAGGACGAAGAAGAAGGCGTACAAGCAGAAGAAGAGCCGGTGGCCGACCTTGCCGCCCCACTGAAGGACCTTGAAGGCGAGGTAGCGGATGAGGCCCGAGGCGTCAATGGAGATGGCGATGTAGGCGAGCGTGATGAAGAAGGCCATGATGTCAATAGGTGAGATGTTGTCAGCGCCGATGGTGCCGTCGTGGACCTCTTGACGGCCGATGGCCTGGATGGCGAGCAGGAAGAGGTCGGCGATGAGAGGCGCGGTGACGAAGTTCATGGGGAAGTTGAGCCGCACGTACGGCTTGATCTTACCGTTGTTGTCGTCATCGTCGTCGGTGTCGACAGGGACGTCTGCGCCTTGTGCGACATTGGTGCTGGCGTCGCTCTTGACGCCTGGTGGCCGTGGCGGCGGCGCATTCCGTTGCCGTTTGGGGATGATGCGGATTGCGGCGAGGGCATCGAGAAAGAGGTTGGACAGCTTCCGGGGGACGAATATGGGAATGTGAAACGGAAACAGGACATTGACGTCTGTGGGCGTAATTCATATGAGTACACACGTCTGAAGCACATGTGAGTGGTCTCAGACTCAAGGGCAAAAAACTCACTTGTCAGGACGAACACGACGAGGGTCACAATGGAACGCCACTCCCCGACCCGGCTCGTGTCCTGCGACTCCTCGTACGCCATCTGCGGTGCTTTCCCTGTGTCTGCCGCGCGAGGACTGGGGAAGCCCCTCGTCTCGTCTCACGGCGGCAGAGCGCAAAGGGGGCGGCCCAGAGCTGGGGGTTGGGGGTGAAGTGTGTCGTCAATCGGCAGCGACGGGCTTCTTCTGCCGTTGGCGGAGGGGGGACTTTTTTTTTTCTTCACACAAAGAGCCGCGCAACGGAGGACCGTCCGGGCGGGGTGGGAGTCGGGGGACGGCTCCGGCTCGCTGATGATGAAATGCTGTCTGCCGCCGCCGCCGCCAAGCAGGACAAAGGGGACCCTGTTTTTTTCGTTTCGGCCCAGCGAGCAAGAGTGCGGCCGGGCGGGCGAGCGTGTGCGCTCGTGTGGCGAAACGATTGGAAGCGAGATGCAGGAAAAAGCCACTGCTGCTGGTGCTGCTGCAGAACGTCGGCTTGGCTCTTCAATGGTGCGTGACACGGCGTGCGAATGCTGATCAGTTGATCGCCGATGTTGGCCTGCAGGCGAATCATGAACCTTGCTGGGGAAACGCGCACGGGGGCCAAGGCCTTCAACGATTCAGGGTATCAAGTCTTATGGTGTCAAGTTGGAGGCTCTGCCTCTGCCAAGAGACTCTTTATGGAGGTTATAGAAGGGGGCAGGTTAACTTGCCGGCATCTCATGCCGTCGTTGCGTGCCTCGAGCCTGTCTCAGGAATTCCTGCGAAAGTGAGCCTCAACTCCTCCTGCGCGATTCACTGCCCGCGTCCCCGTTGCGCTAGCTTCAGTCCGTTAGCCGCCATCTCGTGACACTGAATCATACGTACATGCTTTACAGACAGACCACTCGCTCAAAGCCCCAGCGCGGCGCAGGTAATATTTTAGCTCATCCCCGTTGTGTTCCCCCGTCCCTGCAAGCCAGCCGCTGAGACCTCCACTGTGGCCGGGCGTCATCGCGGCCCGCCGCTTTGTTTTATTCTGCTGCCTGGGTCCGTCCTTGCCCCTCCCCCGGAATCCGTCTTCCGGCAGGCACAGGTGAGGCATGGCGTCCCCTCCACGTCGTTCCTCGGGTGGCTGGTGCGCCGCGGTGCCTTCTTCTCTCCTGCCTCTTGAAGATGCCGAATCCACTCTGGAGCGGCCCATCCCCCGCTGCCTGATGTGGCTGCCCCCTTGAGCCGCCGCATGTGCTACCCCCCCAGACGCTGAGCAATAGTGAGATGATGATGCTCCTCGTCAGCCCTGCTCGGAGGGGGCCGGCAGCAGCAAGACGTAACGTGTGTGCAGGCCCATGCCGTGCCGACCGACCGTCTGTCCCCTTTATGTAGCCGAGGGACGCGAGGCGGACGCCTCGACTTGACGTTGACAGGATCAGCAAGCTTGCACGCGACCAAGGTCGAGGAGGCTTCAGCCATGAGAACCTTGGCTCTTTATCAACACGCAATCTGCTTTTAACATGCGCCAATTCGCAGCGCGTGTAGTCCTATCGTTACTGGGAGCTTTTTGAGCGTACATTGCAAAGTACGCGCTGCGCGGATATCGGACGCAAGGGGTCATCATCATCAATGCCGGCGCTGCAGCCGCTTTTGTCACTGATTCAGCGCGGCGTTGACAACACTACGCATGCCAGCAACGCCGCCGGCTCAGGCGACGATGCGTTGCAAGTCATCTGTGCCTGGCCCGTCTCTGGCCAGTACGGACCCGGCTCTAGAATCCTGTGAGTCCACCACTGCACCGGGATGCAACGGTAGTCGATGAGACAATCGAGATGGAGGCTTGGCCAAAACGGCTGTCGCCTCTTGGCTTCAATCCACTCTTTAGCCCTGTTGGCTGGCTGACTGACGGTGACAACGACACCAGATACTACGTCCTTATAGCGGCGTGCGTGCTCGCGCAAAAGTCCGTCTGGATCAGGAATGCGTGCCTTGCCGCTGCTCTCTTGTTGCCGGCCGTGGCGGCGGTGCACGCCATTGTGCTCGCGGCGCTGCACGTCGATGGTAAGTGAGACACTGAATGGGATAAAAACCCCCAAGGCGCGTGGAGGGCGTGCATCACGGGGTCTCGTGGCCAGTGCTCACCGCTCTTATATCATGCAGGCGCCGTCGACATGGACGTCTTTGGGGCCTTTCAACTCTGCTCCATTGGCATCCTCGCCGCGCCGGTAACCGTTAGACTGTCTCGGACGTACTTTAACGATCCAGGCCGCAACACCATCTTCCTCTGGGCTGGGCTCATTCTAGCGGGTACGTACGATGCCTCGCCTGTCCCCCGCTTCCCTTTGATGTCTCATCTGCCCCCGTGCCGCTAACCGTGAGCCCAACACAGGCCTCCTCAGCCTTACCGTCGAGTTCTACCGCATCGGAACGTCCAGCTGCTCGGAGAAGGAGGCGGGCATCCCCATCCCACGGGACACACACCGCTTCCCGTATGGCAACACGACATGCGGGCTCGTATGCTCCGTGACCGAAGGCCCCTTCTCGCCCATGCGTGGCGGGTCGGCTAAGGACATCTATGTGATTCCCGCTCCAGATGGCCTCACTTTTGGGACGGCGACGCTGATCGCGGCGGCGTGCTGCGTCCATGCCATCCTGTGGCTGGCATCCATGATGGACAAGATACTCGAAATTAACTTCAAGTCCGTGTCTCTGCGTTTCATGGAGCGAGAGACCGATGGGCAGTTGAACGACCCCATAGAGGGGACCAACGGGGCTACGATCGGAAGCATGAAGAAAGTAAACCACATGGTACGCATGTTTCTGAGCGTAGTTGCGGTCCCTGTGTTTGGAGGGGCCGGGTTGGCGATTCTCATCATCGGCGAGAGGAACTTTTTCAGTCCTCAGGTAAAATACCAGAATGAGCCGTGGGCAAGCATAGGTATGAGTCTGCCATCCTCTAGTATCATTCGATGAGATGCTGACCGACGAAGGGCAATGGGCACCAATTGTTGGAACTGGGCTGGCCGCGGTGGGCTCCTTATACCTGCTCCTCAAAAGCGACGGCAACAGCACCGTTGAGGGGGTCTGCAAGCACTGCGCCCATCACACAAACCGGTCTCCAAGCAGCCGCGACTCCCGCAGTCTCCGCGACTCGGTCGATGACTCCGACCGCACGCGCTCGCCCCATGTCCCGGTTGCCCATTCTGCAACAATGTCATCGAGCGCCAACGATGGCATGTCGCCCCTGAGGCCGAGCTTCACGACACTCAGTCGGTACCTCACTGGCCACGCGAGCCAAGCCACTACCGTGCGTTCCGACGTCGGCGGGAGGCGCAAAGTCGCCCGGATGTTCCACGCCGTGGGCAAGTCGTTCAACTCGGCGGCGTACGAGATGATGGGCACCTCGGGCTTCGAGCCCACCCGCGCGGGCGACTTCCCTGAGATCCCCGGCGAGGCGAACCGGAATCGCAAGTTGAAGCGCATACGAGAAAGGTATAATCCGCCGCGGGACGCGGATGGCTATGAGACGCCGCTGCCCAGGTCCCGTTCTAGGGCCACGAGCTTTGTGGGGAGCGTGGTGTCGGCACGCGATGATGAGAGTCCTAGGCGTGCATCGCCACAGCCGGCTGGTGGGACTCCGGCTCGCAGTGTGTCCAGGCCAAGGGCAATCACATTGCCAACAGGGGGGAGTACAGTTGGCCTCGACTCTGGCGATTCGGCATCGTCTGCAGGTGGCCCCAGCCGCGGGAGGCAGCGCATGAGAAGGGAGACGCTACAGGTTCCCGTTCAAGTGCACCATCCAACGAGGGCACACCAGCTACGACGAAGCTTTTCACCACAGCCTTGATGTATATAATTGTGCCTTCTTTCATTGTCGCTGGAGCGTGACAGAGTCTTCGCATAGATACCCTTTGTTACAGAGCAAAAGTAGGCGCCGTCCCTGAACGTTTGAGCGGCAGACAGTTTTATGATCTTTCCTTGTTGATGTGTAGATGAATGTCAAAGTCGTTGGCATAGTTACGCTCGGCAGGAGCCTGGGATTTCGCTATAGGGATCTCGCTTACACTCAGCGACCCAAACCGATTATTTCGACTTTTCGAGATTGCCCTCGGGCCTTCAATGTGCGCACACATATGACGAGCATTTCGTACGAGCGTTCGCTCCGCGCCACGGCTTGAAAGAAAGGACCTGCGAGCACGGAACGATTACAGCAGCTTGCCCGGAAGTTGAGCGAATGCGCAGCGGCTCCGCGCGGTGTTCCATTGCTTGTCGTATCGTAAGTCTCTCGGGCTGTCGGGCGCCGCGGCCGATGATCGTCCCGTCTTGGCAAGCTCGGTTCCTGTCGCCGTTTCGTTTTGAATCTCCACCTGGTGGGGACACTGGGGAGTGTCTCGTCTGTCAAAACTTCTCTAGCGTGGCCGAACGACTCACACGCCGGCGACGTAGCCATTCCACAGCGAAACTCTGTCGCGACTCGCGACTCGCAACCGCCATATCGGAGTTGAACGGCTCTGAGTGAGAAAAGCCATGTGTAGCGCGCAGACCAGAATGGACATTGGCATACGAATACATATATCCTCTCTTTCTGAGTAATCGTCGTTCCTGATGGCTTCTACGACCAGCCTTATCTTAATTGCAGCTCAATGTCTGGAGTAACGAGAACGCGATGTCATCAGTCTCGCCGGATGATGTCCCCATCATTCGACAATCTCCGCTATCACGCTTCCGCTCATCGACGCTTCTCATCCTAATCGTCGTCTGCTCTGCCGTCTTCACAGACATCTTCCTCTACGGGCTCCTCGTCCCCGTCCTACCTTTCGCACTCACCTCCCGCGCCGGCGTCCCTGTCTCCGAAATCCCTCGCTGGAATGGCATCCTTTTGGCGCTCTACAACCTCGGTCTCTGCATCGGCAGTCCTGCGTTCGGCTTCCTTGCCGATCGCATGTCCAGCCGCCGCCTACCGTTCCTCGCAGGCTTGGTAGCGCTGGCGGCTTCCACGCTGCTGCTATGCCTCGGCCGTAATGTCGCTGTCATCGCAGTCGGGCGAGTGCTGCAGGGGCTCAGCGCGGCGATTTGCTGGGCGGTCGGTCTGGCTCTCCTGGCGGACAGCCTCACGGAGAGGGTCGGCTGGGCGCTGGGCTGGGTGAATTGGGCGATGACGGCGGGATTCCTCTTGTCGCCGATTCTGGGAGGCCTTGCCTATGAAAAAGCGGGCTACTATGCTGTTTACTACATGGCATTTGGGCTCATCGCATGCGACATCGTTCTGCGGTTGTTCATGAAGGAGGGGAAGGCCGCTCGCACGCAAAACGCCAACGTGACGGACGAAGGTGCTCCCAGCAGGGAAACTCGGCCAGTTGAGGCGGATCTGGTTGAACCGACTCATGAAAGACCTGGAGGTCGATCTCTCCAGGCTGGCGCAGGGGTTGCCAACTATTGGGCATTGATTAAATCCCGACGATTGCTCGCGTCCCTCATCGGTTGCATTATGCAATCAGCCTCCAAGTCAGTGACGACGACTCTCGCTCAAGTCCTACTCTCAGCTAACGCCCAACAGATTCGCATTCTTCGCTGTCATCCCCCCTTTCGTCGACAAGACATTTCACTGGGATGCCCTCGCCGCCGGCCTCATCTTTCTGTGCGTTCTTCTACCGGGATTCCTGTCTCCCCTGGTGGGCAGTGTCGCGGATCGTTACGGCACAAAATGGCTATCCTTTGCGGGTTTCGCCCTCTCAGTCCCACTGTTCGTGTGTTTGCGCTTCGTTGCCGAAAACACCCTGTCGCAAAAGGTACTCTTGGGTGCGCTGCTTACACTGATGGGCATCGCCCTCACGCTCTCCAGCACGCCTCTCATGGCGGAGATAACGTACGTCATTGAAGACAAAGATAAAGAAAAGCCTGGAATATGGGGCACGAAAGGTGTATACGGTGTAGGCTTTGGTCTTTTCACGACATCGTTTGCGCTGGGCGGCGTGATTGGGAGCTTCATGGCTGGGTACCTGTACGATGGGCCCGGATGGGAGACATTTGGCTGGGCCTTTGGGATCTGGTGTGCAGGAGGAGCGGTGATATGCGCTTTCTTCGTCGGCAAACCGGCGACTTGATGCATATCGACCGCATGGGCTCTACGTACCAGCGGATACAGAGGATCAAGCAACTTGTGTTGTATATAACAATGCGTACATAGTTGAATAGACACGGATGACCCAGCAGCGCGGGACATCGTTTCTCGAGCAACGCGTCAGACTGGATCCTCCGGTATGCTCACTTATTCGGTACAGCTGCGACTCCTGGTGCATTCTAGGCAGCTACATATAGATCTCAGCTAGGAACAGCACGAAACGAAACGTACCCCGCCCTGTGCCTAGTCTAATTTTCGGAACCGGACGGCCATGATGGGAGGTATCTGCGTATAGTTGCGCGACGACTCTGGCCGTCCCTGCTGTTTCACCTCAGGGTGTTCCTCCGTGAAGGTCGGCTCCTCCAGGCCGTCCATGACCAGGCCTCGCTTAAAGAACGTCGCGAAAAGTTCGTGGAGAGGGCGATGAAAGTACATCTGCAGGCATTAGCTGGACATCTTGTCTCCACGCGGAATGGGAGCTACGACATGATTACCTGATGCGCGGGTTGGCCGTTGACGGCGACGCCACGCCAGGGTGCAACCTTCATGTATTCGCGTATGACCCTACCGCGAACATTGTAGTACTCGCCAGTCGTGGGGTCGGTCAAGACCTCGACGATGCGGTTTGCATGGGATGTAAAGAAAACGGGATGCAGCATCGTCGCGACGAAGCTATTCTCGTGTTAGTCTCACAACAGCAGGGCAGGATGCTCGTGTCAGGGTCATCGACGCACATGCCGTTCTTCTTCAAGAGTCTCGGCAGCGCATCGGCGAGTGGTTCGAGCGTCTCAATGTCCATGATGGCCATGTTGATGAGGACAACGTCGAAACCGCCGTCCTTGCTCCTGTCAGTTGACATTCACCGACGCATGCGATTGTCATCTCAAGAAAGCCCCCGTGAAACTACTACGTCGACGGGCTTACCGCGAGCGGGGACCCGAGCAAGCTCTCAAAATCTTCCGTCTTTGTCACGTCGAGCTCCTGGAACTGCATTCGCGTGGCTCCCTCATCCGCTGATCGCTGACGGCAATACTTGAGCATCTCTTTCGAGCCATCTGTGGCGACCACGCTGGCACCACGGCGCGCCAGGAATCGCGACGCCATTCCGTTACCAGTGGCGAGATCCAGCACGCGCGTGACACCGGGATTCTCCTCGTCAATGGGGATGAGCTTCTGCAGGTATGGCTTCTGCAGCAGGTTCCAGTACTCGTTCCCGTTGGCGCCCATGCCCGCGTCCCAGAAGGCAGCGTTGGCCTCCCACGAATCCAGGGTGCCGACGATGTTACTGTTTGCCATGGTGACCTAGGTAGCAGGGCAGATCACGGGCGGATGTGAGAGCAAGAGAAAGCAAAACAAGAAACAACAGACAAAAGGGATGCAAAAAAGCGGTTCACAATAGTTTACGGCCGGCTTAAATGAGAGAGCACTTTGTTACGATCATGCACCATAACTGCCAGGAACAAGCGCGCCACTGAATACCCTTGATTCGTGGCTGTGCCGTTGAAAGAGCATGCCCGGTGACTCACCCGGGGATGCAATTGAGGGTGCTCTTTGCCTGATTGGGTTGCGCAAGTGCATGTCTGACGACAAAAGGCTCAGAATCAACAACACGCTACCCTGAACCCAAACATCATAATCGCAACAGACGAGACCATTTTCATCAGAGAGTAATATGACGCAATCAACGGACGAAGGTGTATGCACGTAATCGGACTCAATTGAGTAGATATCTAGTCTTACGTGCAGTTTGCGGTCGCGCGCCCCCAAGGTTGATGTATCAAGGGCAACACCTTCGGCGCATCATCGACCGCGTTTAGAATTTTGTCCACGGCTGCCAACCCACCGACAAGACCCGGGCAGAAGTGTAGCAGATCACAGCTACGACATAAGACAAGCCCGCGAACAGCATCAGCGCCACCCAACCCTCGCGGCCTCCCAGACCTAGCAGCGCACCACCAATGGGCACGCTGCTCAACGTGCCGAAGCTCGCCACCATCTGCGCCGTCGAGTAATATCGTGCGTAATCCTTGGACGAGCAAAATTGGCCCAGACAGACTGGAATGAGGCCGAGGTTGCTGCCGCTCGCGAATCCAAAGGTGACACAGAACCCGATGATGGCAGCGCGCGACGACTCCGAGGGGAGCCAGATGCCCAAGACGGTGATGGCGCATAAACCGATTGTCATGATGATGACGTTGAAGCGCCCGAGCTTGTCGGCGAGGATGCCAGGTAGGAAGCGTCCCAGAACAGAGCCTGCATTGAGGTAGGCGAGTAGAATCATGCCATCGGAGACCTCAAAGCCGTGCGACGTTGCGTATGAGACAATGTACGTGAGAGGCACAAAGAGCCCGTACTCCATAAAGAAGATGCCCACCGCCGACAGCGCGAAGCGCTTGTCCTTGAATATGGTGAAATCTGGCCAGACAGAGCTCTTCCTTGCGCTGCCGTCGTCCGCTGTTTGGCGCCCGGGGGTCAAGCGAGTCTTGATGAAGACATTCGCCAGAGCACAGAGCGCGAGGAGAATAAATCCGAGGATGCGGCAGCTCCAGCCGAAGCCGACTCCATTCTCTCCCAAGAGGAATTGCAGAAGCAGCGGAAATGCGATGCCGCCAATACCGCCGGCCGTGGTTGCGATACCCGTTGCCAGGCCGCGGCGTTCCTTGAAGAAGTGGGCGATTGAACCGTACGCCGGAGCGTTGAGCATGGCGCCGCCCAGGCCACCAAGCACCGAGTATGTCAAGATGATTTGATAGTACTCTATAACAGGGTTAGGTCTTCCATCCAATCCATACCTCGTTAAACATTAGTGACGCGGGAAACTTACCGGTGGAGATGCTGAGAAGCATGAGACTTGCGACGATACAGATGCTGCCAGCCGCGACCAGCAGCCTTGGGCCATGGCGGTCAAACACAGGCCCTACCTGCAGACCGACAAAGAAGACCAGAAACAAGTAAAGGCTGAAAATCCAGCCGATCTGCGAGTGACTGTACTTGCGCAGCTGGTGCGTCTTAAAGTACGATTCGAAGACGGCGCTCGAGTTGATGAGGCCGAAGATGGCTCCCATGGCGCAGAACGAGCCAAAGACAACGAGCCATGCTTCGCGACCTCCCTCGGGGAACGACCCGTGAGACTCGGCCTGCGTCAGAGCGGCACCAACGGCGTCCTTAACACCGGGCACGTCATCTCCGCGCAGGTCGTTGCTCGTGCGGTAGTCGCTGTCATTGTTGGGTGCGAAGGTAGTGAGCAGAATCCCACCACCTGGCTGTTCGGCGCTCACTCGCCCCCCGCGGCTGCGCTGCGAGGTTGGGCGGCTCGTTGGTGGAGGGTCATCATCGTTGCTAGTGACATTATCGTTGTCTCGCGGGGGCATGTGGCGGTGGTGGTTTTTGTTGCAGGTGTCCTCTGCCTCGCCCGGCTTCGCAAACATAGAAAGGCCCCACCAGGCTGACGGAGGTGTAACCAAAATAAGAATCCCTTAAAGAGGAAAGAGCCCAGAAGTGCCGTGCTTGTGTGTGGATGCGGGTGGTGATCCGGGTTGAGTTGCTAGTTGTCAGTGGAATGCCGAAAGCGACAGTGAAAGATTACAATTAGTTAGTTTAGCAAATCGACTCTCCAGGGGGTGTGGCAAGACTACGAGAATTTCGCTCCCCTTTTATTTACGTAAAATGATCGTATGTTCGAAATGAAAGTTGGGCTACCCTGACGAACCACACGCGAATGTGAATGGGACGCAGTAGCGTTCAAGTGGAGATTTGTCGGGCTTGACCGCGCTTCGGCCCATTCCGAGCTTGTTCTTTCTTTTGATGCAATTGCACGTCACTAATGAGCTTGCTAAAAAACGACCGCTAACAATTTCCATCCAGGGCACCAAGTGGCCTTTGATCGATTCCCAATGTTCGATACGCGGGTACGGGTACAGTTCATGAATGTATGACACCGCTGAGCGCCATTTCGACGTCGCGCCGGCGAAAGCCGGCTGAACGGCCCAGGCATGTCGCCCGGTGCAGCAGAGCTATGAGAAGTCAGCAATGTTTGGTCATATGGGGTTTTGCACCGACGTAGGATCAATGGCAGCACACTTACTTCGCAGAAGCCATTCGGCGTTGATGAACCCCTTCGATCGTGGTGCTGGCTTCGGGGTAGAACCGGTCGGCGCACCAGCGGCATCGACACGGAACAGCTTGGTGTTGCGCTCACGTAGGAACAGTTCCAGGTCCTGCATGTCGAACCACTCGCCTTCAAGCTCGTCCTGAACGTCTGACGGGAGGGTGTCCGGCGATACGGCGATCCTTGGCCAGCCCCTCGACCGACGCGAGTATAGCGCCAACGCCGCCGAGGCGGCATCGGCCTCTTCTTGCTTGCTGCTGCCATTCGCAATTTGGTTCTGCATCAGCTTGTCTCTCTCCGTGAGCCACGAATAGTGTGAGCCCGCGCCGCCCAACTGGAAGAACGGCATGTCGCCCCAGTCCCCTGTGATCCTGCCCCTGCTCAGCTTGGCCTGAAGAGCTGCCGCAAAGTACGCCAGTACGCGTGTCCGGTCCATGACGGCGAGGGTCAGTCGGAAGTGCCGGCTGAGAAGCTCCAACGGCGTCGACGGGTCCGCCAGTAACGAATACCCATAGTAGACGATGGATGTGTGCAACTTCTCCATGAATTCGGCGTGTTTCAGGTGCAGCACTCCTCCGCTGCCTGCCGGACTGCCATTGCCAGGGCCTAGGAGCGACAGGTCGACTGGCGGTAGGGGCGCAGTATATAGTTCCAAGGGCATACTCGGCGTGGTGGTGGCAGCCTGTGTCTGCAAAGACAATTGCTGCATGTCCTGCTCGTCCTCTCCCCGGCTGCTAGATTCGCGCACCGATTCGAGGCAAGTCTGGACCGTCTCGCTCAAGCTTTCCCTCAGCTCGGCATGCGGAATGAGGACCTTGGACTCCACCAGCTTGCTGCCGAATGAGACGACAGCCGCGCTCATCTTATCCACGGAGGTCTCGAGCTGTGATACGCGCGCCTCGAGGAACGAGATGCGCGACTCCTTGCGCAACCGGTAGGCCCGCTGGGCGAGACGAATTTGTCGTCGTCGTCTCTGCGATCGCGTCACACGCTTGGGTCAGTTCCAGTCCCATGACGTAGTCGCAACAGCAAGGGGGAAAGGGGGTTCGCGTGGCGATACTCACCTCTTCGGGGTCATCACAATCAGATGTGTCCACGGCCTTTCTCGGCCGGCCAACCTTCTTCTCCGATGTGCTGCTCTTGTCCATGACCTCTGCGCTGCCCTGCGCGCGGCTCTTGCGTCTCCGCTTTGCCTTGGGGGCTTCCACCACAGCATCCGGGGTGCTACGCTCCGCCGAGTCGGACTCGCTGGTCGCGGCGTCGTAGCCCGCTGCCGCCGCCGCCGGCTCCTCCCAGGGGACCGCGGCCTCCATATGCAGCCCGCCGTACAGGGCTGCACGGGAACCCGGCATGGACGCGTTCGGGCGTTGCCGGCGGCCCGGGGTGGGGAAGGGGTAGCTGGAGGCGGAGAGGATGGCGGAGAGATTCGGGTCGGCGGCGACGGAGGGACGCCAGGCACCGGGGATGGGCCGGGAGGTGAGGATGCAGTCTGGCCAGCCGTCGTCCTGGCCAGCCTGCCCGTCCACGGGATGCAGAGGCATGGCAAGATCCATGACCCGGAAGCTGCTCTTGATGATCTGCTCGAATGTTTTGATGATACGACCAGAGTCTTGATGATGTTGACAAGTCCGGCGCTCGTCCTTGCCTCGTCCCGCGGGGGCCGGTTCGTCGTCAGTCAGCCAGGTGGACTTATGGAGGCTCCGGGTCGCAGCCCCCGTGGAGGCCGGGTGGGCCACCGTCAGCACATCCTCGGCACGGAATGATCGCCTCATCAACTTGTTAGCCCGTCAGCTGCGGGGCCGACCTGGGCTCGGGTTGCCCCGAGCTGGGCCATCCAATCAGTAGACGGCGAGCCCGCCATCAACCAAGAAGGCGTCGTGACAGTTGAACTTTAAAGCACCGCGATTTCTAATAAGGTGAGGGACCCTGCCAGAGTGGCATGTGTTCGTGTCTGGTCCCTGGCGCTTTTCAGATGCCCAGGCCCAAGCCATCATCGGATCGTCAAGTCTCGCCATGCCGACTCGGCTCCAACAAACTCCCCATACATGACCCCGTGCACGTACGTGGGACCGACCAAGCTCCAGCATGACGACGATGGCTCTCCACCTGCCGTCACGGGTCTGAGCACGACTGGGCAGGGGCATCCGTCCAGCACGGCTATCGTGTCGCCGATTTCCGTCCACATGGGCGCGTTGGCAATGTGCCCTTCGCTTGACATGACGATCCGCCGGTTCACCATGCTGCCATCCATCCCGATCAGGAACCCCGACGCCTTGTCAACGCATGCGCTCAGCGCCTCCAGTACCGCCGAGTCCGGTAGCTCCATCAGATCCTCCTCGCTCACGCCTGCAATCTGCGCCGTTAGGCCTCCAAGCCCGTTAAACGACGGCATCTGCCCCGAACAGTCCGCCGCCGCCAACTCGTTCACGTCGCGGAGCTCGCACAAGTATTTTTCGCGCGTCGCACTGTCGGCTCCGGCGCCGGGGTAGTACCTCGTCATGCATTGCAGAATGTACGCGCGGAACATGTCGCCCGCCGAGCTGATGCCGGGCCACTGCGCGGGAAGTCTGCGGCCGACGGAATTCATCAGAGCCGTCCGCCAGAACGCCTCAACGCGTGATTCGCCTGTGTAGCGGTACACAGGGTCGAGGCCAAGAAGCTGGCCGGCCCAGTTATGCCAGGCGGGACCAAGGAAGTCGGGCAGTGATGCGCTCAACGTCGCCACTGACCCGATGACAACCGCATTGACATGCAGGGTGTCTCCGTTGATGAGAATCCTAGACCCGTGTCTAGATCTCTGTGCATTCGCCCGGCAAGCATCGAATTGCGGTCGGATGGACCACATCAGGTCAAGCCCGTGTCGCCTTGACAGGTCTGGCACCCAAGACGGCAACCCAGCCAGCCGCGCCGAAGGAGGGTCGCTGATGGCCATGAGGACCGCGAGGCTGTCTGTCTCCTGCAACAGCTCCGTCATGAGCCGCTTGTACAGCTGGACGGCGTCGACTGCAGCAGAGTAATTTGGCCGCACGGTCGACGGAGCCAGACCGTCTTGGGCCGCAATGTTGTTCACCATCCCGACGTGACAAAAGACCTTATCTCTCGCATCCGACGCATCTGCCCACCTGTTGGACAAGGCAAAGTACACGAGCCACGATGCGGCTCCAGCCGCCTTGCATCCCGTGAGAGCGCGCATTTCCCTCAGCATCGTGTCATCATGCGGTGTCTGGCTCCGCTGCAGATATCTGTGTCGATTGTACCACAGCTGGAAGCTGTTCACGAGCGGATCGCGCACAACCCAGTCATAGACCTCCCCAGCTGCCGTGTCTCCAGCGAGATACCGTGTTAACGCAGGCTGGCTTGTCATTATCCCGAGCCGCGCGACTTGTCCCGCAAATGCAACGTGCCCAAGGTCGTCCCAGGTCATGGCGTGACGACCCCAGAAGACGTACATATTCTTGGACGAAAGCGTGACTTCTTGTATGATCCACGCGCGGTTGAACCACCGGTGCTCAAACAACCGCACCACAGGGCGCCATGTTTCTTCGTCGTCGAAGCTGGAGAGACCGTGCTTGAGCCAAAACGTGGCAGGCGGTGCTGCGCCGTTGGGATGTTGCCTGTAGTACGGAGCAAACTCCTCTGATGGAATGCGCCGAATTGCTTCAAACATTTGGATCGTAGCGTCAGCTTCAGGCCCTGCTGCCCCCAGCCAGATGGCCGTCGTAGAAGATCGCTTGTACACCTGGTCCATAATGCCGACCTGAGCGGCTCTCTCGCCGAGGTCATGCTGATTGATGCAGATGGCGTCGATCCACAGGTGCTGGGTATCGTCCTCGAAGTTCCATCGTCGATGCAAGCCCTGTAACGCCTCGAAAAGGTTGCGCAGCACGAGGAACGACTGGTCGTTGACACGTATGGGCGATTTCTGCCCATACTCGCCCCCATCACTTCCGTCTTGCGGCGCTCCCCAGGTATAGGACAGCGTGACGTACTTGGGCAGATTATCCATGCTGTACTTGGACATGACAAGCCGCGGTTTGCGAATGCCAAATGTGTACCATGGTGGGCGAACAAAGGTCAGCAATCGAATCGAGTAGGAGTCAAGTTGGTCGTTGTATGAGAAGCTTTGCGGACGAAACCGCCCCAGAGCATCTCTCAAGAGACTTGATAGGCGTGCTCCCATGACTCTGTGACATGCGGCAAACGCCGCGTGTTCTCGGGCGGGGTAAAGACTGCATCGCCAGAGGCGGCTCTTGGCTACTTTTTACCAGCCCAGCTAGGCAAACAGTGCTCAGCTGTTGTTGCATGGCGAAGCAGCGAGGCTTACTCCCCTGGCAGGCTTCCAACAACGCTAGGAAGCCGTTGTGCATAAGCGTCGCTGTTTCGCTGGCTTCACTGGTGGAACAGCACCACTGCACAGCCTCCATGTCATGGTTGGCAACCCCGGCCTGTCGCGGGGGCCAAACAAGAGCGCTGTGAACAAGGCAAAATGCTGCGCGGGGCGCAGAGTTCATGTGGATTTAGTATGACTATTAGACAAGCTCTTGACACGGACACAAATTGTTTCGCATTGCACGGCACAGAAGCCGCAGCTATAGATACCTGCACCCAAGATGCACAGTATTCTCCAGGCCCTCTACAGCTTGCTGGGCCCTCCATTGTCTGCCCTGGGTCGGGTCTGTACAGACAGTTCATCCCACCAGGGGAACGTCCGGGGCGCGTTAGCCACAACAGTGTCTTTGAACTCCGGCTTACGCTTTCCAAAGAACGCTTTCTTGAACGCCAGGTGGTCGCTGCTGCGCATTAGTACGGTGACACTTCGACGGTGAATTCGGCAAGGAGCAACGCACTTTCCGCCAAACATGTCATACAGAAGAGGACTGTCCACCAGGTGCGCGCGTTCCGCCGACCCGGGGTTCCTCCAAATGAGCTGTCTATTGAGAAAGACGGCCATGAGGCTCACATTGGTGGTGAGATCCTGAGCCAGCTCGAGGGCTCGCGGAAGGACGTCCTTCGGCTCGGGCAACAGCTCCGCGAAAATGCCGTTCAATACGGGCGAGTCGGCGGGATACCTCTTGCCGGTCGCGAGGAGGTATGTTGCGTTGCTGTACCCGACCATGCGTGGTAGGAAGAAGGAGCTCGCCGACTCCATGGTCAGACCGATTCGCGAGAAGGGAAAGCCAAACTCTGCAGTTCGAGGTGCGATTCTAGATTGATGAGATATTTACCCATTTTCATTTCAGGTTAAGGGCCTGCGCTCACCGGATCGTTGCCGCAAGAGTGGACGTCATGCCGATGCCCACCGAGAGCCCATTGTAGGCCACGATGATGGGCTTGCTGCAATTGAACATGGCCAGCGCAAGCGTGCCTCCTGGGTCGCGCATTTCGCCCACGGCCTCCTGGTTCTTCATCTGGCTCGTGTCCATTGTGAGATCAATGCCGGCGCTGAACGCCTTGCCCGCGCCGGTAAGGACAACAACCTTGACACGGTCGTCGACGTCTACGGCGCGAAATAACCCGATCAGGTCTTGGATCATCCCTGAAGTGATTGCATTGAGCTTGTCGGGGCGATTTAGCGTCGCCACCAGGATCGGTGTGACGCCGGCAGCCGTCTCTGGATAGTTGGTTACGCGGACATGACTGTCAGGCGGGTTGGTGTAAGTCGCGGGCACGACGACGCGATTGGCATCAGCCATTGTTAAGGCACAACGATGGGAATTGCCAAAGTAGCTCTGAAGGTGTCAAAACGAGATATTATTTTCGCCTGGGAAGATTGGTAGATGAAGGACTTTATAATCCTCGGGCTGCCTTTCATCTGTATCGGCAAATGCTGGGGATGTCGTGCTCGTTTGTGGGGAGAAGGCGGGATTGATGACTGATACGGCTATGCTGGCCCATAGCCGACGTTCCCAAGTTTCAAATGCAACGTGCAAGGGCAATGCCGAACCGAATGCCCTGCAGCTGCCATACATTGGTCTAGTCAAGTGCTATCAGATACCAATGAGGCCACCAGGCGACGTGTATGCAACCAGGGCTCTTCACTCACGGTAGCACTCTTTTTCGGGAACGTGGCAAACTGCGTGATCTACGAGAGACCATTCCCTCCCGCATGCGATATATTTTTCTATCGAGAAATACGCCGAGAATTTGTCCTGGGAGGTTTTCTCACCAACGCAACCGAACCGTGGGGTCTGTGCATGTTCTTGCGCCCCAGCTAGACGCAGCACCGATCCATGCCGTAGCGCACCTGATGCGGCTAATCGTCTTCCCGAGAGACCGTATTTTATAGCTTGTGCTCCCTCAACGGGCTTGCAAATAAGAGTCCCAGCCCCGATACGCCAAGTCCTACTAGGAAAACCCCACAGCGCAACCCCGTAGGCTTCGTGGACGCCATCGTCGCAGCCCTTCGGCAGGTGATTCAGCTCCTCCAAGGACCCCACGATGCGTTTTATCACATCTGCTGAGCCCTTCACGGCCGTCAAAATGCCGGTGCAAATCTGCCTGAAGCAAGTTCTGGTTCACTGCCGAGGCAATGGTGACACCCGTCGTGGATCCCGTAGACCGGAATGCGTAGGTTGCCGAGGTAGGAACAGCTTGGTCGTGGTGAGGTACCGCCGCAACGGTCGCGACTAGTGCAACGGACAACATGCCACCATACCCTGCCCCGACTAGGAAAACATATAGCAAAGTTGAAATGAGAGCTGGTCTGCACAGTCGGATGAGAAAAAGCGAAAAACCCCAACAGTCTCGTCGGCTCATGGGCTTTTGTCTTGTGCCGACTTGATACGATTGGAACTAACAAATGTGCCCTCAGATATAAAGCCACAGGAAACCAATCTGGGGCAGTCGAGTCGCTGAGAGATAGATTTGAGGCCCTAGAGGTACATGTTGAGCACGTCATGGTTTGGCATTAGCCATTGACTAACTGCCCCAGATTGGGAGAAATGAGTTGCTTGGTCGCTGGGCGCTTCCGGCCATCATCAAAGACAACCTGGCTGTATTCGACCAATTCAATGCATCCTGCCACTTCATCTTAAGCTTCTCCTGGACTGCGTCTCGGACTGCCTGGGCTCCGAGGAAGCGTCCGTCTCGATACGTACCATCGCCGTGATGCCCATTCCAAGAGCACCCTGTACTTCTTGCACTACCCGCCTGGGTTGCAAAAGCTCCATGAGGTGGGCCAAAACATGCACACGGACATTGGTACCCTGACGCTCCATCTATGGGTCAATCGGAGGGGGTGTGTTGTCAATGACAATATCCACAGGCGCAACCTGGGTGCAGACAAAGTCCGTGGGGCCGTTGCCCCCAGCGTGACAGTATGTAGGCACGTTGCCCTGGCCCCTGTATCCAACGCTACATGCGCCTACTCGTCAGCCCTTCAACTTCATGATCGGAACGAATGGGCCAACTTACGCGAGGCCTAGCTCATGGTAGATCCTCAAACTGAATTCATTTCCGTCCTTGCCAGCGTGCAGGCTGAATCTATACTTGGAGTCTCCGCAGGTCGTCACCTCCTTTGGCGTGGGGAAGTCAGGACTCTGGGCGGTGCACGAGAGGTTGCTGGCGTCCTTGCCACTGAGTTTGAAGTCGACGACGTTGATCTTGGTGCCAGATGGAGAACTGTCCTTGCGCACAGTGAAGTTGCTAATTGCGATGTTCTCGGATGGCTTGCTCTCGCTGGTCGGAACGGCGCCGGCAAGGGTAGCCAGCGATGCGGTGACCAGGGCAAGGGCATGCATGGTGTCTGAGATGGAATGAAGTCGTCTGCGTGGGAGTGTAGTAAAGGTACGATAACTTTGATGCGGCTGTGTTGCACCTTTAAATAGTCCCTTTGTCCGGGAATCCCCCAGGCCACAATTATGCATCGCCCCTGGAGATCACGACGTCATTTGCCGACCTCGCGGTAATACCTACCGAGCCACGGCGGAGCGGCATGCGGGGCCGAGAGGCAGAGACGTCTCCCTGCTTTGGAATACGAAGTTGCATTCGCTCGAACCGTCCGGACATCCGGCGGTAGCAGGTGAAGCTTAACTGGCCTAGCTTCGTATTCAGCTGGAGCGATCGGCCGCTTGGCCGGGTGATGACACTGGGGACAACCTGTGGCAGAGCGGGTTCGATCAGTGTCGTAGCCTCTCCCGACTACATAGCCTCGCGGTTATGGCTGAGGTTGAGAGCACCGCCAGACGGTCAATCGACTTTTTCACATTGCGAGGGCCCCATCACGGAGAGGTGGTCTTGTTTGTACTTCCATGTCGGGCGCCTTTCCTGTTCCACGTCGCATCTCAAGTGGAGCAATTGCACGCTGTTCGCATCCCTTGTTTCTGACACGTCCACGAATCGAACACTTCCTGTTCCACGGGGTCCAGAGCAATGGCCGGCTTCGTTTTGTCTACATGAAGAACCTGGGATGGCAGCGTCTATCTTGGCTGACGGTCAGATCGTAAGCCTGACGCTCGATGTGACACTTTACGGACCGGAAGAATGCTTCTTCTTTCGTCCGGTGGGTAGTGTCATCAATCAACGCGTCGCCTAAGCGCGCATTGCAAGTTTGCTCGGTGCTGCAGCACCCGTGTGGAATTATTGTACACCCTCAAGCCGCGAACTCGTCGAGTGTGCTTCCTTGTCAAGGCTCGGCATGCCATCGAATACCGCCGCTTACATATCCAAAAGTCACATTTTACTCTGGTCGAAGCACCGATGCGGCCTTTGGAAGCTCCGCCGCCTCCGAGACCGCTGGCAAGGTTTCTCGCACCCGGCCTGCCTGCGTACCGAGAGTGGATTGCCACGCCGTCCCTGGCCCGTGCGAGTGAACGCTAGGTACGCTTTGCAGTGCGATCATCTGTCCGCGACGCTGCGCTGTCTGCGGCTTCCGTTAGACTTTATTCGGCCAACTACATCTTTCAATTTTTCCGTTGGCTGTGCTTAACTTGTGTTTCATTGTGTCGTGAGGAGGACCGGAGCCAGCTTCTAGAGGCTAGCGCGTGGGGAGGCCGCTGCGGCAGCTTATATGCTAACTCTGCCCGCTGGTGGGATGTGAGAATATTGGTTCGACTTGATGTTGCAAGGCCGGTCGTTAGCTGACGTGTGAGCAGGGTTGGGAATGTCGAAGGCAAGCTGCTTACCATAGTGGGCATGTGGCGGAGCGTTCAAGCAGCCACGGATCAACGCAGTCGGTGTGAAATGCGTGCCCACAGGGCAGTCGTCGCAAGCGGGCGCCCGGCATAAAAGACTCGGTGCAAATGGAACAAGTGCATGATTCCTCGTCGGCAAGCTTTCCGGCCCCAATATTAGCCAGCTGTGACGGCACCGTGTATCGAATCACGCGCATCGTCTCGAGGTCCTCCAAGGACAGTCGGGTCTGACTGCTCTTGCGCGGCGATGACCCTCTCTGAACCTCCAAAGGCCGAAAGACGCGCTTTCGTAGCACGTACAACCCGAGCGCGATGCAAAGCGTCAGCGACACGCACACCGCCGCGGCAATAGTGGCGACGTTATTGTGAGTGGCCGGCGGCACGGGCGCCGCGTCGGACCCGGCGCTGCGGGAGGCCGGCGCATGTGGGGCCGGCGATTCGGCCATGCCCCGGCCTCGAGAAACTGCTGCAAGAGGAGAGTGAATGCAAGCGATGAAGAGTTTGTCGTGATCGCGTCGCTCCGCGAGATGTTTTTTCGGGTGCAGGCAGTTCCTGGAATTGATTCAGATTTGAGACATGCAGCGGGAAAGGCTTCCATCTGCCTGCTAGCTCTGCTGCTCTGTGTAATCGTGAGGGATTTATCTCTTTGGTTCGCAGGGTGCGGGCAGAATCCGGACATGGAGCCGCCCGTGTAAGCTGTTAGGCGAGGCTCTATTCGCATCGTCACCGCGACATGGGTGGGCGCAATTCCTGAATGGGGGAACAGGTCACGCCTACCCGCCTACGTTACCTGACCACGGCTACCCCCAGCCAACTTGGGGCTAGGCAGGGCGCGGTGCAACTCATGGGATCGACATTAAATATTACGGTATTATGTACTTTGTTCATTGCTCATTGTCACGCGTTGGATTGTGTCGTGCAGCGCGCGCCGCGGGAGCCGCTCCGACTCGTGCGGTATTTCTGTCGCTTGGAGGCCTGAGCGTGGCCACTTCACGCTGATGGGGTTGCGCCCTGTGGCGGCTATCTCGTAGACTGTTGGTTGCAGCTTCAGCGCATTTTCTCTCTCTTTTCACTTTGAATATTGACTCGTCGCTGGCCGTGATTCGCAGAGAATGGAATTTCTTCCGAATGGGATCCCCAGCGACTGGGCACGAAGCTTCAACTTGCCATCCGTTGAAGGTCACGACGAGGAAGCCGACAGGCGTTCCAGCGCATCTAACAGCGAGGCTCCGCTGACGCCGTTGCCGATATATACCAGCATCCATCGGTAAACTGCCACGTCTGGTCTTGCCCGCCCGTTGCTTGCCCTGGAACTGAACAAACGTCCACAGGATCCGACGTTTAGTCCTCGCCAGCATCGGTAGAATCCCACTGGTGCTGCCAGGTGCTTTCTTGTAGGCTGACGGCCGACAGACGACCCCTACACACTGGAGCATTTTCGCGAGCCCAGCTTGAACGCGCTCATCGTTCGACCACTCGTGGACCGCCTCTACGATCCGCAAGACACCACCGTCGGTCCGTTACCCTGCTCTTCCAACGGACCACCAGGGTCACACCCACGAATCGCCACTTACTGGTCCAGTTTACTGTCTCCTCGTGAATCGCGTCCACTTCCTGCGCGAACAATCTCAGCTTGTATACCAATCCGTCAATGGCGCCCGAGCGACTTTATGCGAGCTTGTGGCCACGCGAGTCCTCCGTCGCTTCCACGAAGATCACCCCGGCCAGGCGGGACTATTGCTACTCGCGCGAATTCTTGTCGAAGGCCATGATCCCTTCCAAGGTGCTCCTGTTCACATCGAGCGCGAGGGCCGCCAGCTGCACTGGCCGATCCAGGATCGTGGCGGGCACGAGCATGAGCTAACAGCACTGGAGCTCGCCATCCTATCCGAGAGCAAGACCTTTGTGGCGTCCTCGGCATGTCAGCGCGTCGTCGACGCCGTACATAGTGGGCAAATTGTGTATACGCCGCTGAGTTTCGTCGACATGCTGCCCGACCACTACAAGCACCGACCAATATCACTCTACGACCCGCACGGAGCTCGGCTGCTAAACCACCACCGGCTTATAGTGCCACGCATTAGAGCGATTGTCGAAATGGTCGAGTTCCTGGTCCTGTTGATGCTTTACGTTTTGACCATGGTCAATCGTAGACTGGATCACAATCCGTGGGAGCTGCTCTTTTGCGCTTATACGGCCGGCTGGGCGCTGCACGAGTTTGCCGCCATCATCGAGCATGGATGGGAAGTCCACGCGCAGAGCCTCTGGGCCTTTCTTGACGCGACGTTTGTCGTCGTGTACGCAGCTTACTTGCTCGTGCGCGTGTACGACATCGCGCTTGGACAGCTGCACGATGGCTTTGGCCTGCACATTCTCTGCATTGCAGCGCCGGTTCTGCTGACGCGCATTGCATTTACTTTGCTTCCGCACAACATTGTCTTCATCTCATTGCATGCCATGATGAAAGACTTCACCCTCGTCACATTTCTTGCCATATGGTGTTTTCTCGGCTTCCTCCTTGCCCTTCAGTGGCTCATCACATCTGACCAAAGTCGCGGTGGGGAGGACAGCGCTCCGAGCTGGTCGACCGTGTCGAAGTGGCTGCTATGGATATGGTTTGGCCTCGATGGCACAGGCATTGAAGAATCGACGCGCTTCCACGTCGTCTTTGGCCCGATGCTCATCATTGCCTTTGCGTTCTTGGGCAACACTCTCTTCCTTACCATCCTGGTCGCGTTACTTACGAATACCTTTTCGCGAATCATTGCGGACGAGGCGGCCGAGATCCGTTTTCGGCGCACTGTTCTCACCTTTGAAGGTGTCAAGAGCGATGCCATATTTGCTTACCCTCCACCGTTTAACGTTCTCGCCCTGGCGATCCTTCTTCCCGTCAAGTCGGTAGTGTCTCCCCGACGGTTTCACACGATCAACGTCGCGCTCATTCGCCTCTTCAATGCACCAATCCTCATCATCATCAGCCTCTTCGAGCGGCGAAGTCTCTGGGCCCGCCCCAAGCGGCCGAGTAGAAGCTGGCGATTCACTGGCTTCTCGCCGCACGGAGATATCCAGGCTGTCTTTGAGACTCCGCTCCCGGAGGAGGTGTCAGACTTCATTGACATTCTAGATCCGATGAGCGAGGTGCCAGTCTTGGAGGATGATGTGATGTCGAGATTGTCGGGAGATGTACCTCGCTCGAGGCTACGGAGGTCACGGATGTCCAGACGCAGAGGGAGATCGGGCGATGACAGCAGATCGCCATTTCCAGCGCAGTTGCAACTGTGAGCCTAAATAAACAATCGAGGACACAAGACAGCCATTCGGTCCACGTGGTCGCTGCACGGCCTTGAAGCATGCTCAATCGCGAGTCGCGACCGATCAGCATACCACACCAGCTTCTTGCCAGCGAGCCACTGCATCTTCCCAGGGTACGACTTTGGCGCCGCGCGACTGCAGCATCTCCTCGACACCTCTCTCAATATCTACTGCCGGCTTTTGCTTGTCGTCGTATGTCGAATGCGCTCCACGGAGAATCGTCACTCCAAGGCCCGCCGACAAAGCTCCTTTGCATGTTTCCTGCACACAGCATTCGCTCTGAATGCCAAACGCGATGATACTATCAATCCCCTGTTCTTTGAGCTTCTCCGCCAGGTGTGGGTTGGACTCGAATGTGTCCCCTGGCTCACATTAGCTGCATTTACAGGGTCGCATTCTTTCGCGACGGCAGTCATCTCCCGATAAATCGAGGACTTCCACGTACGGGTTGTTTTGGCGACTAAAATCTCGTCTTTGGCCCCGTCGTGGGGGTTGAACACGAGTTTCCAGGGCTCGCTGCCATTGACCAGTGTGCCTTGCTCAGGGCGCTCTTCGTGCTGCACGAACACAATCAGCGCCGGCTGCTTGCCCTCGGGAGCCGACGATGCAAGGTTCCGCGCCGCGCTCAGGATCTTGTCTCCAGCAGCGCGAATGCGCGCCGCGTGCGGGATTTCCGTCTGCGGATCCCCGGCGAGCTCATTTTGTATGTCGACAACGAAGAGGGCGGTGCGAGGCATGATTGCGACAGCGGTCGATGTCTGAGCGAACAAGGCGATCTTGAATGGTCGATTCACTCAGATTCGGGTGGTAGTGATTTGATGTCTTTTTGTGAAAGAAGCGGTGATTCAAGGCAGGATGACCCGAGGAGTTTGTCGTCAACTGGGAACTTCTGTAGGGGCGACAGCTGAAGCTGCCCCGCCTTCTGGGAACAGGACCGTGAATCTCTAGCCTTGGTGCCCTGCAACGCGTGAACAAGATCGACCATGAGGCGACTCGATAGTTGAACAACAGGGGGCCCTTTTGCAACTACCCTGCCCGCACGGCTCAGTGAATGAGATAGGCACTCACACATCATACCTTGTGATCGACTATCACGATGATGGCCAATCGCACTTCAACCTGAAGTGCCGCCTGCGTTTTGTCGCTCACTGGGCCAGCGCTCACGCTTTGCCTCGATTCCGATGATGAATCGGACAATGTCCAGCCGATACATGTCTGCGTCATGGAGGCATCTTCGCGACTGAGAGTTTCCGTGGGCAGCATGACACCAATATTGGATAAACGCAATACGCATGGTAACATCAATCTAGGTAGAGAGTAGCGGCCTGGCGAGGGCCTCTTATTATTTGGCCATAGAAAGGTACAAGGTCTGTTCGCTATGAATATGCCAGCCAGCCATGCCACGTATTCCTGAGCCGCTCCGTATTGGACATGGAAAAATAGGCCGAATTGGCAAGCTTGTCCCGAAGCTGCACAAACTTGGCTGTTGGAGCCCTCTTCTCGAAAAGGATATCCAGCTCCAAGTACGAGAGGCCTTTCGTCTCTGGCAGCCGAAAGTAGCACCAGACTAGACATATGAGTGCCGCTCCCGCGTACACATAGCAAGACCTGCCCTCGAGATTCCAGCCCGTCGGGTCTAGCATCTTCAGGACCAGGACGTGGTTGACGAGCATGACGAGATTGTACGCGACTCTGGCGAGCGCGACCGTCTTAACCCGTAGGCGAGTCGAAGGGACCTCTGCGACCAGGATGTAGCAGACGGGACCGAGTGTTAAATCGTAGGTAAATGTCGCCAGGATGATCACAACGCCCAGGGCCCACGAGGTGCCAGAATCGCCACTCCCGGCCGCCGAAATCGTGCCTCCAATGACGAGAAGAACGACTGCCGACGACAATCCGGCCAGGTAAAGCGTTCGGCGGCCAAACTTGAGCAGCAGGCCCCAAGCAATCATGCCCCCAACGATTGCCAAGCCGTACATGCCTGTCGACAGGTTGAACGAGTTCGATGGATTGAAGCCTGCTTGCTCAAAGAAGTAGGGCGCGTATCCCGCCCAGATAGCGCCAGAGATGGCCTGGCAGATCCACACCACGCATGAGATTTCCGTCCTACGGCGGTTTGCTCCGTGGAAACAGTCCATGTAGGTAGCGCCGCCGTAGTTCAGCTTCTTCTCGATGGCGTTGGTGTGCTCCATCATTGCAAGCGTATCGTTGATTGCAAGGCTCGCGCGATTTGAGAGCCGCTGAAGAGAGTAACGGGCGTCTTCCGGCCGCTCATGGCGAACAAGCCACCCTGGCAGGGTCCCAGAATCAGCGCAAAGAACATGAAGAGGCTAGGAAAAGCCACTGGGAGGTAAATTAGGTATTCACTTACAGGGACTATCAGGCGCAAAGCATACGCCAATCAGTAGAGGCACCGCGAATGCCCATTGCAAGGCGAACGGAATGCGGTACGACCACTCCGTAGGATTGTCGACGAAACCGCGCAGGATGCCCGTTCCGAGAAGCTGTCCAACGACCCAGCACATGTTGACATTGCTCAAGATATGGCCACGAAGCCCAGATGGCACGACTTCAGCAGCGTAGGTAGCTGCCAGTGTTTGGATGACACCCCAACTGAAGCCTGCAGCAATGTCAGCGCCAGAGGAGCTTACTCAGGTGCAACGGAAGGAGCTCAACACCTACCACACAGGGCCTGTGATGCTACCAAAGTACCGATGTTTTGCGCGAAGAAAGCAGCGAAAACAGCCACACACAGCCAGCTCAGAGTTGCAATAAGCACCTTTCGATACCCTATCGCGTATGTAATGTACCCGTGAGCGAGTAAGCCGATGATCTCGCAGGTCACGGCCGCGTTCTGCAGAGCTATTTGCCATTCGGACGGGATCTCGTAAAAGTTCTCGTCTGGGAACTTGTCCAGGGATGGCGTTCGTCGTCCGTACTTCCGCTTGAAGGTCGGGAACGCGAGCAGGCCAGAGATGATGACCTTGCCGTAAGCCTCCAGGACGACAGTGAGGAAGAGCAAGAGCGACCAGCCAATCGCCTTGGGATATCGCCGACAGCAGTTGAGAAATGTCATGTGCTTCTCGGCCGCTAGACCTCGCCGAATGCGCTGTGTTGTGTCATCGGAACTCGCCGGCAGATCTGGAAGCCAGAGCGTGTCGGTCGCCGTGGTGGAGATGGGCGTGAACAAGTTGATCTCATCTGATGGTTCTGTGCCGCCGGGCCGTTCCGGTAGGGGCGCAGCGCTGGAGTTCCTCGACTCGGGTTTGCGGCCAGGTTGTGGCACAGGCCCGGTCGCCAAACTGATGTGCGGACGGTCGACATCGTTCCGGTCGCCCTCGGTTCGATCTTTGTCTGACAACAAAGCCATTATGTCACTGTGCCGCAGGAGTTAGTCTCCATTTGACGGTGAATGCAAATTTCCCACTGCACGTGGCGGAGGCCGGTACAGTCGTCTGGCTCATACCATTCGCGAAACGCGCGAGCATGCTTGAAGTTGTTCAAACCGCCCGTTCGACGTGCGGGGCTTTCAACATTCTCTCCTTGCTTGGTCGGACGACGATCACGAGGCGAGTTGCAGACTGGGCGTGGAGGTGGAATCGCGTACCCAAGGAGTTAACATGAAATGCGTCCGCTCGGGGCAGGATTTTGCGCTTGGGACGCACATCTTCGGACTCATAGGCGAGGAAGCTTGATCATGACGGCATCGTCCTTGGTAGGGCCTGGCGATCATTTTAAACCGTTTGCGTCCGGACCGATTCTCCAGGTGGTGTGACCTGCTCAGCTCCCTGCCGGTGGCGTTCCTGGGGTGAAGAGCCGCGGGAGCGACGGACATCCGACATGGCGTTTCACCCTCTTGGCATGAAGTGGGAGCTACGTCAACGCGGAGGAGCCAATTAAGGTGCGAACGGAGGCGGTAATAAGCTTTCAGTTCACTGTGCCAGCTGTTGAGGTGGCGGGTGGGCGAATGTCTCTCGCGCCACGGCGGGTTTGTGGCGCTGTTTGCGCTGCACCTGGCGCACTGGAAGTTGAGCTAAGCTGGCCCATCATGCAAAATATCCGGGGTTTTCGGCCCGACACGACGGCAACCCCCAAGTGCCTTGACAGGTTGCTCCGTCCCTGGTGCGGATTTGTCCAAATACACGATGAATTGTCGCCATTGCGATGGCTTTGACTCGTTTATGGTAGTTTCCTGGTGGTTTGCGCCCCATGCCGTTGAGCTCACGTCCCCATCCAAGTTGTTGTGTCCTGAGTTCTGACGATGTTTGAGTTTACCCGATGGTATGATAGCGGGCATGGCGATCTACCTATTCACTTGACTTTTGTTCCTTGACCAGGCGCAACGCTTGGCGCATGTCCGGAGACGGAAATCGATCAGCGACTGACAAGACTTTGTTGAGGCGTGTTGCTCGCGACCGGGACCACACGCACTTGGCGGGATCCTACCAGACTACCAGCGACCGTACCTGAGCCACCGGCAACACACGCCGACCCTCCCAACACCCACCCAGGCGCTTACTTCGTAAGTCAGAAGAAATCCGCGGCTGTACAGTAGCGGCCTAGTTATTACTTACACGACCCCTTTCTTCTGAGCCTCAGCTGCCTGCGTGCAGGCTGCAAAGCACCGGGCGGTGTGGCTACCCTACCCTGCAATCGATGAGAGACTTTCATCCTCGGCGCGCCCATCTCCTAGTCGTGGGACCGTGAGTATGGAGAAAGCTTTCCATCGAGCTTGTGCAAGAGTAGAACATCGAAGTCGCGGGTCAATGAATATTCAAGTTGTCGCGAATGGTGCAACGCTCCATGTCTGAACTGGCTGGACACAAGTACCCGAAGCTCAGACACCGACGCCGTAACAGGACGCGACCTTCCACGTAGCGGTCTCATACCAACACAGTCATCTATCGGAGCCAAGGTCGCGGCTCAAGTACCCTACCCTTTTATGCTGTGGCGTCAAGGCTGAATACTGGACTTTTCCCCTCCATAATACCACCAGCCGCATTGGGGCACACGTTTGGCCCGTGTTCTCGACCGTTTGCACGGCATTCGCTTCCCTGCAGCATCATGCACGCAGGGTCGTAGCGCAGACCAAACCTTTCAGCCCTTAATGCCGTCCTGCACCGATTTTGTGCCATTATTCGGACATGAGCATGCGACAAAAGGTTCAAAGACAACAAGGGCGTGTCGCGTTGTCCGCCAATTCCGACTTCAATGCTCTGACAGCTTGCAGCGGGCTGCCGCCACGACACAACGTCACTTCATGTTACGTGCCGGTTATCATTAAATTGTTCAAGACCGTATCCAGTGCGACCTCTTTGTCTACGTCGATATGATGCCTTGCGCGAAAAGCATCGTGCCAAATTCGTCAACCTCCGCAAGCCACCTCTCACTTCTTTCGTCCAGTTCACTTGAAGCGTTGAAGCCAAACACCTCGCTCATCTTAAGCGGGCCTCCACGCCACTGGCGTAACAAGGTCGAATACAACGCTTTCCACGTCTGTTCATTAGATTCTAGCCATAGGTGTCGGGCCCCCTGGGCCGGTAAGGGCCCAAGCTCAAGGCATGACAGGACGGGATAGCCGTGACAAAGTGACAGCGTCCATTCCAGTTGATGCAAGGCCAGGATGGTGCGCCTCTATGATGCCCACGTTATTGATCTACGGAGCTGCAGACTACACAGAACGCCTGGCTAGTTTGCACGCCGAGCGCTTTGGACTCGACTTCATCATAGCTGGGCGTACCATTGAACGGAACCCACACGGAGGCATTCGCATTGCAACTCAGTGTTGCACTTCGTCTACTGGATGTCGCGAATCCCGAGGGCATCGGTGCTGCGTTTGGAGGGGTTTCGGTTCTGCTGAACTGTGCCGGCCCATTCATGAACACGGCGAGGCGCCTGATTAATTAATGTCGACATGCATCCAAAACGGCGTCCACTATCTTGACATTTCAGCTGAGCTCAATAGCTACCAGCTTGCTGAAGCCAACGACCAGATCGCCAAAGATGCCAATGTCATGCTTTTACCAGGCTGCGGAGGCAGTGTCGCCATGCTTGGATGTCTACTTGGGAAGGTCATCGAGAAAGTCAAAACACCAATTGCCATCGACGTTGCCCTTTCTGTCGCTGGCCCATGTTGCGTGGGTCGACCATATACGCATCAGGCAGCCTGTCAACCGAGGTCCTCGAGCACCGAAATAACGAGGTTGCGAAACGAGAAGCCTCCGAGATGATCAACCTTGACTTTGGTAATGGAAAAGGCTCGGTAGCCAACCACCCCGTGACTCTTCCTGATATCATGTCAACCTGGAGGACTACAGGTGTGCACAATATTCGGACTGAAGTTCATCTTGATGGCGATACGTTTCCTGCCTCAGACCAGAGCTCAATCACGCGTTCGGATGGCCCCAGTGCCTTAGGAGAAGGAGAGGGAGGCCTCGCCCTATCACGCCGCAGTTGCCGTCACTGCAAACGATGGGACGACTACTCATGCCGTACTGCATACAGTGAATGGGTATACCTTTATAGGATTGGCGCCCCCCGAGGCGGCAGCAACAGTGCAGGCTGGAGTAGCAAACCCTGGCTTCCAAACCCCGGCGTTACAACAACTTATTACAGACGATAGGTAAATCGGAAATCGTGATACTCCAAGATTAATACTAGAATCATGAGACACCAGACAGCCTGTAAGTTTACAAGATTGAAAGCATGCTTACGCTATCACCGCAATGAACAGTCGTGGAATCGTTGGGTAGACGATTCATATTCAGTAATGGGAAATTGAGTTGCCCTGCCTCTTACAATCCATGTCCGAACGCTTTATCTTCGTTCATTACCAGACCACCGAATGCGACGACATGAGCCTCAAGCCAACGCTGTCCATCAATGGCTACCCCGCAATCAACCCGACAGACGCAAAAGTTCCTTCGCGCTTGGCGACCGCCTGGTGCTACTTCATAAATATCCTGGGAGGCAGATCCTATAGCACACGGTTCTATTCACTGCCAGGCTATATATAGCATTGCTGTTGCAATGGCCTGTGAGCAGCCAGGTCCAGGGCCAAATTGACATGCCTTAATCAGACATGAGCACTGATGCATGTAGGGTCTAGAACAGCTCCCTGTGGCAGACAAGTGAGAAAGAAAAAGCGAATGCAACGTAGATTCGCATTTCCGAAAGCCACAAAAATGAGTTGAGTTCCATCAAATGAGTTTGAATGCTCCCTCAGTTGCCATGGTAGTCTTCAACATCTCAAAGTGGCAGAGCCTTTCTGTTCGTGCTTGGTATCAATCCTTAGCCCGCTGCACTGTCATCTCAGGTTCACATCAACGCGGGGTCCTGCGCAGCACCAAAACGACATGGCAGGCGTGCATTCTGCCCTTCTAGATGTCAGAAATATGGAAACCAATGCGGCAGGACTGCCTTGCAGTGGCGGTCGATGTGACGCTGTATTTCAATGTTACTTGAGACATACATGTGGCGTTGCCTAGGCCTGGGCTCGTTACAACCAGGCTTTTCAGCTTCTCGGGTTGAGTAGCTTTCACGGACCAAGCTTGAAAAAACGCCTTTTCGTTCTCCGAGGGGCCAGATAGAGGTCGTGAGTGAGGGGTACCTAGTCAACCCAATGTCCTTCTGTTTGCGACCCCTTGAATACATGTATAAAGTGTCTCCTTCAAGATCCCGTTGTTGGTCATGTTTTTACAATACCGAACACCACCGCGCTCTTCTAATCGGCTCTTATAATCAACCGCCATCTTTGCCAAAGCCAACACCATAAGTTGCATAGTCATCATGCGGTTCCTTTTGACTCTTATACCCTACCTCTGTATCACCACAGGTCTGGTCATACGAGACGCCCCAAGCTATGTCAAGATCAAGGGTGTGAGTCTTCTTGGAAGCGGCTGCCCTGCTGGCAGTGCCGATGTTCAAGTCGATGCCACCGGGTCTCTTTTTGAAGCCACGTTCTCGGAGTACGAGGTCGAGACTGGGCCAGGCACCAGACCTGTTGACTGGCGCAAGAACTGCAAGTTGACTCTGAACATGGAGTTTGAATCGGGATTCCAGTACGTCTCGCCTATATGGCATGGCAGCATTAATGTCCCTGTATCTAACGTACCAGATTTACCATCGTCGAGACCGACATGATAGGCTTTGCCGAGATTCCCGCAGGCGTGGACGGCCAGTGTACCAATACGTTCTCCTTCACTGGTAACGGCGCTGAGCATGTCGACTATAAGATTGCTCTCAAGGGACACTACAGTGGCAGATTTGATCTCCAGTCTCGACCTGGGATCTTCTCTTGGTCGCCGTGCGGAGGTAGCACGGCGATTCTGAACATGAACACTGCTTGCAACATAACGCCGACGCAACTTCCGGCCCTCATTGCGGCACGTTCACCTTCGTTCCGTCAAGCATACAGTTCTAATACAATTATAGGTGGATCATATCAGCGGCAAGCTGACAGTCAAGTTCGCTGTTGACTGGCGCCCTTGCCCCAAGCACTAATCGCTGCCTGATCACAATGAGCGCAGCTCATATATTGCACTTGACCCCTTGCAGATTCTACGAAAGCACACACTCCTTAAGACGACCGGGAAGGATGCCTTGGTGACCTACTCCAGCCTTCAAATGCTTCACAGGGCCTTCAAATGCTCTAGGCACACCTCGCTATCCCCTCTGGACGGTCGGCAAGACTGGACTGGTACTGGCTCAGTTTTTTGTCCCAGTACGTACTTTGAGCTTGAGGTAGTCCCGCAATCAGGGTCCTGTGATAAGTCAATCATGAAATCTTCTCTTCTCCCTTGACTGAATGGCATAGTGATGTCCAAATGGTCCATTAATGGGGATTCTTGGGGTCGACACTCACAGGCTGAAGTCTAATTCAGTTGGCCGGCGTGCCTTTCATGTATCTCACGTGGCGTCTGCCAGTAATCTCGGCCCAGGCGGAGGGGCAGATGAACCGCCGCTGCGATTGCGGGCTTGAAGCCAGTCCCGCGACTATTTGATGGAAGCCATTTCTACAAGGCTCCTGCACTTACAAATATTCCAGGAAGACCCTCTATTCGGTATCTAAGATTGCTTGCGCCCTCTACAGACGTCGCTTTCTCCGTATTCGCGCCCTCTGAACAGATGCATACTGAGGTCCCCGTCCATATATCGCTCAACCAGCCGCTCACATGAATGCGAGGGCAGTCATGACTTTGCCGCAATCCAACTTACCGAATATTGTCTACAATGAAGCTACTATACCAGACACATTCACCCTACGCGCGCAAAGTTCTGGTCTTCGCCTATGAGGCCGGCATTGCCGATGACATCGAGGTTGTGCATGAGGAAACGAGTCCGTTGGTACGCAATGCCGAAGTCTATGCCGCAAATCCGCTCGGCAAAGTCCCAGTGTTGCTCCGACCAGGCGAAGTGCCCCTTTTTGACTCCGATGTCATTTGTGCCTACCTGGACACGCGACACGGCCGGCCACCTCTGATCCCAGCAGAAGATGAAAGTCGCTGGAAGACACTGCGCATGCAAGCCATCGCGCAGGGGCTTGCGGATGTGGGCATCTCATTGCGCTGGGAAACTACAAGACGACCAGAAGATTTGCGTTTCGCGGAAATGCGAGAAGCCCTGGAAAGGAAGCTGGTAGAGGGCTACGACTGGCTTGAGCGGGAGCTGGACCTCAACACAAGCACTGGGACGTCTGTTGTTCACGTTGGGCATATCGCCGTGGCAACGACACTGAGCTGGCTTGAGTTCCGAGGCATGCCCGACTTCCGCGAGGGCCGGGAGACGCTGGCAATGTGGTTCGATGAGTTTCAGAAGCGACCGTCAATGAGGGCGACGCCACTATCAGGCGAGACGCAGGACCAGCTTGTCGACGCAGTGATGAGATGATGTGATCTTTTATGGCTTCATCTACACACTGTGGGTCGTTTATTATCGCAACTTCGCTCGAAACCTCAAATCAGGAGCCGACCGTGACGAGGCAAATATCACTCAGCTTGAGGGCATGGGCTCGCAATGCAAACCACTGAGCGTGACGTGAAAGAGCATGTTTTGGGTGTTTCACTCTTGATGACGTGCCATATCTCGTATCATAAGTTCGAACGACTTTTGATGTATCGAGGAGGTTCAGCTAAAAACATGAAGGCACAGCACCTGCAGGCTGCGATGCTGCCGTGATTCGTTCCGTTGTCATACCGCAACCGACGTTGCGTCTGGCTCTGTTTTGGCCATGTAAGGGTCCTCAAATGGTTTCTGCCCCATTCGTGACCAGCACATTGCCGACATCAAAGCCTCATCAGTTTCTTTTCCTTGAAACAAGAGTTCCGACTTTCCATCCCCAAGATGTGTGACCGAGCGATCCTGTGTTGCGTGAGTAACCATGCACTCGAGGAGTTTGAGACGTTTGGGGGCCTCTTACCAATCCTAGTGTCAGTTTGATAACACCGTCAGCCCATAGATTGGTGTATTTGTGCTTGGGCTCCTTGCCCTGTGTCACGAGCAGGACATTCTCTGCAACCACGGTGGCTTGACGCATCGCAGAGCGGGCATTCGGATTTGGCGTGTGCGTATCGGCAACATCGCCACATGCGTACACATTTGGTACATGAGCCGCATCAATCTGCAAAGTCTCCTTAACCTTGATGTGACCACTTGGGGAGATGGCGGTCGGCACCAGGCTCTCGATGACCTGGGATGACGGCTTCTGTCCCGTGCAATCAATCTGACTCGCCACCTCCCGTCAGTAGGATGCCCATTACACGATCGCAGCTGATACCAGCGATACTTGGGGTCGAAACTCACAACTAAGTCGCATGAGACCTTTCGCCCGGATCGTAGGACAATGGCGCCGTTTTCTCGTCCACCATCATTAACCCGCTCATTGAGGATTACCTCGACCCCTAGCGTTTGGAGGCCTTCCAGTGCCGATTTCTGCAAACCTTTTCCGAATCGATGCATGACGGCGTCACGAGAATGAACAAGAATAACGTGCTTCTTGGGATAGAGATGCTTCGCATCGGTGGCAATCTCGACGCCAGCAGCGCCGCCTCCAACGACGACTACTGTCTCGGCCAGTTCGATCTTCTGTTGCAGCTCTTGCATGAGCTTCATTCCAGCAAGCTTGTCGGTTGCGTTCACTCGAGACGGCAGGCCCTTGTCGACACCCGAACCTGTAGCGATGACGAGGATGTCGTAGGGAATGTCCTCGCCGCTATTCTCCAAGTGCACAGTCTTCTCCGTCACGCTCGCCACGCGATCAGTGACCCATCGCAGCACACCCTCAGGGTTGTCTCGTACGAGTCCCCCGTAAGGGATGAAGGCCTTGTGTTCATGGCCCTTGACCACGCACAGTCTTGGTAGAACCCAGGTAAACTGGAAGTGCGAGTTCGGCTCTATGACCACGACCCGGTAGGGACTATCCGGGGGGAGACTGCTCGTCAGAATGTACGCAACATGGTGTCCCGAGAAGTTTGCGCCCACGATCACGATATTTCGAGTCCTGGGCGTGGACACTTCTGAAGACTGGCGGCGGATTTGGCGTTGCACCAAAGCAGTTCTTACTGAACGACGAAGCTCCCCCCAGAGTACAAAGAGCATGTAGCTCGCAAGCTTGGCGTAGAGTGTAGCTTTGGCCAGCATTGCGACGGTGCAGGGAGCTGCTAGGATATGCCGTCCAGGTGGTGTGAACCAAATCCTGCCACCAAGCAGGTCAAGAGGTCAAATACAAGCCAACCTGCCGCCAAGGCAGCCCAGTGGCCCGGGTCAGGTCGCCACTTTTCGGAGGAATGCGCTTCCAGCGCCAAAGTGGACAAGGGTCCCGGGGGCTGAGGCTGAAGGAAGCAATAACTTGGCATTTATGGGCGGGTTGGGCCGGGTCGTTTAGAAAGTACCTCATTATTGCAGGCTAGTGTTCAAAAAGCGGTCCACGCTGTTATCTGATGATCTGATAACACCATCACAAAGTCACACCAACTGAAAAGTTTTCCAAAGTCCGCCCGCTGTCGCTAGCTTCAAGCCACAATTTGCGGTGCATGCACAACTCCATCCGTCGCGTTGCTCGGAGCCGCCACATCACTGGCCCCTTGGCGACGCCACTCGTCAAAGGTCATACCCTTTGCGGACGAGGGCAGTTTCACCATCAAGGGCACCTCGATGTCCGACTCGGTTCCCAGAACCTCGGCTTTGTGGACAATCTTCTCGGGCAGCACCTCGAACCCCATCTTCTTGTATAGGTTCACCGTTGACGGCGAAGACTCGAAGTAAACGGGCAGACCCGCCAGCTCGCCCATCTGAATGCCCCACTGCACCAACAGAGCCCCGGCTTTGCGCCCTTGGTGCTTGGGGTCAACCGCGATAACGTGAACGTCTGAACCTCGCATTAGTGCTCAAGCCATCGGTGACTCGGACCAACTGCCCGTCGTAGCAATGTCACTTACAGATGTAGGGTCGGCCGCCGAAGAGTCTCTCCCTCACCTCCCACAGGGGGTTGAGGATTTTCTCGGCTCGCTCGCGCTGCTCGCCTTGGAGCCAGGGCACGCCATGGTTCTGTCGCTCCTCCGGGGTTCGCTCTTTCAGGTAGAGATCGCCCAGCCCCATACCGATGATATCGCCGGTCTCCGTATCGACACACTTGAGGGTGTACTGACTCTCGCTGCTGTGCCAGTACTGCAAGGTGCCCGCTGCGTGAGCGTCCCGGAACCCATCGTCGAGGATACCTGGGAAGAGGATCTTGAGCATCAAGCGACCCATCAGGTCGTGCTCAAATGCGGCGAAGTAGATGTCATAGACACGACGAATGTCGGGAATCAGCGCGGGTAGGATGACCTGAACCATGATGGGCGGTGCTGAAGAGAGACACTGTAGATCTTCGGTGTTCTATGATATCTGATCTTGAGTCCTTTTGACTGTGTTGAGATGAGACTGTCGGGGTGGATGTCTGTGCATCATCTTCCGTGACGGATCACCGTCCTTAAATATTCGGAACCCCGCTCTCTCGGTCCGCTTCCGAAGGAACTTCATTGAGAAGCAGTCGTGCGGCTGCTGAGGACCGCGCCCTTTCAGTTGAGCGCTTGAAACCTGTTATGTTGGCACTGTCAAGTGCCACTCTTTTTGTTTTAGCTCGACCAAGCCATTGATGGTCCACTTCAGCCCCATCGGAGGCTCGTGGCCATGGGCCGGGGTTATGCAGACGAGTTGCCAACGGCAGGCACACACCTTATTTGCTTCTGGACCCTGACAATCCCAAATGGCAGGTATGTGGACCACCCATCCTGCAGAATGGACATTTGGAGTTCCGGAGCGGATACGAGGCACCTATTTCGGTGTAAGCCTCGCGTGGAAAGTTTACTCCGCGTGACATGCATGATTTAATTCATGAAATAATGTAACCAACATCCAGGGGTCTTCGCGTTGGCTAGCACGATGAAGTCATAGGCGCATGTGGGCGCAATACGCATGGGAGAGCAAATCATGAGATCGTAGAACGATATAAATGTATTCAAGCGTTCAAGCGGCGAGGGATGCGCGGACTTGGAAGAACGTGCCAGCAATTATATCCCGCCCAGACGTGTTGTTCCTCGTGTCCAAGTTTCAATGTTGTCTATTCGGAATAATATACAGTCTTGATAACCGTTGTGAAAGCGGCACCAATCTTCCACGAGTGAAGGCAATTGTCCCAGATAATAACCAGTTTGTACGACCACCGTCGGGTTGGCGTGTGTTTAGTCTTGTTGACTGCATTCTGTGTGGCGAATTAGAGCATCTGGAATGCGACGGCGCCGAGACCGGCAATCACCAGAGCACCCGGAACGGTGTTCAGGCTCATAGCCTTTACTTCAGTCAGCAACTTGTCGTTTCAAAGCCTCTGCACCGGGCAGTGCGCTCGTACCTTGTTAACCACGACACTTGTAGGGGTTGGCTGCGTCGAGGTCCCGTTAGTGGGCGCTGAGCTCTGCTTAGTCGACGATGACACCGCGGCGGTAGACTCGGCCGCGTGGGAGCTGGTGGCGTGGCTCTCGGCTGAGGTAGACTTAGACGGCGCAGCAGTGGTGACGAGCGTGGTCTCCGGCGCACCGGATGCGGGGGTGGATGTGGCAGCAACAGGGGTGCTGCTCTGCGCAGAGGGCTGCTGAGCAGCAGACGAGGACTGCATGAGTTCGAATGTACATTAGCATGAATGATCAGTTACTTGTTGGTGGGGAGTTGATCGTCTGTGTCGTGGTGTCCAGGGAGACTCGTACCGAGGGGCGCTTCGGCGGAGCAATGACAATTCCCATATCTACAGAGAGGTTAGAGTGGCCCAGACATATCGGACGCGTGTGAACCCATACCTTTGCAAAGGCTGACACCAAAGTTGATGGCGCCTTCTGCCTCGCTCTCGCACTTGGAGTATGCGCACTCAGCAAAGTAGTTCTGGAGATCCTGTCCTTTGCAGAAGCAAAGGTACATGTTCGCCTCCTTGCATTCCAGCGGCGGGTGCTCCGTCACGACCGATGTGAAGCAGTTGACCTGGCTTCTGTCAGCTTTAGGGTTTCATGCAGCGGGTGCTATACCCACAGCGCAGCCAGACTGGGCGCTCGCGACTGTCGCGAGGCCGGCGAGAGTGAAAATTGCGGCCTTCATGGTTGTTGAGTGTTTCTTGGTGTACGGTGAACGAGCGTATAGTATTTTCGGTCGACAGTACCGGTCAAGGGACAAACTTGTCGCCAGCCTCCGGCATCCCGACGGGAGTCATTATTATACACCTCGGTCTCCCACGACGCGCAAGCTCAGAATAGTCTAGCGTTCTCTCACTGCCGCCATCAACAGCTGAACCTCGCTCATCCGAGATTCCGCTGGTCCCACGACGCCAAAAGTCCGAACTCGAAGCCCATCGGCGCAAATTCACGCAACATGGATGGGGACTCAGCCCCACGGGTCGCACCAGCTTTGATTTATCTGATCATCAGATATCGTCTGTGCAAACAACCCCTGTCTGTGTGGCTGCAGGGATAGAGGCATTATCCCAGCACGGACAGACTGTGTGCGAGTCACGAAGCCCAAGCTTGACCAACCTGCGTCTTGGCCTCCAAGTGTTGTGGCGTCACAACTGCGACAGGCTTGGAAGCGTCCACGAGCCAAGCGTATTGCGGCTGCGGAAACCCCAGCCAGGCACTAATAAGTTGGTGGTCTAGACTATTTGTCGCCCCACAACGCGCTCCGTTGGTAACTTGGCTGCCAAGCGTTGTTGTAACCGAGGTGGGGACGAAAGCAGGGTCAAAATACACATGTATCTTATCTGATCATCGCAGGACACGGCTCGACACCAACAGCTCGAAGCACCATGGGTTGTCCATTCACTGGCGTCAATGAGTGGGCACAACAACCATGACTTGCTTCCAGAGCAACTGTAGAGCTGCCGCGCCTTTGAAAACGCTCATTTAGGCTTCATAAGCAACGTTGTTTCTTATATATGTCGTGGTTTGGACCTCGGAATTGCACGAACTCCCGTCACCTCACGCCAAGCTTCTCCACGTCGCAGCCGCACGTGGAAGCGGACGTTGTACCCGGATCGTCCCGAGCTGTAAGGTCTGATTAGGCACATTCCGAGGTATTCGTGGAGACTGAAACGGCCTCCGCCAAACAGGAAAATTTCATCCGCTCCTCTGTGTCGGGGACCCCCCGTTCAGGGAATCCATGTGGAGGAAGTAGATCCATCCTGTCATAAGTCTTGGCCGCTCGGCGCCGGCTTCCGGACGCTTCAGCTTGCCCTTTAGCACGTTTTGTTTGTGGACTCAAGAAATTTGCCTCCTAGTTGTCTGGTGGTTCCGGTAGACTATTGGCAGCCATGCCCACATGCATGCCACGGCAATGTGATTCAATCTCCATACTCGTATTCTATTTTGTACATTCAGGGGTATGATGCCAATAGGAAGTGCCTGATCGAGCTGGGACTCCTTTGCCACCCTTCTCACAGCCCTGCGCGATCGATCACGGAGACCGGCAGATCCACCTACTCACTTACAACGCCGCCATCACTCCGGCTGCAACAAGGGCGACAAAAGGAGCAGGTCCAGCCGTGGCCACTGCTCCACCGGTCGAGGTGGAGCTTGCTGCGCCCGTTGCCGCGCTCGCCGGAGTAGTTGCCGCAGACGTGTTGCCGGTGGCGGCGGCGGAGCCGGAGGCAGGGCCGGTCTGCGATGCCGTGGGAGATGCCGTGCGCGTCTTAGCCTGGGCAGTTGCGGCAGAGCAAAACTTGACGCCTGCGGGAAGGACCTTGCCTGTCATCTATAGTCAGTATGCGCGTCGGGAGCTCCGTCGTTGACAGGACGTAGCTTGGTTGTGTACTTACCGATTGAGTCGTCGGGGCCGCACGCCTGCATCACGCAGTTGACGCCTTGGTTGTAAATGTCCTCGTAGTTCTTCTGGACGCACATGCAGACCGCATCGTCCAGTGAGCAGTTGGTAGCCTTCTTGATTGCATCATCCAAGCACTTCATCGAGCACTCTGGAAAGTAATCCTTCCGATCCTGAGCCACTGATGTGGCGGCCAGGGCCGAGAGAATGAGGACCAGTGTGGACTTCATGGCCTATGTCGCGTGTCCTTCAGATTACTGAGCTGGATGTGGAAATGATTAAGGGGGGAAGTGAGAGTTCCCAGTAGTGTAGCAAAGAATCCGAGTATGTAGGTGACAAACCCGTACCACACAATACTCACGCCTTGGTGAGGATTTTAAGGTCGTCACGTTGTGGCGGCGTGTGCTCGGCCGCCCTCCCGCCACGGCACTATGCACCTGGGCCGACGCATGAGTTACCTTGGACTCATAATTTCCTCAAGACGCCCAGGGGGCCCTGGTCCGTGGATGGAGTCAGTCACGAGGCTTAATGGTGGCGGAGACTTCGGCGAGTCTGGCATCCCCGAAGCCACCGTTTTTGTGGCTGGCCTAGACTGCGGATCTGATAAGATTTCGCGATGGGACCAGACCAGCCCGCCCTCCATGCGCCATTTACAGTCGGCTCGCCTAACTGTACCTTGGCAAGGGTGGAGTGTGCAGCAGCCGCCCTGCCAGGGTTGTCTTCGCATGCACCGTGAGTCCGAAGCTACTGTACTAGATGGGACAAAGTACCTTCGGAAGGCTCCATGTCGTTCTACGCATGTGACTCGGATACAGACGGCCGTTGTCGGGGCCCGCAACCTTGCCCACCAAGCTCGTAGTCCTGCGGTCTGGGGTGCGTAACACCGAGACTTGGTTTTTGTTCATCTTTTACAAAACAACTGTCGCATGCGTTGCGTTGTTGCGGTGTTGTGCCTTGCTTGAATTTGGACTAGATTTGGTGCCAATTGTTAGGCGACATTGCATAGCGATTGGGACGCCGCCCATTGACTGTCAACTCTGCGACTAAAACCGGAGACAATCGCAACGAAAACTACCGAATCCCAGAACGTTGCGGCCATCGCAAAACAGTACATGATGGCCGCATCTGAGGTATTCGATATCGACAAGACAGCGGCCAGAACCCCCGCCAAACAAGATGTGTCGGACCACTCGGCAGAGAAGCATGATGGCGACGACGGCAGGCAGGCCGGAGTAAGGAAGATCGAGGCCGCGGCGTCGGTTTGGTCCAAATGGCACTTGATCTTCGCTTTTGCAAAGTCAGTTTCGTGCCCGACGAATTGTGCGCCGTACAAGAACAAGAAGATAGCTAACATTTGCCACCTTGAAGCATATGGCTAATTTACTTCATCCTGTCCATTATGGAGGTCGTCTTCCGCACATTGGACCCTTTCGTCACGAGTGCTTTTTCGCGACATTCGCTCACCGCGGCCATGGGCATCATTTCCAGCATCGTCGGCGGTCTGTCCAAGCTGGCCATTGCCAAGATCCTGGACACCATCGGTCGACCGCAGGGAATGGCGCTGGCGCTTCTCGTCTGGGTCATGGGCATGGTCATGATGGCCGCTTGCAAGAACGTTGAGACTTATGCTGCAGCCCAAGTCTTTTCCTCTACAGGGTGGGCGCAGAGTCTCTCTCCCATACTGAAGTAAGATCACCTACTGACATCGGCGGTCGCAGGTCTCAGGGCGTGAGCTACTGCCTTACCATCTTCATTGCCGACACTACGAGCCTCCTGAACCGACCTTTGATGCTTGCGTTCGCCACATCGCCCTACATCGTCACGACCTGGATTGGTGGTCCTATGGCGACCAAAGTTCTCGCCGGACCGGGTTGGCGATGGGGCTTTGGCATGTGGGCGATAATCACGCCCGTCGTCGTCTTGCCCCTCGTCATCCTCTTCGGCTGGGAGCAGTACCGAGCCAAGAAGGAGGGAGTCGTGCTGCCAAAAGACTCCACCAAGTCGGCTTTCGCCACAGTGAAGGACTTTGTCATTGACGTTGACCTTTTCGGCCTGCTGCTTCTTGCCGGCGGCATGGCCCTGTTCCTGCTTCCATTTGCGCTATGGCAATACCAGGATGATGGCTGGCGGAGCGCACTGGTCATCAGCATGATCATCGTCGGCGGCCTCCTCGTCATCGCGTTCGTGTTTTGGGAGAAATATTTCGCTCCGGTTACGTTCATCCCATTTGGCCTACTAACGGATCGGACCGTATTCTTCGCCGGACTCATGTTCCTTTTCGTCTTCGCCAACTCTCTGATCTGGGGCAGCTACTTTACGTCGATGCTGCTCGTGGTCTGGAACACGGGCGTTACGAAGGCAACCTACATCAGCAACATCTACCGAGTCGGCTCGTGCTTTGCGGGCCTCGTTCTCGGATACCTCATCAGGGTTACAGGCCGGTTTAAATGGGTTGCGACGATCTATGCGCTGCCGCTTATGCTCCTCGGCGTTGGATTGATGATTCACTTCCGGCAGGCTAGTCAGACCGTTGGATACGTCATCATGACCCAGATCTTCGTGGCCTTCGCGGGAGGCCCGATGGTCATCGCCGGCGAAATGGCCATGATGGCTCCTTCGGACCATCAACACGTTGCCGTCATCATCGCGATACTCGACCTCTTCGCAGCCGTTGGCAATGCCATTGGGCGCGCGATCTCGTCCGCTATCTGGGCAGGCACATTCAAGCAGGCTCTTGCCAGGAACTTGCCCGCAGAGGCTCCCGTTGACAGCATATACGGGAGCTTGCCTATCCAGCTGAGCTACGAGCCAGGTTCCACAGAGCGGCTCGGGATTTCCGAGGCGTACTCAGAGTCACAGCGCTACATGCTCATCACAAGCACATGCTTCGTTGCTGTCGCCTGGGGCTGTGCTTGGGTTTGGAGGGACATCCGAGTCAAGGACCGAAAGCAAGTGCAGGGCTACGTGGTCTGATGCCATCATGAGTGAATCGGCCTTCAGGCCCTTCATAAAAGTCATTTTAATCGGCCTGGCTGAGTCGGCCTGCCGCACAAACAGTAATACCAAATCATGCTACGTTAATTCCGCAATCTCTGTCGTGGGCAAGCTTGAAGATCTCGGCAAGATGGTCGGGGCGAGCTGAGTGCCGGGTTTCCGTGTTACAGCTCCTGCGAGAGCAGCTGTCGCAATTCCCGAACGCCATCAGCCCCAAGCGTCGCCTTGTCTAGTCGCAGTCCCGGTATGCTGTTCGACGTCGCCACATCGGGGTTGGGATAATACCAGCAGGCGATTGCGATGATGATGTAGACAATCTGCTTCTCATCAGTACATCGTCATTTCAGTCCTAGGGCAACCTTGCAAGGCCATACCACTAGCAGAGCGCCTTCGAGCCAGTTCGACTCGCCATCGCGAAGGAAGTTGCCAACGACGAGAATCGACAGAACGAGTAGCGCCACCATGAAAATCTCGAAGTTGAGATCCATGGGTTTGCCAATGATCCAGCCGACAACCACGACCAGGGGCGCGTTGAAGAGAGCAGTCTGAATGGACGGGCCAAGGCAATGGTATAGTGCGACATTGATGACTCCATCTGTAGCGAGCAATGGTTAGCTGAAACGGAACAATGCAAATACTCGACTCATCGGAAGGTGGGCTTACCCCAAGCTTCATCTATGGCGGTCAGGTGCTCAGCAGACTTCTCCACAAGAGGGAGCAGGATGAGACCAAGGAACTGATCAGGAACGCCGCTCTCTACGACGTGTTCGATCTGCTCGACGAGAAGGATGAGCAGCACCGTGACAAGAATAAGCGACAGTCCAATCGCCAGCAGCGCTTCCGTCATGGTGAATTTGGGCTTGGCCATGTCCTCGTGTCTGTCGGTGTCGCGATGCTCGTCCTGTTCGATCACCTCGTCGAAGATGCTATGCTGACTGCTCGCCTGATACCACGTGTATAACAAGAAGGCCACCATCAAAGCAATCGAGGTCGCCTGGCTGATGCGCAGTACATCTTCACGGAGCTTAGTCTCGGTGAATGCCTCGTCCGGACGCCTGAATCCTGGGATCTCGGGAACCACCTCTGCCTTGAGGGCTGAGTAAAAGGCGCTCGGAATCAGCAGGCCAAAGGCTGCCACGAGGAGAAGTCCGGTCCCGACCTCGGAAACGATGGCATGGAATTTCTGGCTGGCGTTGCGAAGGCCGCCGAAGAAGAAGCACAAGCCGAGACAGAGCAGCAGGTTAGTGAGGATGCTTCCGAGAATCGCAGCTTGTATAATCGGGATCAGGTTCCCCTCGTCGCCGTTGCCAGTCGAGTCCGATCGATGCTTGCTGATTAGGACAATGAACAAGATGATCTCAATGATGGAGCCAAACGTCGTCTCGATGAGTATGCCGGCGACCTTGGGCATCTTCCGCGCAAACTCCTGGCCTGCAAAGCCAAGCAGATTCGCTGACGGGATGACCGCAATGTAGGCCGTCACAAACTTCCATGATTGAAGGCCCGGGGAGATGTGCAGCAGCAGTGCGACCGGGACAAAAGGCCAGAGCAAGTTGACCAGTTTGGAAGCCGTGCAGGAGCTTCGCCAGAGTATGATGAAGAATTGGCGCGGGTCGAACCCATGCCGTCCGCTTTCGCCTTCGGCAGCGATTCCGCCTATGCCGTGGGCAGCGGACGTGGGGAGGAGCGGCGAGTCCTCGCTGCTACCCTGCTGGGCCGCGTGACTGTGATTGTTGGACATGGCGACGCGAGCTATAGTCGGTTCGTCCTTTTCATGCTGTGTTTGTTATCGTCGTCGATTGGGTAGGCGGAGATGGCAAGGTCAGGGAGGTTGAGGCCCGACAAAGGTCGACTTGACGGTGTGACGTAGACGGTAGGAGCATCGTGCGCGGGGTCGAGGGAGGTCGGTGCTTCGTGGCGGAAGCCTCAAGCTTTCGCCAAGCTGAGCTGATGCGGCGGCCTCCGCTCGCTAGGGCAATTCTGAGACACAAAGTTCACCTCAACGACCCTGGCACTGCCTGGGTTTTTTGTTGGCATATAACATGAGATAGAAAGACTGGTTCTGGCCTGACGCACCTGTCGTTGTTGGCCTTGACACCGACGACATGAGATACGGGGGCCATGATGGTGGAGACGCAACCTTCACGCGGAGCCGATGTAGGCGTCGATGCAGCCAGGCCATGTCGACGTTCTGGCCGCGTGCTCACACTCACAACGTCAGGCTCTACGGGGCAGAATGCCGGGCGTGGAACCAACGATAGCATGCAAGATCGACATCTTTGTGTCTGGTGCAGCAGAACTGCAGTCAGCACATGAGGATCCCCCCTTGACCTCGATCTGCGAGTGTTTCCATGATCCCAAGTGCATTTGCGAATCAGAGAGCGCCCAACCATCTCTCCTGGCCCCCACCAAGCAGGAGCTCCCCAGGCACAGCCGTTTTGGAGCGTCAGCGTCATCCGTGCCCGGACGCCACCACCGTTGCAACTCCTCAGGGCCCTCCAGTGAAAGCGCCTCCGGGCTGCCTCAACGCTCAGCCGCAGCGACTAATGCGGCGCGAACCATTGGGCCCCCCCGCGGTCGTCTGAATGCGCCTGACTAGCACGGCAAGCAAGCAGTTGGCAAGCGGGTTGCGCCCGTGTCATCGGAGGCCTCGCTCTGGATGCCTCGTCCTGGACCCCTGTCGTTAATACACGCGCTTGAGAACCCCGCGTCGAAAGTGCTCATCAGCCCTATATGACCCGAATCCCTCCCAGAGCTCGTGAGAGCGCTCGCCTGTGAGGCTTTTCGGCAAACTCCCCAGATCGCCAGCAGCACGACCAGAGCCATGAGCCACCAACCGCCGTACGGTCAACCGCCGCAGGGCGGCTACTACCCGCAAGGTGCGCCGCCGCCTGGTCAGCCGCCATACGGCCAGCAGCAGTTTCCGCAGAATCCGCAGCAGCCTCCGTACGGCCAGACGGCCCCTCCTCCGCAGGGAGGGCAGTATCCAGGCCAGCCGCCGTACCAGCAACCGCCATACGGACAGCCGCAGCAGGGCGGCTACTATCCTCCCGGGCCGCAGTCGCAGTATCAAGGACAGCAGTACGGCGCGCCGCCTCCTGGGAATTACGCAGGCCAGCCGCCGTACCCTCCGCAGGGAGCGCCTCAGGGTGGGCAGTATGGACAGCAGCCTCCGTACCCTCCGCAGGGACATCAGCAGGCGTATCCGCCGGCGGGCTACGCCGCACCGGTACGTGAACACCAGTTGCCATGCGCCCTTTTGCGCCTTGGATAACTACGATGGAGTTTGGGCTGAGTTGCTGACATGACGATACTTCGCAGCCGCCGGGACAGCCTCCGCAGCAATGGCAGCAGCCCGGCGCACCGCACCAGCAACCATACGGCCACGTCCAGGCGCCGCCGACGCCCGCATCGCCAGGCTACGACACGGCACAGAAGCAATGGGCGCAGCCCGTTCACACGAGCGACGACATCGAGTCGGTGCGCAAGGCGATGAAGGGCATGGGCTGCGACGAAAAGGCGCTCATCAGGGTCTTCACCGACCTCAAGTACTCCAACCCCTGGGCAATGGAGCAGCTCGTGCGCGACTACAACAGCAGGTTCATGCGCGACCTGCTCAAGGACATTGAGAGCGAGACGAGAGGCGACTTCGAGACGGGCCTCATGGCCCTGGTGCGCGGCCCGCTGGCAAACGACGTCCACGCGCTCGACAAGGCGCTGAACCGCGCGGGCACCGACGAGGACACCCTCATGGACGTGCTGCTCTGCCGGTCCAACGCGGACATTCGCGCCATTACGGCTGAGTACCGGCGCGTCAAGGGCCGCGAGCTCCTGACGGTCATCAAGGACGACGTCGACGACAACCTCTACCGGCTGTACAGCATGGCCCTTGCAGCGACGCGCGCCGAGGACGCCGCGCCCGTCATCCCCGCGGAAATCGACCACAAGGTGACGGAGCTGCAGCGCGCAACAGAGGGCATGATCGGCGCCAACGCAGCGGCCGTAGCGCAAGTCTTTACGAGCTCCAACGACGCGCAGATCCACGCCATGAGCGACGCCTACCAGCGCAAGTACCACCGCAGCCTGCAGGAGGTTATCGAGAAGGAGTTCCGCGGCGACATGGAGGACGCGCTGCTGCGGATGCTGACGCACGCCATGGACCGGGCGCGCTCCGACGCGACGAGGCTGCACCAGCCGCTCGTCAAGACGGTCAGGAAGGATAGGCTGTTCATCAACCGCCTGACGGCGCTGTACTGGGACCGGCCGAGGCTGGAGGCGGCGCGGGCGGCGTACAGGAAGCAGTATGGGTCGTCGCCTGGGCGGACTATCAAGGACGCGCTGAGTGGCGACCATGAGAAGCTGATGCTTGCCTTGGTGGGCGAGAAATGAGAGCTCTGTTCGTCAGAACTACGGCTCGGATGATTCACACAATGCCTAGGGTGACTGCCTGCTCGGAGACCAGTTGACCTGAGCCGCATTAGCACATGATACGGTGCGATTCCGGGAGCGGAAGGGTGGTGGTCCAGATTGAGCCTGACACATTGATGGTGTACTTTTAATGCTCTTGATCTACTTTTGTAAAGCTTGATCACGAATATTGATGTTATGACAGTGGCTTGGACACGAATCTAGGAACATATCCCACTTGATGGTTGTCGTTGTACATGCTTGTAGCCGCGGGCCAACATTGATGCTCGCCCGCATCGTCGATAGCCCCGATATTGCCCTGGATCACGCTGAACGCATGGCGAGATCTTGGTGGGATTTACTGCATATTTCTCGTTGGGGAGCAACTTCAACATATACTCTTCCGCAAAAGCGATGCACCTGTCAATTCTGGGAGCCAGCAGACAGAGCCAGCTCATACTAAAGTGGCAGCAATCATTCATGCATCAGATCCAGTCTGTCTCGCGAGCCTCGCGGGCTCACACAAAGCCAACCACGAACCCATTCGCATAAAAGCAGGCCGTCACATCTAAACACGCTCCGACAGCAATTCGCAGCTGATCTGATCCATGGCCTTTCCTCACGGGCCCTCAGCCATAGTGGCAGACACACTTGCACACGTACCCGAGGCACTATACAACCCGATCAATTAGCTCCACGATCACATGAATCCAGTTACCTCACGCGCGGGACCTGCATTGAGGGAACGTACCTCAGACTGCCCACAATTGATGTACTTGCTCCCGCCCGTGCACAGCACCTTGCACTGATCATTCTGATACGAGCACTCGTAGCGCCGCTCGAGCGTCGCGGCCAAATCACCGCCTGCGCCGGCCGCGGGAACGGCCAACACTGTCCATGCCGACGCCAACAGCACAGTCGCGGAGGTTGCAAAGCGCATGGTTAATATGTGTATATGTATATGGTGAGTGCCGCTGAGAAGTAGTATCGCTGCGACGTGTGCCTGGACAGGACCATATCTGTGATGCGATGCGAGGTATCAATGTCTATAAGTACTCGTCCGCAAAGACATAGCGTCCTACAAGCCAAAACCTCCAGGAGCAGCACTTGTAACACATCACGCTGCCAACATAGGCGGTATGCGAAATACGGAAACGGCCCGGCTGCATCAACGCCAAAGGATCAACGAGGCATACTTGACCTATTTTCTGTCGGCTTCACTTCGTACTCTTCGTACAGGCTGGTTTGCGGCGCCCGTAGACCAGTCGTCGCCTACCCCGCAAGCCTCCAGCAGCCTTGAGTAGCTTTGATCACGAGCGTGGTGGTGTCTCACGTTCATCGCAAACCTCCAGTCCACCACGCCTGCCTCAATTTGGAGATGGAAGGGTGGACTGCCAAATGGATGGTTGGCATAGTTCTGTTCACAACAGCCAGTTTCAGGCCCTCCACCATACGTCTGACAAGACATCGCAGCGACACAGCGACTCGGATTCCACGCGGGGAGTATCGGACGCCATAACATCAGTCTATTATTATCCGCTACCAGTGACCCATGTGTACGCCTTTTTTCTTACCCCTACCGTCCTCGTCGTCCACCTCCACCGCCCTGTGACCTGCCGTGCCGCGGCGGATCCGGAACCGTGTTGAGGCCTCTGGTTCCCCGGAGACCCATCTTGCCGACAGTGCTCTTCGCGATAGGCGGCGTCTCGGGGCAGCCGAGGCCCTCGCGAGCAAACACGTTGGCCTGCCTCACGAGCTCCTCCTTGTCCCACTTGAGTCCCTTAAGGTGGTTGTTGTAGTAGCCCAGCCAAGCCTTGTAGATCTGGCCCCGCTCATCCTCCTCCATAGCCTCGACGATGCTATTGACGAGGTCCGTGAAGGACAGATCGGGCTCCTTGGGGACAAAGTTGATCTCCTTGAGGTTCCATCTCGGGAACCAGGCCTCCTGCTCGCAGACAATGAAGAAACCACGGCCATCGGCGTCGGCGCGAGCGGTTCGGCCCAGGCGGTGGATGTAGCTTTGCTTGTCGGACGGGATGCCGACTTGGAAAACGGTGGTGACGCCGGGAAAGTCCATGCCGCGGGCGATGACGTCGGTCGCGACAAGGATTGCGGCCTTGGCGTCGCGATAGTCGTTGGTGATCTTGGTCCTCTTGTTCTGTGAGATCCTGCTGTGCAGTGTCGTGGTAGGGGGCAGGCCGGGGATGCGCGACAGGATGTGTCCGTAGAAGCCGGCAAGAGCGGCCGTGGGGGCAAAGACGATGGCCTTGAAGTTGGCGTGTTCTGTGGCCTCCTGGCGCACGCAGGCGACCATGGCGGCCGCAGTGGAGGCAAAGGTCGGGGCGGTGATGAGGGCCTGCGGGACGCGTTCATGCGTGTTGATCTCGCCCGCCGGGATCGTCGAGATGAACTTGTAGCCGGGCGCTAGAACGAGGCCAGCAACCTGGTTGACGTGAGGGGCGATGGTGGCGGAAAAGAGCATGCCCTGCCTGTTCACCTCGCGTCTGTCGGGCAGGTGGCTGACGATGTCGCGGAGAGCAGGCATGAAACCCATGTCGAGCAGTCGATCCGCCTCGTCGAGCACCAGGGTGTGCAGGTTACGGAAGGCATACTTGATGTTCTCATTGGACATGTGGTCGAGGAGGCGTCCGGGCGTGGCGATGAGAACGTCGCAGCCGCTGAGGATGAGCCTCTCCTCCTTGTCCTTGTTGGTGCCGCCGATGGCGATGCGCACGCGATACGACGGCATCCTCTGGAGCAGGTTGGTCGCCTCCTGGGCGATCTGCATGGCAAGCTCACGGGTCGGCGAGATGACCAGCAGAGAGATGCCAGAGTCCGATGAGGCACGACTGTGGCTGATCATGGTCTGGAGGGCGGGCAGCAGAAAGGCCACCGTCTTGCCGGTGCCGGTCCTGGCCTGGACGAGGCAGTCGCTGCGCTTCGGCGGCAGCAGCTCCCAGAGCGTGGCGGCCTGGACGGGCATCATGTGGTCAAAGCGCAGGTCGTCGGTAATGGTTTGCACCAGGACGGGGTGGACGAGGTTCTGGCCGGCGAGGTCGGCGAAGCGCGGCGTGTCGAGCGGCACGGCCTCGGTCAGCGGCGGCAGCGTGTGGCCCGAGGGAGCCACGGTGCTCTCGCGGCTCGACTCGGTGGCCTGCGACGAGGGCGGCTGGCTGAGCTCGGCATCGCGGAGGTGCTTGGGGGGGCCTGATGCTCGGTGTCGCGATCGAGCGCCTCCTGCTGCACCACCGCCGCCGCCGCGACCTCCACCACCACCACCGCGACGGCGGTCGGGCCGCCGACCCTTGGGGCGGTCACTCATGGACGGAAGCTTGCTTTCTTGGCCTGTTTCGGCGAGGGTGTGATGGTTCGCGGATGAGCTCTGTGGGCGCCGCTGCGTTGCGTTGTGGTGTGTTGTTGCTGAGGTGAGAATGAGGCCCGAGGTTTGGGTGAGTTTGATGCCGCTAAGGCAGCGAGTAGAGGTTTTCCAGGAGCGGAAACCAGCGCAGGCCGTCGGGCGCTCCCACTGGTCCGCCGCTCCAGTTAGGATGGGGCGGCAGATGCGTGCTAAAGAGCCCCAGTTTCCGAGCCGCTAAGGCTCCACTGCTCGAGCCCCATTGCCCGCTTGTGGATGACAGCCCTGGAGCCTCTAACGACCACTGCGGATAGCTTGGTGGCGCGTTGTTAGGGCGCCGCTCGCTCCCGGTCGTCAGCGAGGCACGGTGCCTGGACGGGCCTCGCTTCAATGATGCATGCATGGATGCAGGTGCTAACCTCAACTCCGCGTGGGTGCCATTGCGAGGCCCGTGGCCCTTGAGCATGCCCTATTCGTGACAGCAAATACATTTCTACCTCGGTGACCCCAAGAACAACCTGGAGAACTGCCTGCGCCGCCGTCTCCTGCAGGGTAAGATGCTGTGGCGGAGCGGCGAGGTCGTCTCCGTTACATGGGCTTCGCATCGAGTCAACGGGATGGGCTTAATATGCTGATCCGTCCTACCATCAAAGTGCAAAAAATCTCCGTGGTGATCCTGTACCGATCCAGGGCGACATGCAGTCCAGCCGCGCAAGCCAAGATCGGAGCCAAGACGAAAGCCAAGATCGCCGGTGAGTCAAGTCAAACCTCGACCAGCCCATGGTCGTCACATAGAATCCGCCAATAAGTACAAGTTGGCTTACGGCCGTGCCGCTAGAAGCAAGGGGCGCCAACTCACCCGTCTCGGGGTGGCCGAGCCATTGGACATGCTTTGTTGTGGCGTAGTGTTGGCATGTGCCTTTTCGATTCATGGTCACACGTTCCGAGTGGCCCCGGATCAATGGTTTGATGCCTGATGTGCTACACCAGTCGCTTGAGTAGTGCAGCCTATGTTGGGGCCAGATATCTGGCTAGGCATTCTCCCCCACTTGGTGAAGCCATGGGACATTGCGAAGCTGGGCATCAACACACACCGAGGGCCAAGAGGCGGCCGATTTACGAATCCCCGAGCCGCGCGCGCGCCGTCGTGCGTACGCCCGCTCGCGACAGGTTTTGTGTGATACCGTTTACGCGACAATATCGCCCGGCAGGATCCATGGGCCGCAATAGTGTGGCAACTCGCCGCACCCCATGAGCAATCACGAGGGGTCGTACATAGGCCCAGAATTGCTTGGCCGTCTCAAGCACGTTACGCCGCAGTTCATCTTATTTTCTGTGTCGCAGATGCTTGTGACGCGGGCGGCAGGCGTAGAGGTCGCACAGAGGGGCATCTCTCCCCGTCGGGCGAGGAGCAACATCTCTCCTGTCCGTCTGAGGCACTCCTCGGCAGGCAACAGCCGTGAGTGGCTCGTCATCCAAACTCGTGGTCCTTTCTTCGGCACTACGGCACAGAGACTATTGGTCGGTGTGAAATCCTGACAAGTGCGCCGCATCCGTGCAGGCTGGACGTCGAGAAAATTCTCTCTTGACAGACAGAAAGGGGGCTCTTCTCCGTCAGGCGGACACGAGACGACGGGAGAGTCGTACCTCAGCCTCAGCGAGAACCAGGGAAAAAACCGCTCGCGCAACGCGGGCGTCCACGCTGTGCATCCAATCGGGTCAATAAGCTTATTCATCCTTGTACGAAAACTGCTGTAGGACTCTTGTACTACGCGCATGCTTCCATGTCGTCTCCCTCGATGCCCCAGGAACACGTAACGGATATTCTCGGGGGCTTCGGTGGGAAAGCTGGGCGAGAAGCGAGTCCGAGTACTTGAAAATGTTGCTACGTGTAGCATTTGCGCTACTGTCACGCACCCACTTCAAGCCCAGGCCCTCAGCGGACACTCTGCTCCATGGCCGACAGTGTAGGACGACTTGTCGATCTGTTGCAAAGCATGACTCGGCACAGAGTTCGGAACTACACTAGTCCTCCTAGTACACTACTCTAACACTATACGCAATGGCAATAAATGCTTAGCTTGATACAACGTCACACAGTCCCGTGTGGCCGATGTTTAAGCTGACAACATGAAGGGTTACCAGAGACAATAGCGGAGTTACCGATACTCGGGTCAACTACTGACCTTTTCGACGAGAAAAAGGCATAGTGCCAACAATAGACCTTCTTTCTTGGGCACGTTGGCCATCAGCCCCTCGACGCCACATGGTTGAGGTATAGCAACATCTGACACTGCAGCAGGAGGTATGCAACACGATGCGGTAAGACTACGCCTATGACGTGGCAAAACCTTGTTTGACCGACAATGTTCCCGCCCTGTCGATCTACTATACTGCCTCTTGCAGAACCCGTTGCCCGATTCACTAAGGGCTGTGCGACAAGAGACGTCGGTCGGCTCACAATACCGCCGATGCCCCAGCCCCTATCCGACCCTCGGTGTTATGTCCCAGGGAGAGTGCCTGCCCCGAGACTCAATAAGGGGGCGGTTACCACGGTATGAACTCACCCCGAGTACAGCTAGCACCCAAGTTCCTCCACCATATAGTCTCCATGCGCTCATACATGTGTTGATATCTCACTGTTCGTCTCAACGCCACGGAAAACGTTCCGAATGGGCCTCACGCCACGCGGCGACCGCGTCAGCACGGAGCCTCTAAAGTCCCCGAGATTCTGAAGCGCGTGACAGACTCCTTCGCGAAACCTAGCGTTGTGCTCCCCTTCCGCTGCGCCTAGCTGCAAGACAAGCTTATGGCTGTAGTCGCCTGACCAGGTTTTGCGGCTCCGAGTGTTGGTCGGGCAAGAGCCGTTTTCTCTGAATGCATGATCTAGAAACTCTAGAACAGGAACGGAGCCAAGCGCCTTGGCTGGAGCAACTATATATGTGCAGCCTCCCTGGCCACAAACACTTTACAGATCGAGCTCAATCATCAATGTGAAGTGCACATCCTTGAGAATTCGCTCGATCAGCCTAGTATCATGGAGCCCGTTTTCCTCGCGTCGGGGGTCTTGGTTGCTGGGTCTTTCATGACCTGGAAGCTCCTCTACGGTAGTGGACGGCATGGAGTTGAACAGAAAGTCCAACCTCACAGGACATTCGAACGGAAGGCCAAGTTGGACCTGGATGAAGAGCTCTGCCAGCAGTACAAGAGCCTCTACTTCAAGTTGCACAACCTGGAACAACACAACGACGTTCTCCCCGAAGCAAAGAAGCTTCTGCTCTCCTTCTTTTCAGATGCCTTGAAGTCAGAAAATTTCAGATCAGAGGGTGATGACGGCACTTCGATTCTCTCCATCACAGACTACTCGAATAAAGCCCTGGACAACTTTGTACATGCTCAGTTGGATGCCGCGACGACTGAGTGGCAACATTACCTGGCCCGGCGCAAGAATGGAAGTCCCCGTGAGCTCTTCGACGACGCCGCCGAAGCCCGCCAATGGCTCGTGCAGAAAGCTCCTCACAAACTGGTCGACGGTGCTTGGCTGGGACATGTCCACAGAGCAACCGCTCCATTCGCATATCGCCGGGTCACCAAGGCCGCTTGGCAGGTTCTTTCCGAGGAACTGGGAGACGGAGACCTGGCCAAGTGTCACGCGTACGTGTATGCGCGCCTGCTCGAGAAGGTCGGGTCCCCGGTTCCCGCTCCGACATCCGCAAACTTCGTCGAGAATACGACAGTGACCGATACTGGACTCTGGCGGTCGGCAGTGGCGCAGTTGCTCATCTCGCTCTTCCCTGACGAGTTCCTCCCGGAAATCCTTGGCTTCAATCTTCATTTCGAGATGCTTACTTTGGAGACCCTGATGGCGGCAAAGGAGCTTCGCGAGGTCGGAATAGACCCGTACTATTTCACCTTGCATGTTACAATCGACAATGCCGACACGGGCCATACAGCCATGGCCAGCCGCATCGTTGCAGATTACCTGGAACTCATCAGCGCAGAGCATGGGCCCGCGGCCACACAACAGGCCTGGAAGCGCGTTCAGGCCGGGTTCCTGATGTCTAAAAACGTGCACCACAGTTACAACGACAAGCTCACGGAGCGAATCGTCACCATATTCACGGCCAAGTCCATTGCGTCGCACCGGATTCATGACCATTGCACCATGACCCTTGGCGGCCAATCGCTCAGCAAGTGGCTGGATCCGACCCTGTTCCACCGACTTGACTGGCAGGCAAAGTTCCTGAAGTGTCTGAGAAACGCCAAGCCTTGGATTCACAAAGGAAATAGCAGCAAGAGCCGTCTTGTGCGTCAGCTGTCCTGGGGCGGGTCCATGTTCGGTGCCTTTACCGATCGGGAGGTGGTTGTGGTGAAGGATTGGATCGACTCTCTTGTGCCAGCTGGCCCGGAGACATACCAGACGTTTACGGGCCATTTGGGTACTCCTGAGTCATCAGAGCGTTCTTCTCTTCCATCTGCGAAGGATGCGCGATCATTCGCCGACATTTTCGCCTCCATGGATGAGGCGATCGAACTGGACCTCCCGCTTGCACCCCTGGCCCTGGACCCGTCAGACATTAACGTCGGCAAGCTTCTTCCACTATGGTTCGCACAAGCGGGTCTGCTCGATTTCGCAGTTTCTGTACCCTGGTACGTGGCCGACGATGTTGGGTGCGCAATTGTCCGAACTCTGCGAGCCCAGTACGGCTTTCTGCCAGAGCCGACGGGGGTAGATGGTGTGGATGAAATGCGGCGCGACGACTCAATCGACCTCATCGACATTGGCAATGACCTACTTTGCAGACACGATCCAGATTGCGCTCAACCATCGTGCATGTCAGACGTGCTGAAGCGATGGCCGTCGCCTTTTGCGGAAGCGATGTTGGCAGCTGCGCAGAGGCCGAGGGAGCTCGGTTGGGTGCTTCTCGGGATGGCGCAAGCATTCACGAGACTGCATGATGTCGTTGCAGCTTCGTACACACTGCTCTCGAGCCCAAAGCGGGAAGCTCTTGGTAAGATCGCGGCAAGGGAGCAGGAAGGTCTGAAGGCTTGCACGGACACAATCTCCAGCGGAAGCCCGCAAGATCGCGACTTTAGGAAGGGCTACCAGCTGGGCGTGAAGCAAATCATGTCTTGCCTTGCGTAGGAAATGGCTTCCACCCGATGAGGGTATTCTGCAAAACCCGAACAGGAGGCAATGAACAGCAAGGTGCCTACTCGTTTACAGAGATTGAGTTGCGGTTGATGACAAAAATGTTGATTCGTTAGCTTAATTCGCCAGTATGTGTTTCATTGTCAAAGCAATAGACCTGCGCTGAGCCCAACAATGTGGGATGCCTTTCTGAAGTTCAATACACGCATTATTCCAGGCGTTTTGTGCTTGGCTCATCACGCCTTGCACATCCGGCCATCGTTTCCAACGTTCCAAGCCTCACTTCCCACGCCCTTGAGCGTGTAAAGCACGCTCTCCGGATCCCACTTGCGCTTGATGGAAAGCAGCTTCTCGTAGCTAGACCCATAGAAGGTCTGCTGCCAGTTGGGCTGCCTAAAGTCCGCCTCGTTCATGTACGATCCGCTGCCGGGCGTCACGCTCTCGATCTGGGGCATGAACTCCTCGGTCATGCGGCGCTGCGCGGCCTCCATCTCCGACCACGGCGCGGTCGAGTCCCAGTCGGTGATGAGCTGCAACTGAACCAACGTGGAGCGCCACACCGGGTTGACCGAGTTGTCGGCGCTGCCGGCGGGCTTGTTCGAGTAGGCGGCGGCGCTGCCGACGGCGAGGATGCCGTTGGCCGTGAGGTTGTTGACGACGCTGACGAAGGCGTTGCGGCTCGTCTCATCCTGCAGAACCTTGCGGGGGATCAGGCGGCCGCCGAACTGGTAGCGCTCCACCTCGAAGCTTCCCTGCGGGAGAGGGCCCATGTAGCGGTCGTAGTGATCGCGATAGGAGAGCTCACTGTACGCAACTGGCAAAGTGATACCAATTTCCGTCAAAGCCGCCGTGAAAGGTTGCAGAACGACGTCGCGGACATGAGCGGCCGTCGAGTTCCACAGGGTCAGGGGCTTAACCACCAGCATCTGCTGGTTGGTGTAGAAGACCACCATGGCGCCATTGTCAATCATCTTCGGCAGCAGTTCATAGAACTTGGCCACCGCAGCCTTGAACTTTTCGGGCGTAGTAGTAGGCGCAAGCAATTGGAAGGCTGCGCCTCCGACCGTCGCCGCCTTGTACGCCCGGACAGTAACTCCGACAACCACGCCGTAGTTGCCACCACCGCCACCGCTCAGTGCCCAGTAGAGGTCAGCATTCTTGGTCGGCGTCGCGGTGACAGTGCGACCGCTAGTCGTGACGACCTGGAATGCCAGGGTCTGGTCGGAAGCGAGACCAAAAGTGGTGCTGAGCGCAGAGTGGCCGCCTCCCTGGATGAAGCCGCCAGCGAGACCGACCGTTGCGCACTCTCCCGTAACCACCGTGAGGCCCTGCTTGTGCGCCGCCTCGACGATCTCGTAGCCGATTACGCCGGCACCCACACTGGCTGACGGTCCGGTATAGTGCTCATCCGACCAGTCGGCAAAAGACACGGCCTTGAGACCCTGGGTCCAGATAGAGAGCGCGCCGGCACCGGTAGAGCGTCCAAGGAAACTAACTTGTTAGTATTCGTCTTTTGCGTAGTACTTCCCAAATGGGGCGGACATACTCATGACCCGTGTTGCGGACAACGATACGGATGTTGTGCTCCTTGGCAAAGCGCAGGGCGGCTGCGACGTCTGCGGTGCACTTGACCTTGACCGCGTAGCTGACGTAGTTTCCGAGCACGCAAGGCTTTGACCTATCGGTGAACGGATCGCAACTCTGGTTGGCAAAGTACGTCTGCATCACTGACGACGATGACGGAATGCTGCAGCTTCAGGTTAGTCTCATTGCGGTGCCGCAGGTGATCGCCATGTCAACGGCGTCTTCGATGATACGCACTGAGTGAGCGGGTTCTTCCAGCTTGCCTGCAGTGCCGCGCACGCAGCAGCATCGTAGGTAGGATCATGGCAGGGCGAGCCAATGGGAACTGTCGCGACGAGCCTGCCCCCGACAGTCGCATTGAACTGTGTCCAAGTGCCGTCCGAGGGCCAGCAGGCGTCTCCCGGCAAGCAGCGACATGACGGGGGCACACTCGAGGTGTCAGCCAGAGCTTGGGCCGCGCCCAAGATAGCAGCCTGTACCAGCGACGAGAACTTCATCTTGCTGTCTGGCGGTGAATGCAACCCACGTTGTGAAGTCTGTGGTTGCAGATGGGCATGCACGGGCTTGAGAGCCGCTGCGCTACGGGTTCATACAGGTATTCATACTCGGCAGTTGCGGATAACTCGAGCTCCTTTTCTTGTTCCTCTCCGTGGACTTGAGCCCCCCGTTCGAGAGACTAAACAGGACGGCAGGCCGTTAGTACGTAGGCCGCGCCGGAGATGAGCTTCGCTGCGAGCCATCCCAGAATACCCGTCGAGATTCCTCGGCTTCATCGCATCTTTTATCGGGGCCGCCTTACCCGACGCGGGACCTGACCGACGGTCAGGGGCGGGGCGTTGACTCTTGAGCCTCCTGTCACATGGGTAGCATTCGCCGTTGCGACAGGGCTTGTGCGACACTAGCATCTGGCCGGCTCTCTGCTCCGTCCGTCTGTGTGCAAGAAATTCGGGGCGCGCAGCGGTGCTGGTGAGCGTTGGAAATAGATGCCGGACTAGGGGGAGCCATTGCCATTCCTGGACTTTTCTCCGAGCGCGGCTCCAATCGGCGAACCTGGAGGGGGGTTCACTGTTTGGGAAGTTCCAGATTTCGCAGGAGGCTCGGCCAGCGGCCCATAAAAACATTCCACGTTAAGACGCCCGTCAGTGTGGCCGACTCGCCTTAGCTCAGGGCACGCTTCGACTCCTAGTGCAACGCGTGGACCCTACGATCACCGGCTGATCTCTGGTCTCTAGCCCTTCTCGGTCCCAAGAGTCGGGAACCGCGCATCTGGGGTTTCGGGTCTGGGACGCGGGAGGGCGGCGGAGGCAATAAACTGCTCGCCACGCCCACCCAGCTGAGCCCAAACATGAGGAGACTCACGGGACAGTCCAGTCGCAGGGCGGCCAACTTTTTGCTTCTTCATCCACCGGCCATGAACTGCTGAAGTCGTCACCGGACGAACCGCCACGATGCCGTTGTCTCTCCGCGGGCTCTTGCTACCGCTTGTCTCTGTGCTCATGGTGGCTTGCCAGGCGCAAGACATGGGTGTTTCCGCTCGCGCTTCTTCGCTGGAAGAATACCCCGAATGTGCAGTGGGTCGAGCCCTGGGGCAGGATCTCTGCCCACGATCGAAACGATCATGATGTTGGAATCGCTGCTGACGATCTGGCGATAGGCGAAATGCATCCTAGTCGCACTGACAGGTGGGCTGTGTAGTCCCACGGACGAAAAGTGTATCTGCACGGATCAGACGTTCCAGCACAACGTGACAGCCTGTGTGTCGGGCGGCTGCACCATTCCGGATGCCTTGGGTACGTATTCTGCAAAGGAAACATCTATCGTGAGCAGTTGACTAACAACTCAACTCAGTCACTCAGAATGCCAGTCTCACCCGTTGCGGCGCCATCCCCCGCGATCGCGGCCAAGAACTCGTCACCGTCACAGCCGTCCTTGCCTCCCTGGCCGCCGTCTTCATCATCACGCGCTTCGCGTACAAGATTTTCGTCACGCGGCTCGACTTAGGTCTCGACGATGTCTTTGTCCTCGCAACGATGGTCTCCGCCATCCCCAGCGCCATCATCACCAAATTCGGCACCGTTCCCAACGGCCTCGGCCGGGATATCTGGACCCTGACGCCAACGCAAATCACCAACGTCGGCAAATTCTTCTACATCATGGCGTGGCTGTACTTCTTGCAGACCGCCCTTCTGAAGCTGTCGTTCGTGTCCTTTTACATGCGCATCTTCCCGGCAAAGAACGTCCAGCGTGTTCTCTGGGGCACGTTTGCATTTGTGACGACCTGGGGCCTTGCCTTTATCATAACGTCCATCTTCCAATGTCGACCGGTGCATTACTTCTGGACAAAGTGGGACGGCATGCATAAGGGCTCTTGCGCCGATGCCAATGCCATAAGCTGGTCCAACGCTGCCATGAGCATCGCGCTGGACCTGTGGATCCTTGCGATCCCGCTGTGGCAGCTGCGCAGCCTCAAAATGCACTGGAAGAAGAAGGTTGGCGTCGCACTCATGTTTTGCGTCGGCACGTTGTAAGTGTCCCCCGTCCGAAGAATTGGCCGACGCAGCTGCTAACCATTACCAGTGTGACGATTGTCAGTATCATCCGACTTCAATCGCTTGTCCATTTCGCCGCAACGGCCAATTCCACCTGGGAATTCTACGACGTGTCCCTTTGGTCGACGATAGAGATCTGCATCGGCGTCATCTGCGCATGCCTGCCTACAATCCGACTGCTCCTCGTGAAGCTCATCCCTGCGCTCGCTGGGTCGACCCAACGGAGCCAGTATTATCGCTATGGCACTGGAGGGAATACGAGCGGCCGCGGGCGGTCCAAGACTGCCACCTCGAGCAATCACCAGACCACGGTGCGGGTTGACTCGGTCAGCCGAGCGCAGTCGGATCACGGCAGCTCTGAAGAGCCTCAGGGCATCCTGTTCCAAAAGTCCTACACGGTGCAATACAGCGATAATGATGAGGCAAGCCTGGTTGCCATGAGGGATCTGGAGGCGAAGGCGCCAGGCAGGAGGTAGGGGGGAATGATGATGACGAATAGATGCATTTAGACGGGCCGGCCCAATAGACTACATGTAGACCTACATTTCTTATGACGGACTTTTTTACTGGACTTTCCACCGCGTCATTGTTTGTGACAGTGCATGCACATGTAATAGTCGCGGATCAATCGAGCGCGCCTTGTATCATGTTGTGTCCAGACCAGACTCAAAGCATTCTCCTTGCGTTGCGATGTCAAATGTCCGCTTTCTCTGTCCCGTACGGCCAGACGTATGGACGTAACCGCACCCGTTAAGGCCTTCGGACAGCTACCACCGTCGTCGCCGATTATTTCAGACCGCACTCGCCTCCCCGGTGGAAGCAAGGGAGACTGTAGAGCTCGTATTCCTTTCACGGCGATATGAGTGAGCCGCCACGGAGTGCGGAACAGGGGCGGAAGCCACTCCGAAAATGAAACACTCAAAAGTACAGGCTGGGGCGAGTGCCCAGCTTCTTCATCGTCACTGGTACCAGCGATTGCAAACCCTGGCATCCATGCGCAAATCCCCGTGCAATGACAGCCAGCATGACCAACGGAGCGGAAAAAGTTCCGTATTGGGGAGAAGAGTCGCAAACTTGCGACCGATGACAATTGCGCGTGACCGATCCGGGTCAACGGCACATCAAGAGTATTTGGTCGGCAATTGGAAGAGGCAGGTCCATGACCAGCACGTAGAGTTCAGTCTTACATGACATGGCCAGGGGTTGAGGTGTTGTCGCCATCCTAGTACATTTTGCTTTTCCGTATTGTGCAATTGCTCGGCATGATCAAGGGTTCACGTTGGTTGAGACTTCATGTTCGCGCCGCCTCAACTATGAAGGGCGCAGGAAACTGCATCATTTAAGCAATCCGTCAGAGCATCAGACTCAGGAGCCGCAGCGCAGGATTTAGAGTGCCCTGAGATGCCGCGAGTCCGCGACATGGATAGCGGGGCAAAAGAGAGAGAGGCTCCATCCACGACTCAACATAATCCATGACCCGACCCCCTGCGACTGGGGTAGTACCACATGCAACGCACATGAACAAGGTTTCGCGACTGAAGACGCCCCGAAACGACAATACATTTGACAAGCATCTGGACCTGACAAGCCCGAAAGTCAAGCACACAGCCTGGTCTGGCACTTGTCAGGATCTGGGACATGGACGGAACCATGGGTTGCTAATTACCCCGCAGCCGCTCGTGGGGACAGCCGAGGCTGCTAGGAAATTAGTGCCCCGAAGACCAGATGAAAAATTGGGATGATCCCTCGTGATTGTTGCGAACTTGCAGTACTTACAGGACGGAGACTTACCATACTGTTGAACGCGGTGTGGTTTTCCGGTGGTGATGAGACGTGCGGAATGTAAAAGGCCGGGCCGTCCAAGACCCAGTGCCGCGGAAATGCTGCGCCGCAAAAGGAACAACGGGGTGCATGAGCGAGTCGGGTCTCTCTCTGTTCATGTTAGGAGCAGACCCAACGCGCCAAACTCTGACGACAGGTCGGCCCGCCAGGCCCTCGGGTGAATGGACGGCAGATGCATAACAGCCTCAAATATGTCAAGTCGCATTGTGGACTCGACTCCAGTCCGGAGCGACGATCTGTGTGCCTCCTCATCTCTCCAGCCCGCTAAGACAGCGCGGGAGATGACGTTCGGCTGCCTCGCCCTTGCTGTGCTGGGTTCGACAGCCGCGACTGGCGGCCAGACGGCTTGAAGGGCCTCCCGTGGTGGAGTCGGCTGGGCGAGGGTGGTTGCATTGGCGCCCGCCGACCGCCTGGGACGATGGAGCGATGGCATCGGGGGCGGCGCGCGGGAGGATGAAGGAACATGGTTCACTGTCCGGCGATGAAGAGACGATCAACGCTTGTGCCGAATAAGTAGTCCAGTGCCCGCCGCTCCACGAAATGTCTCGTCCAGAGCAGTCGACACGGCTGCCCGCCTGTCTAGTCCCATCCGAACCTCGCGCTCTCTGGACGCTGGCCCTCACTCACCATGCGCTTCAGGCTCTCCACGCTCCTCCTTCTCCTTCCAGGCCTCTCGTCGGCGGTTCATCTCACTGGCTATGACTACATTGTAGTCGGCTCTGGTGCCGGCGGAGGACCTCTCGCTGCTCGCCTTGCCCTTGCTGGCCACAAGACTCTGCTCCTCGAAGCCGGCGACGACCAGGGGAAAAGCACCAACTATACCGTCCCTGCCTTCTCGGCGCGCGCCTCCGAAGATGGCGCCCTGGCCTGGGACTTCTTTGTTCGACACTACGCCGACGATGCCCGTCAGGCTCGAGACTACAAGACCTCCTATCGAACCAAGGAGGGCGGTCTCTATACTGGTCTAAATCCTCCCGAGGGGGCCGAGATGCTAGGAACTCTATACCCTCGAACTGGTACGCTCGGCGGCTGCACGACACATAACGCCCTCGTGGCCATCTATCCGCATCGGTCTGACTTCGAGTATATCGCCTCGCTGACGGGCGACGCCTCGTGGTCCCCTGACAATATGCGCAAGTACTTTGTTCGCATGGAGCACAACCGATATCTGCTACCGCTCTTGGCCAAGGGACATGGGTTTAATGGCTGGCTATCCACGGAGACGGCGCCATTGACGATTCCGCTCGAGGATCCCCAGCTGCTAAGCCTCGTACTGGGCGGAACATTCGCGCTCGGCAACTATACCAACACAGTGATCAACCTGGCCAGTGTCCTGGCCGGAGATGCCAACGCCGACTCGGACAGCCGCGACAGGAATGGCGGCTACTTCATGATCCCAATTTCCGCCGGCGGAGGTGTTCGCGTCGGCTCGAGAGACTTCATCGTTGCTGTTCGCGATGCTAAGAACGCAGATGGCAGTAAGAAATACCCCCTGGACGTACGGCTGAACACACATGTCACGAAGATTGTGTTCGATGAGAGCGGCGATCAACCCCGAGCTACGGGAGTGGAGTTCCTCGAGGGGCAATATCTCTACAAGGCCAGCCCGCGCTATCAGGCCGGCAAGAAGGGGACTCCTGGTTCTGCCGAGGCCAAGCACGAAGTCATTATCGCAGGCGGCACGTACAACTCCCCGCAGCTCCTCAAGCTTAGTGGCGTGGGCCCTAAAGCTGAGCTCGAGCGCTTTGGCATCAAGGTCATCAAGGACTTGCCCGGAGTCGGGACCAATCTCCAGGATCACTACGAAGTTACCGTGCAAGGCACCGTGCCTACCGATTTCCATGCGTTAAAGGGCTGTGCGTTCACGGACGACCCGGCGGAAGATGCCTGTCTGAAGAAATGGCAGAATCCCCTCTTGAACCGTGGCACCTACGCCTCCAACGGCCTCGCGGTGTCCATGCTGTTCAAGTCCTCTGCGTCCGCAACCTCAGAGTACGATGCTTTTGTGTTCGGCGGGCCCGTCAACTTCCGCGGCTACTTCCCCAACTACAGCGTCAACGTCACCGCCCGACACGACATCTTCAGCTGGGCGATTCTCAAGTCACATCCGCGCAACACGGCGGGGTCCGTTACTCTGCGCTCCGCCGATCCCCTCGACGTTCCTCACATCGTCTATAACTACTTCGATACCGGCATTGGCGACTCCGCTGCCGATCTGCAAGCCCTTCGCGAATCTATTGGCCTTGCCCGTGACGCCTTCAAGCGCCAGCTCGTGCCCGTCTCAGAGATCCTGCCCGGGTCTGAGGTCAAGTCGAAGGAACAGATCGATACCTATATCAAGGACACGGCCTGGGGCCATCATGCCAGCTCTACTTGCCCCATCGGTCGTTCGGATGATCCCATGGCTGTCCTGGACTCTAGCTTCAGGGTCTACGGCGTCAAGGGTCTGAGGGTCGTTGACGCTAGTGTCTATCCGCGCATTCCTGGTACTTTCACTGCTGTTTCGACGTACATGGTTGGTGAGAAAGCAGCAGACGTGATTTTGAGCCAGTTGGCAAAGTAAAGCACGACTTCAATGTTGCGCAAACAATAATACGCGACAGCAATACATAGCAATACACACATGAAATGGAATTTTTTCATGCTGGCCTAGCCAACTGAGGCGCGTTGACAACTTGCGGATCCCAACGTCCCATCAAATGCAGACTGGCGGCTGTATGAAGTGAGGTGGCCATAGGCGACCCGATGTAGATGCCTCCTAGACACATAGCGATTGTACGGCTTAACTATAGCCATGAAGCAAAAAGGCAGTCATCGCAAGGGGTCCCCAACGCCAGTCAACTGGCACAAGATCAGCGCCACCCAGAGAGGCAAGGCGCGGCTCAACTGGGGCTCAACAGTTCACCTCCTCGGCCCTAACCCCCGACAGACATTGATCTGCGTTGTCCTCCCTTAGCGCTGTCATTCGCGGCAAGTCAACGTGGCACGGTCAGATCCGGACTCCGATTGTCTCGCGTTTGGACGCAGACCCTGCCGGCCCAGTCGAGGACTTGCGAAGTACTTTAGCACGCACAAGGCACGCACGCGAACTACGTTGGCACAACGCAAGGCAGTCATGATTGAAACAATTTTTGATTGCGCCCCTTTGCTCTGAGCCCAGTTTTTATCTGTCTTGTTTCCCAGAAGCATTGATCCATGCGTGTCATTGATCCCATAAGCCCATCATGAAAAGGAAAACCCAAAAAAGGTGGCGGGAGTTTTACGTCTTTCCCATAACGAGTGTACAAGAAGTGAAGAAGGGTATGTGTCCCAAAAATGCGTCCGATGCAAATAGACGTCCGTCTAGGCCAGGGCGGCGTAGACCTGGCCGGGGGAGCTCAGGCTCGTGGCGCTCGACATGAGCTTGTCGTTGGCGACCATGAAGTACGAGTAGCCGTGGAGGTAGTCGAGCGACTCGAGCTTGGGGATGACCTGCTTGAGGAAGCTGCCGGCGTCGCCGTCGAGGGGAGCGAACTCGGTGAGCCAGATGGGCTTGTTGTTGCAGGCCTTGTGGGCAGCCTCGAGGTGGGTGAAGAGCGTGTCGGCATACTGGGCCTCGGAGTACCAGTGGACATTGCAGAAGTCGACCGGGCAATTACCAGAGCACGCCGACATGAACTCCGTGAGCCATTCGATACCCTCGCCCTTCTGGCCGCTGTTGGTGATGGACGGCGCGCCAATGGGAACCTGGCCGGCGAACGGGCTCATGTACTTGGTGTGGGCGGCAGCGGCGTCGGTTGGGAGCATGTTGGCCTGGCCCTTGTTGTCGCACTCGTTGAAGCTGAACAAGGCCTTGGCGCCGTTGGCGATGGCCTTCTCGGCATCCGACTGCCAGGCGCTAATGAATGGTTCTTTGTTACCCCACAGAGTAGGGATGAAGTTGATGTTCTTGTTCAGGGAACCGGGGTTCGAGCCCCAGTTGTAGGCCCAGGAGCAGGTCTTGCACTCGCCACCAAAGATGTTGGCCATGCCGGCATCGTTGTAGGCGATGCCGCGCTTGCTGGACAGGCCGCTCGAGCCGCCGTTGCCGCTGGACGCCTTGGAGGTGGTCGCGGCGGGAGCAGAGGACGTGACAGCGACCGGCTCCTTGACCTTGATCGGCGGGGCGCTGACCTGAATGTTGACAGGAGCGGGCTTGGCCGAGGTGACCAGAGTGGTCGGCGAAGCAGGCGGGGGAGGAGGCGGCGCCTGGCTGCTGACGACGGGCGGCGCGGCGGCAACGGTGGGCTGCGGCGCGGGGACAGAGTTGGCGACATACTCGGTGGCGGCGGCCTTTGAGTCCTGCTGGCCATCGGTGACATAGGCGGTCTCGTAGACGGTGACCCAGTGCGTCACGTAGTCGCGCTTCACGTTGACGTCGGCCGCACGGTGAAGATGGCGGTGCGAGTTGAAGGCGACGGCCTGCTCGGCGAGGCCGGCAACAGCCGTGAGGGCGACGAGGTTCTTGGTGAACATGGTGGTGGTGGTGGGGACGAATGTCGTGTTGGTGTCTTGGATGTGTGTAAGTGCTAGCTTTCAGCGAGGTCGTTACGTGGCGATTCAAGAGGATGCAAAGGTGATCTGTTTTCGAAGCGGTATCCTCTATCCAGAAAACAATGGCAAGCCTTGAGATCAAAGGATCGGAATGAGTCGGCACGGCCGGCGGGGGTGGTGACAAGGAGCGATGTGCGGTCTTTCAAAGACGCGGGATGAATGAGAGAGGCAAACGACCCGTCGAAGCTAGCGACTGGTTGGAAAAGAAGGGAGCAAGCAGCACTTGATATGAATGAAAGTGAAAAGGTTAGAAAAAGACCAACCGGAGGGAAAGAGGGAAGGAAAAGAGAAAGAGAGGGACGAGAGAGGAGGAGGATGGACGGGAGACCAGGGTGAGGAGGCGTGGCACTAGCTAGGGCTTTGCGCTCGCCCGCGATAAGGTAACGGCAGAGGTGGGACTTGGGATCACGGCCCCCTTGCCGCCCGCCCACATGTACTTCATCCTGCGAGCGAGGCATGGTGCAAGTCCATGTCGGGCCCAAGATGCGTCCACTCACCGGCGTCGAGGGTAACGCCAGCGTTCTCCACCCCGGCGCAACACGACACCTGTCTCTTATACACATCTAGATGTGTATAAGAGACAGCCCACATGTACTTCATCCTGCGAGCGAGGCATGGTGCAAGTCCATGTCGGGCCCAAGATGCGTCCACTCACCGGCGTCGAGGGTAACGCCAGCGTTCTCCACCCCGGCGCAACACGACACAGACTGGACGGACGACGACGACTGCGACGACGCCGCAGGTCGAGTAGCACCAAGGAAGCAGGTACGGGAGCGAGGCGCCGTGTCGGAGCGCTCCACGACTCCCAGCCAGCAGCAGTCCGGACACCCGCACGATACTTTTTCGTACTCCCTCGGATGGCTGGCTGGGCGCTGCTACGCTCGGCATCCATTTGTTGATGCCCACGCCAAGGGAGTCTGTCTACCTGCGCCTCGGATGACACGCAATCGGGGGCCTTGGTGGTGGTGGTGGGCCGGGAGGAGTGGGCGGCAGTAGGAGCAGGAGGAGCAGCAGCAGTTACCAAAGTCGCGCAAGCCGGAACCCAGTCGTACTTCGTACGAGCCTGTCAGTACGAGCGTGTGTGTGTGTGTGTGTGCGTATGAAAATGCGCGCCGAGAAGTCAGCCAGCCCGTGTCCATACCAGCCGCAAAACCTTGCTTCGTCCCCGTCAGCCCATTCTTGCCATTCTCCCCCGGAAGTTTCATCCCAAGCGTAGCCCGTTACGAGTGTTGTGAAAGCCGCCCGTAATTTCCATGAGGAGCTCGCAGCATCGAAGAGGGCAGGGCGCACGCTGTCTGACGCGTCAGACCAGAGAGCCCTTGATAATCTCCTGTCCGGCAGGACGGCACTGAGGCACGCAGTTCAGGTGTGAGACGCTCGGATGTAGACGCCGTGGCTTCACCTTGCTGGGCCACCGACGGCGCAAACACGAACAAAAAGTACAGGGGTGTTGGGGGGTCGAGTCTCTCTCTCTCTCGCCCTGTTCTCACGGCCTCAACTCCCGGCCAAGCTTGCCCGCCCTTGTTCCCTTGCCAGTCTTCCCTTTCTTTCTTGCTGTCCACAGCCAAGCAGGCCTCGACCCGGGGAGGGGGTTACCGTCTCCACTGTGGCCCGACCGAACGACGGCGGGCTGGTGATTAGCGCCAGGGGCAGGGGGCATGGGGGCATTGG